TAATTGCCCTTCGCAGCTTCGTGGCTGGCTGAGGCAAGAGCCTAGACTCAACAGATATGCGAGCTTGCTGCGAGGGCTCACCGTTGGCAGGTAGTCTGTCACCTTGCTTTCGCTTTGAATGCGGCTAGATGGAGTTGACGAGCACATAGACCTGAAAGCACTGCATAGCTGCAAAGTGGGGGAGAGCCGACGGGGCTCGAACAGCCTGAATGAAGGTTGAGGTTGGGATGAGACCTACATGTTTACTTCGCAGCACGTCCCGACCTCTTCAGCTATGCTCTTATGCCAGCCATCTTTGCCTCTACCACAAAACCTGCCTGAAATTCCTCTCTTTCTCCCAATCTTGGTCGAGAGAGCTTCATTCTAACCATTATCACAAGACATCTACTCTCACCGAAAGCAAAAATGGCGAGAGAAGAACAGGGGCGGTGGACAGAGGTTTTCGACCCAGGATTCAACGGCGTCGTCGTTCATGCCAGCCTGCTGCCTAATGGCAAAGTCCTCTACTGGGGCCGGCGTCGGAATCCCAAGGCTATCCCTCCAGAGACGCTGGACCAGAAGTTCACTGACGCCTTTCTCTGGACTCCCCCAGCCTGGGAGGCTCCTCAATGGGATGCCCGCAACAAGAAGTTCGGCGACAGCAAATCCACTCCAATCATCACTGGTAAGAGCGATCCGGCCAACAGGGGCCGCGGCTGGGACCTTTCGAAAAAGGCCCTCAAGCCTGTCCCAGATCCACCACTTGGCCCACTCAATTTGGATGGTCAAAAGCCAGTGAACCTCTTCTGCTCTGGCCACTGCTTTCTGCCAGACGGCAACCTGCTCGTCGCCGGCGGACATATCGAAGACAGCTTAGGTCTCAACCAGGCCTGTGTTTACGATTACAAAGCCAATGAATTCAGGCCCCTGGCCGAGATGAACAATGGCCGCTGGTATCCCTCGGTTCTGCCCCTTCCCGATGGTCGCGTTCTTGTTATCTCCGGTTCCTACGGTTTCAAGGACCAAAAGGGAAACAAAACGGTCATCAACAACCACATCCCGCAGATCTGGTCTCCCGATGACACAACTGGGTGGACAGAGGTGGCAGCATTCCCCGACCAACAGAGTTTTCCCCTGTATCCCCGAGTCCACCTTGACCCAAGTGGCCGTCGAGTTTTCATGGCGGGGCCATTGGCGGACTCATGGTTCCTTGAGCTCAAGGATGACAATGGTAACGATATCAAAACTCCAGTAGTAGTTGATGGCAAGACTCATTCCGTTCTCGGAAAATGGACACCTGCAGGAATTCGGCGTAACGAGGGGCCAAGAGACTACGCCCCCTCGGTCATGTACGACAGTGGTCAGATCCTGTACATCGGAGGCGGAACCGGCGACGGGGGACCCACCAAAGTGGCCGAATACATTGATTTGAACGCCAAGTCGCCGGCGTGGAAGTCGTCATTGATGGCAAACCCCCGCAGACAGTTCAATGCAACGGTGCTGCCTGATGGCACCGTGCTGGTGACCGGCGGCACCAAAGCCGAGGGATTCAATGATCTGGGGTTAGACAAAAATGGCGTCAATAACCCCGTGCACGAAGCCGAGCTATGGAATCCCGTCGATCAAAAATTCAAGAAGATGGCTAAAGAGAACTCGGATCGCTGCTACCACTCCATCGCACTGCTGCTGCCCGATGGCCGGGTCCTTTCAGCCGGGGGTGGTGAATACGGCGACGCTGATCCTAGCGATAATCCGCCAAAGCCCCAAAGGAACCAGACGGACGGGCAATTGTTTGAGCCACCTTACCTGTTCAAAGGACCCCGACCAACCATCGTGAGCGCGCCGAAGGAGATAAATTACGGCACGCCATTCCCAGTCACTGTCGGTTCCAGCGACTCAATTGAAAAGATCAGCTTGGTGCGTCTTGGTTCGGTCACACATTGTCGCAACATGAACCAATCACTTATGTTCTTAAAACCCTTCACGCCGGCCAAACCGACCATCATGGTGCCTGCTCCTGCCAACAAAAACCTCGCCCCTCCGGGTCATTATATGCTTTTTGTCTTGAATACGGACGGCGTACCGTCCGTGGCCTCTTTTGTCCGCCTTGCACCGGCACCAGCGCAAGCCAAGACATCCACAATCTCGAAGCACGTAGCGGATATTGTGCCGCACGCAACCGTGGCAAGACAGGTTCAGCCTACCCTTTTGGACCATGACCTAAAGATCATCGCCGAACAGGCTCGACCTCCCGTTGTCGTAGGCCTCACGCCTATTTGTCCCTACGGCCTCGGAGGTTGCTGGGCTGGAGCTCAAGAGGCACTACAGCGACTGAGCGATATCGACGTCGTCCGCCCTGTGCCGGACCAGAATGACGCCGTCGCTTTCGTCTACCTGCAGCAAGACATATTCCCTGACATTGACGTGTGGCGGAGCGAGTTTGAGAAGGTCTCGAACAAGGGCTACAACATACGCGGCATCGAGATGACGGTCTCCGGTGTGGTGACCAGAGAGCAGTCTGGCGCCAGTGAGAAGTTGACGTTTGGTAGCACTTCGACTCGGCCACAACTAACCCTCGTACCATTCCAGGAAACCAGCCAACTTAAATGGGACATCACAACAGGGGCCCCCAGGCCAGTGGTCAACGCTGAGACTGAGGCATACAAACGGCTCTCGGCGACGCTGGCAGACTCTCCGACCGGGGTGACGGTGCAGGTGACTGGGACGCTGCAGAAGCATGGCAAGGACGAGTTTTCTCTCGATGTCCGAGATTTCGAAGTCCAGAAGGACGCTGCTTCCTAGCTTGATAACAACACACAAGCACCCGATGACAGATTTGTAGATAGTCTGGCATTTCCTCCGCGGTGGTACTACTTGCTCCCAGTATCGATGTTGCTATCAAAGGCAACTTTCGCGTCACCTATACCGCTTTTAGTTATCTAGGGAATAGAGAAGAAGGGGGAAGCTGGTGCTTCCTCTACCGAGGTAGTACATGTATTCAGACCATCTTGTTTCCTGTGACCGCATTGCTTGAACTTGTCTGTCTCCCTATTTGTCCGTCGAAGATTGAGCTTAAGTGCGTACTGTATGATTGGGCAACGCCTCGAACTGCTTTCCAGACATGACGGGGCCTGAGCAAAAGCGGCGCGCGGTCACGTGGGACCAGAGAGAGGCGGGCTGTGACTCAATGGAGGAACATGATGAATTCTACAGGGTCCTGGGGCCCATCTGACTATATACTCCGTACCTTCGAGTAATTAACAAAGGGGTCTCGGCGCTAGTAACAGGCCTTCGGCCGAAGACTAGCGCGAACGGTCATTACATTATCTTGGGAGCCTCGTCAGTCACAAGGCGTCGAGATTCCGACGAGGAAACAGGCAGGTTCGACGTCGGAATCTCGACCTGGGCACTTTCAATTTGGACCTTTGGGGCCTGAGCACGACCTGAGCACGACCTGAGGCTCGCCGCTCAAGTCCGGCACCTGACTTACTGATATCGTGTCAATTCGGCCCGATCAACGGATCAATCGTGCCCATATCTGGGCCATGGCCCTGTTACCGGCAACCCGCTAATTGATCTCAGTATCTGTTCCCTGCGCGTGACTTAGCAAACCACTTTCAGTTCCTATTTCTGGTAACACATACGCGTCCCATCCCTACGACGGAATGCTCCAGGATTTCTAGCCAATGGCCTAACGGGCGTTCGGAGTGTTTACCCAACCTGTCTCGAGCCCGTTCAGCCGCTCTAAAGGAGTTAGTTAGAGATTTTCAGCTTGAAGCAAAACTGCCGTGAGGGCAAACGTACTTTGGTACCGCATGCGATCTAAGTGAATCTTCGACCGGGCACTTCGAGACGTGCACTTGTTGCGAAAGAGGCTGCGAAGAAGACTAGGTTTTAGGTAATGATGTCTCTCGGTGTCTCAGCCCGCCGTAGCCGAGAACTATAGCAATATAAAATGCGAGACGAATGTTCAACAGCGAACTTGAAACACAAAGCAGCTGTCATGAACGGGGTTCTGACAAGCATCTAAGCTAAGAGGTCAAAGTTTCTGTCATGAAATGACAGGATTCTCAGTCTTTTTGGGCAATCCTCAAGGGATTGTGGACCTCTTCCTGATAAAAGGTATGTATAGGCCTAATGTAACGGTGTTAGACCCCGAGGTCACTCTTCTTAAATCACCACCAGCGACCGATTGCCTATTTTAGCTCTATATCAGAGTTTCAGCCTCGCGATTCAGCCTCGGCGACCCTAGCAAAGTTTTCGCCGCAACTGCAACGCTGTCAAGGTTGCAATCGGCGCGCATTCCGCATTGGGGTCGATCGGCGTACGCCGGCATGGAGGATCTGGCAGTGGATTATATAGATGACTCCCTGCTTTTCCGTGAATCGAGGAACACAGACAGAAATGACAGATACTTGCAAATTGGTGCAGTGCTCTACAAACGGCATTGAACCCGACGGAGGAGCATATCGGCTGGTCCAACCACACAGCACTATTTCACTTTAAGGGAGCTAAGATCATTGGTTCCTATCTTCCGAATGGTACCACACTGAGAGATCTGCATTGACCAACTGGGATCGAGGACATAGAGCGTGCTCGCAACGTAGCTGGCACAGCAATGAGCATGCTTTATATTATTGGTATATAGAGCAGATCTCGCAACGGTTAGAGTAAGAAGATGAGGTCTGCCCCGATACACCATAGTATCTACTGTTAAAGTGCTTTGCTAAGTGGCCCCCTGTCTTACAAGCTACACAGGATTTTGAGCCTCGGGTTTCACGAATAGCATTTGAGTGGACACGTACCACGAGAGTGTTCATGCGAACATGGTTGTACCGACTGAATTCTGCCCGTGTAGAAGGTCTCTTAGGAGTGTCCGCTAGCTAAATGCTGATGTCTTCCTTCCCCGTTTCAGATGTACGCGAATTGTTGGTCGTTTCGGCTCGTTGCTGTTTGAAAGGATCTCTACCGCCCGGACTCACCCCCCGCCTGTCGCCGCGACTTCATTCGATCCTGTCTTAATGGCTGAGTTTGCGAGCGCCGTCGTGGGCCTCGCAACGGCGGCAGCACATGTGGGCGGCAATCTCTACGTCCTTATTCATACGCTCAAAGACGCCCCGAACGAATTCCTCACTTTGTCAGACGAATTAAACGACTATAGAAAAATGCTGGCCAGGCTCCGGGACCTGGCGCAATCCAAAGACATGGCGGCTATCGAGACCGATGACTTCGACGCGGCAAGGAAACGAGGCGGAGAGATTGTGAAGGAGATTGAAGTTCTAATAGCTAACGTCCAGAAAGGACGGGATGCTGGGAATGGGGACAGCAGAGTTGACAGGCTTTGATGGCTCCGCCACGTCAAACAAGCGAAGAAGCTGCATAAGAAGCTACGAGCCCACAAAGGAACTGTCTGCAACATCATTATCATGGAAATTTTGTGTGTCATCCCCAAGTCTTTTTACAGTTAACTTCCCAGTCGGGTTGAAATCTAGAAGCATCAAAGAGGGTCAGCACACTGCTAATTGTTGTGAGTGTCGCAGGCAATGCAGCTCTAGAAGTGGTCTCTGTATCTCTCGTCTGGAAGAGAGGCTTGACGTTGTCGCACGACACCAAGTCTCGCTGTTGGATACCCACAACAAGTTGCTCCTTGAACTGAAGGATACCCGCCAGGTGGTCGACAAAGTCATCCAAGCGGCGGATAAAAGCTCCCAAACAGCCACGAGCGAGCTACAAAAGACGTTCATCGACGAAGAGACGATGAATGGGTCGCAGCTTATTCGAGCCGGTCATCTCTCTCGCCTTCCACCGAAGCGGTCTGCCCGAGTACCGCTGCGGTGTTTAGATGATTGCCAGTGCCGGTGTCATTACCGTGTAGTGATACGCTTCCCACCAGTCCTTTCCGACCGCTTAGGGCACTTCTTTCTCGGTTGCTCCAATCTACCTTGGTATCTCTCCAGCTTCGTCTCGTGCAGCGAGCAGACTTGCCGACGCAGCTATCGCCAGGCAGAGGCTGATCTTCGATACCTCGCACCACCTTGGATCGGCTCAATCGTCGGAAATCTCGGCGTCATTTTCAGTCTGCGCCAGTGCTTACTTAAAATCTCCGTGCAGACCCGTCACGTCGTACCGTACGACGCCCCGATTCTTGTCTGCGTCCAAGGGGGAGACGTGCAGGGTGTCAGAAAGCTTTTACAATCCGGAGAGGCGTCGATCAATGATGTCGACCCCTATGGCCTCGGTCTTCTTTACGTACGCTGCTCCCTACGACCTCCTTGGCTGACCTACCTGCGATATCCGGTTTATTAACCACCTTTATTTTTAGTACGCTTCATTCTACTGCTGGAGGGGTGCTGGGCGCGAGACAGCCATAAATATGTGCCGTCTCCTCGTTCACAGTGGCGCGAATCAAGATTGGGTCGACGAAATCGGCAAGTACGAAACTTCTCAAAATCACAGTCTGCCTTTTTGCCACTGACTCGTATGGTGTTAGCACGCCAAAGGAAAATATGATCGCCAGTACCCTTATGACCTTGGCCCGGGGACACGCTGGCTCCTGTGAGCTTGAAGGTTCGGATTTCGTGCACATTGCCCAGTCGTTCAGTGGGCCTACAGCCCATCTCGTTGATGACTTTGTGGAAGACCGGGAACTTCCTGTTGTCCACCAAGTGTTGCTTGGTATCGAACGTAACATGGGTTCACTGGAAGACTATTTGGCCAGTTTGGGGCAAGCTCCGTTGCCGCCGGAGATCATAGACGCCTACGACGCGTGCGGCCAGACGGCACTTGCGTGGGCTGTAGAATACGGATGGCCCGAAGCCACGAAGGTACTTCTACATTACGGGGCAAGCGCCCGTCGACCAAGGCCGTCCCTTCGCGGGGAGATGCCTCTGTTGAATCTAGCCATCGCCTGTCCTGCTTCGACTGGCTCACGCAGGGACTTGGTAGACGTCGTTAAATTGCTCCTTGAGGCGGGCGCGGACGTAAACAGCGTGGACCACGAAGGTTGGACAGCACTGCATGTCGCCGCATCCTGGAACAACGCCGCGGTCATCGAGGAACTCGTGCGATTTGCGGGTGGTGCTTTGAACTGGGACGCCTTGACAGACGACGGTCAGACCGGACAGACCCTGTCGTTGGGTGCTGGGTTTGACAAACGAGTACAGGATATTTTCCGAAACCAGAAAGTTTCCCAGATGGAGGTTGATTCAAGTGATTCTGAGTCGGACGAATTTTTTGACAGCGTCGACGTACAATGTTAAAAGCGCTTGGAAATCAAAGGGCGTGGCTCTTACGTCCGCTGATTGTATTCTTTTGAAGTTTCAGAAAGCCCGGCCACATGACTGGCTGCTTTCCCACACATTCCACTTCAACGTTTACAGGACCATTTTCATATGTGAATCATCAGGCCCGTAATCGGCACGTTGTCCATTCTTCATGCTGGAGCCAGAACGAGTAGACTGAAGCCCGAATCGCGCCCTACCCGTTGAATAAAAGTCCGAACCGCCGACAGGGCAGTCTCGGAAAGGACGTCATCCACCTCGCTAAGGAGGCCCCAGTCTACCGGCCCTTTTTTGTCGCCATCTAGCTCGTAGAGGTGATCATTTTTGTGAGATTTGACGAAGCAGACGTAATGGAAATCGACCTCGTCTTCGGGATTGGCGGGTACCTCTGAGTCTCCTTGCAGAGCAACGGTCTTGTACGCCGCTTCCAGCTGCTCGTCCTCCTCTAATACGGCGGAACGCTCCAAGGGTTGCAATGGCGCGCAAGTCGCAAGTAGGTCGGCTAGGTGGGAGCTGGGAACTGTACCAGAGACACCACATTAGAACGATGGGGTCATGACGGAACGTTCTTGGGGAGGGCGTTCTTACTGACAAAATCCCTCGAACCCCCGTTGCTGATGGCATGTAGAATACCATAGAGGCCGCAGGCATTATTGATGGTCTGCTTATACCACATAATATCCTCTTGTTCGCCGCATTTTGTGTATTCAACGGCTCCTCGGCCCTCCTCGGCGATATCGGCCTCGTAGGTCGGGGAAGTAGGGAAGACGAGGATGAGGGCCAGCGCGGGACGTGGTGCTAGCGCGAGAAGCTCGGCGTCCTCGATCGACAATACGTCATGGAACGCTAAGGCGGTTGACAGCCCGAGCTCGTGAGTAAGCTGGGTGAAGAGCTGCGGGTTCGATTCGAGAGGAATGTAATGCTTGCGGTATTCCATCTTTCTTTCCTGCCGGTCTGTCTGCGGTATGAAGTGGCCCGCGAAACGGAGAGACAGCAATACCAAGCACTTGGTCGATGGACGCGATCGTAAGACCCTAGTGGAAATAACTGAATTTTAAGAGTAATTTATTCGGGCCGTCCCGATGTAGTCAGCAGGTGCCTGGCCAGCCGACCCTGAGCCGACGTTGAGCCGGACGCCACTGAGCAAAAGCGGCGAGGATCACGTGCGCCAGGAGGGTCGGACGCTGAGTAGACATATTTGCTAGTGTTTTCGACCTCTGAGTGCCTGTCTTGTGGAGAGGGACAAAGAAAATGAGACAAATGACTGAGTTCAGAATAGAAGACGTTCGCAAATACAAGGGGATCGTATACTTATCTTCCTGCCGTCCGGTCTGCGGGTGCACAGGTCGGTGCACTTGCTGCAGTTTTCTGATATCAAGGTGGGCCAGATCGCAACCCAAATCGGTGAAATTTGCAGTAATTTGGACTTTGTACATAACACGGATCAAATGTATCCTGTGCTCCCGTCTCGACTGCTTAAGGTATCGGGGCCACTACCGTAGCGTCCGGGAAATCAATCACCTCTTCTTCCCATGGCACGATACGAGAAGAAGAATTTCAAGAAACAAGGAAAGGATACAATCTTCCATAATATAGTCCAAGCTCTGACGTATTATTCTATCTCCTTCTCATTCACCTAGTATCACTTGCAATTTTAGAAGCAAACAAGACGTCTCGTCTAGAAGACAATCTATAGCATAAGTAGACGGCAGTTTTGCGATTGTGTTGCGAGAAAAAAGCGTCATTTAAGATAGGATACTAGAAGTCTACGAGAGAAATATACTATAATTGAATACGAAATGCAAGACATGAATGATCATCGTGTTACGCAGACACAGAATGGCTCATCACACTTTTGATCTTGATATAGCCTACTCCGCTGCTCTACTAACTTTCTTCTGTCGAACCTGCTACGTTGCGCGAGACTTTCCAGATACCTGCATCTGCCTTTGACCTCTGCCAACAAGGCGACGCAAGATACCTCCAACCCAATAGCTTTGGAATTTTCAGAGAACGTAGCGGAAGTCCGGATGGCGATGACCAAGCCACTGTTCTCCGTCTCTGGTGATGCGGTAATTCCTCTCGCCGCGCGCACGCTTGCCATTTTCCCATTTTATATACAGCATATTGAGCGCAACGGTGATGATAGCCAAGATCAAGGCGCCGAGGTTGATGAAGTGGCCTTTTCGGTACCGTGGCCTATATTCGATCATATCAAGTCAGCAGCGAATCCACAATGCGGAACATTGAACAGGTTTGACTCACGCATCCTTGGCCACATAGGAGAACGTAGCCACAAAGGCCGCCATGTTCCCGATTGACACCTGGGCGCCTCCGGCGGTGGCTCTGGCATAATCAGGCGTGATTTGGCTCGAAAGCCATCCGAGGATAAGTGGTGTGCAAGGGAAAATCCCGGCAGCGACAAAAATGGTGCCGCCGTACTGTACCCTAGGGTTCGAACTTGCGAGCAGCATGACGTATCCAGCAACCCCAAGAAGACAGCCGATGATGAGGAGAATGCCACGTCGTTTGAATTTATCGGCCAAAGTAGCGCCGAATAGAACCATAAAAAACCCAGTCAAGTTTGGCGGTACGCTCAGTAGCTGAGAGACGGTGTTTGAATAGTCCAATGCGTTGATAATGGTGGGGAGGAAGAATGCAAAGCTCTAGGTCAGAAGTCAGCCATTTCACACTCCAAGAACGGCAAAGAAGTCGGCTTCATACGTAGATCGGAACGATGATGAAGAACCATCCAAGTGATGCCATAAGTGTGTTGGGATCCAGGATACCAATCTTTACCCAACGCCAGTGAAACTTGTTTTCAATGCCCACCTCGGCGCTCTCCCAAATAGGATTATCAAATTTCATTCTCTGTACCGCCACGCGGCGCTCCTCTTCACTAAGGAATGACGCGGTATCGGGGGCGTCCTGAAGGAAGATGAAGGCTCCAATACCAAACAACGTGGTCATGATCCCTTCAATGATGAAGATCCAAGGCCAGCCTAAATGCGTCAGCTTTAGTCGGACATGAATTTGCTGGAGAATGGAACGGGAGATCTATACGTACGGTTCAAGCCCCGATATTGGATTTGGGACAATCCGGACGCCAAAAGGCCACCGAATGCACCGCTGAATGGTGACGCGCAATAGAATGCGGCAATTCGGGAGACCATCTGAGATCTTGGGTAGAACATGGACAAGTAGAGGACAATTCCAGCGATGATGCCTCCTTCGAACATGCCCAGGAAGAATCGAGCAACCAGAAGTCCAGCATAAGATTTGACAAATCCGAGGCAAGTTGTCACCACACCGAAGCCGATGCAGAGTCCAGGTAGATACCACCCCGCCTTGAGTCTTTTAACCAGCCAGTTGCTCGGAATGTCCACCAAGATATAGGAGACGAAAAAGATCGAGAGGGCGATGTTAATCTGGTCACCAGTCAGACCCAGGTCCTTGCCGAGTCCTTCGATTTTGGCATTTCCAATGCTGGCCCGGTCCAGAAAGCAGAAAAACCAGATGCCAAAAAGCCAGGGCAGGAGATACATGTCACATCTGCTGGTGATGCGTCGTGCCATAGCAGGGTCAATCTCCGGCACAAGTTCGATTTGAACGTTCTCGCAGGTTTCATGCTGGGGCTGCTTTACTTCCAGATCCATCGTGGCGTGTAGGGCAACAGATGTCAGGGCAAAGCGAGATGTGTAGAACCTTTGGAAAGATCAATTCCAGTCGAGTACATTTGCGTTCGGAGGGAGTGATTCACGACCTTATACTCGGATCCCCTTGTGGCAGACCGGGCTCGGTCGGGCTCCTGATACTGTTCTAGACCCAGTACAGATGCTGCAAAGCATCTCACAAATCAAGTCGTCCTCCATCTCCTTTAGGGTCCTATCTCAGACTCCGAGACCGCGATATGGCCCCATTCGTTTCTCTGCATGTTACAGTATATGAGCAAAGCGAATCGGCGTGACGCAACAACTTGGCCGAATTCCGAGATGTCTGTGCTTGTGCCCTAGACGTGGAGGCCCTCGGCAGGGACTTACCTCGTATAGCTTCCATCCTCGCCGTCCGCTGGTCTCTTCCCTCCCACCATGGATAATAGATCTTTCTGCAGAACTCAGCAAGTGGGGATGTGGAGGCTGACTTTTCCTCCTCACTGATCCCCGGCTTGCCGGTGGATGACACCATCGGTTAGAAAACTGACCGAGTTCTCTCAGGATCGGGGCTCATGTCAAAATGCCGAGAGCCTTTATTTTGGGACTGATCTCAGAAACTTGTTCTAAGGGCAAACGTTCATATGTCAAGATCTGGAACGCATGTGGACGGTTTACTAGCCTGGCCTTGGTCAAATTTCTCACCAAAACACAGAAGGTTCGGCCTCATCATGGCTTTTATCTTCTCTAACAACCTGTATCGATCAGTCGAAGCACGTCAGCTATGCAAGGTGCGTTTCCAACCTGAGCAACACTTTGGCAGTAGTTACTCGGTCACTGATTCACCTACCAAAGTTCTGACATCTATCGCTTGAATAGGCTGTCGGTATCAAAATGGTGCCCTCGGCGTTAGTGGTCCAAATGGCGCAAAAGGCCGGCTTCGACGCTCTCTTCATCGATATGGAGCATTCGACTTTGTCCATCCACGAGACCAGTCAGATGTGCACAGCCGGTTTATTGGCAGAGGTCACCCCGTTCGTCCGTGTGCCGCATCAGTGCGGAAATGGCCTGATACAGAAAGTGCTTGACGGGGGCGCCATGGGCGTTATTTTTCCACATATCGACTCAAAAGGCAGGTCTCGCGCTGGGGGGAAGACTTCCTCCGGCAACATCATTCTGCAGACACACACTGCAACCATCAGATTGAGCTAGGCTGACACGAATGTGCGGCAAATAACAGCCGATGCTCAAGCTGCGGTCTCAATATCAAAATATCCTCCTTCGGGCAAGCGGTCCATGACCGGCCAACTGCCACAGTTTTCCATGACGGCGCAGCCGTTACAGAGAGTCATTGAGGAGAGTAACAAACATGGATCGAGCGTCATTGTGATGATAGAAACTGGGCAAAGTCTCAAAAACGCTGACGAGATCTCTCAGGTCGAAGGAGTGGACGTGCTGCTTGTCGGTTCCAACGACCTGTGCATAGATTTAGGCATCCCGGGGCAATTTGAAACGGCTCAGTTCCGTTCAGCGCTTGAAACTGTCAGCCAGGCCTGCAAAAAGCACGACAAGATTTTTGGTATAGCCGGCATTTACGAAGGCTCAGAGACTCTGGATTGGGCCGTTAAGAGTCTGGATGTGGGCTTTCTGCTCGGTCAATACGACGCCTCGATTATTTTCAAAGGATTTAAGCAGAGTGCAGAGTCTATGAAGAAGTTTTCCATAGGTCTTTGAGCTGAACACTACTTCAATATGGCAACTGCGGTCTGCAGTGGCTTGGCTCTCTCTGCATATCTTCGCACATGGAATACCTCATCAGAAGCGCACTTCTTCTCCCTGTACATTACACACCTCTGTAGATCAAAATGCTTGAAGCGAATTGTGGTGGCGAAAGTCATTATAGGTTACCCTGTCCTCAGCCAAGTCGGCGAGCATGCACAAGGCTGGCCGAAGTCCGAAAAGCGTGCTCAAATGCCGAAAGTGTTCATCCAATGACATGCTATTCAATCCAACCAAGAACCCAGAATCGAATCGCGCCAGAGAGTCGATGCGGAGTCAAGGTTTCTCTGTCTAACGCTGCTGGTGCTCCTCAAGATTGTTGCCACATTTGGTACCGCTTCTTGAGACGAGGCCACAGATTACATGCTCAGGATTCTGCTTTGAACAGATGGCACAAGAGTCCTTCGCGTGATCGATCGCACCCACGGGTTCTCCATATCGCAAGAAGCGAAGCTAGCAGGTTACCAATATTCATATGTGTGCCAGCTTCATATACCGCTCAGCCTATCATCATCCTGGGCCCGAATGAGAAGTGCCCATCCCGCCCCTAGGGTCAGTGGTGAAGCTAAAGCTTACATGTAGATACCCACAACACGCAAGAGTCTGCAAGAGTCTGCATCTAGCATATCTTGCCACCTCGAGCTACCCCGCACGCACCAGCCAGTGAAGCCTTGTGGCTCGCACCATCGTTGGAACGTCAATACAATCGGAGATCCTCGGTATAACCTCAACATCATCCTCGTCCGCTACCATTCATCACCCGGTGTGCGATAGATCATGCCTCCTCCATCGAATCACCCTGGCAAGACCACCAGAGTAAAAGCGTGTTCAGCATGCCGTCAGCACAAAGTACGTCCAAGACTCATGCTCCCTGCGGTCGCGAGCACTTTGGTCAACGTGTGAGCGTGTATTTACCATCTTCTGCGGATAGCTTCGCTGTGATGCGTCAAGGAATATGTACGCAAGGCCGTGCTCGCGATGTCTGAAATTGAACATCGAATGTGTGATCACCGGGTGTTTGTATCGCACGAAGCGGCAAACGTAAGGATCTCGAAATCTTGCGCAAGAGTTTTTGCGACTAACAGAATGGCAGCAAGGCTGAATTACAAGCCGAACTGGATGAGCTTCGACAGCAGATCAAATCAACTTCCGGCCAGCATAACAGTAACCTCGGTATACAAACACTTTCAGGTTGCGAGTCAATCCATTCAGAGTCCCTCTCCGCAAAATCCGGTAATGCGAACGGTGGCTATTTGCCCTCAAGCCCATCTTCAAGAATCTGCTACGATCTACTGCGCTCGGCAGAATCGGTGTCAATGGAGAGTCCGCAAGGTGTACTCTCTCAGAACGTAGAAGAGGTCAGCAATGTTGCCGAGGGAAATCCCCCAACATTGCCTCGAAGCTTGCAAGCTATCTCCTGCTCGGAAACTGAAATTGATGACTGCTTTGCGCTGTGGGTGCTTATGATTGCCTGGGCAGCAACGCCTCGATGGGCCCTCGATTGGAATGGAGTGAAGACTGATATTTCCGCGCCAGGTTCTTCAAGCGGCACCAAGTCCATATGCCCTTTCTCGATCCCGAGTTAACACCCAACAACTATTACGAACGGTCCGAGCTTCTCTTCTGGACCATTGTTGGCATTGGCTCACGTAAATACTCCAAAAACCCGACGCTCATCACTCTCTTAGCACCCAAGGTGATTGAACAGGTCCAATCGGCGTTATTTTCTCGAGACAATGTCGTCTACACGATACAGGCCTGCATTTTACTCTGTGTCGACCCGATGCCCTTTGAGGTATCAAGTCACGATATCACCCACGTTTTGACAGGCGCTTCCATGAATATGGCACTCAACATCGGCCTTCATACAGTAGGCACCGGCCAGGACTTCTCTCGCGAATATCTTCCATTTGACCAAAAAGACGTCGAGTATCGTGCGAAGCTGTGGATCACATGTATGGTCACATGTCAGAGGTGAGCAGATACTCCTTGTGCCAACCACTCATACATGACTGAGTACTGGCCACAGAATCTCTCATATTAAGGGTCTCCCTCCGCAATCATTCGCTGGGACGTACGATCAAGGTCCTCAGTGGGATACCATATCGTCGACAATCCCTCCCAGCCATCTATTCCAAATGAAACTCTGTCAGTCTCAGTCTGAAGCAATCTTGGCCATTAGCCGAGAGCTCAACGCGTCTGGTTCGGCGCTAGAGATAACAAATTCGTCGAGAATAAAGGCCGCCATCGACGAGAGGGTGGTGATAATGAAATCTTTCCAGTCATGGTGTCCTTCAAATACTGGTTCGTTTCACTATCTGATATCCGAATCTGCCGCGCGATGATATTGACCCGCCCAGATCGATTTTATCTGCTCTGTGCAATGCTCCAATTGCAAGGGTTTCACTTTTACGTGCCGCTCAAGGAGATGTCCCGCAACAAGCTTGTTGAAATGTACGACCTTGCCTGCACGGCAGCCGAGCTGACCGTTCGTCTGGATGAACAAGAGGACTACACCGAAAGCATTCCTGGTTCGGTGCTGATCTACCTGCAACTCGTATCCTTCACAATCCTCAAACTCAGCCGAGCCAAACACTTGCACTCTGATTTGGATCTTAAGCGAGGCCAGAATGCGTATTTCAGCCTGATTCAGCTTCACAGGCGAGTCTTCGTGCTCTCCAACGATGCCTGGTCTCGGGCGACGACCATCATGACACAGCTCTGGACGAGTAAGAACGCCTTCAGGCGCCGCAATGGCACATATGATAGCTTGTCGCTTCGCGTGCGGAATCGGCTCGGGATGGGTGTTGTTCACGACACGTGGTGGTGGTGGCGGCACGAATTTTCCGGCTTCCCTGATCCGTATGATCATCCGTCCGATGCAATGCCCAAGCCGGCATCAGAGTTGCCGCTAGCCACAGAAAATGATGTGATTCCCAGAGACGAGGTATTCGAGTGGCCGACGCAGTGGACGACAGCTTCTCAAGATCAAATGCTCCTCGACATCATGGAAATGGATCCAAGCATCTGGTTTTCCCCTTCCGCTGCCGAGGAGGTTGCAAAATAAGCATGATGGATCATGAGAGACCTTCTGGGTAACACCTTTTGCGAACGAGGACAAGGGAAGCAGGATGTGACTAGGATATCTGCATACGCATAGGTCACAGCCCTTGTTTTGGGACACATCTTCAGATATCGGACTGCTTGTGATGGAGAAATTTATCAAATGACATAACTGCGAGAGAGATATCTATTCGAGTGAAAAACCATCAGTGACGTGTTCTCGACGCCGGATCATAACGAAATTGATCATTCGTTCCCACGCACAGGCGGAGCACATCGGACTTACGAAGAGGCACCCTCGGACACTTCACTTCTTATCAGCCGAGAACACTACTGCACTAGAAGGCTTCTGGTTGGCGAACTTTCACCAATCGTGATTGCGTTTATTCGGTGTGCAATTTCAGACATCGGCTCCAGTGAAGAGAAAGCGTCGGTCCATTGCAAAAGCCGAAGGTTGAGCAAGTCCACCGCGAAAGCTGGAGTATAAGCAACCACTCTAGGTATCTGATCCGGGCACGGTTATCCTTACGGAGAACTGCTAACGGGAGTTATCTGACTCACAAGGGCAATGTTGACTCGGCAATGCAAGCATTTGTTCGCTCTCTTGACTGCATGAGCGATGGCAGCAGGAGCGGCGACCGAGCTTGGTATTCGGAATTTCTGGCGTCATTTGCCTCGTATACTGAGCACAGATATCAGCATCCGTCCATTGGCGAAGTAGGCGAAGCACCTCTGACATTCGGGTGTGAGCCGACGGCTCGGCGAGCTGGACTGTTTTACGGAGTTTGCTTCTTGCCACTAGCATATATATTGAGAGCCCTCCTCTTGGTTCCCTAACCCAATGAACATAGCCCTGAGCTCTCTCTACATTCACTCACGTGCACAACATTTCAACACTGTAATAATCACCCAATTCTCATTTTCATCATGATCGCCGCCGACCTACCTGAAGTGGACCACTTTGTCCCAGTCTATCCTACCAAAGAGAAAGTTGGATACGTCAATCTTCGGGAGATCGATCTGTCGAAATACGATGAAGGTCGAAAGGCGCAGGAAGAGTTGGCCGAGCAGATCAGAGTTGCCATGAACACCCAGGGGTTTTTTATCTTGATCAACCATGGCATCAACGAAGAGGATATTACTAGACAGGTCGACATCGGTCACACTATCTTCACGCGCACCTCAGAGGAAGAGAAACAACGATTGAAGGCTCCCATTACCGAGAAAGGATCTTACTTCGGCTTCAAGCCGCGTGGCCATTGGCGTACCAAGGGCAATGTGCGCGACAAGATTGAGAATTTCAACGTCTACCGCGATATGAACGAACATGAGCAGCCTCAAGCCCTAGAGCCATACCGGCCTGAGATCCAATCCTTTATCGACCATATCCACAAGGATATCCTCTTTAAAGTTCTTCGCCTATTTGGCATTGCTCTGAAGCTGGACGACGAAGAGTATTTTGTGAAAGTCCACGACTATAATGGTCACGATGAGAGCTGGCTCCGATATATGGAATACTACGACGACTACACAGAAGAGGAAAGGAAGACTACCGGGGGTCAATGGCTTGAAGGCCACCGAGATTTGACCTCTGTCTCTTTCGTCTTTAGCCAACCCATGACGAGTCTTCAAGTCCGAGACGTCGACGACAATGCAGAGTGGAAGTACGTGAAACATATTCCCGGGGCCATCATCTTCAACGCTGGAGAGATTATGCAATGGTGGACGGGTGACTACTTCAAGGCTGCTATCCATCGTGTCCACGAGCCTCCCACGGACCAGCGGGGTCACAACCGCTCGAGCGTTTTCTACTTTGTCGTGCCCAACGACGAAGTAGTCATCAACACGCTCCTCGATCAGAGCCCAGTCCTCCGGGAAGCCGGTGTCCAGATGGCTCATAAACCGGAAGACGCCCCCACGTCAAAGCAATGGTGCAATGGTCGTATCAAGATCACTCGTCAAAAGGCCTCTGTCTGGGACCATGCGAAGGAGGGAGAGAATTTTGTCACCGAGCAGGTTGGAAACGTCACGACTAAATGGTTCCGGTGAACTCTCAGGATCCCTACAGCAGTACGCGCTATTGTATGAGAAAAAGAAAATTTGACCGCCTTAGATAGCATAAAATAAAGACATATGCACCCTTTCACCCTCTCTTTGAGTGGAATGGGAGAAACCTCCTGTTCGAGACTTCTAATCCCCTTTCCAGAGATATCGGCGTGTTCTATCGCGCAACCCTACTGAATGTGACATCTTTCTGTATAAGTTGTCTAGTCTTTCCGCATTGGACGGTAGTTTGTGTGAAGAAAAGATGAACCAAAAGCTGGGTCTTCAACAAAATGGGCAGCGCAGCCGGGATCGAAAGTCACTTCGTGCACGCCTCCTCCAACAAAAAGTATGCAGCCTTCCTCGCAATGCGCATGGACCCGGTTGAGATGGAACAGGAGATCGAACCGACGCGATAGATTCTTGTTACTCGTTGATTGCCGAGTGACTTCGGCGAATCCTTGGTTGATGGTGTGGATTCCGAAGTCCGAATGTTGGTGGTTTCGCCGTACTTCCAGTAGCATTGTTTTTCGAGCCGCTTGCGTACCTATCTCTTCCACGGATTGAATGTATAAGATTCTCCATCTTCGATCGCCTCAAACATTCGTTTGCCTGCTTGCAATTCGGTAACGCGGTAGAAATGGCAAATGCGTACCAGACAACCCTGGACAGTCCAGCACAAACTAAGCGGGAGTCATTTCTGAGTGTCGCCAAATTCGGCAGAGAGCGGGCTAATTACTTCGCGAGTAAGAATGGAGCTCCACTCCCGAACTCTGCGAGACTGACTTTGCAATAGGTTCACCTTTGAATCGGCTCTCATTTCTCCGCGATAACCACGAATTTCTTACCGGGGCATTCGACCACGCCTCGACCAATTTCATCTGTTTTCGTGGCCTTGCGCCACTGCATAATGCACGGGGAGAGATCCATTATGTTACCCGCGATACTATCAGTCCAATTATAACGTCTAACCCTTTTGAAACAACAGAAGAGGAAATGGTCCAGTCGTTCAACTCCAGCATTGTTGCTCCACAGCTTGTTTTTTTGGGCATAGACCAACGGAATACTGCTGGGTACTGTTTTCGCAACTTCATTGGAGCCCCATACTTCGCTCTGGACCTCACTCCGAAGCATACCTACGAGGTCGCCGCTTCGAATCTCGCGAGGGACCTCGAAGCACAAGGGTTGTCTTTTGCCGAGGGACGTCCCATGCACTACGATGCAGAATCAGCTGCCATATTTGCCCAGGCCCGGCACTATTTAGACTGGAACGCGCGCAACACCTTTTGCGGGACGTGCGGTCAAAAGACTCTCTCTACCCATGGGGGTGCGAAGCGCGTCTGCCCCCCTACGGACCGTGCCGAATCGACTTCCGCCCGGGCTGCATGCTCTACGAGAACGACGATATCAAACCTCAGCTTCCCCCGCACCGATCCCACGGTCATCGTTGCCGTGCTCTCGTTCGACGGTCAGCGGGTGCTACTCGGTCACCAGAAGCGGTGGCCATCGCGCCGATTCTCCGCTCTGGCCGGATTCATCGAGCCCGCAGAGTCCGCAGAGGACGCTGCACGGCGTGAGGTGTGGGAGGAAACCGGTGTGGTTCTGTCACGCGTGGTGATTTTCTCCACCCAACCCTGGCCCCTTCCGGCGAACTTGATGGTTGGAGTTATTGGTCAGGCACGCTCACCAGAGGACGAAATCATCAAGCTTGACATCGATCCTGAGTTAGAGGCCGCCGAGTGGTTTCGGCTTGCTGAGGTCGGAGAAGCGTTAAGGGCTCAGACAGAAGCAGAAGGATCTCCGTCAGTCCACGACCTCGGAGGCTGCGGTTTGACGTTGCCACCGCCGACCGCTATCGCGCACCATCTGCTTGGAGCAGTCGTGGATGAGTACTTTCAGATTGATGCTGCAACATGGGGATAAACAGCAAAGGGTGATCTGAGGTACTTTGCGCACGCTCACGTAGTGATCCCACTAATGCAGAGAAGACTCAAGGGTCTAGTGAAATTGTGAGGCACCTGCTCGGAATGCGAGATCTGTCTCGAGACCAACGATCCGATGTCACTGCCGCAGCCTGATTTCAAAGCTACACGAGAGGCAGTTGGCCTTTGCACCGTGTAGCGGCAATATGCGGGGAGATCAAGCATACAATAATGTTTTCTACGACGGTGACCATGATGACCATGTTGAAGACCGCCGATACCGAGACTGAAGCCAAAAAGCAAATAGAAGTCTCACGCTACTCTTAAAAGGGCTGCGGGTAGTGGGGCGCTCGCTGGGACGGGAAGTGCTCTAGCCAATTCTAGCACCATGAGCGTATAGAAGAGCATGCGAGTAATGAGCGAATATTCGGTCGCAAAGGAAGTCGATGACTGATTGGAAGCATGAGGGGCACCCTGTATCTCCGCAGAAGCACTTGTCTTGCAATTTCAAGCATCCACGTTTGTTTCAATACAGCCCAGGAGTCCCTACGACGCAGACACGTGACCCAAATTATCCACGTGACGGGCCGACTACCACGGCCCAAGACCACGAATGCTCTTCCCCTTCAAAGCAACATCTTGTTTCCTCTGCCTATAAGGTGGCACAAGAGCTACTAGACCTTGGATGGCGCCGTAGTGGTGCTCTCCACTTGCATGGCACCACCCTTGTCCTCCATGACCGCATTCTCGACCGCGAGGTCGTTCTCGGTTAGCAAGACAACCTTGTCCCCAAAGGCGGCCGCAATCTCTTCGAGCGTCTTCATTTTGGTTTCACTGGCAGGGCACAAAGTTAGATCAACGACCTCGGCTGGCAGATTCGGGAAGATGTATCGAGCTGGGGGCAGGTCCCACGGTTTTGTTTCGGGGTAGAGTGGTGTGCATGGAGGACTTACGGGAAGTAGAAGTACGCCACGATAAGGAAGAAAAAAGAGCAGCCAACGAAGACATAGTAATAGTTCTAGCTCCAACGAATGAATGAGATTAGTCTTGTGTCCGAAAATAAGGGGTTGGATCGAAAGGGCGGCCGCCGGAAGGGAGGAGATTTCCTCGACGGGACAATTGAACGGACTCACCTCTTTGATATTGGCGAACGCTGATGGTCCAGCTTCGGTGACTGTAGAGAGTTAAACAAAGCGCGGTTAGCTATTTCGTCCACATCGTTTCGCTCTTTTAAGCAAAATTCTTTGGCATGCGCGACGGGCTGGGAGGGGTTGAAATGCCAATTCCAGAGCCATCCAACCCTGTTTTTCCACCTCTCAACGTTCCTGAAAGAGAGAGGACGTAGAAACGAAGCGGGAAGCAGTGGGGAAGAGAGGTATTTCTAGGAAAAATGGCCGAAATTTGCACTTACTCCCGACGTTGACAATGAAATGCGATGCAGCCGCCAGACCCATGACTTTCGACCGCAGAGCAACCGGAAGAACCTCGCTACCGTATAGCCATGTTGTGCTATTTAAGAGGCCATCTGTGAATATTTATCAGCATCAGAAAGACGGAGGAGTTGTTGGAAAGCTGAGGAGAGGGCCCAGAGGGGATGGTGTTGCAAAGAGGGAGTTGGAGAGTTGGAAAGGCAGCCCAAGAGACTCACAGTACGTCACCACAAACAAGTAGATGCCCAGAACAGCGAAACCCTTGCCAACTTTGTTGTCAGTGTTTTGGAACTCGCGCTGCATGACGGCGGCGTATATCTCGATCACCACGATCCCGGCAAGGCCAGCGAGGATCATCCTATGGGATCAAAACTTAGTCCTCGTCGAAACAAAGTTGGATACATTGAAAATGCAAGCGTTTGGCAAGGATCACCAGTGCTAAAACATGGACAGGAGTGGTGAAGAGAAAAACATATCGATATAAAGACTCAAAGCTGTATACGGGAATTGAATGCTTCGAATAGGAGGCAAGGAGCGGACCCACTTTCGACGACCCCATTGATCGGTCAGGAATTTCGTAGTCAGGACATTGGAAGTGAAGGCGAGTGTACCGTAGATAGAGGCCAGGGCCAGGATCATGTGGCTGTTTATTCCGAGAGACTTGAACAGGATTGCTGATGCGGACCGTGAGTGTTAGCTAAACACAATTGCATGATGCTTTTCGACAAGAGCATCGAAACAGGAAATATGAAGCAAGGTGAATCCTACTTTGATAGTACTATATGTAGGCAAAATAGTTAGATCGATGACTCTAAGCCTTGATTCACTGTTGCGGAGAGGAAAACGTACCTGAATGACATTGACCCCGGTAAGACTTGTCATGGTCTGCACCGCAATTGATCTGTATGAAGACAATCAGCCTCGTTCCCGGTGCGTTAGCCTCAGAAAGTGAGAGGGATGGACCATACGTAAGCGCTCTGTGCCTGAACAACTTAAAGACCTCACGCAAACTCTTGACCTCTCGCTGCTGTTCGAACTCAATCTGGCGCCTCATGAGTACAAACTCCTCATGCACCTCATGGTTCGTAAGATCTTTTCTGATCCGCATGAACTCGCGACGTGCTTCATCAATCTTGCCGCTGCGGATCAGTTGACGCGGAGAATTTGGCATGAAGGTCGCTAGACCTATGAACAATATAATGCCAAAAGGGATCTGAATTCCCAGGGGAAGCCGCCATTGAACGGGGCCGTAAGGAGCGTAGCTGCATGCGAATCCAACCCAGTTGGAGGCCATCGTGCCAAGGGATATTCCACACCCTGAGATTCCTCCGATGAGGCCACGGACGTTGGGAGCGGCGATTTCAGAGAGGTAGATAGGGACGGTCGCGACCATTCCTCTTGAGTTCTGATCAGCTGTCATCCTGAAAATAGGTGTTGTGGGGATAGTGTCGTGGATATTTTCTGGTACTCACCCAACAGCGTACCCGGCCAGTACACGACCAGCCAGGAACATGCCAATGTTTTGAGAAGCAGTCTGAATGATGGTGCCGATAGTGACAATCACGGACATCAACTGCAGGAAGCGGATTCTGCCGAGTGCATCGCCGATAAAGGTTTGTGTCAGAGCTCCGCCCGCCTCGCCTGCGATGTACACGGAAACAACCTGTCACGGTTTCAGAGGGGTCGTCGAATTAGGGAGACTCCTTGAAGCAGGACATACTGCACCGGTCAAGCCCTTCGATGGACTATTCATGTAGTCGATCCAGCTCTGGTGAGCAATCGCTATAACTTTGTATCAGTATATCTGTGCGATGCCAGCCCCAAATTCACTCACTTGTTGTAGCAATGCCAGTGTCGAAACCCTATTCCCGTCCACAGTCAGTCCTGATCAATCGCAGTCAAGGCAGGGAAGAGACATACGAATACAAATGTGCCAATAGCGGCAAAGGATGAAATCCCGAGCGTATACCACAGTGTTCCCGTCATCTTGGGCCACGAAAATGGATTTAATCAACAAAATGCTGATACCACAGGAAGATGGAATAAAGGCAGGATTGAAGAACACGCGAGCGATGATGAGCAAAGATCAAAAGGGACCCACGACATTTAGAAGTGATCAGCATTCCCATGGTCTGAATCCATCATTTGCCGTCGGCTCCCACACCGACGGAATCCATCTATCACGTCTGTCCCATTTGCCGACGATGTGGAGGAAACAGAAGCCATGCCTTGTGCTCGGTTGAACGCAAAGCGAGGCCAAGGGACGATTGGCACGCTCCGAAGGCATAAAGTGCGGCTTCTGCCTCCAGAATGGAAAGTAGCAAGAGTCAACTGGGCAAAGCCTACAGCAAGTCAGACGCCACGAGACACGAAAGAGCTTGCGGCTGCAGTAGAGCAAAGGGCGAGGGACGGCGTCTTGACCGGGTGCCCGCCGTCCTGCTGCACGCGGAGTCATGTCCCTGGCAGAACAATCTCCATCACGACATGCCATTGGTTTCCCTGAAACTGGGGGAGCTCTGGAGTTTGTGGGGGTGGTGAGAACATGGCTTATCGGTTGGCGCAATTGGGGGGATAGAAGGGAAGAAGATGGGGGTTTGGGGCTAACTACCACATTCGATCAAAGACCGTTGGAAGCCGATCAGGCGGAAACAGACCGCCTTTTCGGTGCAATGACGGAGCGACGAGGCGGGCCACAAGTGGACAGACTCTTCCTCGGTAGGGAAACCATCCCGCTCAGCCAGCCTTGCTATTTAGCTGCTCGCAAACCACGATACACCACCACGCTACAGCTGGATATGCTCCTCGTAATATCCATGCATGTAATCTCTAAGCTCTGTCTTTTGTTTATCCGTGTTGAACCTGCTGGACCTTTTTGTCTAACCCAGAATGTTGAATGCTCTGGTGACAACAAAATGCTCCCGTCAACCCCCAAGTATGGATGTATATCGAACGCACGTCAAGAAAACTAGCTGCACACACGAGCTAAGATAATCTCACGGCTCTCCCCAGATCTCATCTGCAATCTGCCTGATCAACTTCAGCTTCTTCTCTTGGTCCTCTTGGCTCAACGGATATCCACTCTCGTGGGTGCTGAACCCGCACTGGGGAGAGATTCCGATTCTCTTGAGTGCTTCTTCCCTGGACTGATTCGATCCCTCGGCGACAAAGTCGGCCGCCTTATAGATTCTCTGTTTCATTTCTTCTTTGTCTTCCAGCTGCCTCAGCTTCGTACTGATACAGCCGATGATCACGTTCTTGTTCTTCGGCAGGTGCCGTAGTGGTTCGAATCCACCTGCACGTTCGGTGTCGTATTCCAGGTAGAAGGTGTTGACATTGAGATTTTGAAATAGTTTGCTGGCAATGATGTCATACGCTCCCTCTGCGAAATGTCGTCCGCCAATAAAATTCCCTCGGCACAAATGGACACCCGTGTGCATATCAGAGGGGCATTTGGATATCGAGTCGTTGTAGAGATCGATATAAGCGTCGAGAAGGTCATCGACAGAGCCGATATTGTCCGAGTCCTGTGCCCAGCCATCTCTGAATTGCTTAGAGCAAAAGTCTTCATTTTGCATACCATGATCAGTGTTTTTTCATTGGAAATTACGACGCGCGCAGAAGATACTCACATGCCAGATTTGGGTCGTCGAATTGGACGTTCCTCAGGCCAGCTTCATACAGAGCCTCGAGTTCTTTTGAGTACGCCTGTGCAACGTCCTTGAAGTACTCGCCATCGTTCTTATATGCTTCAGGCGTATATGCCCGTCCTTGTTTGTACCTCATGTGGAACCACTTCACGGTTGCCATGATTAGTTATGACAATCTCAGAAGAAGCTATGTCGTCGAATATGTGTTGAAGGACTTACCGAAGGGGTAATCATGGTGAGCTTGATATTGCCCCAGTCCTCCTTTGGGACGAAGGCCTGAACGAGGCGCAACTCGTGGAGATTTGACTCTGTGCCAGTATGTCTGATCTTGGCACCGGCAATCACACTGTCACCAGGCATAACCTTTCGATCCTTCTCAATCAAAGAAACCACATCGGGATGGTACAGGCGGAACATGCTCGCCTCGGCATCCTGTAAGCGCTTGGTGCCGTCCAATTCGTCCCAGAACAACCCCCAAAAGCGGGTGCGGCTGTATTCGCCAGAGGTGACGGCTTTGAAGCCCAGCGAGAGCTGCGTCTTGACTATTTGGCCAATGGACTCCTTTTCAACGGCAGGGAGACCTGCTTCTTCTGGGGAGAGGTTTTTGTCCCGGATGGCTGCCCGCACATCGAGGAGCTTTTGGGGGCGGAGAAGCGAGCCCATGTGCTCTGCCCGGAAAGGGGGCGCTCGGTGCAAGGTAGAGTCAGCCATGTTGTTGCAGACCTGGGTAACAAATATCCTGAGTCGTTAATGAGAGATAACAAGCTCCAGAAACAAAACGCTCAATGGGAAACGTCTGAGCAGAAATGCGAATCCTTCATGACAGCCAAGCCCCCGCCATGCAACAGAATTTTCCCCGCAATCTTTAGATGCCAGTCTAACCGCCTTAGGCCAAAGCTCGTCGCCGCTTTGTTCGAAGAGATGGCAACGAGGGGTGAAGTCAGCAAGATAAATGCCACACGCTGGAGCTCGGAGGCAGCGTCGACTTACAGTAACGTAAGCGATTACGCCTCATAAAAGAGTATACAATCCACCCAAAAACAGTCGATTCCCGTGTGGAGAAGAGAGTGTCTATAAAGACGATTACTGCAAAGGTTTATATTGCACAGAATACACCATCCTCGCCACCCCGTTTCTTGGCCCCGGGCATCTTGGGCGCAACTGCTCCTTGCCTACGGCATCACGACTGAACAACTAGCTGGTATGAGCAAGGTTTGGAGGTTCGAAGGTGATATCTATGCTATCCACGTTCAAACATGGAAAGGCTTACTGTTGACATCCAATTGATCAAACGCTAGCCATTTCTGCCATCGAATTATTCTTTAAGATCATATCTCGAAAACTGCGTGGTGACCTGGTCAGGGCACCGCCACTCCATCGTAGTGGTATCTTAGCTATTCCAAAATTGCTTGGTTGCGCTGCAGCTCCTCCGACTCGATCTACTTGCTGTCATGTGGTGGCCCAGTAGCCTGAAACATATGACTTTGATATCGTGTTCATGTTCCCTTCCAGCCAAACCCACACTTGCGGCAAAGCCGGCTCCTTCGAGGGCTACGTGCTTCAATGTGCGATCAGACACGCTGATGAGTGGGTCTATCAGGCATTCGGAAAAAAGAGGACTTTGGAGTGTGGTCGCCCTGCCTGACAAGTATGCATATCAGGGCGCGAGCAAGGCCAAGTTCGTGGCCAGAACTGGGACCGGGCTATAATCTAGGCGAGCCTGCCACGTCAGCAGCAGGGCTCCAAGCCCAGAATGCACAGTAAGTCCAAATCACCAATTGGGTTCAATGAGAACTAAACGATAGGCTTCCAAGTGAGCCTATGAAAACCACGACGGGGCCATTCGGTCACCAGACTGCCGTATTCCAACGAAGTCTTGCGCAGTGAGAGTGACAGCATTTTATTTGCCCTAAAGATGTGCTCGCCTCGTTTCAGAATGAGTTGACCTAGAGTACTCAATCCAATGGGCACCAAGGATAGCAAAATCTTACATATTCATGTTTTCTACAATTTTCTCTCATACGACATCAATAACTAGCTATGCACTCCAAGTACCATCTGTTGACGAGGCTGCATATTCTTCGCTGCAAGAAAGGCTGATCAACATACCAAATCAACATACCGAGACACATAATCTTCCAGCAGTTATGCTTGCAACCAGCCTTTCCGGATAGCTCCGACGATATTACGGACTCTCGAATACCGACACTTCTTCTACCCGATCCTCGAGGGAGCTTCCGAGGACGCGCTACTATCTAGTGCCATCTAGACTCTCTCCTTCAAGATGGGCCAGGACTTCAGCCTGCCAGAGCCGACAATACATTCGCAGCGACCGGAAGTAACGATGATTAGCACGCTGGGAGCAGTCAGCAAATCCTTAAACCAAATGCCAGAGGTGCTCAACAATGCAGAAAGATTAGCCAATGTCATTCAGAAGGCGATGCCTGCCGTGAAGATCCTGGCATCCCATGGCAAATACTTGGCCGGGTTTCAGGGGTATTTCGTTGCTGCAGGGTTGCCTGCCCAGTTCATCCAGGTCTTCCAAGGACAGCAGATCATCGCGGAGCTACGAGGAATCCGACGCGAGCTGGAGGCACAGACCCGCCTCGACGCCCCCGAAAAGTTCGCGACCCAAGTCTACGGCTACATCGACATGATGACGAAGAGCACTTCCAAGTCTAGTAATAAGCACCTGTACTTTGTCTACCACCCTGACACGGATTGGCACCCTTATTTCTGCAAACTGGTGGAAAGAAAGCCGACGGCGAACACCTTCTTCGGCATGGCTGAGAATCTGGACACACTGTGTATCTGGATGCGATACCTTCGCGCTCTGTTCACCAAGTCAGGGGAATGGGGAAAGGATCCGGTCTTTCATCTCCTGATGCCCACATATCGCCAACTCCACATCGAGGAACCGTTGGCTTTCGCCGAAGCACTCCATCCTCTCTGCATCCACGGGTTTGTCCACAACGGCAAATGCTCCGTGGAACTCAACCTACACAACGCCGACCCAGACATGCTGGACGGGATAGGGATTTGGAAACGACCTCCAGGCTTGTTCGGGCTTTTCCAACCTAAGGAGGTTCCTAGAGTTCTTGGAAATGTCCCCGTGTCCGCCGACGACGCCCTCTCCCTGGAGACTGGTGTTCGCAGAGTGCGGAGGAAAAGGCGACGACGCTGATTTGATTTGGAGGCTTCGACGCGCGGGAGCCGAACGTGAACTGTCTGAAACCCCAGCAATTAACTGAGGAGGAAGGTTCAGACGATGGCTAAGGCTTATTTGAATGCTGTCACTTCAGCTTCGGCCATGCAAGCCAGAGCCAGGAAAGACGCAGTCCACAAGATCTCGGAGTTAATGCTCAACTGCCAAGTCTTGCGCCATCGAGATTGCTGATGTTTCGCGTCCGCATCCTCCCCACAGACACTCAAGATCTTCGTGGCCATCATCTTCACCGGCCCCCATGTTTGGGATTCACTTGATATTCTTCTCGCTCCCACCCTCCAAGTCACTATTTTCATTCTTACAGCCCCAGCGACCGCCAAATTCGGCGTACACGGGCTTAGGCGTTGGCGGCCTGTGGACCAAGCCGGGGTGGAAGCCCCTCTGGACAACATCTGGCACGGAATCCTGTTGTAGGCCGACCGCCTCCCCCTCCGGCTGCCCTAGAGCCGACGTGGACGTTCGTGGAGGGGACCGAGGCGGCAGGCTGGCCGGGAACGGATGTCGGGTCGGTGCCCGAGGACGAGGAGGAATGGGGATGGGCGGAACGTACGGCGGCGGAGGCGGACTGGACGAGTCTGGCGGGCTTGAGGGGTCAGGATTGCCTGCATCGTAGGACCTAGTCTGTGAATCTTTTGAATCGTTGTTCCTCTCCATCTTTTGCTCGAGAGTCTGGCCGGGTTGGAGCCTTTGCAGGAGGGAACGAAAACATCAGGTTTGCAAGAGAAGGCACTTTAGGAGTCTGCATATTTGTCCGCGAAGCTGTTAAACAGACTGACAAACGATATCTGTTGTGAAAACGCCGGGATGGACGCCATGGATCTTTTGCGAAGCAGACACCGCAACCATCCAAGGGCGAGACAAACATATCTGTATATCCGCAATACACATCAAACACCACGCAATGTTGACCCGCTTTGCAAAGGGTATCAATGCCTTAAGTCATAAGATCATGCTGAATTCTCCCTGTCCGCCTGGTGGTCGGCATCTTCTCCCTTTTCCGCAGCCTTGTCCTCCGAAGGCTTCATCTTTGAGATCACGTGAGCGACTTTGGCCATCCCAGCTTCCATTCTGTGACCAACCTTTGTGTCTTGTCTGCTTGCACCCTCGGGGTCTGAAGCGCCGTCATAAGAAAGGTCTTCGCCTGCTGGACCACATTGCTTCACGCCTTGGTCTTCCGATTCCTCGACTCGTTGTGCAGCAGCGCCCATGTCTGTCGTTGCAGATCCGCCCTTGACGCTCGAGGCGCGACTTACATTCACGCTGTCGGGGCGGGACTTCCTGAGGCCGAGTTCTTTACCTAGAGTACTCGCTCCTTGATTGACCATCGCGCTCATGGTGAGTGCAGCCCCTCCCTTCCGGCCGCTATCAACGCCATCGGTTGGTCGGACCTCCTCATCGGCTTCACCCTGCCAGTTTGCAGGTCGTCCTTCAGGTACCGGCTCCCCCTTCTCGGGTTCCGTAATGATTCGCTCCATGGGAGCGCCATCTCCTTCTTGCTTGGCATATTGCCAAACGACTTTCAATCTGTCAAGGGCTCTAGTGCCCTTTCTGGAACTTCCCTTGATACCATCCATCGCCTCCCATTCAATTTCAAAGACTCCCGAACTGTGCCCTTCGTGACCTCCTTCAAAATATGCGTTGAACCAGACATGTGCAAGAGCCGTCACCATCGTGAGGCCTGTATAGCCGGCTTTGTTTCGTCGCTCAAAGTCGACGTTGATGTCGCTGGTGGGTAGTATCACCGGTGAAGTTGGTTTCAGGATGACATTTTGAGTTGTACCGGATGAATTCTTGCCCAAGCTCAACGAAGAAGATCGTGGAGAGGCATTCTGCGGAGAGCTAAGAATCTCACTGTCCTTTTTCCCGTTTGAGTCCGACTTTGATTGTTTAGCGTTGCTTTCTTCCATCACGGTTTTCTCTTGTCGACTGAAAGTATGAAAGGTCCGAATGCGCCGGCCATCATCCACGTAGCCCTCTATTGAAACCTTAACGCCGTCTCTGAGACCCTCCACGTGGATTTCAACAACCTCGACAGGTCTTTCGACGTATCGTTTGCCTAGGCTGTTTGTCCATCGATCCACATATCCGACCCAACGCAACTGACTTGGGATACTCACGCCAAGGCCAAACCCAGGCCGCATCCGTCTGATGGTGAACTGCTGGAGAGCCTCCTCCTTCTTCCACCCTTCCTCGCTGATAAGATATGAGCACGCGACCGTCCCGCTTCTGCCTTTACCTGCTTTGCAATGTATTACAGCCACTCTTTTCTTGTCTTTATCTTTGCTTTTATCGACATCTTCGTCCAGTCGCTGGATCCAGTTCCGCATTGCAGCCATGATGTTCGGGATGATGGCAAAAGGAGGCGGGTGGTGGTCTGGCCATGGAAAGTGGTGGACTCTGTTGTAGACCTCGGAGTCAGGATACCCTGTCCCTTCGGCTCGAAACTCGAAAATCGCCCATTCCTCGCCATGCTTCCGGTCGAGGAAGCCGACGAGCTGATCTAGGGGGTTCCGATAGGCTTTCCTGGGCCACACTGAGCTAGGGCCAGAAGTGACGACAACTGGTGAGTGTTAGCACAAAAGCCCCTCGCTGCCCTAGGTCCAAGTTCCAACGTACTGTAGTCGGTCACATAACACAGATCTAGACCTGCTTCTGGGTGTCTGGCACGGGGGCCTGCAACTATTTGGCGGAGAAGTGAAGCCTGGTCTTGTTAGCTGGCGGTACATTTTGAGATCCGGGCGCATCACCCACCATCTTCCCCTAAGAAAGCACTGCTTGCTATCTGCGCATCATGGAAAATTTTTCTCAGCGGTCGGACAGGAACCGATGGGTGCTCCAACAAAAGGATGATGTACTACATAAGGGTTCAGCTCGTCAGCCTCCTGTGCAGGATTCCAGAAGTCACGACGCGTCGGAAGGATGCGTTGACGTCACTACACTTTTCTTCGCGAAAGGCTTCTGAAAGCTGGGCGCGACTCGCTTGCACAACACCCACACAACAACGCATTTGTACCGCCTCACCTCCCTCTCACCCGCCTGCGATTCACGCTTCACTCACCCTCGTCGTGATGGCCGCGCTCCCTCTGTAGTGCTGTTGTCTTCCTCGACACTATGGTCTAAAATTGCCGGCCATGACCGTGGACCATTTTTGGGACCCTGCGCCATTCTATTGCGCTGCGATGGGTACCATCTTTCCCCCTCCAATCCCTCGTACGGTACACCTTCGACACCTAGGTCGAGTACCCAAGAGAGCCGGGCCCGTACTCTGGCCGTAAACTGCGAGGGCTTCCTCGATCCCCGGTGCTCTGATCGCTACTCCCCTCTTTCATCCTAAGATCTTCCACCCTGGCATCCTCCTTCTCTACCACAGTCACGGGTAGGCGAACCGTCTCCAAGGACGACCCATAGGTCGAGCAAGACCCAATGAAGTTGAGAAGGGGGTACACACCGAATTGGACACCATTCGCGGCGGCGAGCAAGACGACTCTAAGACAAAGAACGACCACGATCGAACTCTACAGCGATGCAGTCCGTAACATATCTTGAACAAACGTCCACTACCCCAGTCGCTTGCCCCCAATGCTCTCCTTTCATTGAGCGTTTAAGAACAAGAGGGAAGAACATGAACGAAAGGCTCTCCCTCCAGACGAAGAGCCCATTCGCAGCCACCCAACCTAGTTCAAAGAGATCGTGGTTGAAAGCCACTGGCCGAGACGTCCTCTATTGATAAGGTAAGTCTAAGAAGGTATGATTTGTACTCTCCGTCATGAGATGACGGAGGCAATCACTTGCTCACAATGAGCAGTATCAGCCGATCACGGAGGCTCTTGCGTAGGCCGAAGCTTTTGAAGGCAGCCTGTGTTGATGTAGTGCTCAAGCTGTGTCTGAGTATTCTGCACTAGTTTATACTTTGCCCACAGTTATCAAAGACGGCAGACTCTGAGGACATTATGGTCGATTGAATCGTGAAGACAATACAGTTCTGAAATATAAAATGTTGAACGACATGACGACACCAAGTTGAAAGCGTACTAGGAACTCGAGACAGATGGCCACTGTGACCTGGATGGGCAGAATTGGGATTGAAGCCTCCTTTTCCACCTTTCGCCTACCACTAGGATTGGACGCAGCCGATTGAGACCGTATGGCCAGGTCGAGGTGAGACGACTTTGGTCTCGTTGAGCTTTCCTACATGAACCCCCAGTAGAGCCCAACAAATCACCTATCCTAAAATGCTCTCAAAGGCAATTGCAGGCTCGGTGCTAGAAATCAGAGGTCGATGTGCTTGCGACGTATCTATTGACTCAAAACGGCTAGTCCGCAACAGTCACGACCTGATTGGGTCGTGGAGACCGACGTCGCAGAAGGACATATGCCAGATACTACTCTTGCCAATTCGGAGACATGAGGAAATCGATTCTGAGATTGGGATATCACACACAAGTCGAAGACCAGATTTCAGCTTCAGGTTTTCTCTGCATTGCTAAAGAGGGGAGGTTCCACGCCTCTTTCGTCCTGATACGATGGTGGCGACTTTGGAATTCATCAAGAAAATCCCAAAAGTCGAACTGCATGTGCATATTGAAGGGACGCTGACTCCGCAACTACGGTATAAATTGGCCAAAAAACATCACATACCGCTAAAATGGGCAACCGAGGAAGAGGCCGTGGCAGATTACCTGGACAGCTTCGACAAGAGAGTTCGCAATGAGAAGGAAAGCGGGAGCCTGGCGTTCTTCGACCTTTACTACGGCGCGATGGAAGTCCTCCAGACTGAGGAGGACTTCTATGAACTGGCGATGGGCTACTTCAAGAAGGCCGTCGAGATGAAAGTCCGGTATTCCGAAGTTTTCTTTGACCCTCAGGCACATACTCGGCGCGGAGTTGACATGAAGACCGTGATGGCCGGATTGAGGAAAGCCCAGCTTGATGCGCAAGAAACCCTAGGCGTGAGTAGCCCTCTCGCCAATCCATGACTTTCTTGCGTTCGATCTGGGCGAGGCTGACGAGGAAGCGAAGTTTCATTGCAACTGGATCATGTGTTTTTTGCGCGACGAAAGCCCCGAGTACGCCATGGAGACGTACGAAGCAGCGTTGAAGTACCGCGACCAGATCCATGGCATCGGTCTGGACTCGTTGGAGACTGGGAGATCACCCATGCTCTTCGATGAGGTGTTCAGACGAGCGAAGGCCGACGGTTTCCATCTGACAGCACACTGCGACGTCAATGCTCAAGGCACGCATCAAAACATCCGTGATTGTCTGACAAAATTGGGGGGAGATGGAATCCGCCGAATCGACCACGGGCTCAATGCAGTGGAGCAGCCCGAGCTCATAGAGATGCTCAAAGCCACAGGAACGGGGTTGACTTGCTGTCTGTGGGGTGCGTACGGGTATCTCTTTCACGTCGAGGGAGAACAGGCGCTCTTCAGGGATATGCTGCGAAAGCTATTTGACTATGGCATTCTGGTCACCATAAATAGCGACGATCCAGCTTGTATGGGCATGAACTACGTCGAGGACAACTTGATCCTGGTGGCCGAAAAATGCAATTTCACGGACGCCGACATGGTCAAATTACAGCGGAATGCTGTGCACATCAGTTGGGCGGCCGAAAGCCTGAAGAAATCTATCTTAGATGAGCTGCAGGCTTTGGCGGAACAGTATTTAGGGGTTGTATAGACCCCAGGTATCTCTCGCTATTGCGTTGTGGAATATGAGACGATTGTTCTTGCATCATGGACAGCCACCACTCTCCAGTGTGAGGATCATGAATATCACACGGCAATTGACTGTCTGTTTCGTCTAAAGCACTGGCGATGCTAGGTCCAGGGAGGAAGCTCCGTTAGCTGCTGTCCAGGTGTAGCGTGGTCATTAAGCAAGAGCTCGGGGAGCTCCGACGCCTTATCTTTGGTAGATTCAGTGGAGCTCGAGACTGAGATATTGACCCCATTGACTCAGTACGCGCATTGACTGAAAGTATCATTAGAGGTGAATTTTGCCCCACGCGAGGGCATAAGAACTACAGCTCATCGTTACATTTCGCGTTCGGTCTCTATATGTACCTGCGGATATTGAAGTCGTTGACCAAGCGACAACTCAGAGTGAACAGATGGCTTCGCTAGAGGATCTCCCTTCCGATCCTAACTACGTTTACTTCAAGTCTGTCGACAGAGTCCAGTGCCGGCCCATACTGACGGGCGAAAACGCCAAACCAACCTTCGAGTCGATCCCGACCATAGACGCTTCCCAGATCTTTTCAGCAGACCTGGAAGCGCGCAAAATCCTTGCAGAAGAGATTGGTCAAGCTGCTAAAGATGTCGGCTTCTTCTACTTGGTCAACCCGCCAGTCTCCCCCGACAAGATGGGTACGTACGGCATCCGGCATCACATGGCCGCAATTTGCGTCGTTCATTGTGGACTGATGGGAGACCCTCCCTTACAGACGCCGCCTTTGATGCACTGGCGAAGTTCTTTGCTCTTCCGCATGATGTGAAGGTAAACGCCCACCGCCTCGGTGCGATAGAGAGCCACGGCTGAAAGTTTTAATGCACAGATGAAATATCATGTCAACAACAGTCCGGCAGCCAAAGGATTTACTCCGGTCAACCCTGCCGATAAGAGAAAGGGGTTTGGGGGAGCCCGCGAAGCGTTTGGCATGGGCAACGACTACACAAATCCTGAGCAGCATGCCATCAAAGTCGCTCCGGCCGGCACGGTTCCTCTGAATCAGTGGCCTGACGATGAGCTTCCAGAGTTCCGTCAAAATGTGTACAGCTACTGTAAGGGCCGCTTTGGCGTCCTATTTGACAACAGGGTGCTAATGCGTGAAATCAGTTACAGAAGTGTACCTGTTTGCAAAGAAACTGGTCCAAATATTTGCGCTGGCGCTGGGACTAGAAGAGACTGCCCTGGACCAATTTTTCGAAGTGCCTTTCACGGACATCACAATCAATCACTACCCGCCGCAGCCTGATGAGACCGAGTACAAGCAGGTGCTCTATCCTCACGCTGACTATGGAGGTGAGTGTCTGTACCCAAGAGTTCCCCAGTCAGGAGACAACAAGGGACCATGGCTGACCCCATTCTCATAGCTTTCACGTTGCTAGCTCAGCGTAAGACCTGGCATTCCTCCGCATAACGTCCAAATACTGACTGAATGGCAATAGGGAAAATAGGAGGCCTCGAGGTCCTGAACGCCAATGCAATCTGGGTCAAAGTCCCCGTCATAGAGCATGCCTTTGTTGTGAATACAGGCAGCTATTTCGAGCTGATTTCCGGCGGTCGGTGGCGCTCAACTATCCATCGCGTCTGCGCAAAGGTGAGCGCCTCATTTCCAGCCGGTGGCAAAAAGGGCATTGAATACTGATTCTCTCAGGGCAACACTGACCGGACCTCTCTTCCTTTCTTCTTTTCACCAAGCCCTACCACCACCATATATCCCATGGTTCCCGCCGAGGATGAAGGGCTCAAAGACCTCCACAGGAACATTGGCAAGGAGCATATCCGGGGCATGATGGCCGACAGACCGACTCACCCATTTGTGAAGAAACTCAAAGCCCTTGGTTTGAGACCGGATGACTATACCTACGAAATGGTGTCGCAGCCTTTAGTTTGAAGCATTTCGCGTGAGCCATGCTTAGCTGCGAGCGTTTGTCGAGTCTGATCACCGCTGGGAGTTTATCTGATGGCTGTCTTCAGGTTTGACACGTACGGTCTAGTAAAGAGTGTAACAAAGTTGAGCCGTGAGAATCCCTGATTGTGTCTCTGTCCACCTACCGAGGCTGAGACTTCATGCCTCGATTTATTCTCTCCTCCATTTATGATAGGCTCTTGGGGTCGAGGCCTGAGGTCGAATGGCTCGGTCGTTTAAATCGAAATATTCTCCTAAACCCAAATAGGTTGCAATGTGCGTCCACGATCCTCATTGGAGTGATTCTGGAGTTTATCGTCCGCTAAGAACAGGCCTGCTTTTGACCACGAGTTGCCCCCAGCTCGCTTAGGTGGCTTGAAGTAAATAATACTCTCCCCTTCCGATTCCCCAGGATTTGCCCCGCCAGCTGGACTGTAGAAGGGCGGCGAAGGCTTTCCACTGTACCTCGTACTGTATCGCTATACCGAGTCTCAAAGTGCGTGGAGGGTAGATATCGCCTCCAATGAAAGTTCAATAGATTGTTCCAGCCGCCTTTGGCTCTTGTCGACCCCGGCAGGAGAAGTCCTCGCGATGGTCGAAGAGAGCACTGGAAACTTGCCTTATCTTGGGCCTTATCGGGGAAGCACGCCCCCCAGCTCAATAGTAGCCCAGAGCCCTGAGTTGACCTGTGTCCTGTGTTTAATTTATCCTCTCGAATCCCAACTGACATAATTTCCTCTTTGAGAACCCCAGTTTCAGACCTCCTTCTTATCCTATAAACCTCCAATTGTCATTACTTCATAATTCTGCACAGGGGGCTGCTGATGCCGCTTTCCACCGAAACGAGCCGCCGTGCAATCCATCCGACAGCCTGCCGCACCTGTCGGCGCCGCGGCCGCAGATGCGACAAGACTTTGCCTACTTGCCAGAGCTGCAAGGACAGGTCCGTTGTATGCGAGGGCTATGTAACCCGCTGGGCCGGGGTCGCAGCCCGCGGCAAGCTCCGTGGGAAGACGATTCCCGTCATTCTCGACGATGACGGCGGCGGCGGCGTCGACGACGACGACGACAATTCCGCCAAACGCGTTCTGTCGAAAGCTCCATCCGCGACCACCACGGTCCTGGCCAAATCACCACCTGTTGGAACTCGAAAACAACGGCGGCAGAACCAGGAAATTTTGAAGAGCCCTCCGGATCCAGTCGCGTTGACCGTTGAGAACATGGTCCCAGGATCTTCCGACGGCTTGGATGCCTTTATCGACTACTGTGAGTCCTTCTTGACTCCTCGATCATGAGCACGTACAAGACTCGTCGTTGCGTTTGAACATTCGATAGAAGAAAGACTTTGTTTCTGTTCTGCGCAACGCCGGCAGGCCTCGGTCAAGCTAATCCCAATATGCATCGAGCAGTTGCTTATGACCTGAGCACGATCCCCTATCTTGGATCGAAACCTGAGCAGAGCCCGTATCTGCTCTACGTATACCCTTTGACCAATCGAGTGCTGCCACTTCGGTATGCCGTGGCAGCATCGGCCGCGGGCCATCTGGCATCCAGATTCCAGAACGAAGCCCTCGAGGCGAGAAGCCGGGAGTGGCAGGTGACTGCCATGAAGCTCATGCGCCAGCGGCTCGAGTCCCGCTCGTTGTCCGCGGACTATGGAACATTACTGAGCATCCTCATGATGGCTCAAATAGACGTATGGAACCCGGTCGGTCGACCTTGAGGCAGACCGTTTTGATGGCTGAATTCCCTTTTTTCCTCAGATGTGTTCCGGCGCCTGTGCCGAGTTCGACACTCACATCCCCGCGGCGAAAGCCCTCGTGGATGAGCATGTGTCGACCCTGCCAGACCGAAGTTACTGTGAACAGCGACTCGCGTGGTGAGAAAGACATCTGCAGACGGAGCAAATTGGGAAGAAGAACCAACAGAGACTGACCGATGACAGGCTCGACATTCTGCGTTCCACCACGTCGGATCGATTTCTCACCTTCACCTCGTCTGAGCTAAAAACGATTCTCAACCGGTACCAGTCCGCCAACGTCCGCGAATGGGGCAATGAAGCCTTCGCGTGCCCCATCGATCTTCTCGAGTACATCGTGGACATCACCATGCTGTACAAAATGCAGCCCCGGGGCCAACTGTTCTCCACGGGCGCCCTCGAGAAGGCCGAGCTTCTCTATCGTCGCGTCAGCGCGTGGGCGCCCCGGCCCGGCTATTCGGAACAAATGTCCCACGTCGTCTGCATGTGGCATGCAGGCATTCAGTTCTACGTGATTCGGCTCTTCCGGTTGCACGAGCGTGGTGACTCGATGTTCGACACGACCGGCCTGGTCGAGAGGGTGTTTCGACAGGCCCAGGCCGTGAGAAAACCAAGCGGCTGGAGTCACGCTTCGCTCTGGCCTCTGTTCCAAGCGGGACTGTGGCTCGAGGGGGAGGAACATGGCGAAAAGCGCCAGTGGTTGATACAGTTCTTGCATACCATGATGCGAACCTCGGGATGTCGGCAACTGGGGGTCGCCGCGGATACGTTGGAAAGAGTGTGGACGAGTGGCGAGTACCATGACTCCATCACGGCTGGAACGTTCACGGGCTCTCTGATTCTAGCTTGACGCGGTCTAGTCGAACAACATTGTATATACATCATCAACTTGAATTTCGGGCGAGAGATGGATGGGACCTCGACGCCCCAAAATCCCTCCCTTTCTCTTCCATCTTCATTTGATTGGCACATACATGCGGAATCCAAGCGGTTGGCCAACATGTCCATCGTGTTCCTTCTGTTTCATTTCGCTTTTGAGTAACTGTGCCATACCTGGTCGATCTCTTCCAAGATGGCAGTCTTCAGCTCGGCCGGCCCCCAGCACATGTCCACCCCATTCTTGACGAGCTGAACCATATCCTCATTGCTAAAGCCACACTTGTGCTTGACCAGCAGCATGTTGCTCAACTGCCAACTATTGTCCATGTACGCGGGATCGTCACTGCCGATCATAAACTTGACGCCGGCCTCGTGCAACAACGAAATCTTGCCAAATGTCGACTCGCTGGTGTAATACCGCAGATACGCGCATGGGCACAACGTCAGGCCCAGGCCACGTTGCTTGATCATCTCGATAAGTTCAGGGTCGTCGGCGGCGCTGGTGCCGTGGTCAATCCGATCTGCCCCAGATCCACCCATGCAGCATACCGCCTCACGAATATGCTCGCCGACGTCCTCCTTAGCACCGTCGTCGCAGTGCGCAGTCAACTTAAAGAAGCCGTCGGCGCGAGCCCTTGACCAGACGTTCTCAAACAGCGACGGCGGCAGCTTGTACGACTCGGAGTCCAAGCCCAGTCCGACTATCATGTCGCGGTAGTCGAGGGCGGCTTCGTAGTGCTCCATGGCCGACTCTGGTGACAAATCGCGGAGAATGCACATGATCCAAGTGGATTTGACGTTCAACACCTTCTCCGCCTTTTCCGAGGCCTGCTTGAATCCCGACATAAAGGTCTCCCAGGAGACTCCCCGGGCCGTGTGGCCCTGCGGATCGAAGAAAACCTCGACATAGCGCACGTTCATGGCCGCAGCCCTCTCAAAGTAATTCATCGCCAGCTCGAAGTAGTCTTCCGTGGTCAGGAGCACCTTGAAGCCGTCGTAGTACGCCTCGAAGAAGGTGAAGGTGTCGACTTCGGATTTCAGGTGCTCGATGCTTTCGTACGTCTGACCGGTGCGAGGACTCTTCAACTGGAGCTTGTTGCGCTGTGCGAATTTCCATCGCAGCTCCGGCACCAGCGTGCCCTCGATGTGCAAATGCAATTCGACCTTGGGCAGTGCCTGTATGAAAGGGTAATCCTCGCCGGCGAGGAGCTCGTCGCGGAGAGCTCTCCGCTCCGCCATCGGGGTGATTCCTTGGTCAGATACCATCACGACTGCGGCCTTCCTGGTGGAAGAGTGCTCGGGAGGTCAGAGAAAGATGATCGTGTATACCGGATCGATCAGGAACCCTCGTCCAAAGAGCAACTTTACTTGACGGGCAGGGTTTTGTATAAGCTGCGTCCGTTGCAGGGATGAGACAGTCGGTGGATCCCGCCTGTCGAACAGTGCACCTGGAGGTTGTCCACCGGTGCCTGAAATAGTGTCCAAACGAAGTAAAGACCTTGGGCCTCGAAAATGCTTCCCGAGATAGCGACCACCCGCAAGTTAGGGATTTCGATGCTTCCAGGTCACTAGACCCGCGGACCACGGTCTTGTGCGCGCACTTTTCCAATCTTACTTCGACTCTGCGCGAAAGCCTTGGCCCATCAAGACCCAAGAGACTTGATTCTAATCAATCTGTCGTCGCCAGGGTTCCGCGCTGGCAGTGTCGCTTGTAACATAACCTCTTGGAGAAAAAGTGGGTGGCCAACCGGTAGCCCGATTTCGACGCAGATAGGAACCTATCATGGCATAGTCGCCAAGGGAGGAGCTTCATGATAAGTCCTAGACACTAGAGGGCCTTCTGCTCTCTATTAGTCTTTCTATCCATATCTCGAGAGAGGTCCAGATGGGTCGCTGTATACTCTTTTCCCGGCGATGGCCGATTGCGAACAGCGTTATCGTCGTTGGCAGTATATGCCCAGGCCTCGTTGACCCGGTACATAAGGACATGGATGTCTATCATCGTCCGGGACGGCTGGGGGGTTATGGAGTGCTACAGCTTCTTCACTCTCGGTTGATTTATTCCTTCCTGGCTTGAGTCGAGTCGAAGTGGTTGTTGAAGTTGTATTCGACCTTCCGTGATCCTTCCTGATACAACCCGTCATGGATGAAGACAAATCCAAAGGAGACGCCGCGGTGCAGGAGATTCCAGCCACGACTAAAGAGACTCCCACCGCGTCTCTCGAGAGCGGGATTCTCGAGCCTCAAGAGCCGCACCTCGGCCATGGCGAGCTTGAGGTCATCAAGATTCGAGACGGGAATCCCGTCCTGCGCAAACTGCGCGAAGCCGAGCTCTGGCTGGATCATAAGCTCAAGATCGAGGGCATGGGCGCTGAAAGGATCCCAGAGAGTCAGCGACGCCCTCCCCATGTGGCCAACGTGCGTTCATCTATCCCCCCCCCCCATCCCCCCCCGGCGGATTCTCCATGTTAACGCGGTTGGCAGATGATGGTCTTCTGGTTCTCGTTGCTCATGTCGCCCGGATACATCAGTCTGGGCATGTTGGGACCGATCTTTGGACTGTCGGTCAGCAAATCCATTGGCCTGACTGTGGTATCGACGGCCACCGGGTCCATTGTCCCCGCCTTCACAGCCACCTTGTGCCCAGCTTTGGGCCTCCGACAAATCGCAGCCTCACGGTTTGCCTTTGGCATCTGGGGATCCAAGTTCTGTGGCTTCTTGAACATTGTCGTCAACATCGGCTTCGGCACCATCAATTGCATTGTGGCAGGCCAGCTCCTGAGAGCCGTGAGCGACGATTCCATCAGCGACGTTGCGGGAATCGTCATCGTGCTGGCCGCCTCGTACCTGATCTCCTTCTTCGGCTTCCGCATCATCCATCAGTACGAGTCGGTGGCGTGGGTCTTGATCTTTGTCCTCCTCTGCTGCAACTACGGCCTGTCGGCTCGGTTCTACTCGCCCACGCCGGGTCTGTCGTATGTGTCCGGACTCGACGAGACCGGATCGGCACTGTCGTACTTTGCCATCCTCTTTGGCGCCTCCGCGGCCTGGTGCTCCATGTCTGGCGACTATTACATCCACTATCCGACCAACACCAATAAGTGGATGCTCTTCACTCTGACCTGGATCGGGCTGGCGCTTCCCACCATGTTCGTCAGCATTCTGGGTAATCTCCTCGGTGGCACCGTCAACAGCAACGAGGACATGGCAGACCTATACGAGTCCGGTGGCTTTGGAGCGCTCATAGTTGGGACTATGCGCCCGTCGGGCTTCGCAAAGTTCGTTGGTGTGATGTACACGTTGTCGTTCAGTGAGTTTCGCGCCAGTCGATGCCTTCTCCCTCTCCTTTTACGATGGATGTAGGTCCCCGCTAACACTTTGGCTGTTTCCAGTTGGCAACGAAGTCGCCATTCTCTATTCTTCCTCATTATCGATCCAGCTCTGGGGCCGACATTTCATGGCTGTCCCCCGCTTCATCTGGAACACCCTTCTCGCCGCGATCAGCCTTGGGCTCGCCTGGGGTGGAAGACACGACCTCGAATCCATCATCAGCAACGCGCTGAGTTTGATTGGGTATTGGACCATCTGTTTCGGACTCATCCTGGCCATCGAGACCTTTTATTTTCGCCCGAAAATCGGATACGATGTCGAAGGTTGGCAGGACAAGGACCGCATGCCTTTGGGCCTTGCAGGGTGTACCACACTGGCTGCTGGTATCGGGGTTGCTTTCGTCGGCATGGCTCAAACTTGGGTACGTTTCCCCAGACCGTTCTCAGTGGTTCTCCAGGTCTCTTGTCCCACTGGCTTATTGTTCCGCAAACATTTGCGGAACACTCCCATCTGCACCAGAGACTGACAGTATGCTGATTTTCCCCTTTCACAGTACATTGGTCCCGCTGCCAAACCGATCGGTGCATATGGTGGAGATGTGGGCAACTACATTGTCTTGGTGTGTGTGGGAATCCTCTATCCGATTCTTCGAAAGTTGGAGCTCAAGTACATTGGCCGTTGATCCACCATTTGGGGGTGTTTCATGTCTGGTCAATCCATATATTTGTATGTATTCTTTCGAATCTTTGGGTTGTATAGATTGTTCGAAGTGAGTGCCCGGCTACATGTGTCTAATCCATATACTTACCTGATTGATCTTGACGGCCGAAGTGGCCATTGTTCGTTTGATCTCATCTGCTGAACACCACTTCGCACCATATTACATGGGCTTCCTAGATTAACAGAGAGTCGTATCATTTTCTGAGGGCTGAGCAAGTCGGGTCCTTTCCACTGGCGGAGATAGCATCGACATGGATTTTACGTCAGGAACATGACCGACCCAGGTGAGATGTCACATACAGCGTATCGAACTTCGGAACCCTTAGTCATGAGCCCCGTCGTGTTGATGCCTTCGTAGACTTCGAATCAAGAAGGTTGCAGCTTTATTGCATAACCCATGCTTATCCAGCATTCTGAGGGTCTCAGCCTGCAACCGAAACCGTTCCAACAAGCAACAAATCCCATAAGAATCACTTCCTCTGGTATGAATATCTTCAATGGTAAGGAGCGCCCGGGTGCAGGACATTACCAGCAAGCCTCGTGTATCCTTTGTCAACACCAGCTCTGGGACGACATGTCAAAGTGCACCGAACGAAGTGAGCAACCAGTTGTTCGTGGTCAAAATCCGAGGCACGGTCAGCATAGGAGCAGATAACTGTATCCTTGTCAAGGTGAGCTTTCTTCTTGCGCCGTCCCCAGCTGCCACCGATACGGTAATGGCCGTTTTCTACGGCCGTATTCGCACTGCATGTGGATCAAGGCATGATGTGATCGTCTAGAGACACAAGGATCTCGCAGAAGCAGACCAAATCTGGAACACTGCCACGAGTATGAATGGGGATCGAAGTCGGTGGCCCGGTCAATGTGCCTCGCGCTCGCACAGATCCCAGATACTTATTCAAGTTAGCGCCACAGTCTTACGAAAGGGTCGTGAGGATCATCAACAAGGCGATCGATCTAATCGAGCAGATCGCTTGGAGACATGTCGAAGGTTGAACATTGACACTTGATGAAGACAATCCAGGTATGTCGGATTTCCACAGTCCCAGTATCCTTGCTCTTTCTCCTTTTTAAGGATAGATCAACTTCTCGACAAAGATATTGCAAGCCATGCCGAGAACCACAAGACGTGGTTGAATTGAGCAGACAGACACAAGCTCGTACTTGAACACATGGTAGAATGCACTCCTTGTCGTCACCAGGGGGAACATGGTTGCGGAACATGACCGCCTCCGCTGAATAATGAAGATATTCCTGTCCAGGCCCCCAGGATGCCGGGGGCTCGCAAGGCTCCGACCCTCCGCAAGCTGCAAAGATATCTCCGGATCAAGTCCCCAGTTCCACCCAGACGCAATCGAAAGCTTCCCTATGCGACAGTGTTGTGCGAGCACGGGGTTGCACGGCCTCGTTCGCCGGCCGATGGGCCAACAAATTCAAGGTCTGACGGACATGCTGTGCTGGATGTTTGAGCAGATGTCCCAATATGTACTTGGTCACACACGTCGAGGACATCTTCTGCCTTGGTCCCCACTCAGAGGCATCTCCACAGTTGCCAAAGGTAGAACTATCTGCACAGTCCGAGTGATCAGACCCTGCAACAAGCGAGCAGTCCGAATCCCCAATGCAAGATACGATGCGCCGCCACGATAGCTCGGAAACAAGCCCCACGACTTCCGCAAGCTCATGTATAAAGGACGCGTCTGCCCTGCGGCATGATGAAATCTTGGGAGGATAGCCAGTGCCTTCCTCCTTTCCAAAACTTGGATTTGTTGGAGGGATGGCTGCCGAAAACGCCCACCGAGGACCTCAGTGTTTGTCGGGGGATCTGGAAGCTCGAGATCGAGACGCTCCACCGGCTCCTCTTGAAAAAGAGATCACCATCGGCGACGGCATTTCACGTCAAAGCAGCAGACCCATTGCAGAAACCCTTTCTCTGCCGCACGAGATCCTCTTCGTGGGAATCATATGCACCGCACAGATGACCACACAAGTCGGCTTGGGCCAAACACTCATCATCATCCATGACATAGGACGGAGCTTCAACCTCACCAACCCAAGCGAATTAACATGGCTGATTGCCGGATACAGCCTGACGGTTGGGACGTTCATTCTCGTCAGCGGAAGATTGGGAGACATGTTTGGGTACAAACGAATGCTGATTGTTGGGTATATCTGGTTCTCGATCTGGTCAATGATCGCTGGGCTGGCGGTCTATTCGAATCATGTACTATTCATTTTTGCTCGGGTCTTCCAAGGAATCGGCCCTGCCATCCTCCTCCCGAATGGGGTGGCTCTCCTGGGTGCAAGTTATGCGAATGGGAGTCCAAGGAAGGACATGGCTTTTGCGCTCTTTGGTGCCTGTGCTCCCGGTTAGTGAGCAGCCACCGAATCATCGGCTTTGTTCGCTGTGCTAATCTGTCATCGTTAGGTGGCTCGATCATCGGCTGTGCCATTGCAGGGGTCTTCGCTCTGACGTGGTGGCCCTGGACATTCTTCTCCTTCGCCATTGCCCTTGCCATCCTTGCAGTAGTCTCCTATTTTGTCATTCCGAGCCCGCCGCAAAGAACCGAGTTTGCCAATTACTCCCTCCGGAACAAGCTCGAGCTCCTTGATCTGCCTGGTGCCGCAGTGGGCATCACGGCTTTGGTCCTGTTCAATTTCGCATGGAATCAGGCACCAACGGTGGGTTGGCAGAAAGCATACGTCTACGTGACGATGCTCATCGGAATCCTGCTGGTGCCTTTGTTCTTCTACATTGAGCTCCGGGTCGCCAAAGCCCCGCTTGTTCCTTTCGACGCACTGACGGTGGATGTTGGATTTGTGCTTTCTTGCATTGTCTGTGGCTGGGCTTCATTTGGTACGGACCGGTTCCAGAAGCCCGAGTGTGTCTGCAAAACTAATCAATGGAAAATCTAGGGATATGGTTTTTCTACCTGGTCAATTTCCTAGAGATCTTGCGAGGCGCCTCACCTTTGCTTACCGTCGCATATATGAGCCCCGTGGCCGTTTCCGGCGCTTGTGCCTCTGTCGTCACGGGGATCCTCTTGTCCAAACTTCGGCCCGCCATGGTCATGACGATCGCGCTCACCTGGTTCACGGTCGGGCACATCCTGGTCGCCACCACGCCTGTCCACCAAACGTACTGGGCGGAGACTTTTGTCGGGCTGGTCGTCATCCCCTGGGGGATGGACATGTCATTCCCTGCAGCAACGATCATTCTCTCAAACGCGGTGCGGAAGGAACACCAAGGTATCGCCGCCAGCCTCGTCACCACAATCGTCAACTACAGCATATCGCTGGGACTGGGCTTCGCAGGGACTGTGGAAGTGCATGTCAACCGCGGTGGACGCACGCCACACGACACTTTGCTGGGATACCGCGGGGCATGGTACCTTGGAATTGGTTTCGCTGGGCTTGGATTGTGTATAAGCATTGTGTTTCTGCTAAGAGACTACTTGAAGGTCAAAGGGAGGAAGAGCGGTTGAACACCCGACTGAGGAATCAAAAGCTTCTGAGAAGCTGCCGAGTTGTGTATCAGCCATTTGGTGTCTAGATAGAGCCTGTTGAGACTCGCAGCTCATCATCATGCTGGAGTGAATAATAGACTGAGAGAGCTCGGTTGCTCAACATCCTGGAACGGGCTGGTCTGCACCTGTAGTCTACAGTACATCTTTTACGGCGGATCACACCCCGGTGACCCGCACTATGTATCTCCGCACATGCGATCTCAAGACTCCCTCACACATAGTGCTTTGCATCATTGCCCAACCGCCGCCCCAATGCGCATGGTCCAAGTCTCGGAGCAGGACCGTTCCCAGTGATGGACCGCAAAGGCCGCTGGTCTCGCTCGTCCTCCTCGTCACCATGTCCTTGACCTTCACGCAAGGGTTCCTGCTGGGCCAGCTGTCCGTGGTCGTCTTTCTGGGGTGCTTCATCAAGTTCTTCATCTTCGGCGAGGCGCCCTCGCCGGCGCGCTCGCGGACCTCGTCCTACTCCTCCTCTCGTCGACAGGCCCCGAAACACGTCCGGACCACGTCCCTCCACGGCCTCGCGTCCTCCCGGACCCCCGCGCCGTCGCAGTCGTTGCGGACCAAGGCCAGCGCCACCAACATCCTGCGCCCCGTGCCGACAAACGCGACCGACATCGCCTCCATCCTGCGCAAGACGTACTACCAGATCCCCAGCCGCGGTCTCGGCCACGGCGGGGCCCACGGGCATGGCAAGCACCATCATCACTCCACGCACCAGCCGGAGAGTCTGGACTGGTTCAACGTCCTGCTTGCGCAGACAATAGCACAGTACCGCCAGACAGTCTACAATTTGCGAGACGGCTCAGGGAGCTCCTCGGCCATCCTTGCGAGTCTTGAAGCGACCATCAATGACCCTGAAAAGAGGCCGTCGTATATAGACAAGATCAAGATCACCGAAGTTTCCATGGGCGAAGAGTTTCCCATTTTCAGCAATGTTCGAGTCATCGCCGTCGATGACGATCTGTCAAGTGCCACTGGTGGAAGGCTACAAGCTTTGATGGATGTCGACCTATCAGACGACAACCTGACTCTAGCTATCGAGACCGCACTCATCCTCAACTACCCCAAACCCTTTTCTGCCGTGCTGCCAGTCGCCCTTGCGGTTTCGGTCGTAAGATTCTCTGGCACTCTCTCCATAAGTTTTGTCCCTGTCACAGAGGACGACCCATCCAGCGAAAACAAGAATGCCTCCTCGGGTAAGCCCAAGACCAATCTCGCATTTTCCTTCCTCCCCGATTATCGACTCGACATTTCTGTTCGAAGCTTGATTGGATCCCGCACTCGCCTGCAGGACGTACCAAAGATTGCTCAACTAGTGGAAGCTAGAGCACAAGCGTGGTTTGAGGAGAGGGTCGTCGAGCCAAGAGTTCAAGTGGTTCCTCTGCCCGGCCTGTGGCCACGGATGGGTAAGACAAGGGTGAGGGAAGGCCAGGATGACGAGCGACCTCCTACTCAAGACGACCGGCGATCCTCTTCATTCGTGGATCATCGCAAAGAGCCAAAGCCAGAGGACCATTTTCCCTCTCAAGAAGAAACTGAGAGAATCTTTGAGGGACTTAGATGGCGGGCTGGTCATCATCGTGCCGACAGTCAGGTCATCGAACATGAAGATGATGCCCAAACTCCTCAACCCTTGCGAGTCATGCCTGGAGCTCTTCCGGCTTCATGAGGAAGACTCGACCAGGGTTCTGGGACAGCATAGGAGTTTGTACCTGGTCAGAGCCAAGGAAGTAAGTGGGTCGCCATTCTCTTGAGTGCATTGTGCTCCTCAGTGCAAGCCACAATAAGGGCAGAGTATCACTCCCTCTGTGTACTCTCTCAAGTGGGCTCTATTGTGCTCGGTGGGAACATCTCGTCCCATAGCCATTGGAGCGGCTCACTGCAAACCGGCTTCCACCACAAGAACCTCGAGCAAATCAGTTCCAGTATTGACGAGTCTTGAATCTGTAAGAGTAAGATCTGCTGTAGCAGCTGCTCAATATACCAGCATCGTTGGGGTGTGAAGTTTGATGCAATTGCTCCCAACGTCAGAGACCAAAGTAAGACTTGACCGTGCAAGTCCCAACAGCCGAGAAGGTCGCAGGCCTCGAGAGTCTGTTGCAGCGCCAGAGCAAGCCTGGGCTTCACTCTTTGCGGAGGAGGTAGAGGGAAGATGACCATGTCGCTGAAAACCAGTGCCCCTAACCGGACGGCTTGATGGACACACAGTTCGGCGTTCGACAAATCCAACGGACACGGTATTTGAGATAGGAGTCGGTGCTGGGCGCAGTTCCGGGCTTCTGAAAGCTCCACGAGTTCTGGGGCAGTGGAACCACCACGTACATGGTGGTCTAGGGCTACGGTGATCTCGGAGTATGCGTCCAACGCCTCGAGCAACTGCTGACCGGCAGGACTTTGACGGAGGTAGCGAAACCCTGCGCCAAGTTTGGAATCCAAGTCAATGGCCACATGGTCGAGCAAATGCTTTCCTGTAGAGACGAGTGACTTGATGGGATGGCGCCACGGGAAGTTTGGTCTGCATACGTATTTTGAAGCAAAGTACAGATCGCACCTGTCGTTGTCATTCAGAATCACCATTCACCGTATGGTGGGAGGGAATAGATAGCAACCAGACTTACAATTGCATTGTATCGGCCATTCCGTACATCTCAAGGCCTTCAAGCCCTCCTTTCTGACTAACCAACAGTAAAATCCCCTGGATATGCTTTTCATCATTGACCATGGCGCCGTAGACATGGAGGTTGTTGACCTTGGCCATGGGAGATGTAGGATGGACTTTCGGGTACGGTGTTTCGTCCCTGGTGTTATGAATACTCATGATCGTCACGGCCATGATCAGCGCATCGGTGGGTGCTGTCGTGGTAGCTCCGATTCCACTTCCGTTTTCTCTCGAGGTATTGTAGTCTCGTTGTTTTCGCTTGGGGAGAGAGAGACTGAGCGACTGTAATTGCTCATTTACGAGCTTTATCGTTTCAACCTTGTGCGACAGTCGTAGGAGGGGAGCCGAGTCGTTGATCTCCCGCCCGTTGTATGCACAGAGGATGTGGTATGACGCCGCGTAGACAAAGGCGTGAAATGCGACGGGATGCTCCATGCCGCACTTCAACCAGGCAGATTTGACGGGGTTCATGTTGGAAAGAGAACGTTTGACGGGGACGGTGTTGGGCCAGGAGTAGGACAGGGCCTGTTGCCACAGGACGGCCACGCCGTTTTTGTCAGTAATTGATTCGATTGGCACATCTTACGGGAAAATAAGGGGTGTTTCCGGTCCTTCAATGACAACCCCGAGCCGGTGATTCTGGGGAGAGAGTAGTACGTACGTGGTCGAGAACTTGATGGACGAAAAGGGGCACGCCCTGCACAGGGAAGGCGTCAAAGGGATCGATTCGACCTTCGCCGAGGACGGATTGAAGGCCGCGGGCGCTGCTGAGGTGGGGGATGATGTCCTTGTGGTCATCACCCACGGGAGGCGTACAGGACGGTTTGCGCGGGGACTGCCCTTCTCCGTCACCGTTCTCCCCGAGCTCTTCTTCATCCACGCCATCGCAATCACCATCTTCTCCTTCCCTCGCCTCCCGTGCAGGGCCTTCGCGAGGTTCCAGTTTTGATCTCTCGGCAGTGCCGCCGTCTTGTCCCTTCTTGAGAGCCTCAAGGCGCTTGACTCTCAGCGCTCGATGGTAGTTTTTAGTGATATGCTAGAACTTGACAGTCAGAAAGGCTACTCTTCAAGAACCCAAGCCACCAGTCGTCGAAATGAAGGAGCCGAGACGTGGAACGAGGTCTCTTGCCAAAAATCCCCGGGTCCCATATGGGCGCCCTCGGATTTCTGAGCGAGACAGTAACTTACCGCTCGCACTTCACTGGGACCGCCACGTCGCCTCTTTTGGCCCTTGACTGGTTCGACGGGTTTCGAGTACTCGACAAACATGAACCGACTCGTGGGGGCGTTACACGCCATTTTGGAACGAGATTGCTCATCTAACACCTCCCACCGATAAAAATTGCCTTGCGATCGAACGTCGAGTGTAAGCGGAGTATTGTATGGTGGTTGTTAGAGCATCCAAAAGCGGGGGCGGACCCGACAACCACCTGAGGACTCGCCAGGTATGTCGAGGAATTTGTCCGTGTCGGTGGCGCAGACAAAAATGACGCCGATAATGTCTCTTAATGACTGCCTATTAATATACAGAGGCGTCCGAGAAGGTCATTAGGGATTACAGAAGGGAATAAAAAGAAGATTAAACGGTGAAGCGATCAATGAACGATGTGTCAGCAGCAGCATGGGGGAAAACAAGTCCGCCATCGTGGATGAATGGAGCATTTAAGGAACAAGACTGGGGCTTGGGTGGCTTGGGAACCTCGAGGCAAGGGGCGGGAACTGCGAGTGACAAGTGGGCTTCGTGTAGGTAGGTTTTGCTGGGTGCAGATGGGCTGAGGTTGCATGTGTTGTGTGTGTGTGTTGTGGCCGAAACAAACGAAGACGACAGACGCCGCCAGGCCGTCTTGGTGTGCAGGCCAAAAGGCGGTAGGCTTGCAGTGACAAGCGTTTGCATGCCGAGGCCGCCAACTAATTAACAGTCAGAGCGTAGGAGACGCCTACCCTAGGCACTCCGTAAGAGTTAAGGCAGGGCCGTCGTTAGCCTCAGTAGCCTAAGTGTCTATTCGTAGGCGTAGGCGGGACAGAAGAGGGAAATGGTCTGATGTGCGCTTCGGCACCAACGCTGTTGAACCAACGAGCAAGCCAAAGTGTCAAACCCCCGCGTTTTCGTTTCAACAGATGCTTCCATCGCTTGTTGCTGCTTGCCACGCCACCCGACACCACCTACCCACCATGTCTCTAGCATGAAACACCCCCTCCTCCGTCATTTGTACCGCACCTGCAGGTAACCACATACCTACCGCGCCCAGCGATCTCAAGTTTGCAGCAAGATCGGGGGACTACTCACAGCCTGGTGCCGAGACGGGACGACGCTCTCATCCCAAATAATCAGCGGACATAGTCGTCCTTTTTGCGTGTTTGAGATGAAAAAGCGAAATGACTAATTTTTATCCAGTCATTCCATTGGGTGCCACCGCCCTGCGATCCCATCAGAGCCCCTACGGAGTATAAACCTCCTCCTGGTTCCTCCTCCTTGCCCTCAGCCTTCCACAGCCTTGAGACACCCGTGGCGCCCGGATCTCCGGCTTTTGCGACCGACCATTTGACCTTTCTGGACGACACTCCTCGTTACTAAGCGCAGCAAGCACCACCTGCCCACAATTGCATCTCGCCGTCCAGGTCTTGTCCTGTAACGAGCAGTTGCGCAGAGAAAAACATACCGCGAATAGATTTAAGCGAGAGACGGCTCAAGAAGAAAAAAGCCTATTTTATAACTGCCCAACGGCAGCGGAAGATGGACAGGTCGTCACAATGAGTATTACTACTACCCAGTGTTTCCGCGGATTGCCTGCCATTGCCGGAACCCCAATCCAACGTCAGCCTTGCCCGGACGTTGCTTCTCCTGGCCACTAGAATGCCGTTGGACGGTTGCCTCCTTATGGTTAACGGTACATTGCGTGCAGAACGACTAATTACATCTGCAAAATGGCCGGTTTCGGAGATGGATTCCTGCAATACAACATCATACACGAAACCGTCTGCTACACCGCAAACTTGTTATGGACTCCTCATGTTCAAGAGATGGCTTTGTCAACTAAGCAGAGAAATGCATAAAGCCAGATTGGTTCTAGGCTCTCGCTTAAGCGGTATGTATTCGACGCAGAAGGCGGTTTCATCATTTTCAGAACTCGTGTGTTACGTCGCGCAAATAATCTACTCGCGAGGGAAAGATTTCCTTCGAGCTAGAAGCCTCATCAATCACACCTGCGGCCTTCCAGCCATCTGTTATGCCACAGAAATGCCGTCTCTGGTCTGCAGGTAATTCTTGCGGTGCTCGTTGACGTCGGTCTCGGCACCACGGTTGAGTGGTTTCCACTTGGGCTCGTCTTGAAACAGGCGCATAGCCTTGATATACTGTGGTTCCGGTCAGTGCCCCGTCCACATCCACCACGGTCCCATATGATGAGCCGGCCTACTCACATTATCTTCATCGGTGGTGAAACGGTGATAGATACCCGCGGGGAGAATGATCAGATCGTCCTTTTCAAGCCGAATTCTCACCCAGTCATCGTCCTTTGATCTAACATCAAAGTAACCTGCGCCGTCCCGAATATAGCGAATCTCTTCGTCTTCATGTAGATGCTCGTCAAAGAACATCTTCACTTTGTCTTCATAGACGGCGCCCATGGCTTGTGGAGAGACCGTGATTTCATCGCGGTTCTTGTATTTTCTTTCTTTGGCAATGGCATCGACGGAGGTCAGTTCGGGGCAGTGATGGTAGAGGACGCCGATCTGGGCCAAGTAAGAGGGATCAACTGCACGTCCCGAGTCGTGTGCGAGGCGCTGGTCACCCTGAGAGAAGCTGTTAGCATTGAAAGAGGATAAATGGGCATGAGAAGGATCCCGCATTTACCTCTTGATTATCGAACCAATATGCCTTCATAGTGATTGCGGGGAAGTTTTAATACAGGTGTACGAGGTTGCGCTGCAGACAAACGGGCTGGCTGTGTCGAGAGGGGTAGCGATGGATTCAAGGCGAACAGAGGGGAGGTATCTCGGGATTTAAATATTCTGCAGAGACAAATCCTACGAGCTGGATGGCAACTGCACGTTGAGAGAAATCTTTTTGCCTTTGGTCAGATTTGGGGAGCGTGAGCCTCTTGCGCAATGGGCGGCATTGGCATTGGCGGCATTGGTATTGGTGGCCGATGGCGTTGGTGCCGAGCATGTCTTGGTGGAGATGCGAAACTGGCAAAAGTGATCGCCGTCACCACCATCAAACCCGCCTTCATATCTGCTCATTTCTCACTCTAACGACAACCATCAGATATTTTCTCCGAGTCCACTGTCTCTGCTGACGACCAAAGTCAAATACCACCTCACAGGAGATGTCAACCGCACCTCTACAAGTGACCGATCCCACTGAAAAATATCACCATTGAGCCTGTTTCACTCCCTCCTTTTTTGCATTGCCCATTGTCTGGACCAGGACCATATATCGATCCCCAGAGGAACACGGCCATTGCTAGTCTCAGTAGCTAGGAGCGAGCCGTTGGTCTCCTCCTGCAGAAGACTGGGCCTTGCCATTCTGGCCACATAATGCCACTCGAATCCTTCTGATGCGCGGCCACTTGAAGCAAAAAGTAAGCACCTACTACTCACCAGGTCCACATTATTCTCCCGCTTTGTTCCTATCAGGCTTCGACGACCTTCTTCGACCAGAGCTGATCTCCCTGGCCACTGCCGTTAATGCATATGCTTACACACTGGCTTCAGTTCGGATTCAACACCTTTTGGAATCCCGCAGACTGAACCCTTGCCTCCGCTGCCACCTTGCTCGACCCAATATCGCCGCAGGAGGTTGGTTATGAAGGCAAAAGCGTCAGGCGGCGTGTAACTGAACAGTCAGCAACCTGTCTAACCCGCCCTGACAACTGGCTGCGTCTGGGTTTTCCAAATGTTCTTCTTGCCTGGGTTTGGTGGCCGGATGTGGTGAATTGTCTGATCGTGGTATCGGTCCGATTCAAGCCTCCCCAGCCTTTTCGTGTCCTTTGCGTTGCATTTTCCTAGACTGCGTGGCCCCAATCTGGACGGAGATACACCACGGAGCAAGAATCTCATCTTTTTACTTCTAACAAAATGGATGACCTAAAACGCACAAATTCCAACGACACCCGCTCAACATCACCGGGTGCTTATCGTTCTCCTTATCCTACAACAACTGGCGCTGGCAAACTCTCCCTGCCGTACACAACCGATCCACCGTCTCCAGCAAATCCGCCGCAACAGAAAGTATGGCTCGTCTTCGGCGCAACAGGACATATGGGCCGCTCGGTGACGAAAGCCGCCCTGGGTCATAACGACATTGTCGCTGCCGTGGGCCAGTCCTTCCAAGACGACCTAGAGAGCGTGAAGAAATGGCATAACATCCCGGATCGATATCTGGGGCTGTTATGTGACGTACGTATACGCTCGAGCGTGTCCTCGGTCATCGAACAGACGATGAAAAAGTTCGGCCGAGTGGACATCATCGCCAACTGTTCGGGATACGGCGTGATTGGAGCCTGTGAAGATCAAGACGAACATGAGATTCGAAACCAGTTCGAGACGAATTTCATGGGCACGTTGAACATCATTCAACTTTCTCTACCATATTTTCGGAGACGACAGGACGGGAGGTATCTGATCTTCAGCTCTACGAGTGGCGCGCTTGGAGTTCCTGGCCTCGGTCCATATTGCGCAACAAAGTATGCCGTAGAAGGCCTAATTGAAAGCATGCTCTACGAGGTTGATCCGTTCAACATCAAACTCACCCTCGTTGAGCCGGCACACATGCGCCGGGACGACAACGACATTTTTCCTCCTCCACAGCCCAGTCAACCTAGTACGACGACGACGATGACGACGACGACGAACGGACGAATCCCACAGCAACAGCAGCCGCAACAACAACAACAACAACAACAACAAATCCAAAAGCAGAACGCACTGGCCCTCTTCGGCCATTTCAAAGTGGCGCGGCCGTCCTCGCCGTACGCCACGAAAGACGCCCCTGCCGCCCACGCCCAGCGGTCCCTGCAGTGGATGGGTGCCAACCAACCCACCTCGGTGGTCAAAGCCGCCGAACTGGTCTGGCAGCTCGGCCACTGCCGGTACCCGCCGCTGAGACTCTTGCTAGGGACTTTTGCCGTGGAGAGCATTCGCGACCGGCTGAAGAGCATCATCGAAGAGATCGAGGACTGGAAGCACCTGAGTTTCCCGCCGCTGGAGGGGTTCGAGGAGAAGGAAGACGGCGATGACAAGGAGGAAGGCGAAGGGGAAGGGGATGGAGATGGAGAAGGGGACGACGGAGATGGCGACGGTGACGGTGACGGTGACGAACACGACGAACTTGATGAACGTGGAGGAGGAAATGAAGAACAGACCGAAGGAAAGGGCGAGGACTATCCTGAAGGGGGCCGAAGGCCTCTCAATCCGGCGGACCGGGATAAAGAGATCCACGACAGGGAAGAACGAGGGGAAGGGAGACGCGTACACATCAAGCTGGAGAGTAAAATGGATGTGGACGATTGAAAAGAGACAACATCAGATGGAGATCAAGAAGCGGATGGTCTTGGGTTTCAAAATGGGTTTCTCCATTCGACACTACCTGACAGCTCCAGGCCAGCGCAGAGCCTTCCGCCATCCAGGCACGAACTATATCATGTTGGCCACTTTGCTATCCACCCTCTCAGCTATGCTGTCGAGCCGCCCTGTGTCTCAATCAGCGCCTAGCAGAGACAGCTCACAAGCCATGCAGGATACGGGTACTACCACACCCCAAGGTTGAAGGGGCCGACACATACAACCAGGAGTGGATCGATCATTGAATGGATAGATACGGGCCCTTGCTTCGTCTCGTCTTGTCGCCGCCTTTCACTCCTCTGACGTGCCTTGCGGTGTTTCGCAATCAATGGACGACCAGCCACCAAGCCTGCTCAGCTCCACCGCAGAATTTCCAACAGTCGTTCCGAGTGTGCGTTTAGCCCGTTGGCTAAAAACATGCACCCGATGTCCGCCACTCGTTTGCGAAGTTTTGATGTCGTGAGATGCAATATTCGTACATTTGCAGCATGGGCATGCTCGGGGCGCCTCCGAGGAAACAGCCCACAAAATCTAATCTCAAGCTCTGTTGAGTGAGGTCGGAAGCCGGAGGTCTCGAGTCACAAGTCGTTTTCGACGGACTTGGCCTTGGATTCGGATATCGATATGATACATTGTCTTTGAACAGAAAACTCCTCATTCTCAGCACGCGATCGAGGGATCAAAGTGTGATCCGCATATGATCATTCGCGCCAAAAGCCTTCCCACAATTCGGGCACTTCCTCGCCCTCAACGTCAGCCGTTCAGCAACACAATCATTGCAGAACGTGTGTCCGCACGTCTTGATCACGGTGTTTTTCAGGTTCCGTTTGCAGATATTGCAATATGCAAACTGTCTCAATATCTCGTACTGTTCGGACTGTCCTGATTTGGATTTCCACGTCTCCAGATTTCTGCGCGTGTCTTTGAGCGAAGACTTAAGATCTTCCACTTCAACTTCAGCCGCACGGCAAGCGCTAGTTGCGGCGGCGAGTTTGACGTCTTTGGCAGTGGCCTGGGTTTTCAGCTCAGATATTTGGGTGTTGAGTCTGGAGATTTCGAGTCCTTGAGTGATGTTTTGTTGTTGAGCGGTTCGATGTTCGTTGGTCTTATGCGCTAAGGCGTCCTTCAGCTCGGACAGCTGTTTATCTGCCGTGGCCAGCAACGCTCGCGTGGCCGCTTCGGCGTCTTTCAACGCCCCGATTGCCTCTGCCGATTTTGCGTTCTGCAGCCGCAGTGTTCTGATTTCGCCAGCCTGAGTTTCCTTGCTTTTCATCGCGGCAAAGAATTTCTGGTCGGCTTTGGTCTTATCCATCGACAGTTTCAGCACCTTCTCCTCCATTGCAGCAAACTCGGAAACTTTTTGACTCGCAATCTTTGACGTCTTTTGGAACGCTGTCGACATGGACGCGAGTTCACCATTGAGGAGATTGTACTTCCTGTCAAGTTCATGGTATCTGGCCCGCAGATCTTCCAGATTCAAAGCATCCAGCTCTGCGTTATCCACAGCCATCTCGCCTGGTTGAGCTGTGAGCCGCTCGTTTTCGGATTCAAGCGCGCGAATACGATCTTCTTGCGCCGAAGCCAGTTCCGTTATCTTCTTCACAGCCTCTTGATTCTGATCCAGAGAAGCTTGCTTGACAGCCTGATCGGCTAGTAATTCGTCTCTGCTGTGTCGGATCCTTGCCAGATTGGCCTCTGATGCCGCCAAAAGAGACTCCTTCTCTACTATTGCCACTCGTTGCTCATTTTCCAGCTGAAGTTGATATGTCGTCCTTTCCGACCGCAATTTCGAGGCTTCTTCCTTGAGATCGGTATTGGTGGCTTCAAGATTGTTAACTTTCTTGACGGTATCCTCGAGTTGCGATTTCAATTGCTTGAATAACTCGGTTTTTGCATAGTCGTCATCCGTCAAACTTGCCGATTTCGTTTGCAGCTCCGTTATCTGTGCGGTCAACTTTGCATTTTCTTCCTCCAACCTGTCCAACTGCTCTTTCTGCTTTTCTGATGCTGCCACGGTTTTGTTCAATTCCTTTTCCAGCTCAGCCAGCTCTTCGGAATTGTCTGTTGTGCCATTGAGCGTACTTTCTTCTCTCTTGACCGGACCACCTTCCTCCCCCGCGGGCTTAGTTGCGCCTAGTAATGCCTGTTTCTCTAGTTTGGCGACCGTTACACTCTTCGCCCTGTCAATTTTGCGTTCGGCCGTCATATACCTGAGAGAGGCATTTTCTAGCTGGTGATCCAAATCGTCTTTCTCCGACTGCAGCCGCTGTAATTCGGCAAGGTGACTTTTTTCCGCCGCCAACAACTTTGCGACCTGTGACTGCAATTCTGCTATGTCAGGCGATGGCGGCTTTGTAGGACCGAACAGTCTCGATATCACATCTTGTATCTGCCTGGAGCGGTTGCGGAGATGTTCTTCAAATTGTTCTTGATCCGAAAATGCTAGCGAAGAGGGCAAGGACACAGGGTCCATGTCTACATCCTCATCCACTTTGGCGATGACCTTGACCTCATCGACAACTTGTTGGAACCATGCATCAATTATCCGGAGATGATCGTCGTGATATCGAGCCTTCTTGCGCATCTCTTTTAATTGAGCCTCAAGGGTATTTTTCTCTCTCTTATATTCCTGCATCTGCCGCCATATCGCATCTTTCTGAAATCTCTGTTTACAGAAAAGCGTGTTAGCTTGGGTCTCAGATAGACAAGGGGGTGTGAAGGTTAGGCTTACCTCCAGATCATCCTTCCAGGGCATATCATCATCCTTGTGAGATTTCGACGCGCCATTTGCAGAAGTGGCTTGCTTCTTCAGCGGCGGAGCGGATTCTACGGAATCGTAAGGAGAAGGTCTTTTACGCTCTTCCATCTTGACTAGGCTCTGTTGAGAGAGGGAAAGGGGGAGAGATTCGACGGCCGTCATCAGTCCTGCTGCACGAAGGGGCTCTGCTTGTCGGCAGTGAAGATCCTTGGAGAAGGCCCGCGTTGGCAGCAAAAGCGAGTGACGCCGCGATAGAAGGTTGCCGATGAAGTAGTTAAGTTGTTGGCAGACAGAATTCGCAGAGGCAAAGACAAAGAGAAGAATGAAGATGTCGAGTCGCCGCGGACACTGTAGACAAATCCGGTTAGCGACCATCGGATCTTGGCATGTTTGCCGATCAAACCTGCACTGTGGTCGTGTGGGCAGCGGCGTTGACTGACGAGAAGCTCTGGAGTGAACAAAGAGAAAGATATGTGAGTGAGATCCGTGTACGTTCGGTAGGGAACGGAGAGCGTTGCGCCCATCATGTCAACGTTCAGTTCAGTTGTGCGAAAGCCAGGCCAGAAGATAGTCCCGAAGGGCCCAAGAAAGAATGTCCAAAGAACTGCTCTCCGACACGCTGCTCCGCCGTCCCTGACGCCGGAGAGTCAGACTGTGAGTCCTGCTGTTGAACTTGTTGACGAACCAGTTCAAGGTCAGGAACGGGAGCCGCAGCTAGAAACGGAGATAACCCAGCTGGCCAGCGAAATACCTTCCATCGCTGGATCAATAGAGACAGCAGGAGAGCCCCTCCATACACCGCTCGAAGAAGCAACAACTGAGAGAGTTCCTTCAGCCTCTTTTGAAAGCGCTGTTCCGAGTCACCCGATCCCCGAGATTGAAATCATTCATTCCAACAACGTCAGCGAGAGTCGTCCCGATCAAGTCATACCCTCAATTTCGGTTTCGATCCCTTCATCTATTCGTCCGAAACGAATAACCACCCGTGAGCCAGCCTCTCCAGCATCAGAAGACTCTGCTCAAGAGACGGAAACCACTGGTGGTTCAAGGAAGCGGCAGAAGACTACTCACACAGTCGAGGATTTCAGAGAGTCCGAATCGCATACTCCTCCCCTACTCGATTCTACAACACCAGTACTGAGGACCAGCCCAAGAGCTAGGCGGAGCGAATCTCGTACATCGGACGCGCTATTGCAAGATGCGACAACCCAAGCAGCTGCAGTATCGGAACTTGCAAACTCAATTGAGAGCAGAGCAAGATCGCACCAACCCCGCTCAGCGCGTCGATCGGTGTCACAACCAGCAGAAACAGAAGAGAGTACAACTGAAGATGCTGCGCAACCAAGAGCGAGGCGCTCGAAGAAGAAGTCACATTCGAGGAGGATACAAGAGCTGGCCCAACAAATTGTGGAAGATGCTGTCCATGGGAGCACAGACGAGCCAGATCGTCGTCGTTCTCGCCTTGCTACTCCGGAGAATGCTGAAGAGCTAGAAATAGACCCGCAGGAGGTCTCGATGGCAGATCTCATCAAGGATAACAAGATAGGCAAGAAATCCGAAACAGAGAAGCGCATGCAGGAGAACTGGCCAGAGATCAAAAAGCGACGCAAAGAGGAGCTTGAGAAGCGACGGGAAGCCGCCCGAGGGGAAACCAACGCTTCGAATAACGAGGAAGAACACAACGGAGGAGAGGACGCGGCAGTTCCCAAGCAGATCATCGTCAACGGACAAATCGTCGTCGCAGCAGAGTCTCGAGAGGTCGCCTTCGGCGCAGGCGTCGAGGAGGCGGTGATTCAAGACGCAAATGTTGCGCTTGAAGATGACCGGATCTACAAGTATATCACTTCAGGTACGTTGGGGAAACATGCAGGGCGCGCGCGCGGGAACCGATGGGACGAAGATCAGACCAACCTCTTTTACAAAGGCCTGCGGATGTTCGGCACCGATTTCACCATGGTTGCAAATCTTTTTCCGGAAGGTGTTGACCGGCGCGTGGTCAAAAAGAAATACCTGCTTGAGCTACGGACAGATCCAGAGAGAGTCGAAAGTTGTGTTGCAGCCAAAGAAACGGTGAGTATAGAGGACTACGCGGCCATGACAAATCAGGAGTTTGAGGACCCGGGAAAGGTAATGAAGGAGTTAGAGGAACAAGAGCGAAGACTGAGGGAGGAGGATGAGAAACGAAGAGCGGACCAAGGATTTGTTGATCATATTGCGGGGGCTGACGTGCCGTTGCCATCTACGGAGAGGGATGAAGCAGACATCGATGAGAGCGGCCTGGAAGGCCAACGGCAGCAGGCCACTGCAGGTGCACATTTGGCTACGCCAGACGCAGCAGGGCGGGGAACTCAAGCACCCAGCATGGATCGTTTAGACAGCATCTCAGCTTTGGCGGAGAAGGTTGTCCAGGCGGCTGTGAATCCCAAGAAGAAACCGCGGCGTCAGCCGAAGGAGTCAGCAGGAACTGGACGTGGCGGAAGGCAACCCAAAAAGGGTAGGAGAGCGGTTGAAGGCACAGAGGAGAGAATTGGTCCCATTGACGAGGTTGATGAGTGATTGCTGGCATGGCATCTCCATCTCTGTCATTTTGGTTGCAGACTGTGATTGCGAGTTGCATCAACATACATATTGATACCCCATTTTGCAAGGCCTTGCTGGTTGTGCAAAGCCAGCTGGAGCATTGTATGCCGTCTGTTCGTGGCAGGCATACCTAGTAATGTCATTTCATTCCCCAGATTGGACCCCTGTGTTTAACATTCATAGTAGACCGCTGCCTTGCCCGTGGGTCCTTTCTTCTCATGGTAGAGGTGTCTCGTCGAGGCCTTCAAGTGGTTGCTCCTGCACGAGTCCGGCTCACCTATCATCCTCATATCTTAGACCGTGCTGCACGAAAACGGGTCCTATCTGACGTCTCCCAGCGGCCCATGGAGTTTTCATCCCTCTTCCATTCAACTAGCCCTCCGCATGGGCGACGAGATAGATATTCCGTGGTCTCCAGGATTTGCTTGTTCTGACTCCCAATTCTCTCTCCAACAATGCTGTGGCTGTTCAATACCAGGCCCATCTCCACACGCAGTAATCAATACATTCCGGGGGTGTGACATTGGTAGTGCGTCTCACGAGCTCGCACTTGCATCTGGAAGGCTCCTTCTTACTGGTGTCATCGGTGGTCGTCGGCTGGGTAACGGTAATGAGGGTGTTTGGCTGTTGATATCCTCTTACCGCGAGGGTTGGCGCGGCGGCGAAGAGGAATAGAAGTGCGATGAAGGCAATGGTCGCAGTATTATTCGGCGCCATGACCGCCAAAGTCGCTCCTTTCAGACGTACCGCAATTGTGGAGACTGTGATGGACTTATTCTGTGCGTGCGACAAGTGTTTGATCCTGTGACGATGGTAATGTCGTCTGTGGTCGATGGCTGGTATGAAACTGGTCCGGTCACCATATAAGTCGTAAAAGGGCTTCCACTTCACTGACAAACATCACAGACGCGTTTCTGCCGGACCGCGTACAGATTGGGAGCTCATCAAGTCGATAGGGAACTCGGGTCCGACAACCTTTGCCGTGGTGACTGACCATCGTTCACGAATTGAAAATTCGACTATAAAGCAACTCGTGTCTTCCTACCCACAGATCCATGCTTGGAACCACTTGTCCCGCCTCTTCGGGTCTCATGAGCCAGCCTTTCTCTAGACAGCCAGCTAATAGCTCTTGCAATTCTTTGGATGCGAGGATATTTTGTGCCATATAAGGGCCCATCACGGATGCCCGAACACCTGCGCTAATGACCGCTTTGGAGTGGTTGAGGAGGAAAAGATAGCCTGACTCTTCAAGGTTGAGGCCTAGGGAAAGACAGATGACACCCCAAAGAGGAGCAAGATGTCCGTTCACTGCAGGAATCTGGTGAGGGTGGTTGTTGGAAACGCCGGCAGGAGATAGAGCTGAAAGCTTTAGGTCACGAGCAAAGACTTCAAGCGCGGTAGCAGCTTCAAGCCCTTCCCCTTCTTCTTCATGCTGCAGTCTCGCAGCAGGAGCGAAAGCTTTCTCCCAAACACTCAACAGTGCACGGCCTTGAGCAACACTCGCTCTCCTCGCAACGTTGCAGGGCGTGCTCGCATCGAGATCATTGTCGAGATCCATGAGCGCCAAGGGATCACGAAATGCAGCAAGAACATACGGAACATTTGTGTATGCCATCGACTGGATGGAAAGTTTGAGGAACTTGTGGAAAAGGGACAGATTTGTCTGCCCAGGAGTTGAGGGTTCTTGTTTGAGGTGAGCCAAGAAAGATTCTAGACCGCTTGAGTAGGCGAATGATCCGAGAGGAAGGGCTGAGTCGGACAGGAGCATGAGGTTGTGCATTGAGTGGCCTATTGGGAGGGTGACTGGCAGAGGCAACAGCAGGCCTTCTCCATTCGCACGAGCTTCCGTAGTTGATGTTGAGCCTGACCTTTCTATGCCTCGAAGGAGGGCTTTGGTGGTTTGCAGCTGAACCTCGAGCTCGAGGACTCGGGCGCGGAGCGCGTCCGCATCGTCCACTTTCATAGCATCATCAAATTGAATGATCTGCTCCCTGACATTTGTCCCTTCGATGACAGGAATCAAGTATAGCAGAGGTTAGACACGAGCAGACAAGGGGGGGTGATGTGCTCGATCTGTGGGGAATGCTGGGATTCGACGATCCACATGCAAAAAGCTCCAACCAGTTTCTCCAACCAGCTGCGCTCCGTGTAACGAACAAAGCTGCGTCAACGACTTGTGCATGTATTCAACGGCCGTCAGAAAGGGCCTTTGACCCTCCCTTCACCCGAAACCATGTCCGGCAGGCATCTAATCGATGCTCTTGCCTTACTTAGTGTGTCACGAAATGTCGCAGCGAAACATTTCGATATACGACTTGCTCAAGCTAGAGTCTATGGTCAATCTTCCTCCGTCATCAAGGCCATAAGGACTCAGGGTCTCCCAATCTTAGCTACATCTGTCTCGCGGTTCGCTTCCTCCTCTCAGCCTCTCTCAAAATCATCGAAAGAAGGTATCGAGCAAGACCACTTCTACACGAGATCCGTCGAGGGCTCCCAATCTCAGGCATCCTCTCGTGAAGGCCTGAACGTTGAGCAAGCCCAAGCGACCAGGACGCCACTCCCGGATGGGACAATACCGTTAGATGACAGCCCTATTGGAGCAGAGGAAGGAGATGGTATAACCTTCAATCAGATCCCCGCGGGGGAGACACCGCAGCATCCATTCGAGCCTAGAGCTGCCCAAGTCCTCAGTTCCCACTCATCTACGAAGCCAAACCTCCCCGGCAGCACTTCAGTCGAGGGTCTATCTCCAGATGAGGCAAGGAAAGCTCAACGACAATCCGAAGACCAGATCCCCGCGCAATCCGCCGAACCTCCGTCGCCGGAAGAAAATGGCCAGGAATTTGGAGTGGAACAAGAGCAGGATGTCTTCTATCAGCCACCAGGGACTGTCAAGCCGGTTTTATCTGCATTGCCACGTGTCCGTGTGCCTAAGACTGAAAACGACGTACAAGAGGGCGATTCGCATATCGAACCTGGTCTCAACGCGGATGTCTACTACTCTGGCTCTAAGCGTCAGGCGGACGCTGAGGATGAGCCCTCGGAGGAACAGCTATCTCGGCTATTTCGCAACCCGAGGAATGCAAGGATTTACGGGCAAAAGGGAAGATACGCCCCTGGCGGAGTCCCGGCGAGACGGTTCCATGGCATGAGCGTCATGCGGCAGAAGGCCCCTGATACGGATGCTGAAAGCATTAAGCAACTTGGGGCTGAGCTTGCCAAAGACATTCAGAAGATCAATGTAACTGAACCCTGCCTGTCGTTGACCGATCCTGACTGATCAACTGACAGATAACCTAGACGCAACAACCTCAGACTGCACGGCCGTATCAAATGCGTGAATCAAAAGTGCCTTCATCTAGGATGGGCCGGATATTCGAATTTGGAGGACTTGCAGCGTCAATGGCTTATGGAGCTGTCAGCGAGAGTATCAGTCGCTCCGGTGGTCCCAATGGCTCGTTGATGCTGAGTGCCGCAAATATGGAACGTCTTGTCGCCAAATTGTCCAAAATGCGAGGTGCCGCCCTCAAGTTAGGTCAAATGATGAGCTTCCAAGATTCCAAATTGCTTCCAAAGCCCATTCATGATGTGCTGCAACGCGTCCAGGACAGTGCGGATTATATGCCCGCGTCTCAGAGAGACGCAGTCATTGCTGCTGATTTGGGTCCCAATTGGCGTGATCAGTTCTTCCAGCAATTCGACGAGAAGCCCATGGCCGCCGCCTCCATTGGTCAGGTTCACGGGGCAGTGTTGAAAGACGGCAGGAGAGTTGCGGTCAAGGTGCAATATCCCGGTGTTGCGGAGTCGATTTCTTCCGATCTCAACAATCTATCTTTGTTGCTTACTGCCTCTCGCCTGCTGCCCAAAGGGTTGTACCTGGAGAAAACTATTGCCAATGCCCGTACTGAATTAGCATGGGAATGCGACTATATTCGCGAGGCTGAATGCGCAAAAAGGTTTCGGAAGCTCTTGGCAGACGAACAGGACATCTTCACAGTCCCCGAGATCATCGACGAAGCATCAGGCAAACGGGTCCTGACCATGGAGAGAATGGAAGGTATTCCAGTCACAAAAGTCCAAAATTTCACGCAAGAGCAGAAGGACTGGATAGGATCACAGATCCTGCGACTCTGCCTGCGTGAGATCACCGAATTCAGATACATGCAGACGGATCCAAATTGGACTAACTTCCTCTACAATTCTGAAACGAATAAGTTGGAGTTACTTGACTTTGGCGCATCCAGAGAATTTCCCGAGAAGTTCATTCAACTCTACATCAAGACCCTCATTGCCGCCTCGAGAAAAGACAGGGACGCTTGCAGAGATTTTTCCATCCAGCTTGGCTATCTGACTGGTTATGAATCTAAGGCCATGTTGAACGCCCATATCGATTCAGTCATGACGCTTGCCGAACCCTTCATGGATTTCAGTCCGGACGTCTATGACTTCCAGGACCAAACTATCACCGATCGAGTTCGGGCCCTCATTCCCGTCATGCTGAGAGAAAGATTGGCACCTCCGCCAGAAGAGACCTACAGTCTGCATCGGAAACTGAGCGGAGCGTTCCTCCTGTGTGCTCGACTGGGCAGCCGGGTCCGCTGCAAGGAATTGTTCGAGCAGGCGCTCAACAATTCGGGGATCCACTAAAAGCCAATGAGGTCTAGAACACCGAGTCATTGTCGTCCTCATCGCTGTGTTCCAGGATCGTCTCCTGCAAAAGCCCGGGCCGACTTGGTGCCGTATTGCTTGGGCCCAAAGGGCTAAGCGAACCCGCAGGCGCCGCGCCTGATACAGGCATCTTCCTTGCTTCCCGCACCACTTCTTGTAGGAAGGGTTGCGAAGCAATCAATCGAGCCTCGGCGGCTAGTCTCTGTTGTTCCTCCAGCTGTTTCTTTTTCTTTGCTTCCCTTGCCTTTCGGTACGATACCGCATCGTGGCCTTTGGCTGGAATCGGCTTCGGAGTGCTGCGATCAAGGCGAAATACAACAACGAAGACGCGCATGGTGAAATGCAAGGCAAGCGCGAATAGTAGCCCCAGCAGAACTGCGCTGCCGAGAAAGTACCAGAGCGGCTGCATAAAAGTTAGTAGGTGTTTGGGGTATGAAGGCACTTGGGTTGAGCAGACAGACCTCGAAAGCGGCGAAGACGCGCCATGGAATCAGCGAAGCGTTGGTGACGACAAGTCCCATGTATATAAAAGGCGCCGATAGAGACGCCAGAATGTACCATATTGCTCTTAACAGAAGGAAGACTGGATACAGCGCGTAGGAGAGGATCGTGAGAGTGGACGAGAGGAGCACTCCGGCGACGGAAAGCCATGCCGGCAAACTCGAGTCGCTGGTTGCATTCATTTCTGAACCAGTGGATGAATCATGATGAAGACTCGGCGCCTGGCAAATCCACGTCGAGAGATCGTAGGAGCCGTGACCGGAAGCAGGTGCTGTGCAACAACTGAGCGAGTCGCAGCAGCTGGTGAAATTTTTGTTTGCGGGTGTGTTAGAACTGAGCCTCAGATCAGTCAGGAAGACACTCCCGTAACGCGTGCTAACCACAACCCTGATGACGCCTTGCTCCCCCGCAACCGTTCCTGAAATTAGTTGGGGCTTTAACTAACAGACGCCCTTCAAGCGGGCACCCACTCACTACTCCGGGCCGAAACCAGCCTGAACTAGCGCAGCCTTCACCTCACCTGGCTGCCCGCTTGATTCGAGCCCCTCTCTGCCTTCGTTCAAAGTTCTCTCAACCTCGAACCCAACGTCACCAGAGCTCGGAGGCATTTCCATTCATCCATCAATTTGCTGACACTCCTGCCCCCGACCGGCTCTGGTCTGTCTTGTTTTTGGAAGTTGACACACAACACCGAATGCTCATACACCTGGAGCCAACAAAATTCCGCTCCGACTTCCTATCTCCCTGACTTTGCCTTTCTTGACTGGCCACCTTCCTCTCATTTCCGCAAGGTGTCGCACGACACCTGAATTTCCAGCAGTCAATACCGACTCCATCATTCACCATGGGCCAGCAACAATCGGCTGAGGATAAGAAGAGCTCGGGTTCCAGATCTGGCACACCGCAAGCTGAAAGAGAACGCAAGATCAACCAAAGAGTCTCCATCCAAGCCCTCTCGCAGGGCCGAGGCACTCCTGTCGACGCTTCTGCTACAAAAGACACCGCTGTTGCCCAAACCACTTCCCAGCATCTCGAGAAACCAGCGTTACAGCAATACCTTCAGGCCTCGTCCTCTGACCCTCATCCCAGAACCACCAAGGTTGAGAGGTCCACCCCGAGGACACCTCGAGACAAGAAGAATGAGTTGGAATACAGACAGAAATATCAGACTCCAAGCCAACCACCCCTTACTGTCCCACAGGCTTCGGGTCCCATGGATGTTCCCATGTCACGAAGCAAACAAGAGACCATCGAGGAACGTTTTGATGAGAAGCAGGAGGACTTCCCCGAGGGTCATGCATACGAGGATCGACGCTACGCACCCGTGGCTCAACTTCGACCTCCCCGTCTCCCTCTTCCTATCGCGGATGTGCCGATACCGGAATCGCCAACTCTGATGCCCGTTGACAAGGGAAATGCCGACGTCCCAATATTCGAGACTGATGATCCTCTATCGACTGGAGAACCTCCGCTGAGGCGGAGGAGTTCTATGTTGAGCACGACCACACAGTCCGAGGATGAGCTTGGCGAAGAATTGCAGCCGTACGCAGTTCACCCTACAACTCAAACTGTTCCGACTGTTATTGAGTGGAATCAAGGCGGGCACAAGGTGTACGTGACGGGAACCTTTGCAAATTGGGAAAAGAAATACAGACTGCATCCGAGGTAGGTCGTCCTGTCGGAATTGTTTCGTTTCGGTGTCTTGTATTTTGATTCTGACCGATATGGGATTCCCGACTCGGCCACCCATCCCCCGTTATCGAAGAATCACTATTTTCCCCATGATAATCTTATAGTTTTCGATGTTGTATTTTCTATTCTAACCCTCACACTTTAGGAAAAACGCGCCTGGCATGTTCACCACCATCAATCTCCCCTCAGGAACTCACCATCTTAAATTCGTGGTGGACGGAGAGATGGTCACCAGTGCCGAATTGCCCACTGCAGTCGATTTCAACAATTTCTTAGTCAACTACATTGAGATTGCTACGGAAGACATCACGAAGCCCAGAAGAGAAAGTACCCAACCCGGGACGAAGGCTACTGCACTAGTGCCAGAAGAACAACGTGAACAAGCCGAATCCGGGGAACAGACACCTGAGGATTCAGATGTAGAAGAACCACATCTTGAGGAAATTCCAATGGGTGACTGGCGTCAAGTGGTTCCACCATACCTGATCGATGTCGACTTGCCTGAAGACGACCCGAAATACAAGGCTGCGGGCCAGATCATCCAAGAACTAGGAAATCCGCCAGCCCTGCCCCTCTTCCTGAGCAGGTCTATTTTGAACGGTATCTTGCCGGTCAAGGACGATAACAGCGTCCTGACTCTGCCAAACCATACTGTTCTGAACCATCTCATGACTAGTAGCGTGAAGAATGGTGTTCTGGCGACGAGTGTGACGACCCGCTACAAGAAAAAGGTACGCGTTGGGTGGACCGCGTGTTTACATGGATGCTGACAACCCCTAGTATGTGACTACGATCTCCTTCAAGCCTGTTCCAAAGGCGCAAACTGCTGAATGAGGGATTGGACTGGCTGCTCTACCCGTTATGACTTGGCGACTGTGGGTTGGTGTTCATAAAATTGCTGGATGTTGATGAACTCACGACCACTAATTGGGATGGTGTTACGGAGTGGTCACTCAACGAGTTCGTGCGATAGAGAGCAGACATCCCACGGCTTTCTCTCCACTCAAAAGACATGTCAGATTCATCATCATATAGAATCGTGTTTGGGTTCATTCAAGTCGACAAAAAGATTCAATCATCCCTCCATGAAACAAACACATCATCGGTTCGAAATCGTTGCGTGCAGGTGCTGTCCTCCAGCATCGTCGTAAAACCGGTCTGATATGCGAGTAATCCCGCGTGCGCAATCATAATCCCATTGTCAATGCAGAATCTCTCATCCGTCGCATATACGTTCCCTCCTCTACTCCTCGCCATTATGCCCATCATCTCTTGAAGGCGTTCATTGCATCCTACTCCTCCAACTATGAGGACCTGGTTTGAGCCGACATGTGCCATGGCTCGTTCGGTGATTTCGACCAGCATGGCGAAGACAGTTTCTTGGAGCGAAAAGCAGAGATCTTCTGCTGTAACCGTGTTCCCAGTGTTTGGATCTTTCAGCGTGCCATTCTTCATCTGGCCTGCCAACTCGTCGACGCGGGCCAGTATTCCGGAGAATGAGCAGTCCATCCCCTTGACCGCGTAGGGCAAATCGACTAAGACTTTGCCGGTTTTGGCGAGTTGCTCGATGTTATACCCGGGCGCCGGATCGTTGGGGATGTTCAGCGTGCGCGCAAACCGGTCCAGGCAGTTCCCCACGGCGATGTCGAGCGTTTCGCCGAAGATGCGGTACCGGTTCGACGTGTAGGCTATTACCTGGGTGTTTCCGCCCGACACGTAGAGGACGACCGGGTTCGTGGCGCCCGTGATCGAGCGACCCATTTCTATGTGCCCGATACAGTGGTTCACTCCCACCAGGGGCTTGTTCCAGAGGAGGGACAACGTGCGCGCGGCCAGCGCGACGGATTGCAATGGAGCACCCATCCCGGGCCCTTTGGTGTAACATATGCAGTCAATATCCGCCGGTGTGAGGTTCGTCTCGCGGAGGGCGCTGGAGACGAGGGACGTGACGTGGCTGCGATGGTGTAAGGCGGTGTCCTTGGGCAAGAAGCCCGCGCCGGGAGGAGCATGATAAGTGTGCCGAATGTTCGACAGGATTTGCACCGGGTTGCGTTTGTCCTTGGAGTGCAGGATTATGCCCACGCCCAATTTGTTGGCGGAGCCTTCTAGGCCGAGCGCGATCATCTTGATGAGATTTGGCCTGGGAGGTATTGGTTTTGGCCTCAAAAGAAAGGAGTTAGATGGGCCCTTATGACCTTCCCGAGCTGGTGTATGGTTTCTGCGTAGCAAGACACCGATGGGAGTGAGAAGATTGGAGCCCTGGAGGTGACTATGTTGATGCCCAATGTTCCCAGGTTTGACACACGTTATTCCCCGAACTGTGTCTCGTTCTTCTGCCTGAGCCGGCCTCACACTCGTGCGGACGGATGCTTGCACTCAACTGTCTTGGCCCTGGCCGTATTTCTTGTGGACTGCACAGTTGCCAGTGGCGTGGCCCAAGCGCTACGTCGAGGTTGACTGAGTGGCAAGGGTTGGGACTGAGTCAACGGCAACTCTTCGCCTTTTCCGAGCCTTTATAGCCTATACTTGGCTGTTGGTCGGCATGTGATCCTGTCAGGCGCAAAAGAAGTCGCTCTAATGATTCTGGATGCAGGTAGAGTCCTTGGTGGTGACGTAAATGCAGAGCAGTCAGACATGTAAATAAGCGAGATTCGGCCAGACTGAACTACCCGAGCATTCTGCTCAGTGTCAAATGTATTGACACAAATTCCACGCAGAACTGCGAGTGGCTTCAGGCCTGGTGGACTGGTAGTCTGCGAAAAAATACTCTCGAGGCTCTGGATCACAGGGATTGAGGCAAAGTGTGGAGTCGATTTATGTCGCCGGCTGAGGCTGATCAGTGTGGCAGCCAATCGGAGCTGTCTAAATTGATCCGTTCTTGGCTGCCAACTGCTCTCGGTCATTCTTCATCCCACTATGCTTCTCTCTTCCCACACAACAACTACCCATTCCTCTATTCCGACATACTTTCTTTCTTGTTTCTGACTCCATCTATTCTCTCACAGCGATGGTAGACGCTGTAGAAGCGGTTGGACGCTTAGACTTCGACCAAGCCACTGCTCGTTTCGTTGAATGGTTCGCGGCCGCTGATGGGACTCGGTTGAGTCCCAAAGTCCAGCTCAAGGATCTGAGAAGCGAGAGTGCGGGAAGAGGAGCCGGTTCGCAATGCCCAGTTCCCCTTCGAATGCAGACCACTGATTTCACTTCATAGTTGCTGTTGAGGACATCGAAGAGGACGAGGAGCTGTTCGCTATCCCTCGGTCTCTTGTGCTTACAGCTGCGGCGTCAAGCATCCCCTCTGCTGTGCTCGAGCCTTTCAGTGAAACCGGACAATGGCAGCCGTTGATAGTCACTATCATCTATGAATATCTGCGGAACGAAAAGTCACCATGGCATGCCTATTTTCAAGTCCTCCCTACGAAGTTCGATAGTCTAATGTTCTGGAATGCTACGGAGCTCAAGGCATTGCAAGCCAGTGCTGTGGTTGACAAAATCAGTCGGACTCAAGCTGAGGAGTCCTGGAAAGAGAAGATGATACCGATTATGCTCTCACATCCTGAGCTATTTCCCGTGGCTGGTCAAAATGACTCAGACCGCACCGAGGAATTGATTAAGCTTGCCCACATCGCGGGAAGCTCAATTATGGCCTATGCTTTCGACGTTGACGAGGACGACGACAAGAACGACGTGAACAATGGCTCGGAAGACGAATTCGAAGACGACGACGAAGACGAGCCGCTTAAGGGTATGGTGCCTTTCGCTGACATGCTGAACGCAGATGCTGACAGAAACAATGTATGTCGTCCTCTTCCGCTCGTCTACATTATGGGAAGCTGACTTGTTCTTTTGTATGCAGGCACGCCTCTTTCAAGAAAACGACTACCTCATCATGAGATCTACCAAGCGGATCAAGACCGGCGAGCAGATCTTCAACGATTATGGCCCACTTCCTCGCTCAGATCTCCTCCGAATGTACGGCTACATCACTGATAACTATGCTCAATATGACGTTGTTGAGATATCGCATGATCTTCTTCTCGAGGTAGCAGGCAAGAAGCATGGCGCTAAAGATGCAGCTTGGTTAAAAAGAGCAGAACAACTTGAGGAAATTGGTGTTATCGACGATGGCTATGCCATACCCAGACCTGCACCAGACGTGGAAGAGCTTGAACAGGCCGTGCCAGGACAGCTGCACATGCTCTTGCGTGCGCTGTGTATTGATGCCATGAAAACGTCCAAAGACAGCGTCACCATCAAAGAGGCTGCGCTACTGCAGTCTGTTCTCACAAAAAGATTGTCAGAATATGGCACACCTCTGGAGGCCGACCGATCTGTTCTGGAGGCACTGGCGCGTTCTGAATCAGATCAATCACTTATTCCCTCCGACTGCAACAAGCATCGATATCTCATGGCACTTCAAGTGAGAGTCGGAGAAAAGGAGATTTTACACCAGTTGATCAGTCTGTGCCAGGCACACATTGCAAAGAAGAACCAAGAGATCACGGCAAGGTCCACCAAACGGCAAGCCAACGACGAGGTGGACCACAAGCCAAAGAAAGCAGCGCGAAGAGGAAATGCACCCGGCTGATCTTCAAGGTAGCAACAGAAGCACGCTGGCGAAACTCGACTGCGATGTCTCTCTTCGATCATGCTACCGAAATCGACCAGCTTCGGCGACGGACTGTCGGTTTTCAACACAAAATTCTTTACGATGTGTTCATCGTTTTCATTGACGAAGGCGCTGGCCTCGATACTATGTACAGTTCTATCATCCTCCAAACAGCCCACCGGGTCGACTCCGCGGCCGGGAAGCTTATGAGCTCCTTCGAACTTGATCCATCATCGTACAATGCCGCAAAAGAGGGCGATTCTGCTGTCACTGGAATCCTAACAAGAGCCCGGGATCATCCGAACTTTGAGGAGAGAGTCTGGTGAATTGTACTCTCTGAGACAGTGCTAAGGGAAAAGATGTTATCCAAAATAATCATGACATTTCAAGAAGGTGCAGGTGTCGGTTGTGCATGCTGCCCAGCTGGAGAAGAGTGACTTGGGCCTGCGACGTCGGACTGTGATCTCCTTGATGCTATCAGTTGTGCGTCTGTCGGTCGGCTTCCACCGATGAGATATGCGCGCTGGGACATGCGAGCAAAAGTTAAGTCGGGTAAAGTGGGATCAGCATCAGAGAAATCTTCGTCGTCCGAGTCAAATTTGAACCGATCATCCTTGGACCAATCGTCTGCCGAGGAGTCTCGTCGCATTCGAGGGAGTCTTCGATCAATTATGATACGCCCACCACGTCCTATCCTCCGTCTAAAGGAAGGCATGTGTCCGACGGATTCTTCATCCGCTGGACTAGCATATCGGAATGGCGTCGGTGGTCGGGATACGTCTTTCATCACCACGTCTGTTCCATTCGGCAGTTCCTGCGACTCTTCATCCGAGATACTAGCTGGTGGTGTTGGCAAGTATTCAGTCGCAGCCATTGCTTCCCGGAAATGTTCGCCGGGCGAAGGATAATTATCTTCAAGATCAGGAGTAAGCGGTGCCATGGTCTTATCGACGAAACCCTCATTCCATCTGATGTGTTTCTCAACATTGGTCTGGATCTCCTTTTGGATCTCGCGTTCACGAGCAGCGGTAACCTCTTCGAGCGTACGCAGTTCCGGACCTGGACCAGCAGCCATAGGCATCCTGAGTTGCTGGGCAAGGGCGGCTTGGTTGGGCGTCATCCCCGGTGGTATTTTCTGCTTCTGAGAGAGAGGTGAGTACGAGTCCACACTTCTAGAACGGGGCTGCTTTACCTTTTGATTGATGAGGAGGTCATCGTCCCCTTTCATGCCCAATTTCCTCTTTGTGTCGCGGAGCGCCTGCCGCTGCTCGAAGACCAGTCTATCGACCTCGAGGGCTTCCTTGCGAAGTTGCTCTCTTCGTTTGACCATCAGCAGCATGTTTCTCGCAGTCTCGAGCTCCATGCGGAGCTTCCGCAGCTTCTCGGCGCTCTGCGCATCACGATTTCTGGTCTTGCGGATTTGTCGCAATTCACGTCGTCTAAAACATACATATGGATCGCTGTCATCGGACTCCTGTCCGGTCTCGAATTTGAGCCGAGGGGCCAATGGACGATTACCAGTTGCAGACCGCCGTGATTTCCAGTGTTCATATATGAACCCGGAGAGGTTGCGGACGAAAGGAGGGACGGTGTCATCGATCTGCTCCTCGAATTCTTCTAAAGGTAAGACGGGCGGACTATCGACGGCAGCAAACGGCTGTTTTGTCTGCGCAGTCTCTTCAAAGAAATTCATGACCACTTCAAATTGGTCTTCAGTACACGGCTCCTGGCCAGCAGGCAGTTTGCCGATGATCAACTTCAAGGCAAGTTCATCTTCTTCATCCATGCAATACGCGACTCCTGCACAGTCTTCGACCGTGGCAGAGGAGCGAATATAGGTGGCGGGTTGTTGAAACCCTTTCGGGTAGAGGACGTCATACTGGACATCACTGGCGATGGTAGGTGGAGTGGGAATGTAAGCATCTTTGATTTTGGCATCAGCCTTTGCAGCTTCAGATGCTTTGATGGCCTGTTGAAGATGGTATTCCTGCAAAGCTGTGAGTGTTTTGCCAAGAGGTGATGATGACTAAGCAGGCAAGAAGAGGACACAGCGACAGAAGAATGGGTGAAGAAGAGGTGATGAGGACGGAGGGTCACATACTGATTCTTCGGCTTTTTCAACGCCGGTTTCTATCGCAGCACGTTGGGTGTCGTAGTCAGAAGGAGGATCAACTTGATCCTCACGGAAAATTTGGACATTTTGCTTGGAGTTGAGTTTCTTTGGGCGGGTGGCGCGGCCGCGGGTGGACATGAGGAATTTTCAAAGTGGTGACTCGCTCATGGAGGGAGCGAGGAGGTGAAACCGCACCTTAGCACACGCACCACAACAACGTGCAAGACCACCGTGAAAAAGTAGCAAAACGGGGTCGAAAATTCCTCAAATTCGCATCACTAGTAGTTTGATGCACTCGGACTATGAATCCGTTTTCAAAATGATGAAAAGGATAAAATTAGGACGACGATGGCCGATGAGGTTTGATGGCAGGCGGGTGCTGGAGTTGTGGTGGTGCAGTTGCAGGTGAACAGTGGAAAAAGAGGGTGAAAACTCCAAGGGCAGAGTGACGGGGGGGATCAGCTTTGCCCTGCGCTGCCACCACTGGCGGGACACACCAGTTGGGAAGGGAGGAAAGGGGGGGCGAGGTGCGGGAAGTTGTTCAGGTGGTAGCCTAGAAGCTAGTAACTTTAGGCATTCATAGGGGGGCCTCGGGGCCTAGTAGCCAGTACCATGACAGCACCACCAAGCACCGCCAGCACTCGCCAAATTGTTTGGGTGCTGCCAGTCGGGCGGTGCGAGGCATCTGCAGTCCCTTCGACGCCCATTTCCCATTGCAACACACCCAATGTGACATGTCAGTGTACACTATCCCGTCACTCGTCCAGGAAAGGTAGTTTGATAGCGGGTGATGGTGATTATCCCATTAACCCGTATGAAGAACCTCATCCTACTTAACGACGTCCTGGCTGTAGCCGATTCAGTGACGGACCTCGTAATTCACCCGTAGCCAACATACCACAGGCAAATCTCTTTGCCTTCTCAAGTTCCACAACAAAGGTTGTTCCAGCCACAAAAACCTCAAGCCACTTGTGGCACAGCGCGGCCTAAACCTGTAACGGCTAAGGTCCACGTGATTTCCAGCTCCTTCACTCGATTGGGCGAATCGGGCACCGTTTATTAGTTCGAACAAGAAGGCCCCCATGTGCATGCGGCTGTAGTGAAGAAGGATCATGGCTTGAAACTCGCCTGGTACTCCGTGCTCTTTTTTCAGCTTCTCAATTCCTCTTCCCACGCACACACACACACACACACACACACACATCTCACTTCTCTGCACAGCACCTTTGCGACCCCATTGTTCAGTCCCCTCTCCCGACATAGCTGCTACGCACTCGAGAGCGACAACAACCCCGTCTCCAATCGAGACGTCGCACCCCTCAATCGCCCACCATGGCTACGCCAGCATTTGGCGCCCAAGCCTCCACGGTCGCAGAGCCCAATAATGCCGCTCTATACGATGCTCGGAGACGGCAGCAAGTCACGGGCTCCCAGATCCTTGATAACATTGTTTCCTTCTCAAATTGTACGTCACCGCCTCAATTGCATTGGAAGTGGTTTTGTGCCTGGTCCATCGGACAAAGCAACCCAGCACGTGCTAACGAGAGCTTCTACGGCAGTCGATCGCGATGAGGTTGACAGACTGCGAAAAAGATTCATGAAGTTGGACAAGGTGAGATCGCTGTCTGGGTGCACATTGTTGGGCGGCTGTTGACATGGAGGACCATACTAGGACAATAGCGGCACTATTGAACGCGAAGAGTTCCTCTCATTACCTCAAGTATCCTCGAACCCCTTAGCGACGAGGTATAGCAACCCCTGCTCCTTCCGGTGCACTTCAGCTAACCTCTCTACAAGAATGATCGCTATCTTCGACGAAGACGGTGGCGGCGACGTCGACTTTCAAGAGTTCGTGCTGGGCCTTTCTGCCTTCTCCTCCAAGGGCAACAAAGAAGAAAAATTGAAATTCGCCTTCAAGGTCTACGACATTGATCGCGACGGATACATTTCCAATGGCGAGTTATTCATCGTGCTCAAGATGATGGTTGGCTCGAACCTTAAGGATCAACAGCTGCAGCAGATTGTGGACAAGACAATCATGGAAGCGGATAAAGATGGTGACGGGAAGATCAGCTTTTCTGAATTCACACAGATGGTCGAAAGTACCGATGTTAGCATGAGCATGACGCTTGGTGAGTTTTCGGAAATCCTCGAAGATTGCTTGTGACGGACACTGACATGATGACAGATCAATTCTGAGGTTGGCATGGCGTTGCGGTCCAGATATCTTCATGGTGAATGCGACAAACACCTGCAATGACTAATGATACAACCCAGCCCGAAGGCACCAAACTTGCCATAGTGGTAGAGTCCGCGGGTCGAGATGATCTGCCTTTTCCTTTGTCTTTTCCTCGGTTTCTGTTGCTCGTCTCTCTCTATTGCTTCTTCAGTCAAGAATTCTCCACATCTGCTGTCCCTGCAGCCTCCAGGCTCACTCTCAACCCGTCCAATCCCCAAGTTTTCTTCCGATCGCGACTGCGAAACTGCTGCTCGTCCCCTCTCCGCGTCGCTGCGCGGTCGATATCCCATGGAAGGAAGGAAAGAATATTTCGGGCATGGCCAGAGACAGCGTAACAAACCCAACCGCGACCACCTACATTCATTTGAGTTCGGTCGGCTAAGCCAACGACCACCGCAGTCTTGAAAGGGTGCTCGGAAGCTTTGCACCGCAGATGACGGCAAGTGTTTTAATAAGATGAGGTTATGTGCCCACCACTCTTTGCTAGTGCGGCCGCCCGAAAACTAGAAGCACACAGGAGCAAGCTGCTTTCTTCAGCAACAATGTGGAAGTTGTCTAGGCTCGTGCAAGAAGCGAACCCTAACCCTAACCCTAGAATCAGAAAAATACCATGCGGTCTAATATCACCCCCCAAGGGAGTACCAAGGAAACGGTCGAGTTTGAAAAGTAGCACAGTCAACGCGTCACACTCCAGGTGGAGGCCCCCATCCCTGAACATGAGATGGTGACTCTCTTAGACAATTCCCCCTTTTTTGGTAGCACCAAACTCACAGAGCCAATGCCTCCCTCGGACCTGTAGGTACGCCCTCCTTCTCCAACTTCTCTTCCCACTTTTTATTGTCCTTTGCGTGTGTCGGAATGGTGGTCGTCGTCGTCGTCTGGCCAGCCGTAGCGTTTGGGCCGATGGTGGAAGCGTCGCCGTTCACCTTCTCCGGGATCCCGGTGGAATTGCCCATCAGGAGCTCCTCGAGAACCGAGCACACGGCGTCGCCGACCTCCTTGGTCGAGGCGGTGCCGCCCAGGTCGCCGCTCCGGATCTCGAGGCCGCCGAGGTCCTTGCCGTCGAGGACCTTTTCGACGGCGGCCTCGATGGCGGCGGCCTCGGCGGCCAGGTTGAACGAGTAGCGCAGCATCATGGCCGCCGAGAGGATCTGGGCGACCGGGTTGACGATGCCCTTGCCCGCGATGTCGGGCGCGGAGCCGTGCACGGGCTCGTAGATGCCGTTGCACCGCGTCTTGCCGTCGGGGATGCCCGAGAGGCTGGCGCTGGGCAGCACGCCCAGCGTGCCGACCACGCCGCCGGCCTGGTCGGACAGCATGTCGCCGAAGGTGTTGTCCGTGTGGATGACGCCGTTGAACATGCGCGGGTTCTTGACCATCAGCATCGACAGGCTGTCGGCCAGCTGGTGCTTGAGCTCGACGTGGGGGAACTCGTTGGCGAAGACCTCCGAGGTGACCTTGCGCCACAGCCGGCCCGAGGCCAGCACGTTGGCCTTGTCGCTGGACCACACGGTCGCGGGGCCCTCGGGGCACGTCCCCGTCCCCTTGCCGTCCTTGCCCATGGTCGTGGCCAGCGCCGCGGCGACCCGCGCGCAGCGCTCGATCTCCTTCCGCCCGTACGCCCACGAGTCGCTGGCGAAGTCGGCCTCTTCGACCTTGGGGCCGAAATACGCGCCGCCGCAGTTCTCGCGGAGCAGGATGAAGTTCGTGCCCTCGGCGATGGAGGGTTTCAAGGGCGAAAGCGGGATCAGGGAGCGGGAGTAGAACGTGCACGGGCGGATGTTGGCGAATGCGTCCAGGTGTTGGCGCAGGCGGAGGAGGCCAGACTCTGGGTTCGGATAGGTAGTTCCCCTAGACGGGCGTTTCAGTGTAAGGAGACAGGCTCTCAAGCGCAAATTTGTCCCAAGAAGATCATAATAATAATGCACCTGCTGGTACTCTCGTCGTACAAGGAGAAAAAGATGGGAGAAAGGAAAAAAAAAAATAACAGTACCTACCATTTCGGTCCGCCCACACTCCCAAACAACACGGCGTCACTCTCTTCCTTTGCGATCCTCAGCACCTCGTCCGTGATGGGCGTGCCGTGCTTGTCGATACTGCATCCGCCGCAGATCTGGTGGTTGAACTCGAACTTGAGCCGGCCCTGGGAGGTGATTTCGACCGTGTCCAGCACGCGCAGTGCCTCGTCCATGACTTCGGGCCCGACATGGTCGCCGGGGAGGACGAGGATGCGGAATGTCTGTGGAGAGGCGGTCGAGGGGTTTGAGGCGCTGGACTCGAGGACCGGGGCAGCCATGGTTGATGTAACTGGTTTAGAGTAGCGGAAGCGCGTTTGAAACCCGGTGCGGTAGAAATGGAGAGCAGTCAAGGGCTGAGGCTCGAATCCTCTCCTCCTGAAAAACGGCTATGGTGCCTATTCGCAACCACGGCGTCTGAGATCTTTTCTTGCAACTTATTCGAGGCGGCTTGGTGATTTCTACCAGGATATTGGACCGAGTGCCTGTTCTGCGCACGGCGGAGAACAATGGACTGAGGATATCTAGGTAAGGTTCCTAAAACGAAATCTCTCTCTCTCTCTCTCTCTCTCTCTCCAGAAACGTAATAGCCCGAGATGGCAAGAAAAAAGAAGAAAAGCGCACGAAGAGCTCAGAGGCTTTGGCAAAGACTTCCCCAAACCTCGAGTGTTGTTATCCTTGGCTAATATACTGGTGGTATGCTATGTCCATGGCCGTGGAACAAATGTCTAAACCCCCGCATTGGAGGTGGCTGCGGTGCAGTCCGGCAATTTCTCCGCTCCGATAGCGGAAGCAGTCGAGCCAATCACCATCAGCTTCTCCGACAAGGCTGAACCGACGGTTCCATGGTCCTCTGGCATCCAACCAGGAGGGCTTTCTCCTTATTGAACGCCATCTGTGCGTGGGTCAAGTGCTGTTTCTTGTGGGCGTTGCATCTAAATCTATTCTCGAATGCATAGATGACAACTACGGCGGAATCATTGGGTCAGTGCTATTTCAGGCCCCGCTGGAGAGAGGCTAAATAGCTAGTTACCAGGCAAACTTCTCCCCCGTCATCTGCTCGCTCACCTCCCACAACTTCGCCGCGTACTCCCTCTTGACCGCGTACGCCGGAGTAGGCTTGATCTGACAGTCGCCCAGAAACGCGCCGTTGCCGTCATCGGAGGGACGACCCAACTTGTCGTCCACGGCCGCCACAAGACTCGTGCTGCACCCCTGCTGCTGCGTCTTCCACACCATGCCCCTGGCCTTGGCCGCGCCGAGCATGGTCTCCAACATGACCGGGTCCGTGTTCCGGGCCAGCTCGGTCTGGATCTCGCCCGGGTTGACGGCGAGACTGAGGATCCCGTGGCTCTCGTACAGCCTGTCGTTGAGCCCCACGCTGAAGAGCACCGCCGCGGTCTTGCTGGCCCCGTACGCCGCCGTGGGGATGTAGGCCATGCTCTCGTCCACGGGGAGGTTGTAGGCCTGCATCATGGCGATGTTGGGCTTCTCGTCGGCGGGCAGCTCCGCCACGGGCTTTTCGTACTTCATGTCGCTGAAGGGGACCCCGCCGACGTAGATGCCCATGCTGGCCAGATTGACGATCCGCACCGCCCCCTTTTTGGTTGATGACTTTGCGGCAGTAATGATCTTGGGCATGACCAGGCTGGTGAGCAGGAAGTGGCCCACGTGGTTCGTCGCCATGGTGATCTCCACGCCGTCCTCGGTGATGGTGCGCGTGGGGATGTTCATGATCCCGGCGTTGTTGATCACAATGTCAATCGAGGGCACATCCGCCCAACCCATCACTTCGGCCGCCGCGGCGCGGACGGACTTTTGGGAAGACAGATCCACTTGCAGGCTACGGTACTCGACATTTGGATAGGCGGATTTCAGAGCGTCTAAGCATTCTTGTAGTTTCGACACGGAGCGGCCCGCAAGGATCAGGCACCGTGGAGATTGAGACGCAAAGGCTTCGGCCGTAGCATAGCCGATGCCTTTCTTGTTGACGCCGGTGATCAGGATCGTGCGGTCTTTGATCGCCGGGGGGAAGGCAGCGGCGACAGTCAGGCCGTCTGTGGTGGAGCCGAAGTCAGCGTGAGTAGTAGCAGTTGTCATGATGGAATGAAAGGGGCTTGGTGGCTTTGGACGGAGAATAGGAGCAAGAAAGAAGAGGGCTCGGGCCGTCAGTCCAAATCAGATGCAGAAGACTTGGGAAAGGAAACACAGGAGGTTGACTCGACTGTTAGGAGGAATCGTGCTCTCTTATAGCATTTCCTAGGATGCTTTGTCTCAGGCACCCATGCAATCCAGCTACCCTCTAATGGCCTGATATTCGATCAAAGTGGCTCTGGAAATGAAGCTTGCAGCCATTGCAGTCCCACAAACAGAGGAGAGGTCGTACCAACATGCAAGGCAGGATATCAGGGTGGGCGTTGGACACGCAAGGCTCCACCAATCGTATACCCCACAATATCATTCCCGATTCGTGAGTTCGGGTTGCCGTCCATCTGATTGGCTGTCGTCTTCAAGCCACACAATCCACGTCCTCATTCCTCGCCTTCTGAAGTGTCGTCTGGATCATCGTCCTTCTCAGAATCGTCCTCTTCCCCCTCAGTATCATTCGCCTCTGACTCATTTTCCACTTTCTCGTCTCCAGAATTCCTCTCAAATGGGTCGAACTCCTCTGCTTCGATGTCCTCATCCCCCCATTGCTCCCACTGCTCTATCAGCATCGCCGGGAGCTTTGCCACAGACCCTTTCAAGCGTGGCCGGGTTCTGATGATGATTTCGCTGGCTCGGAGGTAGGTTTTGCGGAAATGCCGCCACAGGTCGGGATCGAGACGAGGATGTGGGTAGTAAGGATCGTTTCCGGTGACTGCGACAAGGTATTTCGTGGCCACCTGTGACAATGTATCCTTCGAATCTAGATCGACCCTGGAGCATTTGTCGTAGTCCAGCATCCACAGCTGGGGTTCTCGTAGCGTGGAGTCGTCTGTGGTGGATATTGGACGCCTGATAGATCCATGGTCCACGGTCCCAAATATCTTGCTCGCCGGCCGGCCTATAACAAACTCGGTGTCTTGTGCATCAATTTGTGCTTGCCAGTGTAGAATCGCGAGTCCTAATGCCATCTCCTCTGCATAACCGTCGATATCGAGCGCCATTGTCTTCGCCTGGTCAAGGTAGAGTGGAAAATTCCGCAGTGTGTCGGTCGTATCGTAGGGTTTCTCGTTCGGGTTGTTCTTGCCCAAATAGACGCGAATGAGACAATCGTGGTTCGAGGGATCGTTCAACACATCTAGCTGGACCTCGTGCCGGAAGAACTGGGCGACAAGAGCCTGACGCGTTGGTCTATCCACAGGAAGAATGCGGTCGACGTGGAAAGCCGCAGCTCTCGTCCGGTCTCCGTCGGGGAACCGTGTGAGATTGGCATTCCAGAAATCTTCAGCCTCGGGCCCGACGAAATACTGTGCCATAGGAACGCGTGGCGCACGACGCTGTGGGAAGCTCTCTTTGAGCAAGCCGGCCCAAGCGAGATAGCTGTTGTAGGCGTAGTTTGTCAAGTTGAAGTCGTTCCATATAGCATCCGCATCAGCACCTTTCTTGACGGCATAGGCAGTTTCTGGGATCTCGAACACGCTGCCGCAGGTGCCTCGTCCGATGTTTCGTAGGTCGGCGGAAAACCTGGTGGGGGCCATGTTGCTTTGGGCTTCCGTACGGTCGATCAGGTAAAAGCGAGGAAGTGAGAAGAGGCGAGGAGGATACGAGGAGAATGGAGAGAGTTTAATACCCGGTTTCACTTGGTAAGTTGAGTCATTAGTAACAGGGCACCCGCGAGGAGCAAAGTTTGGCGCAGCGAGGCAATATAAGCCAGGAGGACCTTGACGGGCAATGACCTGAATCCCACAGTCTTGTGAGGCGTCTGCCCTTGCGCCAAGTGACATATGTTCTTACTTGGGCCTGGGACAAACTTCAAACGCAAACTAAGGTATGCATGCCTCTGGGAACAGCGATCCCTTCCCGTCGAACGGAGTGTGTTGGGTGTATCCCAAACAGCGGCCGCCAGTTCATTATCACATACTTTGACGCCAGAGCTGCATAGGAATCTGCCGAGATCACGGGAAATGAGATGCCAAATTGCCTTGGGTGGGATACACTCTTTCATTAATCCGTATCTTATCGAGTCCCCTAGGTCCAAAGCATTTCATCTGCCGTTGTCTTGTTCGCGTGTCGTCTGCCGCCCTCAACCGATACGATAATCCTTTACCACGTCCGTAGCTCTCTAGCTTTTACCGTCAAAAGCTCTCCCTGCTTCACATAACAGTGCAATCACGATCCTGTCCGTGCCTTCCGCCCCTCCCAGATGGACCTGACACTCCTTGCTGCGGTTGCAACCTTTGCGGCGAATTGGTATAATACTGAGACATCTCATTGTATGCACTCATCCTCCGCCTTGGATCCCTCCTGCCCGCATTTGGTCCTGGCGGATGATAAGGTGTGTCAACCGCCCCTGAGGCCGAGTGGGTGCTGATATTACTGATCGTACCTGTCAGCTGCGTGTTGGAGTTCATAGGAGACGGTTCTGCCGAGGGGTGTAGAGGGCTGCCCAGCGGTGGAATGTATGGTCTGCCTTTTGCTGCTTCCTCGTAGGCAGGAGGTGCATCTTCCACCAGGGCGTCCGAAGGGCGATGGACGCCTGGATTTGGCGCGTGGGAGACGCGGGGTGGGATCGGTGGTCGCACTTCGGGTGGCTGTGTGGAACGAAGAGGTATCGGGATATTCCCTGATTGTGATCTTCTCTGTTGCGTGCTGCCGGCGCCTGTGTTGCTGCTGTGCCGCCTATTTCGGTCCGCGCGTTGGCGTTGTTCCTCTTCCTCTTGCAGCTGCAGTGCCATTGCAAAGTCCGCATCGTGTTGTTCCTGCTGTTCTTGCGGAGATAGTGGTGTTGTTGTCGGAACATTGTTGACGGTCAAAAGCTGCGACGACCGTCGAGCAGCTGGATGAGTCGATGACTCGTCTCCGACATTGTGGTGGCTCACGGGCATAAAGTCACCCGAGAAGAATTCGTTATGTTTGCCGCTGATGTCGACTAGGCTTTCCCAAATGATCTCATCACGGTCAGCATACCCAGCATCCGTGATCAAGGTGAAAAGTTGACCACTTTCAGGGTGCTTGTAGATCGTGCTGAAGTGATCGTTGCGGAACATAATGGCAAAGGAGCCAGATGGGATCGAGCCTTGAACAGCTTCGAGACCAGAAGGAGTGAGTTGGGTAGGGTATGTCTTGAGGAAATTTTTGATCGCGTTGATATCCTCCCACATGTTTTGCTCGGTTGTCGTTAAACCTTGGTTCATGAGTTTGTATTCCAATTCCTCCTCACCAAATTGTAGCGCCTGTGCATCTTCGTAAGTTTGGGCAGATCGTGCAAACGCCTTTGCGGCTTCAGATCCCGACTCGGGAAGCCAACCGTGGACTAGGGGGACTTGGAAAGCCCCGTAGAGTTTCATGTCGGTTGTAGCCTCAAACGTTCCTAGTCTTTGTTTCGCTCGTTCCTGTTGAGGGATATTCAGTATGGAGTCATCGGCGTCCATCAAATTGGGCGCCGGCGACGAAGGCGGCACGAATCTGGGATTGGCATTCATCCCTGTCCGCAACCGCATCAAGAAATAGTTCAGTTCATCCACATCGGGCATGACTTCTCCCACCGCATCAAACCCTCGCGACAGAAGTTCATCCATCAATGTCTCGATGATGAGACCCAGTGACACCTGCTCACGCGTCCGGAGAGCTTCGTCTAGTGCCGCCTGAGACTCGTGTTTCACGCCTAAGATCAAAGCATTGACCAGGGCGAGAAGAGGACATGGACCGTTCTTATTCTGGGTTAACATAGAAGATCTTCTCAGTTTCCGGGAGCTATGGTCAAACCAATTGAAATGCTTGATCTGATATGTTTCGTTTCTTTGCTCTATCATCTTGGCAACATCTTCATCTGATGGAATGGTCGTGCGTATCGTCGGCCGGAGTGGCTTGGGTGGAGGTGGGCCTTCGGGAGGATCGAAGTACTCAGTGTCCGCACGACGTGCCGGCCTGACAGGAAGGGGAGGCCGAGTCTCATCGTCTTCTAACAACGAAGGTTCATCATATGCCGCAGTGCCTGCGTGGGCAGCATCTGGGAGTGTTTCTAGTTCATCTTTAAGTGACACAACTCCGCTCTGTTGTCCACGGTCCAACAGATCGTTGTTATAATTCGACACTTGTTTTTGTGAAGGAGAGAAGGGAATCGGGGATGGGGTGGGCGGTGCAAGATTGGCATTAGAAGCCCAAGGGTTCTCGATTGACTCATGATGCGGAGACACTGGAATGAGTGGTGGCTGTTTACCGAAAGGTGACTGAGGAGCTTCTGTCGGCGGAGGTGGTGGAGGAGCTTGGGGCATGGGAGGCTGTCCCATCTGATGGTCATTTACCCATGGGACCGCCGGTATCTGCGTGTCCTGCTTGGTGTTATAGGATGATATGCCCGATATCGTGCCACCTTTGAGGCTCAGGCCTTGAAAATGGCCAGTGGGAGGTACGCCGTGCCCTCGGTCCAATTCTTTGCCCTTGGCTGCTAACTCAGGCGCACCCTGATCCTGATCTGAGACTTCCAATCGGTCATCTCCTGGGGCATAGTCCGAAGGGCGTCTGAAAGGATTATTTGAAGCAAAAGTTGAAGTGGTCGGAACGTCGGGTCTTGATTGTACGGTCGACAACCCCCACTCCACCGGTTTCCTCTTGATCCCAGCAGACTGCTCTGGCGGTTCTACGTCAACCCATGGGTCTGCATGTAAATCGTGATCTGGAAGTGCAATTTGTCCCCTTTTTGGGCTCTTGCCTCGCCCGTCTTCTCCCTCATCTGAATCTTCCCAGAAATCCTTGGAGCGTTGACTATCCAACGACGACCTAGGGGTATCTTCCTGCGAACGACCTGCTCTTAGAACCTGGGGAATATTCGAAAGAGCATGACTCTGTGAATTGTTACTAGTCCCGGCTGATGGGCGAAGTTGCCCCGGTCGGAGAACATCTGGCAGCGGTCGATCGGATGGGCGGTCTTTCGTGGGCAGATCGCACCATGGATTCTCTGCATCCTGGAAACTTGGAGTGCCTGCGACAATCGGACTCTTTCGCGAGGAGGAAGGTAAGGGAGGAAGATCGGCCGAGTCCGGCACCAGACTGGATTGTGATTCAAGGTTATAGCTCGACGATGGAGGCTGAGGTGGGGGACTGGTGGGATAAGGCAGAGAGGTTTTACGTGTCATTGTGATTCTCCGAGCGATGGATTCGGAGAGAGACCGCGTTTGACAGGAATTCGATGATTTTGGAATCGTGGTTGCCTAAGGTTCACATGGCCCAAGCAGCCGCGGCGGGTGGTGTTCGAGGCAGAGTGAGAGGTGTTGCCGCATCAGATCGGATGAGAAGAGGATAATCAGATCAGAGGACTTCCTTGAGCGGCCGACAGGGAGGGGGGCACACTGATATAGTGAGGTTCACGTCGATGTTCAGCGAGGGTTGAGGAGTGGCATTTCACAAGCGAAGGACCGCGTAAGCCCTGTTGGACCAGAGCGAGACTCGGGCGCGAGACAATCGACTGTGGGAGGAGTTTCTCTCGCTGATCACCGTTTGGGGGGTGACGGCGGGAACGTTGGCTGATCTGGGGGGCTACCAGGCGTGACGTATCCGCATCCTCTGTGCCTCAATTGCCTCAACTTGTGGCGGTGCAGTCAATTCCTTTCGACATGAAATGTTCAGGCAACAGCCAATCTTCTGCTTGATGGGCCTATGTCCTGGTAGGCAGGCCAGGTACCTCGCTACTCCTATCCATGTCCTATTCACCTTGGTAAGAGTACACGGCTCCCTCCGAACCACAATTGAAACCTCGCGCTTGTCACAACTCCTAACTGAGTCCTAGATGCGTGGCTGTGAACGCATCCTCCCCCATCGCCGTCCGAGTAAAAACCATACCGTGACAATTGCCAGTCCTCTTGTTCGCAGATTCTCATGACCATGATTTCTAGTCCTACAACTATCCCAATCCACTCATACATGTACACAACATAGAAAAGGAAGAGACAGGAGGAAATTGATAGACACAGATTCTGCCCCCATGCCCAAGGAAAGACACCATGGCATCGGTTACTTCATCTCTAGACACAGCGCAACACTTGGTTTCCAGTCAACTCGGATCACCTTCTCTCATCACGTCTCGGTTCTCCTTGGCTCATTGCTCGAAAATGCCCCGACGATCCAGGGAGCAGTATTTGCGGTTGAGAAGGGTGAGGGTGATGCAGATGAGGCGGCGGTTGACCAGGCCCTTGCGGCTGGAGATGTGGAAGCGGGCTCGCTTGGTGCTGGTGTTGATGCTGGTGCTGATGCTGATGTTGATGTTGGTGTTGATGTTGGTGTTGGTGATGCTGGTGCGAATGTGGATGCGGATGCTGAAGAGGATGAGGCGTTCCCATGCCGCCGGGACCACGACTGGGACCCGGAAACGGCGAGTGAGCATGAGCGTGAGAATTACCGTGTGTGTGAGGAGGTGTATAGGTTCGTGGAATTTCACGCGGAGCGAATGTCATGTGGCTTTGATTTGCTGCCGCCCCTAACTGGTTGGAACGAGACGTCGGAGGAGTTGCATGGTGCTCGATACCGTAAAAGTCCCGACGTGATTGTTGCTGTTGTTGTTGCTGCTGCTGAGCCTGTGGTTGTTGTTGTTGTTGCTGCTGCTCTCGCTCACGTTCCCGTTCACGCTGTTGTGCCGCTTCTAGCTCCCGATGACGTTGTATTTGTCTTTCATGCTCACGTTGCTGCTCCTGTTGTTTCTGCTGGTTTTGTTGAGCCATATGCTGTTGGATGGTCAGTCGAGTTGGAAAATCCAGGGATGACTGAGGCCGGTGGTGGAGACTCGAGACTGGAGTAGAGCTCGCTGAGTGAGAATGATTTTGCGGCACCGTCGAATGACCCAAAGAAGACGATTGACTGGTCGGCTGCGAAGCAGAGTATCCCGCAGAAGGCGCCCGCGAATGGTGCGACGAAGTTGAGGCTGATCGTAGTTGTGGCACAGGCTGTGTCGGTTGTTGAGGAGGAGGGGAGGGCACATGTGGTATTTGATTGATCTGGCCCAGCAGCGTCCGTCGGTGATCAATTCCAGGTCGTTCCGGAGCTCGAGGTGTGTCCACTCGCAACGAATGAAGCGGTGGAATACTACTCTGCTGTGAAGTCGGCGGAATCACAGAATAAGGACTCGGGGCGGGTGAGTGATGGTGACTTCGCTGGTCGCTGGGGGCTCCTTGAGGCCGTGGATCAAAGCGATCCATCCATGCTTCGTTGCTGGGGCCGGTGGCCGGCGTGGCAGCATATGAGCTTGGATAATCACCTGATGATTGCTGCCCGCCACCTACCGAGTGAATGTTACTGCTACCAGGAATATATGGGCCTCTCGCTGCTCTATTTAGAAGTGAATCTTCAGGGTGATGCTGGCTTCGCGGTTGCTGCAGTAGGTTTTGCCCTGAAGGCAGAGGGGTGATTTGTGGAGAAAGAATTGATGTTCGTTTCGATGGCTCCAGAGATGGCCGTTTTGGCGGTGGCTCTGGATCATCATTAAGAAGACCGAACACATTCGATCGTTTGGCGGGGGCCTTCGGAGGCTCTGCAGGAGGTGCTGGAGCAGGCTGAGAAATCTCACTTCGGGGTGGTTGAGAGGCAGTTATTGGTACTGGTGTCAATGCTGGAGATCCAGTGGGTCCGGTTCGGTACAGCGAACGTTGAGTGTCCAGACGGCGTAAAGCAGTCATGTCGTGAGGCGTCTCCAAGGGTTGATGACTCGGAGCTGCCGAGCTGCTGTTACGGCTATGGCTGGGATGCAGGGCACTTGGCTGGCTGTACTTTTCAACATGAGCTTGAATTGCTTGAACAGGAGCAGCCGGAGGAGCCGGAGGCCGTTGCTGCGTCGGGATGAGAGGCTCTCGCGGGCCCAACGGGCTTGGGCCGGTTGCAGACATTGGGGTTTGTTGACTTAATTCAGGGCGAGACATATCTGGAAGCCTCTGCGAGAGTATTTGTGGCGACCGCTCCTGAAGAGGTGCCCTGAGATTTTGACGGGCAGGCTGAAAGCCGACATCGTCCTGGAAGACACCAGCTTTGGGGCCATGCAATGGTTTATGGCTGAAGAGGGAGGCACGCTCATTGGGCAATCTTGGAAGCTCCTCGGTTTTTAGCGGAAGAGGAACAGACAGAGGTGCCTCTCGAATTGTTTCGCGCACGACTGGACGAGGCTGAGCAGCAATATCCCCAGAGGCTACCCTTTCGAGAATGTTTCGTGGGAAGTCCTCAATAACGCTCTGTTTGATTGCTGCAACTGCGGGCTCACCATCCATTACGTTCTGCTCACTATGAGTAGCTGGACGAGTGATAGGGGCCAACGCTGTGTCGTATCGACGTTTTGGAGGCACGATCGGACTTGGAGGCGGAATTGCGACTTTCCCAGTGAGGCGCATCTGCTCCCCCATCAGGGCGCGCTTTTCGAACTCATCCTTACCCTCATTGATTTGGCGAGAATAGTAGTTCTTGATCTATATCTAATTAGCCAGAAGCCGGAACGACGTATCATTGCACTCACCATTTGCACGCTCTTGGTCTTCATGAAGTCTGCAATTGCTGTGAAATCTCGACCAAAGTACGATAGGAGTTCCGGAAACTTGTGCTGTTCGGGAACTGACCAATAACTTGTCACTTGTGATGATGCATTCGACGCTGAAGCTGCCGAAGTGCCGACCGGGACATCGCATGTAGGATAGGGCTGTAATGGCGCTTCTACCGGTCGCTGCACCGGTGGAATGGGAGGAGTAGGATCGGGCATGATGGGCACATTTTCAGCACGAACAAGCGGTCGCCCTCTTTCAGGCTTAGCAGCGGTTACCGGCTTGGTAGGGGAGCCTTCAGCGGCAGCCAAAGGTGTAGCTTGTAGCTGCTCTGCCTGGATTTGTGCCTTGGTCCTTCGCACCTTTGTGGCAGCCCCAGCCTTGCGGCCTCTGGACGTCTTGGCCCCACTACCGTCTGAATTACCGTCTTTCAAAGCAGCTGTAAGCTTCTTCGACTGTGGGACAGGTGTCGAAGAGTCGGCTTCACTCGGAGCATCTCCAAATGTCGGTGCCGCTGCCCGTCTCGGCCTTCCACTGTCCGTAACAGCCACAGGCGTCGCTTCTGCATCGTCGCCATTGAGCAGCTCGGACATGAGAGCTGTGGAACGAGGTTTGGTGGCAGCCCCTCGCCGACCGCGCTTCCTAGGCTGCGATCGTCTCCAGAGGTCTTTGTAGTTAGCCTGTACCTTGGTCAGGTAGTAGTGAACGATGCACTCTTGATATGTTCTGCCTGGCAGAGACTCTGCAATCTTGCCCCATTTCTTGGGATTTTGACAATAAGCAGCGATGAACAAGGTTTGTTCCTCCTCCGTAAAGTCGTCCACGGGTGGGACATAGGCAAACGCATGCAGTGCCAATTCGTTTGGGATAAGATGGTTTGTCTCTTCAAATTGGGATATTTCAATTTCCGCGGGTTTCAACATTGGTGGTACTACTGCCTCCGTGTCGTAGTTGGGCTTAGAGCTGGATGCTGCCTCTCTCTCGCGCCGCTCTTCCTCTTCTTTGAGGGACTGCTGAGACATCAAGATCGCGGCTTGCAAGTCGGCTTCTGTCGTATTCCGCGCGCCTCTGGTACGTTCGTGGGTTAATGAAGGTGTGACCGAAGGCGCCGCTGACGGCGCAGGGGAGGCGGGTGCAGGACTGGCCTGTAATTCACGCCTTTCTTGTTCGAGTTGATGGATCTTCTGTTTCCACAGAGGATATCTGGCCTTGAACTCTGCATGCATTTCTTCAAGCTCAGATCTCCAGTCCCAGGCATTACGCTCGAATTCCTGTTGTAGAAGAATTGAAACTGCTTCGTGTTCCACTTCGTTGTCTGATTCTTCAAAGACGACTGGCTCTATTGGTCCCGACTTCAGATATGGCAAATCTTCGATAGGAGGTGTGGGTATCGGGTTCACTGGCGGCTGTTTGAGAGGTCGTCCTTTGGGATACGGTGGTTCCACTTCCGATATTTCCTCCTTAGGCTCGGTCTCTTCAGAGGCTTGTTTTGGGGATGGCAACCCGGTTGGAATAGTAACAGCAACAGGTGTCTCCTCCTTTGTGACTTCGACGGGTGTGGGAACATGTCTGGGCATAGAGTCTTGAGCTATCATGTGGAGAAATTGCAGCTTCACCAGGAGGGCCACTGCTACCGTGTCTTGCAGTAAAGACGGTGGTTTCTTGGCTTCAAGTAGTTCCATCTCCTGCTTGTGCCTCTCTTCAGATTCAGCAAAGTACTCTTCATCGAAAGAGTCATCCTCAGCTTCGTCTTCATCCTCACTGGATGCCGGAACCGACATCACCACATCTTCCTGGTGTTGGGGCCCGTCGGCGCGGTTCCTGGGAGGCAGAAGGGTCATTTTGGCATCTTGGATTTTCGGGCTTGTTGCTATCAACGCCTTGGGCCCGGATGGCGCGGATGGAGGAGAACCTGCAGACGTGTGAAGCACTCGAGTCTTTTCTGGGTGCGCAGTGAACGCATTCTGCTGCCTGGGGCCCGTCGGTATGAGTCCTCTGTCCCTGGCTTCAGGCTGGAATTGCTTGTTCATTGCGTTCATAATAGACGGCTTAGATTTGTAGTCTGGAGAGACCCATATCTTCGAGGCGGTCCCTGGCCCTGTCCTTGTTCCTTCGCGGTCGCTTCGAGGCCCTGTTGGTATTGCTGGAGACCGATTGTCCAGTACGGAAGGTTTTGAGGGCTCCCTTGGTGCCATAGGAGGTGGTCCAGAGCCGGCCGGCTCACTTGAAGATAGTCTATGCTTGTTATAGGAAGTTGTGTTGCCCAGTCTCGGGCCAGAAGGCACATTTGGAGGCATGGAACGGTCAGCTGCAGGGGCTGCGGGGGGTTTAGATTCGATGGGCAGCTCATCTTTCTTTGCGCTTCCTTCCATCGATAAGTTGCTTGCACTTGGAGTCAGACCGGGGCGGACGGGGCGCGACGCAGGCTCGGTGCGAGCCCACATTTCTTGATGTTGAGGCGTTTTCACGGACTGACTGAGACCTGCCGCGGGAGCTGTCCTGCTAGCTTTTGGCCCACTAGGCGGTTGAAAAGTAGCTGGCGAAGGGGTTACTTGTTCACTCTTGATAGGCTGCCCCTTGGCCATGGGCGTCTTTTCCGCCGCAGGTGTCGCGACGGAAGGTAAGGACGGCGGAGGGCCATAGTCGAGGCCAATGGGGTTTGGGGATTGTTGCGGGGGCTGAGGTGCATCACGACGAGAGGTGTCCAACCTCGAACTTCCAAAATAATCTGCTCCTTCACCATCACGCCGAGTTTCGCGGAGAGCGCTGCTTGGGGTAGCCACAACGGATGGTCGTCTACCTGGGTCAAAGTCGGGCTTTCCGGGTCGGTCATTGACAGCGGCAGATGGGGTGGCAACAGCAGCGGCCGGATTCGCAGCGGATATTCTAGCAGGCGATTGATCTCTCGGCCATACGTCGTGCTCCCGTGAGTCCCTAGGTCTGGCTTCGCGCTCTCGGCTACGTTCATAATCGCGACGTTCGTACCTATCGGGGCGGTCAGCGTCACCCGGAGGTGGTCGGCCTCGGTCGAATTCGCGGTCGCGCCAGCTCTCCCTCGAACGGCTTCGTGGATGGAAGAGATCCCGCTCACGCTCGCTCACGAAAGAACTCCGGCCTCTGCCTCGCTCCCAATCCCCTCTTCCCCTGCCGCGGCCAAGACCCCCGCGCCCTGCGGAAGGGTAGTATGACGATGCAGATTCTGCGGGACGAGCAAAGGTTGAGGGAATCGATTCGCGTGAGTCCCTTCTGGGTCGAATTGGAGAGGCTGAGCGCTCTCTGCCCACATAAGCTCGAGTATCTCTCGCTGTTGGGACCGTCCGATCGGCAGCTGCGAAGTCGCGATCACGACGAGGCCATTCGGCGCGATCATCTTCTCGACCACGGTAAGACTGTGGAGGCGGCCGGGTATCTCGTTCACGATCTCGTTCGCGGTCTCGTTCACGGTCTCTCTCCCAGTTATCGTTGGGCCGAGGAGCAAATCCTCCTCCTCTGCCACGCGTGGTCGCAGTAAATGGAAAACCGCCCCCGCCTCGGAAATCGGCTTTGGGACCTCGAGGAGGGTCTCTCTGCGCCGGTGGCAAGCCGGGCTCTGTTTGGCCTCTGTATGAAGAGCTCGCAGGTGTGTAGTTGGTGGATGGTCTGCGTTCGAACCGAGGTGGAGAGCGATCTCTTGCTGGAGGAGGATATCTTGAAGACGACATACCCCACAGGCCCTCAAATGGTGAATTCTACTGGCCCAGAGTCGGTTCGCTTGAGGGGGGACACATCACGTGACTCGAAGCTCCTTGGATCCCTAGATCTGGCCAGCCCAAGTCGGACCTTTTCCTATCGATGCAGGTTTTCTGTCAAGGTGGGTTTGGCGTCTCTTAGCGTGGCTTTTCGAAGGGCTGAGATAATCCTGTCTCGACAATGCCTGGGCCTCGCTTTTGCACGCTAACGTTTCGTGCCAGTGTTCTCTCTTCGAAATGAAGTTCGTGTTGTCAAAAGAAAATCCGCCGCCCCAGCCTGGAAGCCACAACCACACGGTCACGCACTGCTCAAGCGCACCTGCGGCGTTCCACACTTCGGAGATCAAGACAACCGGATGGCTGCAGAGTGAAGTGTAACGGCCTTCTTCGGCTCCTTGAGGCCAATTTCGTGAATTAAAATCACACACGTCGTCAGGATTTCGCGCTCTCAACACTTCGATGGTAGTCCACGAGTACGAGGTTAAGACAAATGTGAGAAAAAGTGAATCATCGGTCGCGTAGTACGTGGCAGAAATGGCGTGGATTTCGCTTTGCCGAAGAGGAAAGGACGGTAGAGTTTCGAAGTGGAATGGGCGCTGGGAGCCCGTATGGAAAGGAAACGCCCCGTATTGGCGGTTGTGTGGATCGCGAAATCGGCGACAGGGATTGAGTTCCAATGCGCGATCATGCGGGTTGCGTTGTTTGGAGTTGTGGGATAAAATGAATTTGATGGGAAGAGATGGAAAAAGACCAGGGAGGAAGAAGGGACAAAAAGAGATGGATGGGTCAGACACGGACAAGGCGCTTGTGGTGGTGGTGCTGGTGGAGGAGCGCAGAGGAGGAGGAGCTTGTTGCTTGTCAGTTGCGGGCCACCGATGGTGCCGATGGGCTGCTGCACCTCAAATCTTAGCCGCCGCCGCCGATCCGTTGCCCGTGCTCGTGCAGATGACCATTGCGTCAACTAAGGTGTCTGTTACGGAGAAATGTAACCAGCGTTACGGAGAAATACCCCCGCAATTTGGGCAAATCGCCTGCGCCTGTTCCTCATCAATACCGCCGCATTACATCTGCACGCCACCCAACTCTGAGAGAAACAGCAACGTTCCCCCCTTCGGCCCCCCTAGCGAGCTGCTTAGGGTCTGCCGGGGTCCCGGATTCGAACATGAGGGCGCCCGGAGCCCAACCAGAGCTAGACTTTGACACCAAAAGCCCCAAGGCGTGGCAGCTTTTGGATCAAGTTTGATAGGCTGCCTCCTGCTTACAATACCAGCGAATCATAATATGAGAACGACTTCTATCAGTGGTCTATATTTTTTTTTTCTTTACACGGTGCAGAATCTGCCTTTATCTTCTACAATACTTGCCAATCACTAGAAGAATAGGTTCAGAGTTGACCATGGGTTCCGCACCACCTGCTAAAGCCACCGATGCCGTCTTAGTAGCCTCCGAGCCTGTTCCTGAGGAGTCCCGACAGGTCAAAGGCATCGACTGGATGTCCTTGCCGGACGAACAACGGACTATTATCTCGAATTTTGTCGACCAACTCACTGGACAAGGTTTCCAATCCAGTTCCATAGGCGATGCCATCCGCATCATCAATGACATGGTCTGTCGCTGGTTAAAAAGCCCGTTGAGAAGCAGTTCTGACACTTTCAGAGATCATGGAGAGATCCCGAGTCGGGCGAGAAAACCACCATTTTTCTGGGTTACACCTCCAACATGATATCATCAGGCCTGCGCGACACATTTCGCTACCTGGTGCAGCATCGCCACGTCTCGGCCATTGTCACCACCGCTGGGGGAGTTGAGGAAGACTTCATCAAGTGTTTGGCTCCCACGTACTTGGGCTCCTTTTCTGCCTCTGGGGCTGCCCTACGAGCCAAAGGACTGAACCGCATCGGTAACCTCATCGTTCCCAACAACAACTATTGCTCCTTCGAGGACTGGATCATACCCATCCTAGACAAAATGCTGGCGGAACAGGAAGAGGAGTTCGCCAGGTCTGGAGAACGGTTCTTGTGGACTCCCAGCACCATCATCCATCGCCTAGGCAAAGAGATCAATGATGAATCATCGGTTTACTATTGGGCATACAAGAACGACATTCCGGTGTTTTGTCCGGCCTTGACGGATGGCAGTCTCGGAGACATGATCTATTTCCATTCTTTCAAAGCCTCCCCCTTGCATCTGGGCATCGACATAGCCAAGGACATTCGGAAAATCAACACGATTGCCGTGCGGGCGAAACGAGCAGGCATGATTATCTTGGGAGGCGGAGTCGTCAAGCACCACATAGCCAATGCGTGTCTAATGCGGAATGGCGCCGAAAGTGCGGTCTACGTTAACACTGCACAGGAGTTCGATGGGAGCGATGCTGGTGCCCGTCCGGATGAGGCAGTGAGTTGGGGCAAGTAAGGCTTCTCCATGCCCTGTGCCTGTATCTTCAACTGAAACTGACCGAAAACTAGGATCAAAGCCGACGGGGACAGTGTTAAGGTATGGAAAGAATAGAAACCCCAACTCGGTGGATGTAGGAGACTAACAAAGCAACGAATAGGTCTATGTTGAAGCGTGAGCGACTGTCATTATTCAAGACTGTAGTCGACGGTGATCTCAGCTAACGGATATCTCAGTACAATAAGCTTCCCCTTGATTGTGGCCGGGACCTTTGCCAAACCAGAACCAAGACCATGACGCGCAAGTGGTCAAAGGGAGTTGGAAGCTGAGGCTGCTCGAACAGTGCAGAAAGCGCTGATATCTCCCCTCAATTCACATGGCCAAGGCAGACAGCCTCATGCCCACACCAAAGTGATGAAAGAGTGGGGAGACCAGCGTGGTGTGACGGTTGGGGATCCTCAAACCCGCTGACTTCTGACTGGCGAAGTGAGTCAGGCTGAGAGTTGAGAAAATGGCAGGTTTTAAAAGGATGAAGGATTACTGGTGGCAGCAGACAGATCACATTGACCGTCTCACGAGCCAATGGATGTTGGATGGAGACGGGGCCACATCGCCAGTGCTCCCAGTCAACGATGAGTATGGCTGGTTTGCAGAGAGTCAGACACCTGCAAAGGACTAAATGGCTGAGCCTCACTAATTAGCTAGGCTTTGCGGCCCAAAGGCGGGTGGCGACAGCTGGGGAGTCATTACGTGGGGGGGAGAGCGTTAAACAGCCCGGACAGCGTAGGCCTAGGTAGGCCTAGTAGCCTGGCGATGCATGCGGCGACTGGAACCGGGGGGATCCAAGTGCTGGAGCCTGTCGGCGCCGTCCAATAGCTAAGCCTCCACGCCGATGCCTGGGACTTCGTTCGTTGCCTGCCACTTACCGGTTCTACATACTCCTGCATAAATGCACCCTCTGGATTGCAAAAGTCGGAAGCCTTTCGCGCACACAAAAGCTCCCTGCTCACCCTGGAATCAACGTTGTCATTCTTGTCTTCTCCAAAGACCATTGCCGGTTCTTTGAAAATGTGACGTGGTGTTCGTACTTCTTTGGTGAAGCAAACAATCTCACTCTGATATACAATCCGCACTCAAGCATTCACCGCCTTACCCTTCCTTTTTCACTGCTTTTCTTTGCTACAGATCAGTTCCTGGTACTTCTGCCGGAGTCATGGCCTCCCAGAGCACTTCGCCCGTCTTTATCCAGGCCCCTCCCCATCCGCCTCATACATTGAACTCCGCATTCAGTGCAGAACTTGAACCGAGCCACCACCCGCAGACACCAACCATGCCCGGACCTGAGTCTCACGAACCTCTCTCCTCCAGCTCTCCGCACCCTCACCTTGATCTACCTCCATCCTCACCCGAAGTGCCGGACGCGGAAATGGCGGATGTCCCCCCTGCAGAACCCGAATCTCGACCGCAAGAGTCAGCGAATACTGCTGGAGAAGAGCCTCCAGTGGAGGTGTTGGAAAGTGTCGTAATTCCGGAGCCGGTGGTTTCTGAGGAAGAGGGAACTACTACAGTGGTTGCGGAAATCCCGAGTCAGGAGTCAAGCTCAACACCTCCTCCCCCGCCCGAGCCGCGTAATAACGCTCCCGAATGGACAGTCTTTGAAGAGGACTGGTCAAAGCCGACTGAGGAGGAGATGGAAGAGCTGAGACTGAGAGAATCTAGAGGCACAGAGCTGAGCGCACTGGACATCCCTAGTGTCGAGAAGCGCATCTATTCAGACATGGACGTCCCAGACGTGCGTCCAGTCAAGAAGCTGCGCCTCAGCTGGGTCATCAAGGGAGTTAGAGGAACCAAGGATAGACCGAACCACGCCAGAGTCATGGTGTCACCCCCCGCTGTTGTGGATGGGAACTATTGGCAAATCAAATTCTACCCGCGAGGCCATACATCATCATCATACAGCGCTTACATTAAATGCAGCAGACGACCTCCAAAGCCAGACACGAAGCCCTCTGAAAGCACCTTTTCATTGTTCGAGGGCCCTCCAGATGCGGACTTCGGCAATGGGGCCGTCCCAGCTATGATCCTCAAAGCTGAAAGGACAGCAAAAAAGGATGACCGTTCTTCAACTGCATCCACCGCCCCTTCAGTTGTCCAAAATCAAGACTGTCAACCACCTTCAGAGGAAGCAAATCCCGGCGCTGAAGGTCCTGGCCATGATGAGGTGCTTGATGTCCAAAGTCCTCCAGAACCAGGGGACGAAAATTGGCGACTGTCTGCGCAGCTTGGAGTGGTGATGTACAACCCTGAGGAGCCACGCACTTGTGCATATGCCTCCACCGAAGGACAATTCTCCAAATACGTGGACGACTGGGGTTGGTCAAGTGTTGCAGGGCCTTGGAGGGATGCGCACATTCGACAACACTTGCAAAGAGCACCGCTCTTGCAGAATGACACCATTGCCATTGACGCCTACATCCGCATCTTCGATGACCCGACAAAGGCCTTGTGGTGGCGTAGCTCCGAAGCCGAACCGCACTGGGACTCGAAGTCGCTTGCAGGGTATTTCCCGATGGGAACTCCTCCGCTCTATCACAGCCCTGCCGTGGCTGGGATGACCGCATGGCTTCTTTTGGCCCCTTTCCGCAAACTGCTGCAGCACGTTGACGCGGGAGGCTGGCGGCACAACTCTCAAATTCGACCGAGGCCGTTCATCGCTCAGCTCCAAATGATACTCTTTTTGATGCGAGCTTCAAGGAAAGAACGTGAAACTTACGTGGACCTGTATCCTGCGATCCAGGCCATGAGAGACTTTGGAGAAGATTATACTGACGTCAAAACCTTCTGGGAAGCCTTTCGAAGGACGATCGAACTTGAGCTGGACGACGATCAAGAAAGCTTGAGAGCGTTGAAAGCAATCTTTGACGGTCCAAGCGGTCCAATCTCACTACCACCATTGCCGGTGGAGAACGTGCTCGACATCCAGCAAACGCTCAATCGTGTTCTACGGGAAGTGAATTTCAAAGGATGTCTCCCGGACTTTTTGCCTCTGATGCTAGCACGGGACAAGTTTGACAAGACAACACGAGAATGGAAGCTGCTTTACGACCGTGTGATCTTGAACGACGAGATTGACGTTTCGGAATTCAGCACCGACGTAGGAGGTGTCAAGTACACTCTCTATGGATTCATGGTCCATGCCGGTGTAAGGAACTCGGGGAAGTTTTATACTGTCTTGCGACCGAAGGGGCCAAACACGATGTGGCTAGCTTTTGAGGATGGGGATGGTAACCAGGTGTTCTCTTACAACAGAAAAGTCGTCCAAGCATTTGAAGGACTTGAAGGACAAGCCCTGAAGGATTTCAACTCGGCGCGAACAACTGCTTACATGGCGATGTACATCAAGACGGCCTGCTTGCCCCAATATTTGCCTGAAGGTCTGGAACCGTATCAGCTTCCGAAGTGGCTTGCACCCTACCTTGATTCTTCATATCAGGAAGCGCATGGAAACTTTGCTGAAGACTCCAAGGACGCGGACTTGGAAGAAATCAGTGTTGAAGTCTACTCTGATGAAGGCATAATCGGAAGGGAAGGGTTACTGGACATGTACAACATCAAACAACAGTCTCGACACAAAGGGCTGTTCCACCTCTTGACCTCGCCCAAAGATGCAACATATCAGGATCTCAGGCAGCGCCTAGCTGGAAAGCTGGGAATTAGTGATCCTCAAACGGTCCGACTTTTCCGGATGGGTTACACTGGCATTGGTCATTACGCAACTGCACAAATGGTCCACGTTGCCCTGACAGATACTGTAGGCGACGGCAGAGCCATAGGCCAGCCATTATGCTTGTGGATGTCAGTGCTCAGCAAGGATGAGCTTGAATTGTTCGGTGAGCCAGATAGAACACGCGTCGAACTGGATGCGGATCTGTTACACTCCAGAAGTGAGGCATCGCTGGCGGCAAGTGTCACCAACGGCAACGAAGAGCAGATTGCTGCTCCCGACGCCGAACAAGCTTCAATTCGAGCTGCTGTTGCTGCCGACATTGATCGCATCTCGAATAACAGACAGCAACCGTCCGCCGTGGCCGTGGAAATCAACGACCCAGATACTCCCATGCAGCTTGAGGTCCCACCTCCGACCGCCGAAGAAAGCCTGACTGCGAATGGGCCTCATGGTCATCTCATTGACGCGGCCGCACATGAAGACGTGGTGGCTCCACCTGTCAGCAATGAGACTCTATTCACTTCAGCAACCGGAGTCTCGACATTGTCTCGGGCTGAAGAATCCCTGATTGCCGCTGTCATTTCTGGAGACGCTGAAGCCATGGATTTTGTTATGAACTCGGGATCTGTTTCCACCGAACATTCAGCCTCGCAATCTGGCGAGTCATCGCAGTCTTCGTCACCGCCGCCTGAAAAACAAGGGCCTGTTGATAACGTTTATGGCTTCCTGCAAGTATTCGACGTTGACAAGCAGACTTTCCGTGTCCAAGCAACCTTCTTTGCCCGTTCAGAGGAAAATGTGAGAGACTTTGTGCAGAGGCGCTTCAGTTATGCGCCGAACAAGAACTTTATTGCCTGGCGTCGCCATTCAACCGTCGATGGGACCATTGTAGGGCCCGAGGACACATTTTCGGATCCCAGATTTGTCAATGGGTGTGATCTTGTTGTTTACGAGCCCGTTTCCGAAACTCGCGTGAAGGAGCTTGAGAAGGAGGGCAAGTTCGCCACCCCTCACGAATTATCCCACTACTTGCGGATGGTTGAGCGACGGCATCCAGTCCATTCCAAGACGACCACCGAGCCTGTCGAGCTCGCGGATTTTGGCACCGACTACTACAAAGGACCCCTGGTCAATGGGCTCTGCCATGGGACAAAGTGCTTCAGTATCAGCTCCACGGGTAACACCTACGAAGGACCCCTGGTGTGTAACGTCAAATGCGGCAAAGGAGGCAAAATGACGTACTACAATGGCGACACCTACGAAGGTGAATGGTACCAGGATGAGCGCCACGGCCAAGGGACTTTTGTGGAAGCCCGAACCAGGAATAAGTACGTTGGCGGCTTTGAGAACGGCAAGCGGTGGGGAATGGGTACCACGTACTGGCAGGTTGCGGACGAGCAGGCGGACCTGTGCCAGATCTGCTACGGCAACGAGATTGATGCGTTGTTCTTTGACTGTGGGCACGTGTGCGCTTGTGTCGAATGTGCGAAGCAGTGTGAGCTGTGCCCTATTTGCAGAAAGGCGGTGAAGCAAGTGGTCAAGATGTTCCGAGCTTGAGGAAGTGCCGTTTACTGAGAGATGATTTTGCGTGGAGGGGTTGAAGCAAGCGGGCGTTTTATCAGGGATCGGTGTGCTTGTGGCGCGGGCGAAGAAAGCAAAGGATATTCTGGACATGGATCATGGCTGCGTGATTTGATTTGGCGTACGCGATTCTGTATTTAGGTATGGTTAACATTTAGCATGGAACCCGGCGCATTCGCGATGATGGTGACTGGCCGGGCGCGACGATCAGATGGATGGACCACGAGCAAATTGATGAAGACAGACATACAATACATATCACGAATTGACGGCAACTCCACAGGCCATTCTTGATTGATTGAAAGCCCCCTGTCGGGCAGATCCATCTCGTATTCTGGACTTTCCTAGACCTGCTTCGCTCGCCCCTCTGCTGCTGCTTCATTGGTTCTTCTCCCCTCGGTTGATATGCAGGAACCAACTGGAGGCGAGATGGAGTCGGCAAGACAAAAGCCTCGCGGGAAATCTCGTTCCGCTCTTTTTTATGCGTCCCAAGGCCTTGCATGGTATCTTTTAGGAAGGTCCAGAGTGGGTACATCCACCTGCAGGTGATGGATCTTGGGTCTATACGCCAAAAGATTCCTAAAAGGACTTTGGAGGTGGCCTATTAGTTGCTGGAGCAAACAAATACTCTGGTTTAAAAAGAGGCTTCGACAGCCTCAAAAACCCAAGGCATTTTCTTCCTCTCTTGACTTTGTGATCCTTACTCCTTGTCGAGCCGACTGACACAATCTGAAGCAGTGCACAATCTCTTGATAAGAGTCACCACCATGTCTTCCAAGCCGACACTAGTCTTTGTGCCTGGAGCATGGCACCGAGCCGAGACGTGGAGCAAGATCTCTACAATCCTCGAAACCCAACATCACTACAAATGCATAGCGGTGACCTTGCCGTCGACCCAATCCGACCCCGCCGCCACTCTTCTCGGTGATATCGAGGCCGTCAGAGACGTCCTGGTCGCCGAGACGTCACAGGGACGAGATGTCGTGGTTGTCGTGCACTCCTATGGGGGCGTCGTGGGCGAAAGCGCCATGAAGGGTCTCGCACTCCCCAAAGGAAAACCGGATGCTGCATCCTCATCGTCCTCTTCAGCGGAGGACAAGGCCTCGGGTCATGTCATTGGCCTCATCATGATGGCAACGGGCTTTGTCACGCCTGCAAAATCTTTCATCGAGGGCCTCGGAGGCCAAGCGCCCCCGGAGTGGAACCTCAACCAGGAGACCGGCTTTGTCGAGATTCTCGTCGACACACGCCAGCTCTTTTACCACGACTTGCCGGAAGAGGAGGGCAAGGAGTGGGCCAACAAGCTCACCAAGCACTCGCTGAAGACGCTGACGGAAGGTGGTGAGCATACCTACCCCGGGTGGAAGGATGTGCCATCGTGGTATCTTGCCACCAAGGACGACAAGGCATTGCCGGTGGAAGCGCAGAGAATGTTTGTGCAGATGGCAAAGGACGCAGGAGCTGATGTCACCTTGCGAGAGATTGAAAGCAGTCATTCACCCATGCTGAGCAGGCCAGAGGAGACGGTGCAGTTTGTTTTGGACGCCACAGCCAGATTTGTGGGGTAGATAGTACTTTTGCTGTCGGGCAAGAATCTCAGCTCTTTGAAACAGTGTGGCCCCGCTTAGACCTGGGTGGCATACAATGCTCTTTGTTTTCACAATCCGAGACAGCCTGGAAGAGCGCAGTTTGTGCAGTGAAGATCCACGGTTCTTTCTTTGGTGTCAAACTTCACGCACAGGCTTTGAGAAGGTCACCCTCGGAAGCAGAATGATCGCCGTCCTTTTCTCTGGCATTCATTTCATCCTCCTAAGGCTCTCCTATGTATATATAAGTATCCGCGTACTGAAGGCTGACAGTGGCATCAGGCGCAGGCAAGGCTGAGCATATGGAGCTAGCAAATGGGGGCCTATCCGGCAACGTCCAACTTCCAAGCATCACACTTCACTCAAACCAAACTCTCCAAAATTCTCTGATCACAATGTGTGACTCTTGCAGCAACCGCACAGCGGCTGGCCCGGCGCTGTATGGCATATCACTTGGCGGCACATGGTGTAGCGCGAACAGTGAATTTCATCAGTCACGACGACACACCTGGGCCGAAGAAGGATGGCTGAGGGCTATTTAACGTGGGTGTCGCGTCTTCTCACGACCTTCTCTGGCTCATGAGCTGTATGTTCAGCCTTTGCAGACCAGCCCTAGTTGCCACAGCCCTTTTCATCCACAGCCCGACGCTCGGAGCCGACAACAAGACAGCCGCCATCGGTGCTGAGACAATGCGCGCCAGTCTCGCCCTTCAGCTGCTTTTCCTGCTTCATTTCCTTGTTCTGAATGGGGCGTTATGCCAGGCGGCGGCGCCGATGATATAGCATGTCGTCGATGCCCCTGCCGCGCAAATCGCAAGGGTGAGAGAAGGGCTGGAGGATGCACTCCACATCGCGAGGGTGGTCGCGTTGACATTCAGTCCATGTGAAGAGGTACGTTGCCCAGATACACACTCGAGCTATCATTTGGTACCTGGTAGTTCTCGACGCTGACCGCAGTCCCGTCAACAGGCCTTCTTGCGCTACTTCCGGCGCGAGGATGCGGACTTTGTGAAGAACATGTTTCGGACCTTTGCAAACATACGGTTGGACGAAGTCATCACCGAACAGTCGCTCGTGTCCGTCCTCACCAACGCCAACGCAGAACTGAATCCACGGTTTGTCGATTCGGCGCTCTACATGGGAGACAGCCTGTCGCCGGTAAACGGGGGGTTGTGCGACGGCAGGGCCAACGCTTGGATGAGCGAGGACAACGACCACGGCAGGGCTAACATCTACCTCTGCGACATCGCATTCGACTGGCCGTCCATCGAGGACATTGCAAATCCACCACACACCGCGTGGGCGAGGGACAACCAAGGCCGGCCTCGCCCGGGCTATTCCTGCGACAATCTCGGCGACTTTGATTCCGACTGGATGAAGACCGTGGGCTCCATCATCCTGCACGAATACTTCCACTGGGGGTGGCTCTACATCCACGTCCCGGACTGGTACTACTTCATCCGGGTGACCAGGTTGGGCTGGAGAGCGATCGAGGACTACGCCGGCCCGAACCCCCCCGACGGATACGGTGCATACCGAGCCAGGCAGATCAAGGACATCTACGGCAGCTGGGACCAGATTTACCCGGCGACCCTCAACAACGTCGACAACTACATCTACTACGCCCTGTCCAAGTACTGGTCCTGGCGGTGCGACAAGCGGTTTGGGCCCGCCCCAAGTGAGCGAGACGCGCATCAACGGGCGGCAAGCGGGTTTCGACCACCCTATTAATGACTTGATCACAAATGCGCGAGGCGGTGCAGGGTGCCGGAGTAACCTGAGGCTGGATTAATTTCTCTAGGAAAAAAATGCTTTGCTGGGAGTCAGACGATTGGGGGAATGTGTGAATTTCGATGGAAGCTGGCTCGGGTCTTCAAAGGTGCTGAAGCAGATAACATGTGCCGCAAGTAGTTTTCAAACATTATTTAGAGCTGCTTTGGTCAAGACATTCTACCAATCCACCGTGGGACTTGCTTTTTGACAGCTTACCTCTCACGACATTGAATCTCCCATATCCTCTCCCGCGCTGGCTTTTCGTCAAGATCTCGGCGTGCCATCGTTGTAGCTTGGGCATCTTTCAATCTCCTCCTTACAAAGAGGCCTCTACTGAACCTGTCGGGTCCTAGTCAAGGAATGGGGCTCCAGGGACTTTACTTCGCCGGAATCGAGGGGGGATCGTCTCCGTGGCGCAACCAGGGACGGATCATCGCAACGGCGGCAATGCGTCACTTACCTAGGGGAAGGTTAATGTAAGGGAAGAATCCTTCGAGGAGACTAGATCGAAAAGAAGAGCGGGAGGAAGTAATTACAGCACTGCCCTCCTCCCAGGGTCCTCCTGAACCGCTCTCTGGAGAAATTCGCCGTCTGAAAAGAGTTCTCGTCGACGGAGGTGCGGCGCTTGGAGTCGATCTTCGGAATCTCGGCCATATGGGCTCTCCGTTCTCTCGGATTCTCGCCAAAAGAGAGAGATAGACATACGCGTCAGCTGTGCGAAGGGACGTTGGTCCGAGATGCTGAGGGGCTTGTGCGAACATCAGTCCTCGTACAGTACCTTCTCGCCAATCTCGTGTCTGGCCAAACCGGCCCCGCGATGCTCCCTAAACGATCCTCAGCTGAGCTGAGGGGTTTTGAAATTCCCATGCTGATGGAACAGGGATTCTGGCATGTGCCCTCGGTTCCTCGATCCTTTCTATCTCCATCATCGTCAGGCATCCAAGCCGCGTCTATGCTGATCTACGATGAATCGCCCCAATTAAAGGTTGCTAGGGAGGGTGTATCCTTCCGTCATGTGCCAAAAGACCAGCTACCGCCACCTGCGTAGCACCGCTTCATGAACTCAGATGTCTTCGTTTACTTTAAAACATCCCTTCTCAGAGATATACTTGGACGAGACTGTTTGTTGTGCTCACTGACGTTCTTATCCGTCCGGTTTTTACTCTGTGGGAGAGGAGAGCATTGGTCTCTTTTGTGTGGCACAAGAGTGCAACCCCCATCTCCCGTGTCAACTTTTTAATCGCATTCGCATCTTGCCACTACAATATCCCCGGTACACGATGCCCTCCCCGAAACCCTACAAGTTAATCACAGTCAGCACGGCGCCCGAACGCGCAAGCCGAATGGCGAGGAAAATCGCCGAGGACGTCAGGGACCGGTATATCATCATCCACTGCGTCAACGCTGCGAGTATGTCAATTCCCTGCTCTATCAGATTCTTATTTCTATGGGCGATACCTGTATCAGTGACTAAGACTGAGCTCTCCTATTCCCTGCTGGGAGCTGACGATGCATGTATCTGCCTCCAGGGATTGACGAAGTGGAGCCGCTCGTGTCGCTGTATAGACCTGACATCCTGGTATGTACACCCCCAGGCCAGCATATCTCTCTTTCAATACCACCACCACCACCACCACCATCAAAGGGACCCAACTCCACAAGACCTGTCTCGCGTGCTAAACTAACGTGGTTGGAATTCAATGCAGGTCTGTGCTTCGATATGGTCGCCGGATCAAAGCGCCGAGATCAAGAGGATCGCCAGGACCGCCGCGCCGGGCCTGCGATGCTATGTCGTGCCTCAGGACATGCAGGCTGAGAGAGGCGTCGAGGCCACCGTAGAGCATGTCAAGACGCAGCTGCCAAAGATCATCGAAGGGGACTTGGGACTGAAGTGATGTGTGCGCAAGGTAAAGTATGGTTTGTCATGGCATGCATGGGGTGGCAATCGAGTTGGATGGAAAGGAACGCAGGCACGGACGGACCGACGATGGGCGTCGCTAGGTCCATACATACGCACAATTAGCGGAGTTTCCGGTGCGTTCATCCTCCAGTTGCTTACTGTCCTCGAGTCGTTCCTTTGTGTTACCACACGTCTTCTTTCATGGTGGATGGTAGCCAAAGCCCAGGACGGCAATTGCGTTGCACTTTTGCGACAGAATGAGGGAACAGTCGTGTCCAGACACAGGTCACACCTGGGCAATGCATTGCCTACCCCCAAGGACGAGACATAGTCAGGCACAGCAATGGACGGGGATGGTTGAAGAAGGAATTCATCACCCCAGAGTCTTCCAACGAGTTCATAAGCAAACCACTGACGCTGCTGCATCAAAGAGATTCAATCCATATTTCTTGTGACCCCAGAATCCCTGGGCCAGGCTCGCAATTCAAAAGCGCAGCCGCATTTGACTCTGTCCTCGATCAAACCCCTAAAATGCCGTATGTATTTCTCATTGGCCAGCCCGAAGAGGCCAAGCACTATTCCCATTGGACAGCTGACCCGTGGCTTTGAATCCAATCTTCCGATTGGACGACTCCATGCTCTCTCTCCGAGTGAGGCCAGGAGTGGACAGTAATATCTTCATATGCTGCTGGCCCTTCCATGTCGCTCGTCTGGAGTAGCGAGACCTCAGCGGCCGTTTGTCAGTAATACCATCTCTTCTGGTTGGCTCAAGGCGACCACAAGACTCGTGGCCGTCATGCCTGCCATGTATTTCCCGAGTTCGGCGACCGAGCATATCAATGTTACATCATGCGAATTAATTGACCTTACGCCTGGTCCTTATGGAGAGGGATCGCATCGCGAGAGTGGTAGAGCAGATTTCAGCTCTACTTCCATCGAGTCTCGTCCTGAGAGAACAAGTGTCTGCAAAATCGGCAATATATATCAACAGGATTGTCCCATAGCATTCAAGCCTCGCACATCTGCAACAGCTGCCAACATGATTGACAAGCCCTCCGTCGTGAAGACCGCCATTGTTACTGGTGCAGTCTCTGGGATTGGGCTCGCTCTTACACGTCACCTGTTGGCCAAAGCAGATACTAGCAAAGAAGAGTGGAGGGTTGTGCTGGCGGACATCAACGAAGTAGGGTATGAAGCCACCAAGTCGACGCTGGAACAAGATCGTCATATTTTCGTACGGGCCGATGTCTCCAAGTTTTCAGACCAGTTAGAGCTGTTCAAGAGGGCATTCGTATGGTCCGAGGGACGTATCGACTTCTTCGCCAACAATGCCGGGATACCAGACCGCCAGCCACTGCTAAGTTGGCTGGGAGATTCCAAGACGGTCGAGAAAGAAGACCCCGTCGAGCCCGATCTCAGCTGCCTAGACGTCGACTTGAAGGCGGCATTCTATGGACTGAAGCTCTTTGTCCACTTCACCAGGATGACGCGGAACCTCCTCAGCCGGCAGACTGCCACGGCCATGGACGACATTGGGATTCACGGGGGAGACGCCGCCATCGGGGTCGCCGCGTTGCAGGACTTCCACCCCAAGATGGTCATCACCGCTTCCATGGCTGCCCAGTACCCGTTCTACATCCTGCCGATACACAGCAGCGAAGCACGGATGCGTGGGGCTGGTCCGAGCAGCGGCCCCGACATTGTTCGAAGACGAGGGCATCACCCTGAACGCGATCATGCCCGGCACCACAAAGACTAACATCATCCCCCAGCCCATCCTCGAGCAATGGCCCGAAGAGAACTTCACTCCCCTAGAGACCATTCTGCGGGCGTTTGAAGAACTTATCGACGTAGGAGGGCAGATTATCCAGGACGGGCTGAGTGATGGTCAAGATGGACAGGTCAAGAATGGATGCTGTGTCGAGGCCTCTACCAGTCGCTTGTTCTACCGCGATCCAGTCCCGTTTCCGAGCGAAGTGCAGGAATGGGTGGGAGAGCAATCGAGAAGCGACGGGATTCTGGGGGTCTTTATGCAGAAAGCGATCAGCTCTAGGGCGAATGGATCGACATGACTACTCAGTTGAGGAGTTTCCGAGAAACCATCCCTCCAGAGTTGACATTTGCGTTGGTATCGCCATTAATGAGACTGAGATCAGGCATATTGGTTGCCTTGAAGGGAGATGCCCGGTTCGTGGAGGTCCATTGCAGTTGTAGACCTTGATGGAGTACATGTACCTGTGGATTGATGTGCTGTGCTCTCTTTGCTGCAGTCCACCTTCCGATCCTAAGGGACGACAAGTTCAAGACTGGATCCGGATGGCGGCCGAGGCCGACGACGGTGCTTCCTATGCTGGTACTGTGCTCCGTCCTGGGACAACCAGCCAAGTTCCTCGCCATCAGCGACATTATAGTCGATCTCCGCAACCCCAGATCTACCGACCTCCGGCACACCAGTCGATCATTACCGCTTGATTGGCTTCGACTGCCCATGGGTGATGCTACTACGGAGAAGTCCACAGCGGGAAGGGATTCCACCGTCCAGGGGCAGCAGCAGCGATAACAACATCCTGGCATGTTGCAATCTTCTTATCTACCACCCGCTCACACCTCTCGGCTGCACCAAGAAGCAACAACGATCTGCAAGCATGCATCCACGGATTCTGGGCGAACATGGTCTAAAATCCTCAGGGATGGTCCGGCTCTGGGTTGCATCTGCACCTTTTGCTGCTCTTTTCCAGCAAGGGGGCGCCCACAGTGGCATCAATTGTCCCCTCTCGATATGATGGGCTCGGTCTTTGATGGCGCCTTATCTCTGGCTTTCAAAGGTCCACGGGCAAAGCAGTCATTAGTCGGCGAAAAACGCCCCCCAGGTTCAACTGGCTTTATATTATGATGCTGCTCGTGACTCTTTTCCGTGGCCGGACAGCACGCCGAGTCTCTCAGGTTTGTTAACATCCCCTCGACGATCAGCAGGCGGGAAAGAAAAAGAGTCCACAGGTAGTCTTGCACCGCTGTCCTGACCAGACTCCTCGGGCTCATCGACCGTCTTTCTGTTCATTACGTCGGACATCTCGACCGGCAATGGACACCCAACCCAGCAGCGGCCACGGCATGCTCACCCTCAAGGACGACAAGAAAGTGTCCATCACGGACGATGGCGTTATACCCGTCACTTCACTCGGAGAAGGCCAAGCCATCTCAGCAAGTGAGGCCATTGACCCAGCCGCGGAGAGACGGCTGGTGTGGAAGTTCGACCTGCGCATCTTGCCCACGTTGGCCATCATGTATCTCTTCAATGCCCTGGTGAGTGATTTACCCCCCTCGTTTCTGAGAGGTGTCTCCCGGAGATCTTGATTCCTGATGAATAGATGCATGCGTAGGACAAATCGAACCTCGGCAATGCAAAGACTGCCGGGCTCGAAAAGACGCTCCACATGAAGGGGGAGGACTACAACCTGATCCTGTCCATCTTCTTCGTCCCCTATGTGCTCGCGGGCCCGATCGTCGGCATGGCCAGCAAACGATTCGGCCCCAGTCGCACCCTCCCGCTGATGATGCTGTGTTTCGGCTTCAGCACGCTCATGACGGTCGCCGTGAAGAACTTCGGCGGCCTCTTTGCGTGTCGATGGTTCTTGGGCATGGTAAGTACCCTTCTTCCGTGGCTCTCTTCCCGCCGGTTGATATTGGAGGGTCAAAATGTTCTGAAATAAATGCCAATTCACCTCAAAACCAGGCCGAAGGAGGGTTCTTCCCCAGCATCATCTTCTACCAGACCTGTAAGAGTCCTATCACCAGCACTTCTGTCCAGCCACCGACTCACATTCATTCCCAGTGTTCTACCGCCGCGGCGAACTCGCCCGCCGCCTGGCCATCTTCTACGCGGCCTCCAACATCGCGTCTGCGTTTGGCGGCCTGCTCTCCTTCGGCGTGTTCCAGATCCACTCGACCGCGCTCGCCAATTGGCGATACCTGTTCGTCATCGAGGGGGCATGCAGCATGCTCTTCTCGCTCTTCGCCTTCTGGGTGCTGCCGTACAACGCGCAGTCGGCCAAGTTCCTGACCGAGGAGGAGAAGCGGCTGGCCTTCTACCGCATCCAGGTCGACTCGTCGGCGGTGGTGAACGAGCGCTTCGACATCCGCTCCGCGCTGGCCATCTTCAAGCACCCGACCAGCTGGGTCATCCTGGCGATCGAGATCTGCCTGGGCGTGCCCCTGCAGTCGGTCACGCTGTTCCTGCCCGTCATCGTCAACCAGCTCGGCTACTCGACCGTCAAGACGAACCTATACACCGTGGCGCCCAACATCACGGGCGCCGCCATGCTACTGGCCCTGGCGTTTGCGTCGGACTGGACGCGCTGGCGCTTCCCCTTCGTCGCGCTCGGGTTCACCTTCACCTGCATCGGCTTCATCATCTTCGCGGCCGTCGACCTCGACACCCAGCTCCACACGGCCTACTTTGCCTGCTTCATGATGACCTGGGGCACGAGCGCGCCCAGCGTGATTCTGGACGTGTGGTACAACAACAACATCGCCGACGAGAACAAGCGCGTCATGTTGACCAGCGTGGGCGTCCCCGTGGCCAATCTGATGGGTGTCGTCAGGTATGTACATATACCCAATTCATCACCATCTAATACTGTTCTCTTCCGCGAACCATGTAACTGACTCTTCTCCCCCCCCTTTCGCCGCTCTCCAGTTCAAACATCTTCCAGAACAAAGACCGGCCAAAGTACCTCCCCGCGCTCATCACGACCGCGACGTTCGGCGCCGTCGGCTGCGCCCTCACCCTCCTCCTCGGCGGCTGGATGATCCTCGACAACAGGCGACGCAACCTGCGCGCCGTGAGGGACGGCGGGAAGACAGTCCGCGCCAGGGACGTCCCGACCGAGCTGTTGCGCGACGGGCCAGCCGCGCCCGAGTATCGGTGGTTCTACTGAGGGTGGCTGGACCGAACAGGTACGGACGAAAAGGCACAGGTCCAGAGGTTGGTCGCAATAATGAACGGCAAGAGGCAGTCGGAGGAGGCAAAGACCCTAGAGCGCATGTGGCCATCTTTTCTATATAGAGTAAACGAGGTTACGGTTGGTTTTTAAAGAAAAAAGGGAAAAAGGGGGTATTTGTGGATAACTCTGCTCGCTACAATTTCAGCTCCCGCACCAAATCAAGGGCTCCCATCATTCCGCAACACCAAGCTCAGCTCAGTTCCAGCGCGCATGACGCTCAACGCTCAACGCTCGCTCGCTCGCTCGCCGTCTTGTTGCAAGCTCCACGTCCAAAACTCAACAAAGGAAACATGATTGAACATGCCCGACTTGGCCTGCGTTCTGCCCTCGCAAGAACCAGGGTCATGCTCTCCAAGAAGAGAAAAAAGGTGTTGTGTCATGACTCGTGTCAGGTCGTTCAAAAACCAGGGCACTGTAATGCAAGGCAAGGGACGGATAAAAGTCGACAAACGGGCCACCCACGCGCAACATTCCATGCCCCTGGGAAAGAAACCGCCTCCCTTTCCACTTTCCTTCACAGTCACTCAATTTCCACAGTCGATTTACTTCGCGCTCTGATTTTTTTGAACATGTTTCAATACCATGCAGATCAACACTGCCAACCGGTTATCATCTTCAACTCGATCGATGTTGGTCAGTAATTTTGAAATCTGTTGTACATTTATTGTACAGAATACCTCGAGACTTATCGCACACGGGGTTGGAGGGGAATGGGGATCCCGCTGCTCTGTCTAGGTCCAGATGGTAGACCATTGGTCGCGTTGGCTGGCAGAGTTCGGCGATTGAGACGGTTCGTCCTCCAGCGTTCGTAGAACTGAAGCACTGTTAGTCAGAGCCTCAGACACGGGAGACATATATATGAGACTTACCACTTCGCGACTGGCCTCTCGCAACTCAGATCGCCACTCCCCAAATACAGCTTCTTTCAACTTCACAAAGTCACAATGGTTGGGATTGTACGGGTCGGCAAACCCCCAAGGAAAATGCCGTCCAACTGGGCCATCCTTTGCTTCGAGAGAATATTTGTCTGGGCTGAGGATCGACCATGGGGCATAGCCACTGTCAAGCACAGCATCCTCGGTGGAAATATGGCGCTTGTGGTTGCCCGGCCGTTTCGTGGTGCCCGGGTCTCGATTCGCATCAGAATCCTCGCTCCGGGCTGAAGCCTGATCTTCCGAGTCTGCAGCGCTGCTATTTTCATCTTCGTCGCGCTCGTCCAGACGTTCGTCATCCTCGTCTTCGGCATCAAAACTCAAGGCTTCCAATGGATCAAGACCAGCCTTCTTCAGACTCCGGCTGACTTTTTGCTTCAGAAACGCCATGTGCGCTGTGGTGATGGTGTCCGCCTTGCTGATGACTGGGATGACGGTGGTTTTACTGGCCAAGGTCCTCATGACTTGAATGTCAAAGTCTTCGTCGAGAGCGCCGACAATACGAGATGGCTTGCCAATTCGCGTGGCTTCGACCCCGTTGGTGACACCTTGGCCAGCGTTGATGTTGGCGTCCAGCCGGGCAGGGTCAAGAACAAAGAAGACGCAATGAATGTGAGTATCGCGGACGCCTGGGGCGCGAACGACCTTCATCTCTTCCAGAAAGGTATCGTCGAATTTGCTTTCGACAAAATTGCTCATGTCTCTCAGCTGAAGGTCAACAACGCCCTTGTCCAAGCCTTGAGAGTCCCACAATGTCAAGCCAATTCGCTCCCCATCGACCTCGATCTCTTGATAGTGGTGGACGAAGTTGGGGTTTGCTCTTGCAGACGAGGGAGGTGTGTCGCCATCCGGAGCTCGACTCGGTTGTTTTTTTGCCGGCAGCGCAAGCGAGCTCTTTAGGAAATTAAGGAAAGAGGTTTTGCCGACATTTCTAGCACCGATGATGAGGACGTTGTAAGGGGTGGGATCTTTGCGACGGCGAACTCTCCGGGGAGAGTTGATGGTAGAGACAGTCGAATTCGCATAGGAGTATCGACCACCTAACGGGAATGAGTCAGCCTTGTCGTGATATCTCGCGATCGCAACTCAACTTACGGTGGGTCATGCTCTCAGTCCTCGCATATGGATCAACAGCCTCCTTTTCCAAGTTTCCGGGCAAAGGAGGGACGGGGGGAGTGTTCTTTGCGCCATTTGTTTGCTCTCTGGACGCGGTCTGGGGGTTGTAGTTTTCACCACCAAATGATTGAATGCCCAAAGGCTGTGGATTGTAATTTGGCAGGCGAGGAGGCGACTGTGTGACCTTTGCAGCTTCATCCATCTCTTGCTGCTTCTTTTTCAGACGGCTCCCAGAGGTCTTGCGATCACCTAGCGCTTCGCCGCTCTTTGATCGAAACAGGCGAGAGCCGAGACTGGTACTTCGACGACTGGAGGCCTGGGACTCATTGCGAGCGAGAGGAGCAGGAGAAGTCATGGCGTCGGAGGATCTCAGATCAGCTATCGGAGAGGGGTTGTTGCCGGCGAGCCAATTCGGAGTACGTGCGAGGTGGACGGCTTGGAGGCAGGCGCGGACGCTGACGTGAGGAGAATGGGTTGGTGATTTGAGCTGTTGGAGGAAAGTGCCTGCTGCTTGCTGCTGGATGGGCGATTGATCATTCGTGGAGGATCAGAGGGAGATGCAGGCCGTAGTGAGGACTTGATTCGATTCGACACAATGAACCAGGGGGCGGCCAGCGCAGATGCAAAGTTCGACAGGCCACTTTGGTGACAGAGGTTGCACAAAGAAGAGAGCGAAGTGAAATTCCAATCGCGTTGGACGGGGCTAAGTGAGCGGACGACGATCGAGGAATTGATGTCTCGATGGTAGCAGGCCCGACGAGGGTTGTCGTTGATGGCAAATGTCGAGGTCCGCCGAGGGAAACGGGATACAAGTCACCTGCGACCGTTGAAGCCCGTTCAGCTTGCTCGAGAACAGAATATGGGGTAATTGCAGGGCGCCGAACTCCAGAGCAGCGACGTCGACTACTGCAACTGAGCCACTTGAACCTGCGTTAGAGGCGCACTTGACAGCGGGTCGCTCAGAAGTCAAATTGTGCCGCATGCGTCAATCCGCAACGTGGTGGGCGTGGCAGAAGGGAGAACGACCGTTTCGAGAAGAAGTCAGTGGCAGTCAGAAACGGTGTCAGAGATAGACGAAAAAAGAAGATCAAGAGTTCTTTCTTTCGTTTCGTCCTCATCTCTTGTGCCCTGCCCTCGCTACCGATCTCGTCTTCTCACCGGGGAGTATTCAGGGGCTTCCTCACCAAGTGGTCCCTAGCAGCCAGCTCGAAAGCCGACTGGCGATAGAGGCCTTAGCGACGGTGCGGCATTGGCTGCTGGCCAACAGCAGGCGAGGATAAGGCACAAAGCTTTGCTCGTTTCATGTTTTCTGCTACACTAGCCCATTAACTAAAAGGTCAGAGTTTGTTAAACAGCGTGCCCCCTGGGCAGATCCTTGTGCCATTGTCCTCTGCTTCATTTTCTCCTCCTTAAGGGTATGAGTAGTGTCCTTTCGCCCTCCTGTCTTGGTGTAGGCATCTTGCCTAGCTCGGTGATTCCCATCCTGCTAAACTACATCAATCACAACCCCCCGTTACTGCAGGTAAGCGGTCACCTCAACATCGCATCTTGCCTCAGGCCCCTCTGCCCAGATGGGTGCATTTTCAATCTCCGTCACCATGCCGTGGAAACTCTCGGTCAAGCCTGGGCGAAGGAGAATATCTGATTGTTGAGTCAACCACGGAAACGATGCGACGGCGTGGGAGAAGCCGGCGCCCTTGAATTTCCATTCCCAGCTCCTCAGAATGAAATCAATCAACTTGTCATTGTCCCTGCATTCGCTGAGCGTGATCAGAGTCGCTGCGCCACCGGGAAAGCTGTCTAACCGCACCCGCAGCGTAGTCCTCGCCGGGTCAAAGATATTTCCACGATCAGTATCTACCAAGGTTGCGAACGAGCAGCCAGAGCCAGACCGATAACGTTTGTGACCGGTTTTGTGTCTTGGAGTCGAATCTTTGGCAGATTTACTACTCGATCCTCGATGCTTGCTTGGTGTCATTTGTTTTTCGCTCACGCCGATCTCTTCTTTGACTGCGCTTTCCACCTTCTTGGAGTTGGCTTTGTGGCCAGTCTTTCGTGACAGTTGGTGTCGATGCTTGTCAAATTTGTAGGGGTATGTTTGTTTGAGGGTCCTCTTCCGGAGATTTCGTTCAGCAATACCGGGGACTTCGGTATTCTCCGCATTCGCCTTTCCATCATGGTCATCTTTCCAGTCGGTGGTTAGTTCTTCAGAGGGCGGGCGCTCTGGACTAACTGCCTGCCGAATCCGGCCTCGACTCCAACCCTGGGACAGGGACTTGATTGAGCCATGAGGTGTAGACGTTGAAGATCTTGCTTTCACAGGTGTCGACTGTTGTGCGCTGCGGCTTCCGGGGCTTTTGCCTGTGGATTGAGGAGTGGAACGCGTAGGGGTCACGATGGCGGAACGTTGCGTTGAAGGTCTCGCAGGTGGTTTCACATCGTATTTTGAAGGTCGGGGCTGTACAGTCTCCTCTTCATCTTCTTCGTCGTCTTCTTCTCTGGGCTCGAACTCGGACTCGGACGTCTCTGCGCCTTGTCCTCGGCGGGGAAAGTATCGACCCCAATCATTTAGAGTCATCTCTTCCAATTCCGGCGGCGCCTTCCTGGTTGATGATTGTGAGGTACGAGAAAACATGACATCGGCGTCTTCGATCAAATCGGCAAGTCCAGACGTCGGAGGGCTCGGAGAGCTGCTAGGATGAGGCGGTTCGATGACTGTTGTGGGAAAGAGAGCCTCTCGCTTCAAGAACACATTGGGAAATGTACCAAGCCTGGCACCGACGAGACTGCCTTCACGCGTGACGTGAGGTAGGCGGTTGCTCGACATTGAATGATGCAACGGTTCGCGACAAAAGGACAAACCGTCTGACAAACAAAAGTGGAGGTAAATTGAACGCCGGTGAACATAGAGTGCTCTCCAGCTAAGACAAGCGCATGCCAGAAGAAGAGGAAGAAGGTAAGCGTCTGGTATCTAAAATACACCATCCACACAATTCTCCTGCACTCACACTCACACGCAGCTTCTACCCTGTCTTCCCATTTACTCGCTCACTTGTCCTTTTGTCCACGAACTTCTTCAACATGCCCAAATCAAGCGGCACGCGCTCTCCCAGCCACGTCGCTCTTTGACTATGATCCCTCAATGCATCGCCATCGTCATGATTGGGATGGACAAGAGCAGACAGCGGCCCTCGATTGATGATCAGCCATGGAATGAAGGCTCCAAATTGCGCTGGTGTGAAGATGTTGACTTCGAACATGGCCATTGTATGTGGTCCAACCGGACGATCCCAGAATCGATAGATCCTGACGTGCCTGATGAGCATGGCATCGCGACCAGACGATCAAGCGACTTACCTCAACTCCGGGAATTCCCTTCGAATCCTCTCCCAAAGCGCGCGGGCGTACTCCTTCTGTTCATCGCTGTTGAGGTGGTAGTAGATGTGGACATCAAAACCACCTCGCCGGTCATTACTGATACCGGAGGTGAATTTCTGGTAGCTTTCGCTCAGCGAGCCCGTCTGAGGGTTCTTGAAGGACTTGCCATCCTCATTTAACTCCTCCGGGAGTGGCGGGAGACCCTGATAACCTTCCAGGGGAGAGGGAAAAGTGTACCAAAAAGGGTCCGACATTCTTCGCTGAAGCAGGCGGTAGTCTGAAGTGAGGGCTTTACCAGGGAGAATCAGCAACTCCTAAAGATTATCTACTCTGAGGCATGATCGTAGAAATCCCGTCAACATCAGAGCCGTCCATACTTCCTGAAAGGAAATGCTGCTGTCGGCCGAGAAAATGCATGAGGAGACGTCAGCGAAGATGGCATCATTGTACGGCTCATAGCCTGTTGAGACCGAGAGCGGAATTGCTTCCGACTATAGAACATCAGGAATCTTCCGAAGAACCAAAATGATTCGCATCTTCACAAAATCTACATCTAGATTGTCAGGGTAAAGGGGCAGAACATCGAGAGCATGCCTCTGGGAAGCGATGGAGCTCAACGATATCAAAAAGGCGTGCGACGAGACGTTGTATAACACCAGGTTTGTAGGTCCGAAAATGCCACCACGGCTTTAGATAGATCAAAGCACACGCCGACCATGAGGATTCATTCGCCACGACCCCAAACCCTGACCGACCCGTCCCCTTTGACCTGATATAACCATTCGGCATCATCCAGTTCATTGGCGGTTCCGACTCTTGAGCGGCTCGAATCCCCGAGTTCATCCTCATTGCTTTCATAGCCACCTCCCTTACTTGCCCTGATCACGCCCGACACATCCCTCGCACTGCCCGTGTCCAGTCCTCTGAGCTGCAACACCCAGCGGCTTTGATGCGCCATGGCAGTGACGAGATGTGCCTGGTTACGCTCCAACGGCAGCCCTTCTTCGTTTGCGGATGTGGCGATGTGTAGCAACGGGGTGTCGGCGTTGCAGCTAAGGAACAGAGATTGGGATTGAGTTCGGAGAGAGGCCAGGAATGCCTGCACGGAAGTAGTTGAAAGGAAAGGTTGGCTGGCGACGAGAAAATCTACACCGTCCAGGAAAATGAATGGCTTTGGGCCTTCGATGCCTTGTGTTGGCTGCATGGACGTTGAGGGTATTCGTGGTGTTGGCGTTCCGGATGTTGGACTCGACGTGGATGCTGGGGTAGAGATAGTCGTAGAGATGCTCTTTAATGCCGAATCCAATGCGTCCTGCACATCGTTAAATGCCAGCGACTTCAGCCTCGTCGTTAGTGAAGGAGCCGGGTCTCCTCCTCCACCTCCCGATATCGATATAGGGGACGAAGGTGCGTAAGTTAACCCGTCGACATAGACAATTTTCTTGCTCCGGAGCAGAGACTGGATATCCAAACCCTGCCGGAGCAGTCAGCATGGAAGTCGCATGCGTATTGAGATTGCCCTAAAAGACGACACAAGCAGAACGACTAGAGGACAGAGATTATGACAAAGAAAGACTTGGAAAGATCGCAAAATGCGAACCGACGAGCAGGAGGCAACCTACAATCTTCTTCCCCAACTCAACCCACAGACTCAAAGGCCGCAGAAAACTCGCAAGGACAACACGCCCCGCCGGCGACGCCGCCGATGCGGTTCTCTCAGGTCTCCCTGCGTCTCTGCCATCGTCCTTGATGTCGTCCTCAACGCCGTACAAGGCCGCGTAGACGAGCCGCAGAACCAGCCAGGGCGAAGGCGTGCTGAGAACGGAGGTGATGAGGGTTTGACTGTGCGGGTTGGAGGAGGAGAGGGAGGACTGGATGTAGCTCGCCAATGGAGAGGGGATTGCCGGCGGCATTTTCTGTGGACGTGGTGAAAAAAAAGAGACTGTTATGTTTTCTTCTCCATCCAATGGATTATGGGAAGTAGGGGTTTCCCGGCGTTAAGATGTCTATTATGAGCATACAAAACTCGCGACGATGAAGATTTCATGCAGTCAGGTGAGTGGCGAGACTTTCTCACATTATCACAGCTGAGAAGGATAGACAGAGTACAAGGGAAATGAAGAAAAGTCGTTTCAATGGTAAAGTTTTTGATTCTTGGGCTTCTTCGCATCGAGTCCTTATGCTGGAAAAGCAAGACAAAGTTGCCCTACGATTTTCTGGTACCTGAACCACTCGAGGCTACCGCATCTGATTGCGCCCCCATGAATATGACGAGGAGAGCGACGCCCTGAATTCCTCCTGCCGCTAACACTCTCTGTTCACAAGCCATCCTTGCCTCCAGTTATCGAGTCGCACAATGGCCATATGCTCCTGATGTCGTCGCATGGCGTTTCTCTCCGGTGAACCACCACGTCTTAATGTATTTCAATGCGAAATCATGAAGACCCTTCACACATCATCCCGTCACTCCAATCATGCCTTTGCGGGTCCACGAGCACCTTTAGGCGCGCCGGTCCGGAATGCGTTGGTTGATTTCCTATAGTTACAAGACCTTGTTAGTCCCAGTGCTGATTTTCGAACAACATTCATCCCGGCCTGGCCTGTCAATCCACACGCAATTCAACAACATCGCTTGCGGTGCTTTCATTTTCGCGCTCTCCGCTTTAAATCATAGTCTACCTCCTTTCGCAAAACCACTGACACATAAAGGGATCGTAGGAGTCCTTACCGAGCGACCAGCTTCAAAGACCTCATTCTACCAGTGCCGGTGGTCTTGCGTCTCTTGGCCTTCTCACTCCACTCGTATTTGCGGGTCTTAGCAGCAGGATACTATCGCGCACAGTCAGTCACCGAGTCCCCAACATCTTCCGCATTTGTTTTGTCCAAAGGTTCAACGGCCGCGGATCGCTTTGGGGAGATAGTGTGATGGAGCGACGAGTAAAGTGAAGGGTTTTTGACGTACTCCGCAGTTCGCGCAGGTGTGTTTTTGGATGTGCAAGCTTCGACGACCGCATCTGTAACAACCGAATCAAGTCAGCCCACTGGCTCAATCGCTACTTTCATCATCCTGCCAACAGCAAGGCTAGATCAGCACAAGGGAGAGAGAAAGAAGACGTACCTCCGGCACAGGGTATGCGTCTTGTTATGTCCTAATCACGGTCTTCCGTCAGAATACCGACTTTTCAAAGTGTTCTGCAATTCCAGCAGGAGGTTGTGGATGGTTCCTCACTCTTTCCGAATGAACTCGTTCCCTTCGTCATTTTGGCGGCTTATCAGACAAGACGTTCTGCGGGCAAGTCAGTGATCGGACATTCGTGGTCGGGGAGAGTCGAATCGTACGGGAGACTTGTTTGCAGTTGAAGGAGACGTTTGGGAAGTCAGGCTCGAAAATTGACGGCCCGAATGGAGATGCAGGGAGCGGGCGCATTTTTCGTGGGTGCCAAGATTTGTGCCAAGACATGACTAATCACGCACAGCCTCGCGATGTTGACTCAGCCTTGCAAGGCCGTACTACCAGGGAAACTTGTGAATGCGCTGATCTGCTCAATCGCCCTTATTATGACCTTGAATTCTCAACCTGAGCGGAATGATGCTGGGTAATATACACTACGTGAGAAACAATTTAAACAAGACATATCTCGCTATGGACAACCGGATCCGAGTTGGCTCCAACCTACGACCCAACAGAGTCATTGACCGAAGCATTCAGAAGATTTTAACATTCGATTCAAGCTGAAGATCTGCTCAGGCGGCTCGCTCTTAAGGGTTTGGGCGTCATGCTCAAGCAGGAAAGAATCCTGATCAGTCGCAAGCCCTGCTTTGACTGTGCTTCCTTCATTAAGCTCGGAACTCTCGACTAGGCCTGGAAATATCGGTTGCGGCGCGGGATAAGGATGGGACAAAGTGAAAAGAGGTTAATGCACATTGTTGAAGGGAAATTGAGTGTATGACAGGTATTTCAGCGCGCAAAGTTCCATTTTCCTGAACGTAGTCGATTTTATCACCTAGCACCTGAGGCCCCAACTCCTCTCAGTAACCTGAATTGACTCCTGGAAGAAAGAAAACCGACTGATTCCGCCTCCATACTTACACGGCTGGTCGATTCCATCTCAAAGGCGACCGCTTTAATTTCCAAGAAGGGGTCTGCTTCCACGAAGGGCTTCCTGCACGCAACGGTGGTCCGGTCATCGCCGGCGTCCCTGAAGTTGCTGTGCCCGTTCCGAAGCTGGTGATCATACAAGAACAAGCACTGCTCACTCTCTTAACATCCGCTGAGCAGCCTCCCAAGAACGATGGCAGAGGTGCGGTATTGGATGCTGTGGTAGTGTAGGCTGAACAGAAGCCACGCATGACGGACGAATAACGAGGATCGATTATATTACGGAGGCAGTTATCTTGGTTGCAAACCATCTTAGATAATGATGACGGTGATAGCGGAGGCGTCGTGATTGGATTCACGGCCATCGAGCTCGAACTCGCCTGAGAGGATGTGAATTGGCTCATCGTTGATGTCATTGGGCCGGTAGAGACTGATACTGAGGCATCTGGACTGAGCGAGTCCGTGGCGTCTTCCCCACTGGACGTTGTGTCGCTTGTGTAAGCCACTGTTCCGGAGGCCGAAGTGGATGTACTCGCGCTTGACGCAGTACTGGAAGGGGTGACCGCAGCACTGACGGTGGTGGAATCCGTGGATGATGGCAACGTAAATGAATCCGAGACTGAGGTGCTCAACAACCCGGTCGGGGTCATCACCGCTGTGGCCGTCGTAATAGAAGCTGTGCAAGATTGACTCAAGGAACCAGAACCTGTTGTTGGCAAAGTCGAGCCTGTCGAAGTCGATTGAGAATTGCCTGCCTGGTTACCAAGCTGTCCCCCACACGACTGATCAGAGCCACAGTTAGGGTCAGATGTAGTGCTTGAACCTGAAGTAGCGGCTGAAGAGGAGTCAGAAGCAGCTGTCGACGTTGAAGATGGTGACTGGCTTCCGTTCATTGAATCAGACGCAACAGCAGAACTGGAGCCAGAGGGATATGTCGATGTTGAGGAGCCAGTAGCCTGAGCAGGTACATTCAGGGTTTGCCCGACCTGCAAATTATCCCAGTCGACCCCTGGGTTCGCAGCATTCAAATCATCCAAAGAGCAGCCCAGTGAGTTCGCAATAGCCCAACCATAGTCGCCTGCAACCACTGTGTAGGAGTTTGTTGCTTGAGAAGGTGCTGGTGATGTTGTGGTACTGCTTCCTCCGTCGGTCGCTGTCGAAACGATAGAAGACAAACTTGCGCTAGTAGTCGAAGTAATCGTAGTCAAGGCTGAAGTGGACGTCGCCGTTACAACCGAGGTTGCATCTGAGGTGGACCGTGACGAACTTGATGAGCTTGCTAATCCACTTGCTGAAGAAGAGCTTAGTGGCGCAGATGATGAAGCTGCCGTGTTCGAAGAAGACGAACTCGGGAATACTGAGGTCGTCATGGACGATGATGTTGCAGATGAGCTTGATGGGGACGTGTAGACCGACGAGGCACTCGTCGAAGTGCTGAGACTGGAAGTAACAGATGCGGCTGAAGAAGATACCGTGGTGGAAGAAATCGCGGAAGTAAAACTCGCGGTTGACGACATCGATGCTGTGGTCGATGTTGGACAGCTTCCGCCAGGTACAACGAGCACCTGACCAACCAACAATTGATCCCAGTTGACTCCCGGGTTTGCTGCCTGGAGGGTATCAAAATTGACTGTTAAGTTTTTTGCGATCTTGGAGCCATCATCACCAGCAACTACTGTATAAGTACAAGGAAGTGCGATTGTTTGGTTGGTGCATTGTACAGACTGGTAAGTGCCGTCAAATGGACTGGGGTATTGCCAACTTGAACAGGGGCTGTTGGTCGTGATCTTGACGGACTTGACGTACGCTGAGAACGGAGCGGCGCTGAAATTCGTGTATCCTCCGCCCCAGTACACCGTACCATAAGGGGTGCTCGGATCTCCCGAGCACCAGAGGCCAAGGTGCAGCCGGGATGGTGTCTGCGGGTATTGGTAAGACCCCGTTGTTGCGCCGTTGTTCTTCAATGTCCTCACAGCGACGCCATCAATAGACCAAACCAATTTGTCCGGTTGCCAATCTAAAGCGTATGTGTGGAATTTGTGTTCAGGATCGTCCACCACAGGTTGAGAGCCGCGGTCAGAATTTCCAACCTGGCCTTTGCCAAAGTAATTTGTCTGCACGGCACCGCTGGATCCGGCAAAGTTGTTTCCCGACCACTCCCAGTCTATCTCGTCTAAATCGTCTGACATCATGACTGAACTTGTGATGATACCGGCACCAGGGGCGGCCTGGACGACCACCTCGATGCGCCCGAAGAGAACATAGAAGCGGGTCCAAATATACGGGGCGTCGTATCGCTTTGCAAAGGTAAAATTAGCACCGTTGGGAGAACCGTAGCCAACGGTAGCATAGTCGGCTAGGATCCAGTCTGGAGGAGTCGTGGTTTGTTGAGTGAAGTCCATGAAGTACTCGCCAGTTGTCAAGCCGGCAATCGCAGGGCATGGCCCTACACAGATTGTAGTTAGCGAGCGGGTTGGAGCGGAAGATCAATTGGGCTACCGTTACTGACCATTCAGAGGATTGCAGGCTGAGGATGAATCTGCGCTCACCAGCCTCAGGAAAGCGGTGAGGATTGTTAGAGTCAACGAGAATAGAAATGAGAAAGCCATCGTCGCGGACAGGGAGATGGCTACAAGATGTCCAACAGTCTAGGAAGGTAAGATGAAGGAGCAAGAAGGTTGAATCGTGATCAAAGTCAAGTAGCAGAGTTACAAAATATTGAGGGTGCGGCAGACAATGGAGCTCCCACCCTTCACCTACCCGTAATCCATTGGTGTGTCACGGAACAAAGGTATACAAGACAATGAATGGGGCCCGCTTGCGCTGGACATAGCGAGTGATATTTTTGGTACGCCGAACGTGACATCTGTTGACGGTAATGAATGTTCCTTGGTGCGTAGAGATTGTGAGTGGGTATACAACATCATTACAGGTGGATTTGGGACCAGGGAGTCCAGCATGATGTTCTGGGACAGCGTTGTTATAAGGAGTGAGAGAAGTGAAAGAAGTGAAGATGAGAATGCAGCTGCGTGAATGCCTCTGAGCCTCCTCGGTAGATCCTCGGCACAATCATTGTCTGTTCCGCCTCGCCGGATCCGTCTCGCGTACCAAGCTGCTCCATGACTAAACATTTCCCCGAAACTCTCTCCCGACAATCCACTTGCATACCGGCATCCACCAATACTTCATTGTTCGGAAACTCAGCTAGATGCTCAATGGTACAAGAAAGAGAGACTCTGCTGCCAGAAGAACGTCGACCACCAAGAACTCCATAGTTACCCCCCAAGCACCCGAGTAACCACATCAAGGAACAATGCAAGTCCCGGTCGCAAGAGCATCGACCAGAAACCCTGTAGCTGGAGCCACACCGATGCAAGGACCAGGAGAGCAAGAGATCTGTGTCAGAAGGCTTACACTAGTGGCCGTACTGGTCGACTGTGAGCACGGTGTCGGTGTCGCCGCGCAGACTTCGATGATCTGGAGTCTGTATTGAGTGAAGGGCACAACAGTCGTCAATGTTGTCTGACCCGCGTCAAATGTAAAGGCTCCTGATGTACTGCTCGTGGTCCCTGGTGTCACCGATGTGGCCGGCCTAGAGCCGCCATCACTGATGCTGATAGAAGTTACGCTTGTAGTTGGAGGGCTGCTCGCAGATGTACCCGGGCCCATTGTCGAGGATGAAGGGGTCGTGCTCTGTTGGCATGGGGCACTTCCCGCAGCGCATGACGTGACGAAGACTGTACCTGTAGATGTAGTCGTGGTGGTGAAAATAACATATGATGTGCTCACGGTCTGAGAATTTGAAGTCAATAATAGTGTGCTTGTCGTTGTGATTACACCTGAACTGGCTGTGGTCGAGGTAGGCACCGGATCCACGGTTGGCGGTTGGGTTGGCTCTCCAGAGAACGATGGCTCTGGCTCTGGCTGGCTTAAAGTCAGCCTTGGATACGAAGAGCGTTCGCTTTCGTGAGAACTTACTGTTGCAAAAATCTCTCCATCGGGGCCAAGGATCAACAGAGCTGAGTTCTCGACACCTATATTGTTTTTCAGTCAGCGTGAGTTCAAGGCACCTCCATCACCTTGGCGAAGTGATACAAGCAACCTCGCAATTCTGCCTCCCGAAACGTTGTGCCTATGTACCGACTGCGACCTGCAGAAAGCCCAGTATGCTTACCTCCTTCTTCAGACGCAATTCCAACCGAAGTTACTTCGCTGAACTGGGTGCAGACAGTATCCGCCGTAGCATATGCACCATTGAAAGTGACCGCTAAGCAGGCCCCCGCGCCATTCTGGCGATTGTAATTGACACACTCTTCGATACAGGAGCCCAAGTCGGTGGTGTCCGTAGTTTGAGCAAGGATAACTCCATCATAGGTGTTGGAGCACTGTAATTGCCAGGTGTAGTTTCGCGCAGTGACGTAGAAATATCCGTCATACAGGGTGCAGTCCGGGTCGGTCGTCAGTGGAGGGGAAGATTGTCGCGATAGTAACTACTAACTGTCAGTAAAAGTTAACTCTAACATGTGCAGAGGCTTTCTAACCTTCACAGCAGTCCCTTGAGCATGATCGCGTTTCGCAGGAGCGTGTAATAGCCTTCCCAATCCATGCGCTGGCAGACCGTCGTGTCTCCTTGCGCCGTCTCCCGCATGTATAGCTGGTGCCACAACCAGAAAGGACAAAAATATCGTCGACAGCATTGTATGCATCTTCACTTAGTTTTGGGCGTAGAGGAGGAGTAAGGTCTCGCTCGACGAGGTAAATGAGGTGTTGTTTTGGCCGCACGGTCCCTTGGAAGTATTCGATGTTAGCACTGGAATGTGGCTCGACATCGTCTCCCTACCCTTCCTGCTGCCTGCCAGCATACTGAAGTCCTCCTATCTCAAGGCTCATCATAGCCATAGTTCGCAGATACAATAATCTGGGTCAAAAACTGAGTAAGAAAATTGTGTGCGCTTGACGGCATGTCCCGTTTTGCAAGTCTGCTCTGCAGTCACCTCCCGCCCTCAAAGTTATCTCGCGGGAATTGACCGTCGCGATATGGGTTTAGTACACATGGTTTATTCATTTATTTCAGCTGGTAAAACAAAGCTAAAATGCTTCGAAAGGCGAGCGTGCTACAGTGACAGAACGAGTTTAAGTATGAGCAATTGCTGAGTTCGGGGAGAGTGACAAATGAGTGTTGAGGCTGATCGCCTGTAGCTATTCAAGTATTGTTAATCCTCCTTTCCTACGAGTTCTCGAGAACTTGTGGACCGTCTTTCTGAGTAAAGATGTCCAATCATACAAACGACCAAGGCCCTTGACACCGCGGTAGACCACGGGCCCCCTCCATAACAGTCGAGCCACGGCTCAATTTTCCATCTCGAATGTGAGAAGAGTCCCACTCCACGGTGTGTCGAAACCTGTTTTGAGCCAAGTTCACTTCATACTCATCGCAAAGTCTCGCCTGTCCACGAGGCACCCCAATCGAAGTGTATGTTGTCAGATAAAGAGGCAATGAGATTCAGCCCACCAGCCCCGAGGCAATATCGACTCGACCGGCTTCCACCTCTTGACCTAGTGCCGATTTGCTGAGTTTGAAGTGCCGTCGTTCTCGGTTCGGCTGTCCCAGTATCTCTTCACCGCCTTCCTTGCAGTCTCGTTCTGGAATTCGGAACGTGCTCGAGAGTGGTTGAACACAGCAAATTCGAGTTCGTCCATGATGTACGTTTCTGGAAGAGATTGGATACGACCCCAGAGCTGGCGGAGAAAGGTTTCTAGTATCTGGAGGATTTGTGGATCCAACTCGTCTGTTTCGCTGTTCTGAGCGATCTGTAGCGCCTGACGAACGGTCATGGTAGGTGTCCGGGACATCGTTGATGATGGTACGCAGTCATGTGAACCATGAATTTTGGGATATATAAACCTGTACTTGTGGTCTCCGTTAACGTCTTGAGGATAAGGGTGGCATCGGCTCAGGAAGCATCTCCAGGTTTCGAGCACAGGTCCAAGGTCGACGGCTTTTAAGCTGAGTCAGAGCCTCACAGAAGTGCAGCCCTTGGAGGGTTGGGCGCAAGCAAGGACTGAAGATGGATGGTCGCACAGAGTGGAATATACTCCTTTGGTTGACAGACATCAAGGGAGCGCCCCACAAGTGCAATGTGACAGAACCTGTCTCATAGGTGCTGTCTAATAGGCTAGAGAAGCATAGCTGAGGGGGGGAGGCGAGTCGAATGTGTTCATGCAACGTGAAGAACTACCACTCGATCCCCAGGGAGGGGAGGAACAGCATGGCTTGGTGTTGCCCCGAGCGATCTTCAGCAGAGTCCGCCAGACACGGCCAGAGCACGCATTGGGGCACGTAGCGGCGGCTTATTTACAAAGAATGAAATGCTTTCGAGATGACAGATCCCACGCGACCTGAGATGGCCTTTATCTTGTCAGCAAAGTTCACTTCCTCGCCGCGATAGGCGGTCAAGCCCCCGTCACTCTCCAGGTGGATTTGCGTTGGGATTGAGTTTTCGGATTTAAACTTCGCGAGCTGCGAGCAGAAACACCGGGGCAGCGATGGAGCAGCGCGGCGTGACGGAGGAGAGGAGACTCGTTGGCCCAAGAAATGCAAGAGTCTTGAGCCCCGTGGGCGGCATGTTTGACAGAGCCAACGGCTTTGCGACATTTTGGTAGCGAAGAGCCAGAAAGCTAGTATCGACTCTCGGATCATGCTGCAAACCTCAAGACACGCAGCAGCGTCAACAGGTGCTGGACTGTACAAGTCGACTGGATTGTGGCACCGGGTGAATTCCGACCACCATTAGAACTCTATCAAGGCGCTCAGCTTTGGCGCCTGTGAGCCATCAAAACTTACCTTGTCACAAACTTTGGGATACGGGGTGTGAGGATCGGAATGGGAACGGTGTACACGTGTGCCGGGGATGCTAGATCGCTGCTCCCACTGGCTCTACGCCCTGTTTGGGCCGAAACACACAAAACCCTTTCGCACATCTGGCATGGCCACTCGGAAGCTCCATGCCATCGGGCGTGACTCACGCAGTTCGAGGGATATCATAGGGTCGAGGGCCGCGGGCACGTTGCAAAACGGTCAATAGACCGAGTCGGTGATATTACAAACACCACAAACGTATCACACAAAGCTAATGCGCGCAGCTTATTTGGGGGGTACATACCGAAGATCGATCATGCCTCGACAATCTGTTTCCCTTGGTCGACAATACTGTCAGCCACGGGATCATGAAGTGATTCGAAAATGTTCCGATGTAGCACGAAAGCTGCTCTTCTCTCCACCATCATCGAGATTTGTCAAATGCCAACTGACACAGGAAGACACGATGTCCAGATCAGAAGAAGCTCCTGATTGGCATGATACGGTATGGGCACCATGGCTGGAGCGGGCCGACCAGGGTGCATTTCGACGAAAGATTAGACACAATGAGCTTCACATTGGGGATGCCTGTGCGAGCCCGGGTACTGCATGACAATGGTCAACGGTTCGAACGTGAGGACGAATAGCGGCGAGGTAAGGCTTGTCACCCCACACGCTACGCTGAGCACCTGTGACCTCTGCTGGCAGACGCGAGGATGCTACGCCGCCGATCCCCATCCCTAGGATGCGTCTCAAAAGATTTATGCATGTGGCACAGAACATGACTGGGCGGCTCGCCCGGCTACCGAATTGTGGAAGTTGAATGGCATGCGAAGACATCAGCCGGACACCGACTGGGATGCATCTCTGTTCTGATGGGCGCGGTCTGGATACGCGATTGCGACAAGGTATTTGTCTCCTTAGGGTCCAAGTGGCACAGCTGAGCGATCACGTCTCGGAAAAGCTCTCGACTGCTCTCCTATGATGCCACACTTCACAAGTAGCATCTGGCTATCTACTGCCGGCCCAGGCCAGGCCAGTCCAGTAAAGACATCCTGCTCTGGCGGATACACGCCAACTTCGATGCCATTTCGGATACTCATGGCGGAATTGGAAAACCGGATCCCCTCGAGATCAACGGTATTGCCACTATATAGACCCCCGGAATTTTGTCATATGACAAACGACTCAGTCAATGGATTCCGCAAGAATGCCCACCCACTAAGCTTTTACAGCCCAATCGAAGGTTTACATTGCGAAGCCAATCATAATCCATGGCGAGGGAGAATCACCAACGAATCTTCCTGCTCGAGTCCATGGATGATGTAGTGGGCAACGAGAAGATTTTCTGGTGCGGTTAGCCGATTGGAGGGTGAGCACTGGTGGGTACTGGGATAGTCGACACCTCGACCTAGAAACCCTGTGGACAATTCCTCGGCGCACTTCTTTCTGCGAGGCGTGGAGGACGGACACGACTCGGGGCGCAAAGGAAACAGGAGTTTGTGCAGACGGGCTAACGCGGATGTCGGGACTTCTGTAGCTATCCACGGAAGCTACGAACACAGCCACGATGGCGCTCTATTTATACGAGCTGGGAGGTCGGTGACGAACTGCAAGAACGTGCGCTCCGGCACGCCAACCGACGAAGATCAGAGGCATGGACCTCTCCCATTCGCCATCTGTAGCAGGTGGGCACTGGGAAAAGTGAGCTCACCGTGGGGCGCCCTCGACATGGTGTCTGCCTAGGGGAAAGCCGGGTGTCTGTCGGTTCCTCCAGAGCTGCTCAGACACGGACCAACTACTTATTTGGCTCGAGGTTCGGTGACTATCGATCTCGTAAAGAGGCCTTGGTAAGAGCCTTTAGTCCATGGGCCAAAGCCGAAGTCACTTGCTAGCTGGCACAGGCAGACAGGCAGGCAGGCGAGGGTTGGTTGGTTGTTGCCATAACTGGTCAATGTACCGAGTAGGTAAGAAGTATTCATCGTTGCCGTCTTCCCAAGAACTAAGTTAGCTCGCCAGGCTATCAAGGGGGCCTAGGAGGGAGAGGCTGACGCATCTGCAACTACGAGTGCTCGTACAATGCCACGTCCCTTTTTCTGCTTCCATCACCCACGAACCATTGGACAGCAACCTCCTGCCTCATTGGACTTATGCGGCTCAAGGTGCGCCTGTAGATGCGGGGGCCCTTCTTTTTCTCATGCTATTCAACTTGAGTTTCTTCTAATTTGAGCTACAGACCAACTAGTCGTCCAGAATTCAGTCCTCAATTCGCCGGCCGACATTCCCTCGACGTCGAGCTGTCACGCATTCTTCTCTCCTGCACCTGGGTTCGACAACCTTGGGACGTCACTCCACCTTCACCAGCTCCGATCGTCGCTTTTTGCCCTTGACACTTTAGTCGCTCTCCTCCTTCACAGGCTGCCCGTTATAGCCGGTGTCAAAGCTTAACAGTGGAGCATAGTTTTGATGCTGGGTCTGACCTGGCTGTCGTGTTGTGTGTGGAATATGTCGGATCCCGCATGAAAGCAAGCAAGGTGCGAGTCCCATCTGAAAAGACTCTGAAAGACTCTGAAAGTGGATCAAATATTGGTGTACTTCTCTGGTGGAAATTGTCGAATCACATAACCTTGAAGTTGGACCTACATCTCCCTAACAGGTCTCCCCCTCTCCAGATACCTGCTGCTGCTCTATTCATTCTGTTTGTTGGAAACTCGAACCATGGCTGCATAGGCTCTGTGGATTGCTGTTACTGTCAACGCATTGGGCTGAACCTTTACGGGCTCAACACGAGTGCCTTTTTTCGCCGAGACCACTAGGCAGCTGAACGAAGCCCGGCTTTCCTGTGACCATCTAAGATGATCCATGTCTGTGCTCAGAGACGCTTGAAAAGAAGGTTTGTGATTAGGGCCAAATGACGGTCGAGGGGATGCGACCTGTCCCATGATCTAACCTTGCAAATGCATTTTTGCTCCTAGCTAGTCTGGAGTTACATATGGCCGTTTCCAGTTTCCCGCATAACTTGCTGGTCTGTCTGAAAAATGCCATCAGATAGCTCTGCGTGTTGCGGGACGATAATCCACAACCTCAGCTCCAAGAGCCTACCTACAACTCGCAGTGGTGGGGAGCTGAAGCTTGCTTGCCGCTTAGCCGGTTCCACGCCTGGTTCCCCTATGAATGCTTTGATCGAGGGCCAAGATCGACGTTGACTGCTGACTCCTTGATTATGAATATGCATCCCAATCGATATGCACAAGAGTGAAAAGCACTGGCATTTGTGAGCCGCACAGCGAGAGAGGCAAGGCTGATATACCTTCCTTTTTTTTTCCTCCAGCAGGACTTCCACGGAGCCAAACGCACGGAGCCAAACGTCTGAACCGCTCTAGTTATCCCACAGGATTTCCACTTGGTATTTACGGGTGATACCTCGTACTATGGACTCGCCATAGCAGATACTAGTGGGGGATGTACCTATCGCAACATTTGAACGTCTCGGACTAAATGCGAGATCTTGCACGACCTGGGATTGAAATGTCGGCAACTGTCCGAAGACAAGCTTAAAGATTATTAGAATAGTTCCCTAGCCTCATCAGATATCTCTGACGAGAGATCTAATCTACGAAGGCTTCAACTCCCATGCTTCTCCAATAAGACAGGGTGCTTGTCCTATACCTCTCCCAGCACAATGTCAACTGCGACTGGTGGATCGAAGGTACGATCATATAATCCTCTTTCATACTGTCCAGGCCAGACTATTAGACTCCCAGTATCACATGTTTTGACTGTCGAATTCGGCTGCTTGTCATTCCCTTGGTGTACCGACTTTTCGCTAAGCAACCCAACTTCGCCGCTTTCCCGTAGGGAAACGGACGTGCTCGTTAGTGAGGTTCTCGCTCCTCTGCCACAAGCCGTACCCCTTTTTATGACGAATCGATGCTTGAACGGTGGTTGGCGCAAGCCGTCCTGAGAGGCTGGCGACCATTGATCTCGATGCGCTCTAATATTGGTAGTCAGCGTAGCTCGCGAAAGGGTTGAACTTAGCAAATATTCTCGACCGCACCGACAATGTCATCCCCAATCTTGGATTTCATTGTCCTGAGGGGGCGCCAGTACGTGCAATGCACCTTCAAATTGCTCATACACAAGCAAGTTGATATCTGTAACCATAGTCTGCCGTTGGAAAAAGGATATCTTACACTTATTTCCCATCCACCATGCTGGATGAACCTGGTCTCACTGAATCGTTTTGCGGTTTCCGTCAAAACTTTGCCTTACAGATCGCCTAGCAACATGTTTATTCCGTATAGACCACTTGATGTATTGCGTCCAACATGATTCCAGCCGTTTTGTATTTTCTCTCTTCAGATCGTAGCTGAGTCGATAGATATAGCAGCCAACGAAGGCCACCTAGGAACTCACATCATCATTGTTGCCATTGCCAATATCTTATAGATTGAGAAAGACATGAAATCTGGAGGTCTGCTACACAGTGTGCCATCTACTCTGCAGACATGAGGGGACATTGATCAGGGGAATCACTGCCTATTGTGCGTACCCAGTCTATGAGAAGGGTGATCATTTCGACGCCAAATCGGTCTGTTTCGTGGTTTCACAGGACCACATCCGGCGCTTGGCGGCTGTCTGGATTTGACACCATCCTTTTCGCAAAGATGCAACTCTGAATTAATTCAAGGGGAATATTTACACAATTCTGACTTGAAGGCGTACACAGGGTGGAATGCGAAGGTGAAAATTCCCCAAAGCGATGAATACTGCGCCGGACATATGGAGCTACGGCGATCCGGACAGTCAGAATGCGCATCTCGTTTCTCGGAAATCTCGAGATTACCGCGCGACTCGATCTCGACTTCAAGACAGAGTCAGTGACCTGAGTGACACTTTATCTTGGCGAACTCTCGACCGTGAGCTCGGAGCGGTCTTCTTCTGGGCGAAACTTGCGCTTCGAGTTCCAGATCTGCCGCCGACTTCGACCCAACTGTGCTCCTATCAAAGAACACAAGATGGTGTACTATTTCAAGTCGTCGGCAGTCGATCCCCCGGCGTTTATTTACGTTGGGAAAGACAAGGTTGAGAGTGTGCATTGCGTCAAATAACCAAGCATCTGAGATGTCTGACCGCGAAAACAGATGAAGATCTAATCAAGTTCGGCTGGGATGAGGATGTTTGGTGAGGCTTCCCACCTGCATGGCAGTAATAGACCAAGACTTACTCTAACTAGGGTACCACTATCGCTTCCAGTCGGACTCGCACACGGCTCGCTGATGCTGGATAGTTTCACGTTGACAACCTCTCGAGTGCCCATGTCTACCTGAGATTAAAACCTGGTGAATCGTGGACGTCGATTCCGCAAGCATTGCTTGAAGACTGTGCGCAACTAACCAAAGCAAATTCGATTGAAGGTAGGCAAGGATGTCACAGCCGCACACCGATATCGGCGATCGGTTGACTATCTCCTCTAGGCAATAAGAAAGACAATATTACCGTCATCTACACGCCTTGGTCGAATCTGCGAAAGGACGCCTCCATGGCTACAGGTCAAGTCTCCTTCCACGACCCAAAGATGGTGAAGAAGATCCATGTACCAGTAAGGCAAAACCCGATCGTCAACAGACTAAACAAGACTCGCGAAGAGCGGTTCCCAGACCTGAGGGCGGAGAGGGAGGCAGACCAAAGGGAGAAACGCAAGGTCGAGAGGATAGCGCGGGAACAGCAAAAGGCGAAAGATCGAGAGGAGAGACAGCACCGGGAAGAGTTGAGGTGGCAGAAGGACCATGCGTACGATGACATGATGAAGGAGGAGAATATGGTGAGCAACCAAGACAGAGATCCGAACTTCTTTGAAGACGACTTTATGTAGAGAATGGCTGGGGGGGGGGGGGCAGCTTGCCACGTGGAGAATGAGGCTGAGCATGAAACAGCCGACGACTTGGAGCGAGAAGCTTTTGGCATCCCCGGATCATTTCATTTCCACCAAACACCAAAACTCAATGGACCTAACCCATGTTGATCTGGATCCCCTTTTCGCATCAGCTGTGTATTATATTACTCCCCTTATGCATGCATGTTGAGACTGTCTTTATCGGAGTGTTCGGGTAGATCTCTCTTTGTACGACACGCATACGGGGGCGCGCCCACTTTCCACCTGGCTGCCTGACCTCATACACCCTCACCTCCCACTACCCTCACTTTCTGCGCACTTCAGCGACCCTGCGAGCATTTTCAAGCGACTGTCCGCTCCTCTCTACCGCCATATACTCGTGCTTGTTCTTCTATGGCGTCTACTGAGGCGCCTCCTAGGCCTCACGGTAAGTGTTGGCTTACCGCGCCTCCCACAGTTCTAACCTGACCCAACCAGACCGACATGGCCGCCGACGACCGTTCACCACCTGGATGCGCCGCCTCGCGAATCTCAAGACTCTTCATACCGACTCGAACGCCGAGACTGGCGCAAGCTCACGGCGCTATGCAACCCTCCCTATGACCATCAAGTCCAAGAAAGGCAACATTGCGAAGAACAATCCCTATCTTCTCTCCTCGCGCATCAGCGAGCCTCACAGTCACAGCAATACCACAAATGGCCATCTGTCGTTCTCCACGCACATGACCTCCTCCCAACGATCTCGACACAGTTCTCTATCCCAGTCTCACAGCAAACACTCGGTTTCCATCTCCCACGACAGCCAGACGGGCGGCAATAAATCGCGAGCGCCCACCTTGGCCACACAAGCAGAAACGGCTCTGTCAGATGCAGCGCCTTCAGGAGTCGGAACAAGTGCGACAGTAGCTACAAAGACCGATGGCGGGAGAGACAGCACGTTTTCCTCCCCTGCGCCGTCGATCAGATCCATGGCAACAACCCTGACCACCGTCCAATCGATTGCCGCCCCATCACACACCACCAACAACAACAACTACAACAACCCCGGCGGGACCCCCATGCTCACCCATACTTCGACTGCGGCAAGCAACCCCGTCTACTATGGCGGGCAACCAGCGACCGCAGTCCCAGCGCATCTTGCTCCCCACTCGCACCCGACAACCTACCACTCTGCAATAGCCAACAACGTGCTCACCGACGACGCCTCCATCCTCACCCTGGCATCTTCCTCCAAACGCCGACGACGCAATTCGGTCGACACCAATGCGTCGATCAAAGCACTCGCCCCGGCGTCCATGTTCGGAGGAAGCCGCGAGTCTCTGCCGTTGTCAGTGCTGTCCGGCACGGTCATTCACCCTAGCGCTGCGGCAGACACGGCGTCTCTTCGCGGGGATGCGGCGCATAACACACGCTCAAACTTGAACGCCGAACGGTCCAGCCTGATCTCGGCCAGCGGAGTGACGGCCCCGGCCTTGGCCAGCGAGCGGAATAGTTACATCGGGAGCAAATACGGCGGCGACACCGCGAGCGTGAGGAGCAATCTCCTGGGCGCGAGTGCGGGCCATGGGCGCAACGACAGTCTGAGCGGGAGCATAGGCGGCCACCGCGAGAAGGAGCGCGACAAGGAAAAGGAAAAAGAGAGGGACCGCGGCATGGAAAAGGTGGGGGAATCAGAGAATGAGAACGGGAATGTCCCCGGGATGGTCACCGCGCCGACGAGTCCACTGGTTGACGGGCCACGCGATGGCGCAGGCGAAACCGTGTATACGTCTGCCTCCGCGGTGGAGGAAGAGGCCGGGGCCGGGGCCGGAGCCGGAGTCGGAGCCCTGGAGAAGGAGAACGACAAGACGCCATCGTCGTTGGACGAGAATTGAGAGGGTCGGATGAGTTACGGTGCACGATTCGCATTTTGGGTTTGGGAGGGGGGCCAAGAGGACGACGCGAGAGATCGAGCGAGGATGAACAGTCAAAATGACGGATTGCTTCATGGGTTGATATTGATACGGGAATATGATTATGCGTGGAGTCCAGGGCTGTGATGCGGTGCAGATAGAACATGATACCCCCCCTGCATGCGAGCTGTCGAGACAATAATTGCATGACACGTCCGTTTGAATGTTGCAAACCCCCACCCTTTGACGTGCCGTTCGCAGAGTGACATTGTTGACAGTCCAGCCAGGCCATCCATCATGTCCAGCCTTGAACTGTTATCGTCAACCTAGTTCGGGCCAGGATGGATCAAATATTACGGAGTACGGAGCTCTTGTAATGGGGGGCATGAATGCATTGCTTTAACGTTCTATACACAGGGCAGGCCTATATAAACTCAGATTAAAGGGCAGGCGTGGCGGGCGGGCAGTCGATGCCCTTTTTGTGTGTACAGAGGAGCTCTAAAACCGGGACTGGACTTTGCTCTGCACGTCCTGGACGGCCCAGTCGGAGAACTGCTTCTGGCTGACCGTCCGGCGGACCTGCTCGGTCGTGAAGCCCTTGGCCTCGGTGGCCGGGTTGTATCCCAGACCGTTGATCCTGCCGACTTGCTCGTCCGAGACGGGCGTGGCGGCCTTGCCGTCGGCGCGCTTGTAGACGGTCACCACGACGGCGCCGCCCAGGCCCAGGTTGTGTTGCAGGCAGTATTTGGTGTCCTTGACCAGGCGGTTGTTGGCCCAGCCTCGGAGGTGCCATGTCAGCTCGGCGCATTGGGCGAGACCGGTGGCTCCTGTTCGACGTGGTTAGCATTTTGGGAGGATTGATGTCGAAGTGGAAGGGGGGGTATAAGTACCTAGAGGGTGGCCCTTGGAAATGAGACCTCCCGAAGGGTTGATGACATATTTGCCGCCATAGGTGATGTCGCCGTTCCTGACAAGCTCATGGGCCTTGCCCTTGGGACACAGTCCCAGAGCATCAATCACGCACATCTCATTGGCGCTGAAGCAATCGTGGACCTCCACAATCTGGACGTCGTTGGGAGTAATACCGGCCTCATCCAGGGCGCGTTTGCCGGCGAAAACGGACATTTGATACCCGACAAGGTCGATGCTGGAGCGGTTGAAGAGGTCTGGAGAGTCGGTGGCGAGTTGCTGGCCGGCGATCAAGACGGCTTGTGACTTAAGGTGAGGTCGCTTGTCGAGGAAGTCTTGGGAGACGACAACCACGGCGGCGCCGCCATCCGAGGTTGGGCAGCATTGGAGTTTTGTCAAGGGAGGGTGGATCATGGGAGACTTCATGATCTGTTCTAGTGTGTATTCATCCTTGAACTGGGAGTATGGGTTCCTCTTGCTATGCTCGTGGTTGACACGGGCGATCTCGGCAAAGTCTTCTGCCTTCGCACCGTACTTTTCCATATACTCGCGACCGGCGTTGCCAAAGAGCTGAGCAGCGCCCGGAGCATTTGTAACTCCACGAGTGGCTTTCATCATAGCGTTGGTGGTGGAGGTAGGGTTCTCGCGGTCGTTGAAGTATGCTTGTAAGCTGCCGGGGGACATTTTCTCGAAACCGACGACGAGGACGCAGTCGGCTGCACCGTAGGCGATGGCTTGTCTGGCCATGTTCAGACCCGTCGAGCCCGTCGAGCAGTTGTTGTTCACATTGTATATGGGGATCTGGGTCATGCCGAATTGATAGAAGACGCGCTGACCGCAGGTGGAATCGCCGTAGCAGTAGCATGCGACGCCCTGGTCGACATCGTCGTAGTTGATCTGGGCATCCAGCATGGCTTTGATGCCCGCCTCGAACCCAAGCTCATGGTAGTCGACTTTGCCGCGTGGCTTGATGAATTTGGTCATGCCAACGCCTAGCACGTAGGCGGGAGCTGGCTTGCGAGGCATTGTGTCTGGTCGTGTGTGAGGAGACGGTGGAGGTGGCAACGGCGATCTGGAGCAGAAGGGTCTGGGGAAAAGCTGGGGGCGCAGACGACGGGTTGACGCTTGGAAGGCTGGATGACTCTGGTGAGTGGTGCAGGGACAACCAGGGGGAAGGAAGAGAGAGAGGTAATCGAGTAAGATATAGATTCAATGTTTTGTGATCGAAAAAAGATACTCCGTACTCCTGGTGAGATGGCTGCTATAGCCTCGTTTCGTCTTCGGCATCTCTTGATAAAGGGACCTCGGCAGTAATGCCGTGGACCGACAGGGCGCAGGATTGCGGGGTCCGAGTTGCCCCCCTGCAAGTAGTCGACCAGGCTTAGGTGGCGTTCAGGTGGGAGGCACCCCCCAATCTGGACCTGCCTGCCTAGAGTCAGTACCTAGGCACTCACAGGTCAGTACTCCGTAGATAGGTACCAAGGGACAAAGGCGCGGAATGGGGGGACAGAGCAGATACCTAGTGCCTCTCGCTACATATTCCCGGGCGGAGTACTCCTCCAGCGGAGGTGATACTCGGTGCTTCCTCGCTGCCTTTTCTCCCCTCTGCCTCTGTGCATCTTGTGTGGGTTCTTGGCTCACCGTCTCTCTGTCCCTGCGTCCTGCCCTGGACATCCCCCTCATTTCTTTAACTCTTTCTTGCTTGCATGCAACAAATCCACGCTATCCCCTTCGCTCGCAGCGCCAGAGCACATCAAACTCATCTCCTTTGGCTTGACACACGGTAATGCATGGTGTGATTGGAAACGGTCAATCGACATGCGAATCATGGCCGCCCGAATGACGAACCAAGCATCAGCCCAAAAGCCCAGGGATGCCTAACGGGTCCAATTAGGCGAGGCCTGAACAGCATTCGACGTCACGCTCTGGCCCTGGCGCGGGCGGATTGGTCCACACACTGGGCGACACCCCCACCCGCCGTCTCGTCCCCAATAGCAGCCCACGGCGAGATGCATTCATTCCTTACCAAAACGCCCACACTGCCAGTCCACATCCTGGTGCGGCCAGGCTCATTGCACATGGTATTCTCATTCTTGCTCGGCCCTTGATGCTCTAGAACTGCTTCGTTCTCCTCTTTCTTCTCTCTTGTGCAAACGTTCTTACCTCCTGACACATCTTCGCGACCTCGACAATCCGCTTCTACCTCGTCTGAACCACCGGCTCTTCGATCCTGGGCAGTGAGGTCAACATCTTGGTCTGCCCCTCTAAGATCGCCGTCTGCAGCATCGTCAGCTTCCCACAGTCGCCCCCCTGAACTCACAAAGACCAAACCCTGCTCTGTCTGTTCAATTGACAAAGGACCTACCTCCTGTCGGCTGTCACAGCACGCCATTTCCCTCCTGAACGCTTCGGTGCCGTTTCCAGGAAGTGGTCTTGTGCTCTGACAGAAACCGTCCCCCCGTCGGTGTTCTTGCGAGGGAGAAAGAGTTCGAACAACGCTGGGCCTGTGATGGAGTGTGGAACGCAGAGGGATCTTCTCAGTCACGCCGATTGAGAGATCTATCTTGCGTTCCATCGGGTTCTGCAGCCCACTGTGCGTATTTGCGAGCAGGAGTCGGACATTGGTGAAAATTATATTGTGCTCCCCGGCGCCCCGCGACCGACAGGAAAAGTCACACGCACGTCGACTTTTCTGCCCGTCCTGTGGTCAGTAAACGACCACTATCGCCGGGGCGATGAATCATGCCAGCAAAACCACAGACGACACCTCGCCTCTTGTCCACGATCCAACTTCAAAACTTCCGTCCAAATCTTCGCAACCCCCCATAGCTATGGCTTCCCAACCGAAGTTGGACACCGGCTGGAGCTCGACCGATACTCGAATCTACTACACCAAGAAGTACAGACAGGTTCTCTCGTCCGCTCCCGCGTGCGCCTTTGCCGTGGTCGCAGGGGTGAGTGGCCTGAAATCGCCCTCATGGGACCGACCGTTTGACAAGTTTCCAGGCTCCTCTTGAAAATGTCAAAGTTCGAATGCAATCGTAAGCAAAGCGACTTGACCTGGACAGTAGCCATGCTAATTGCGATTAGGCGTCATTTCGCCCATGCCTTGGAAGCTACCAAATACACTTACCGCACTGAAGGCATTCGTGGGTTCTGGGCTGGTAGGCGCAAGATCCACGAGCAAGAGAAGGCAAAAACTGATCTCCTCAGGCACATTCAACCCGCTAGTCTCCATCACCTTCTCCCGAGCCCTCGGTTTCTCCATCTATCGGAAAGCAAAGTACACCTTTGACGGCTGGATCGAGGCGGCCACCGGTCGATCTCCTCTTCAACATGTCAACAAACCAGGCACTTATCCGGACATCTACACCATGACATGCTTTACTGGAGCGGGAATGGTCTCGGGTGCCGTCACCGCCGTCGCTTTGAGTATGCTTTTCCCTCCGGAGAGCCTTGAGATGAGACAGACTCTAACACTTTTGCAGCTCCGGTCGAACTCATCAAGAATGCCACGCAAACATCAGTCCTCATGGCGTCTCAAGTTGACCACACCTCGGCGACACCAACGCCTGCGGGCGCCAAGAACGTCGGCCGGGTCAGCTCCTGGACGTCCATGAAACGAATCATCGCCCGACAGGGTCCTCTGGGCCTCTGGACCGGATTCCGATTGCATTTGATTCGAGATGTCATTGGCAGCGGCATCTATTTCGGGGTCTATGAGACGACGAAGCAATCACTCAACTCATACTATGGGGCTGAGAAGGCTAACTCTGCGGGGGCAATTGCGATGGCGGGAGCTATCTGTGGCGTTGGTGCATGGGTTGTGGTATGTTGCTTGTTATTCGGCTTTCTCTGTCTTCTTGTATTCTGACGCGCTGCTTTTAGACCTATCCGCTTGACACGATGAAGACCCGCGCACAGAATAACCTCGTGGGCTCTTCCCTTCCCTCTTCCACCTCCAATCAGAGTCTCGGCGCGGCCATTGAATCAACCGCCAAATCGGCTCTCCACCGGGTCCCCAGCAAATGGAAGGGGGTGGAGATGATCATCTTGCGTTCGTCGCTTCAGAACATGATCCAAATGTCGTTTTTCGAGCAGGCGAAGGTGTGGATTGACAAGCTGGAGTTCTCCGATGGCAGCAGAACGCTGCCGGAGGTCGAGAGACATTTTGGGAGAGATAGCAAGATTGTCCACAAGAATGATAAGTTGTGATGGGTGGACGCTTGGACAGCAAATTGACAGGATAGTGAACGCTTCTGCGGCCTGTTTTTGGGCCAGCAAATGAAAGAAAATGCACACCTGATGAGACCGGCCCGTTCCTTGTGTCGAAACTCCGTCTCCCTCACGGTCTTTACAGACTACCCGCCACCCTCGTGTTCTCTGTGCTTTGATATGAGATCGTGGCTTCCAGGGTTGCAATCACCTCAGTCCGCTTGCTGAGCCCAAGCTACGTGCCAGTCTGAACATTGTGGCTTTGAGATCAACCAGGAGGGGATTCTCGTCTACCAACTCCATCATCTGCTATCGTGGAACGAGTATGGTGAGTGCTTTCATCCCAGCATGGACGATTCACCCTCGAGCGGCAATCCAGTCCATCCACCCTACGTCTCTAGACGCGTATGTAGCTCTCTGGCGAGCTGAAGATCTCCAGGTACGTGTGAAGTCCCAAATTGTGTCTGAGGCGAGTCAAAGGGCAGGCAATACGTCTCCGGGTAATGTAGGTTCGAACTCACTCGAAACTCGATTTGCAGTCCCCTGTTTGCGACTGAGCGAAACGACAAGACCACCATCTAGACAGACGCATGGAGGGAACAGACGTTGCGGTTGCAGGCAAGTTCGCGTGCATTGTTCCTGGAGAGCCTGGAGTCGTTATCGTTTATTTGTGCCGCTCTCTCTCTCGTCGCCGACACTGACAATTTTACCCTAGACTCGTCCTCTCACCTACCGCGACGAGTCCAGTGAGACAGCCCTCCACACGACCTCCCTTTCCTCGAGCGATGGATAGACGGGCTCTCTACATCACGCACTCTTGTCCATCAGGCTGACAGCACACACACGCACACATCCCGGGACACCGTCTCGGTGATTAGCACCGTTGATTTATCATCATCGTCCCTCCTCGTCGTCGACGTATCCTCTGCGACCCGCTGCCCATGGACTTTCTTACAATATCAGTGATGTGCCAAACGGACGAACTCGCTCGAGGACGAGGACGAGGACGGGGTGGATAGTCAGTCAGACGCCTCAAGGCGAGGAGCCGAGCTGATGGATCAACGTGGTGAAAGACGTCTAAGGGTCGGCGATTGCATGTTTGTTTCATGCCGGGTTGGGGCCCTGCGAAAGTTCGATACGGAAGCTTGGACTGTGGATTTGGGTCGAAGGTACTGATTTGAGTGAGTGCTGGGATACCCAGTCACTCGGACATTCGGCGTCGATGAAGCAAGAATGAGCGCCGGGGCCGACCCAGCTTATGTAGCTATCTCTTCTTGGGAACATGCGCGACAGAGAGAGAGAGAGAGAGAGATGGAGATATTAGGACCCTTGGGCGTCAACGCCTGAGGCAGATACGACGTGTACAGGGTGACAGGGTACACCTACCCTACCCTACCCACCCTGGATCTATTTCCTCCCTGCGCCGGCGATCGGTTTCTATTCATCGCCAGTCTGGTTCCGAGTCCCAATGGCACACCACAGGGGGAACAGGGAACAATAGACAGACACAGACGGCGTCGGCGTCCAACGGCATCTAGCATCTGACCGAAAAGAGCCACAAGCCCAATATAAGGCCCCTGGCCGCCCCTTTCCTTCTTTGCTCCCCTCCCCCCGGATTTCCAATCATGCTCTGCCAAAGGCTGGATGATGATTAATTCTGTGTGGCCGGCAATGCATTTCCGTGTGAGCGACCCATCCATGTCCAGCCGGCACCGTCTGATTCGGGTATCGAAGCCGATAGGGATGAGAATTTCCACGGCGCCAGGAACAAAAGGGCGAGAGAGCAAGGAGGGAAAAGAGCCGACCCGGGGCGGCGGGGGGAAGAAAGGAAAAAAAAAATTACACCAACAAACGAAGAACGACGGCGACGTCGACGGACGAAATCTGGAACTACCACGGAGGACTGGCTGGTATTGACCAATTTGACATGGACGACCCCCCCCCCTATGACGGATGCGAGGGGGGAAAGACACAAAGAGAGGACAGAGATTTCATCCGCTTCGGCATATGCAATGCAAATGCAATACCCACGCCGGTTTCAGTTTCAGCGTCAGTTGTCAGTTGTCAGTTGTCAGCGTCAGTGGAGCCTGAATCATGACGTGACGACGACGACGGAGACGGAGACGAAGACCTAGGTTCTCGGGGTGCCAACTACCTGGCCGTTGTGCAATCTCTGTGTGCGGTGTCCCATTACAAAGACACGATACAGAAAGTTGCCCTCGTCTTTTTTTTTTCCTTCTGGGCCATGGAGCATTCTCGAAGAGGGGCTAAAGGTGTTCTGAACAACTGGTTCGCTCGGGCTTGTCTTAGTCGGGCACATAAACTTTGTGAATAACATCTATATATATATATATGTATATACATCACACTAGGTATAGATCTAATGCATCTCCAGTTACGTCTATATAAGTACCTGTTCCCCCCCCCCCCCCCCTTCTCCGTTTGCCAGACGAGTCGCAATAGACAAGATATTCGATCCTCTCCTCAGGCATAGAAGAAACGAGTTACAATAGACAAAGGGAGGGCCACACGATTCACCCCTTCTCTCAAGCCGATTCAGTCAACCTCTCTCCTTATTATCCCCAAGGCACAAGGCACACGACACGCGCTCGCAACAGCACCATGGGCGCCGACAACAGGTTCCCGTCCGAGATCAAGGACGCGTCGCCGCTGGGCCGGCCGCTGAAGTTCGAGTTCAGCGGCAAGACGGCGCCGAACCGCTTCCTCAAGGCCGCCATGACGGAGCGTCTCTCGTCGTGGGACCCCGTCAACAAGGAGAACCGGGGCGTGCCGTCCCAGCAACTCATTCGCGTCTATCAGAGATGGGGCGAGGGCGGGCTCGGGGTCATTTTGACGGGGAATATCATGATCGACTATCAGAGCTTGGAGGCCCGTATGTGGTTTTTCTTGGGGAAGACTTCATCCATTACCGAGGCTAACATCCTCTTCCAGCTGGTAACCCAATCATTCCGCCACAAGCACCCTTCCAAGGAGCCCGCTTCGATGCCTTCAAGGAGCTCGCGACCCAGGCCAAAGCACACGGAAGTCTGGTCGTCGGCCAGGTCAGCCATCCAGGCCGCCAGGTCGAACAGAGACTCCAGCCTGATCCCGTCTCTGCCAGTGATGTTCAGCTGGAAGGAGAAGTGATGGGAATGAGATTCGCGAAGCCCCACGCAGCCTCACACGAAGAGATCAAGGACATCATCAACCGTTTCACCCACGCTGCCGAGTATCTGGCCAAGGCTGGCTACGATGGCATCCAGCTCCGTAAGTTCTCTAATCCCTGACGTGCAGCTATTGCCAATGGCAAGTCTTCTGTGTGCTAATCACCCGCTTAGATGGCGCTCATGGCTACCTCTTGGCCCAATTCCTCAGTCAGACAACCAACAAGCGAACCGACCAATACGGTGGCTCTCTGCAAAACCGTGCCCGGCTCATCCTCGAGATCGCCCAGTCCATTCGCCAGAAGCTGCCCGCATCGTCAGGCTTCGTCCTGGGAATCAAGATCAACTCGGTCGAATTCCAAGAGGGCGGATTCACTGCCGACGAAGCCAGAGAACTCTGCGTCCTACTCGAGCAGAACGAGTTCGATTTCGTGGAGCTTTCGGGCGGTACATATCAGTCCCTAGCGTTTGTCCACAAGAGGGAATCGACCAAGAAGCGGGAGGCGTTTTTCCTCGAGTTTGCCGACAAGATCGCTCCGGGGTTGAAGAAAACAAAGACGTATGTGACCGGCGGCTTCAAAACCCTGGATGGAATGGTCAACGCTCTGAAGAGTGTCGACGGCGTCGGACTTGGTCGCCCTGTGTGCCAGGAGTTCCACATGGGCAAGGACCTGCTGGAGGGCAAGATCTCGGCTGCCATCAACCAGAAGGTCGACCAAGATAACTTTGGCCTCACCAACGTCATTGCCGGCTCCCAGATCAGGCAGGTCGGCAAAGACCAGGAGCCGATCGACATGTCGGTGCAAGAGAACGTCGAAGCCTTCCTGAAAGACATGGGTGCCTGGGCTCAGAAGATGGGCTCAGGTGATGCCGCCAACTATGGATACGTCGACATCGAGTCTGCCCAAGCAAGGCCGTACGGCGCTTCTGCAGCAGCTTAGAGTGAGTCGGCCGTCGAGTTTACAGGAGTGGAGTGGGGTTTCCGGTTCAGCTGCGAATGTGTCGATAGACAACTAGACCGATAGACTCTCTCGGCCATGCTGAACTTATCGTAGATCACCGCGAAGACTGACGGGGTATTGTATCAGATCTTTTGCTTCTCTTTCTCCTTCTCCCTGCTCTTCTCTGCCTCGTTTTCTATGACCAGAATGCTTCCGGCGATCGCGATCCCGATACAGGTCACTGCCATGAGACTTATCCCGCCCGTGTTGGGCCTGAACTTGCCCTCTTGTATATGGCGCAGAGTCGAGAAGTACCGCAGCGTTCCGTGGCCGACGCACAGGCTCCCGCTCGCGACGAGGACCCCCGCGGCAATCTTGGTTCTTGAGTCAGACAAGTGAAGCAACGTCGGCGATAGCGCCGCAAGGGCTTCCACTTTCTCGAGCGCCACACCCAGAGCAATGAATCCGAGGCCGGTTCGGGCCCAAGCGAGGAAGGTTCTCTCGGAGGCAAGGAGATCGCGAGCCACAGAGCCGGTGTTGGGGAGGGGATTCACCCTGATGTAACGGGTAAGTCGAGACAGCATCTCCAGTCGCGGGAAGCCCTAGACTTCTTGGAATCGGTGTAACATCAATTTTCCTGAGGGTTCCTGGCTTGCTGGCAAGTATCATTTCAACCCGGCTCCCCGACAGCTCGACGAGTCGAAAACGATGGCCCCGAAGTTTTTCGAGGAGGAAAGTGCGCCGAGTGTGGGACCAAATGATCACGCCCACCAGAGTGCAGACTCTCTATTTCTATCCTGCAAGGTAAGTAGGGTGTTCTGCAACCCATCGACTTTACTACCTGCTAAGATACCATCTAGATCGATTGCGAATCATGTCGCTGTCGGGAAACCCTGACGACAACGACGACGACTACGTCGCTAGGCTCCTCGTCGAGGATGCGAGGAAGAGTTCGATGCGGTATGCTTCCCAAGGCCTGTCCGCCTTGCTGCCCAAAAGACCTACGGGCGCAGTACCGAAGCCGAATACCCGTTTCCTGAAAAATCTGGTCCGCGAAGCCGATAGTCACAATGCAAAACTGAAGGAGAAAGAGGAATTGGAGGCACGAATCCGTCTGAGGAAGATCAGAGACGCCGAGCACGCCTCCAGAAAACCTAGACAGGAGCGGGACGACGAGGACGGCCACGAGCAAGGGCGGAAGAGACGGCGATTAAGTGACGACACCGAGGACGCAAAGAGAACCAGGAGAGACAAACGGGATAGAGCCCGAGGTTCGAGACACAACGGGAGCCCCGAGCAGCGGAGAGAGCGGGATGATGAGGACAAGACTCGGGGGCGGCGGCGGCGGCACAGGAGTGACGACTTCAACGAGGACCCAGGCCGTAATGGATCTCGACGCCACACTTCCTCGCGACGAAGTAGATCTCATTCACGATCCAGGTCCAGGAGCAGGGAAAAAAGGGAGCACAGAGAGAGACGCACGAGGGCGAGGGACACCCACAGACATGATCGAAAGTCTCGCCGACATTCTCCACCCAGCGACACGGAGCCAGGAGGGCAACAGGACGCGGAGGACCGCCGTCGCGCACCATCGACGTCCTCGACGTCCTCGGACCCTCTCGCCTCGCTCATCGGCCCCCGCCCGACACTGGCCGACGACGACCAACGTCCGCAACGTCGTGGCCGGGGTTTCCACCACCGCCATCATCCCCCACACCAGTCCCGCTCAAACATCGACGCCCACTTCTCCCTGGCGTACAACCCCTCCACACACGACGCGGGCCTCGACTCAGACGATCTGGATCCGGACGACGAAGGAGGCGCCCTCGATGAATGGACGTCGGCCCTCTCTGCGCTTCGAGATCGGCGAGCCTGGCGCGCGAAACAGGCCGAGCGCATGAAAGACGCGGGGTTCACCGAGGAGGAGATCACGCGGTGGAAGAAGTCTGCTTCCACGTCCCGCACCCCCCTGACCAGCGGGGGGGACGAACAAGGCGACGTCCGCGACGTCAAGTGGCGCAAGAAGGGCGAGGAGAGGGAGTGGGACGTTGGCAAGACGGAGACGAGTCCCAGCGCACTGCTCCCCACACCCGGACCTCCCGCCGTTGATAAGGCAAACACAGCGCCGAGAAGGACTCATGTGAAGAAGGAAGAAAAGAGGGGCCAGGGCGTCGACTCGGCATGGCACCGACCCGAAAGCGCCTTCTTGAAGCAGTTCAAGAGCGCCCTCCGCTGAGACACCCTCAGATCCTGCTCGGGGATGCATGATGCGGACCGAGTAAAAAGAACGAATCACCATTGCATGGCACATGGCTGGAAGGAATCGAGGCTGTTCTGTGCCGTTTGTACATCGTTCCTGCTTGAGACGAGAGGGCTCTTCTATCTGTCAAGTCGTGAATCCTATAACCGGACAAACTCGATCATCTTACACTATATCTATACCCTACGGCATAGTCTGCTTCAGATCGCCCAGCTTGGTCCCAACTCTCCGTCGCCGCTGGTCCTTCCTGGACCTTTTCATACTCCGTTTCTTCATGCCTGTCACCCTTTGCTGTCCTCCCATGAGTTACATCATAAGAAGCGGCCATGCGCATTCCTCCTTCGTGCTCTGAATCGTCCATCCCGTTCGTGAATCAGGTTCAAATCTGTGACAATCAAAAGCCCTCCAACACAAAACAGAGCGCAAAACTCCTCAACCCCAAACTCCCAAAATCTCCCTCAAACCTGCGTTTTGATAAACAGGGCCACCCAGTTCCCAAGATCCAGACAAATTGCAGTCACAGCGCTGTAAATCAAATCTCTTCCTCCTTTTGACCGCCCTCACCCTCCCCCTCCACTCCCCTGACTATCGGGCCTGAACGTCTCACCTTCGATACTCCTCTCGCTTCGGTTTCTCTTCCAGAATGCGAGTCCCAGCTTTAACCTACTCCTTCTCCTGCCCATAGTTTTGGTGCTGGCTTTCCTGTCTTTCGCACTTGCTTCTTCCACGTCTCCATTGCTCAAAATGGTCGTATGAATGTCGTATTTGCTGCTTTCTCTGCTGGTTGCGCTGTTACTGCCCATGCTAAAACTGGGTCTCAGTACCGGACTTCCTGAGTGCATCGGTGCACTTACTGCCCGGTTGCGTATAGCCTGAAGGCTGTTTCGAAGTCTCGTCAGTTCTTCGCTCTTATCAGAGGTGTAGCTTGTAGCTTCAGTGCTTCCACTAGGAGTCAGCATTTGCCCCTCACCGGCACCACCGCCCCTCAGGATGCCGCTTGTCGTAGTGTCGCTCTGAGGAGACCTGGCCGGCGGTGATGTGTCGATCGCTTCGATCTTGGGCTGCTTTGACGCGACGTCACTCGCCGGTGCGCTAGCACGTAGGCCGGGATGTGAAGGATTGTATTGTTGCTGGGGATCGTAGGTTCGCACTGGTTCATCTTTCTTTGAGGTCGCAAAATTGAATTCGTGCACGTCTTCCACGTCCGGTGCGTTGCTTCCTTCCAGAGCTTCCTGTGGAATAGCCTCGGTTCCCGCGCGCATTGATACTGCATTATCTCTTCTTGTGTCATTGAGCGGTTGTAAAGACACTGCGGCGTCATGTCCTGAGGTTGTTAGCCGCGGAGTGCTGCTGGAAGTGGTGTCATTATGCTTCTCTCCGCCGTGAGTTCCATCCAGCGTAAGTTCTACCGGAATGTGTTCGCCATTGACGAGAGCGGATCCCGACCGCTCACGGTCGGTCACCTTCAAATTCTGCCCAGATTCTGCAGCCGATCGCCGACGAGCGGTCGTATCAGCCGCCAAAACAGCTATGCCTGCAGCGGCTGCTAATGACGACTGCTGAGAGCTGTCCTGCGGAGTAGTGTTACTACTTTTCCGGCCACGTCCGGATTCAGATTGTGGCTTCTCCGGCAAATCGTCTCCATCTCGGAGTGGAGATGTTGGTAAATGCTTCTCCTTCCCATGGTCCTGCGCTCGGCCGACAGGACTTTGAGTCCTGGGGCTTATTGAACCACCATCACCAAACCCCGTGCCTCTCTTGACGAGCTGCAGTTTCTTTTCGTGTTCGGCTCTTGTAAACCAAACGCCTTTGTTCGTCAGGATCTCGTCGGCGGCGAACCGCATGGCGGGAATTATATCAGCCACATTTGCAAAAAGCGGATGTGCGAAGATGGTCATGAAACCGATCTGGCCATTGGCAAGCTTCAGCATGTTGCCCAGCTCGGGAGGACCACCGAAGAGTGTCGTCTCCATTCCAACGGCTTGCTCCATCTCTCCTTGATGCGCAAACTCCTTCTGAAGCAGATGGGTCCATTTCTCGGCCACCAGCCATGGTCGCGCCTGTTACCGTGAGCAAAAAAAGAACGGTTTAGAAGCTGGGGTGATGTGACATACCACATTGCTGATGTCAGCGCATTTAATCAACAACCCACAAGTCAAAGTCCGTGCCCAATCAATGTCTTTCGGAGACCATCCATCGGTCGCTCCGCTCTCGTGAATCTTCTCCTGTAAGTTGCCCAGTTGTTGCATGTAGTCGGAATGAATGCCCATGTCCGTAGCGAGGATGGTACTGATCATCAGTTTCCGAAGGGCTTTGTCCTGGAAGGCAACGTGCCAGTGGCGTCGGAGAATCTGAGAGTAAGCCGCACAGTGGAAGGCTTCCAGGACTGACTGGTCGTTGTACAATTGTGCAAGAGGTGCGTTCAACTTTACCAGAAACATATTGTTGACACCAGGATGGCCGACGTCGTGACCAATGGCGGAGACCAAGAGGGTCAGCGCTTCGAATGGTCCTAAGAGGCGGGCGATCGGTGATTTTTTGTCTGCGAAAGGAGATGGCTCGGCACCGGCTGGATATGGTGGTAGCGTGCCTATCTGGAGGAGGAAGTAGAACACGGATTGCAAGACGTCGACAGCGTGCCTGAAGTTGTGATATAGGACGAAGGAATTGTATGCTACACGGCAGCCTTGCATGAAGTGAAGTAGGTCGCCTGTTCGGTAGGTAAGCGAGCTGCGACGGCATCGGTTCAGGAAGAGACTCACGTTGATTCATGCTCCATTGCTCACACTCTTCCATTTGAAGGCAATGATCAAGCATAAAGTAGCCAGCATAAACCAGCTCATCCTCTGTAAAGTCATGGCCAGAAAAGTCCCACCGGCCCACGGCTTGTGCCACTGCCTCTTTTCGCGACTCTTGCACATACAGATCGCGATGTTGGTAATCTTCGATAATATTTTGCGGCTCGCAGATCCCCTTCAGTAATTTCTTCACCATGGCCTCGCGAAGATAAGCATAGGGTTTCTCCTCTTCCATACCGACCCATGATTGCTTCCGATTCCTCCGGGCCATGGCCATGAAGCCTGCTTGCTCCTTTTTCGCATTTTTGTATATTCGATAAGCGTGGACGGTTAGACCCATGATCCCGGCTTTGTCCAACGGGCTCTTTACAACATCGAGTGCGCCAGCATCCAGACACTGTAGCATTAATTGAGCATCAATGATATCGGACTTGTCTTCGATCGCGACAGGTTTGGACTCGGGGCCAAAGGGAGCCCGAGACACCTCGGGTTGGGGCTCTGTGTCCATAGCCAGGTCCTGAGAATCACTCCGTTTGGGTTGGACAATAGCCACCGGAATGATCAGCTTCGCACCCTCATCAACTTGTAGATCAGACGCTATTCGAGACAGGAGTTGAAGGCCGTATGACTCGTCGGACTCGGAGGAAAAGGTGATCTCCTTCCTCAACAGGCTTGGAGACGGTAATGGAGAGTCGGAGGATGGAAAGAATCGAGGCCTCGCTTTTGAATGCTCGTGCTTTGACTCGGAGCCTACGTCAAAGCAGGCGAGGATCGGGGTACAATCGAGCTTGACCTGGTCGTGGAGTTCGGACAGTTTTGAGGAAAACGCCCTTCCAGAACTACATACATACACTGGAGGTCTCGACGTCAGCCGGCAATGGAGCTTGGAGAAACAGCTCTGCTTACCTTGGTTAAACACAGTCAAAAAGGCATTGACGTTGGTCTGTAAGTCGAGGGGCAGGTCCGAAAATTCCACCTGCGAACCTGCTCTTGCGGGCGTGCTAGGAGACAGCCCCTCTCTGGAAATCCATCTTTCCGTGTTGAATCTTTCGTCAATGTATATCACTCGACAGGCTGAGGGGTCCATGGCGTCCGCGATGATTTGTATGGCAAGGAGGAGAGACCGTCGCGTCAAGAGGCTCTACGGGCCCATAATGCGATCAAACGGCCGTCGGGACGATTTGTGAGACCTCGATCCTGCGTTTTCCTCGTTTGGTGACGTTATGAGACTCTAGACAAATTTACAATAGATCTGACAGAAATCTTGACGAGCAGTGTACGCTTATTGCGGGCCCATTGCGCGCGAGACGGCGGCTGTCCTCGAACAAGCGGGCGAGGAAAGTGCTCTTTTCACCTGGAATCGGCGGAAAGAGGAGGACAAACTCTAGCTCGAGAGCTCGACGAGGTCGCCGGGGCGTGAATGAGACGAGTCGAACACGCTCAGGCTGCGCCGATTCGATGCCGCCGAGAGTCGGGGAGTGTGGACGGAGGATGGTAAGACAAGCTGCGAGTGGGTGGCAGGTCGCAGCTGTCAAGTTTTTCGAGTCTTCGGGTAGTCGCAGACGCCGCCGGGGAAAGTGACTGAAGCTGCAGACGGGCGAAACACAGACAGCTCTCCGGTGAGATGGTGGAAGTGACCTGGGCGATGATCCGATCAAAGAATCAAGCTGAGGACTGGAAGGAGGAATGTGGTGCAGGCAAATGGAGGTAGAGGATCGAGCTTGGGTCGGTCGCAGGAGGTCAGAGTAAGTGGTAGCAAGCAAGTGATAGTGTAGTAGTGGTAGACACTTGCGAGTTGGCTTCGCTGGGGGCGACAAGAGGGTGAAATCGAAAGGCCGAGCCCTCAGAGGTTTAGGGCGAACCCCCCTCCCCCCCAAGGATTAGTTGGCCCAGTGGCACCAAGCACCAAGCACAATTGGGCCTGGCAATGGGGGTGGATCTGGGATGGAAGGAAAAAGGAAGCGCAAGGGAAGGCGAAGAGAAGCGCGAGCGAAGGTGCAATCGAAGTGCGGAGCAGGCCAATGCATGCCGGCCAGGGCCAATTAGGGCCCGTATGGGCCACGCCGGGCCAGTCGAGGGCCAATGGGCTCGCGGGCGGCAGCCAAACGGCAGGCCCTTCTAAGTAGAGTTAGGGGTCCTCGAGGCCCCAATGCTCAGTGCTCACCCTCCCATGGACCATGGGCCCGTGGCTGGTAGGCCCACTGTTTCGCTCCGTTGCCCATCATCCTTAGGGGGCAAGTGACCTGTGCTGCTCCCGTCACCCACCTGCGCTGCCAGCTATGTCAGCCTATTTATGTGATGTGCGGTGTGAAGAGAGAAGGCATCCAGTTTCTTCTCATCATCCCCTCCATCATCAAGAAAGCTTACCTTCCCTACCAAGCTTGGCCGTCTCTCTTTTGTTCCGCAAGCCGCTTTCTCTCTTTTGGGGAGCCGTGGCCAAACCCATAGCCTCCTTCGTCCAGGCACACGGGAAAGCTGCGCTTTGGCCCCCGTCCTTCTTCACCCTCTCAGGCTTCCATCAGCCTTCTAGAAGCCGCCCATCATTTGTCGGACCACAATCGCCTTTCTCCAGCAAAGCAGAAGGGCAGATGATCATTGTTTTACTTTCTTGGCCTCCATCACTTCGTCATCCCTCCTCATGGGTGTACACGTCACTGGCAACGACGAGTAAAAAAAAGAACGCATTGGTGGTGGATACTCATTCACGACAACTCTTGCAGGGCAATCGATTCATGGCGCAGCTGACTATGATATCAAGGGAACAGCCGCCTACAGCGCTGCTTCCACTCGAGTCCGCTCCCAGGAGATGTATTGTTTCGTCACTTCATCCAGGCCTGGCCTCTGCTGATCCATACACCCGGCTGTGTCGATCCGTGCAAGGGGCCCATCTCCCTCTAGCCTATTCGAATGGTCCTTTGGCTCTGCTTCTAGCCTTCTGCATGTCGATCCAAACGAGCATCATCTCCTCTGGTAGTGACACCATGATTCCTCCCAGATTGACATATTTCTCCACCGGTGCTCGGCCGTTTTTGTCATTCACACCATCCACTAGTCCCGGCATTTCCTCGTAATGGCTTAGTTGTACAGATCCAACCCCATGCTATGCAGCTCCCATTGCAAGGGCCACTGACTGGTATCTGGGTGACCCCGGCGTACGCTATGCAGAAGACGGCTGGAATTGTGACACAATCGGGGACTGGAATTTCGTCGGCCTCGGGCTCTCACATGCTGTCCTCAACGGTCGAGACTAGCCGCCTGTTTGAATCGCTTAGCCAGACTTTCTGACGGGCTGCCAGGGTCGAAAGATTCATCCTCTGTCTGCAAACGCCACGGACGCTTCAAGGGCCGCTCACCATATGTTTCGAGTATCGCCAATAGGGTTCCCCATCCTGGTGATTCCGTTAAATGAATCGCGTCCACCTGGTCGCGCGTGGTCGCCACTCGACATAGAAGCTGTTCTTCTTCCTGCCACCAAGGTCAGAGAGATGCCACGTTTTTCGAGAGGGTCAACTTACCTTGCTGAATACGCCCATCCCGTGTAGAAAGCATAACAGATGGAAGTCGGAGACTGCGTCCACCGATTGTGACGAGCGCAATTGTTTGGCCACGTCCACGGGATCCTGGCCCTCGGCCACAGCCTCCCGATTCTCAACAGGAAACTTGCCGTTCTTGAAGAGAGGGCTGGGCTTGATGGGCATGCCCGCAGTCAAAGATACCAACAGATATTCCACGGGGAAGCTGGGCTTGGCGTTCTCTTGCACATTCGCACCGTACTCATTGATTCGGCGATAGAATACCTCAGGTATGTATCGCGTTCTGCCGTTCGGTCCTTGATCATCTTCAGCCTGGACCAGCATCACGGAGGGATCTGCCGAAGGCTCCACGATATCTGCGCGAACCATCTCGACCGCAGCGTTTGATGCCTGGTAAGCTCGGATTGTGATACTCTCGTCTTCATCTCCGGTGACGACGCAGGTTACAAAATTTGAGCCGAATCGACCCGTCTCACTCCACTTCGAAGGCTTTGGGTATTGAGCTTGGAGCCGTGCGGCGAACGCAATCTCCAGAGACGAAAGGAAATACGAGTCGATGTGCCGCTTGCAGACGGCTTGACCCTCTCCTTCCTCAGGGGCCAACAGATCGGTGAAAATGACTCCCACCCGCTCCAGGCCGCAGAGGCGGGCAACCTCATCAACATCCTTCTCATTAGGCCATTCCAGCAGTGTCAGCCCGTCAACTTCGCACATTTGAGGTGGTTCGTAGATGGCTTCGACCACCGCCTTGACACCCAGGGGTACTTCTGTGTACTCTTCGTAGCGACCATATAGAAACCCCAGTCGCTGACTGCCGGACTTTCTCCAGAAATCAATCAGTTTATCCACCATATCTGCCGAGGCAAATTCAACATGGTCCACCATTCGGAATTCTTGCGGTTGTAATGTGATAGCGCTCGGCTGGCATTTTGTACAGATTCCTTCGGGCCAGGGAGGATGACCGGACGGACAGTCTTTCCTGACGCGGTAGTATGGTTCGGAGAGTGGCGGCATATAAGAGCTCTTCAACTCGGGTTTGTTGGTGGCGGAATTGATTTTGCGCAGATAGCTGTGGAAGGATAGATGTTTTATTTTCCTCTCGTCGAGATATTTCTTGTCGTAGGGCTCCAGAGGCTGACAATAGTCGCACATGCCTTTGGGCCCATGTCGACACATCTTCAGGTCTCTAGGTCTTGAAATCTTCCCGTCCAGCCTGTCTAATCTGTCATCCAAAGCTGACTGTTTTACAACTTCCCATGGGTTCTTCACCAGAGTTGGAGAGGTAACCGTCGGGGCGGTCACTGGGGCGGTAGGTGCTGGCAAAGCGATTGTGCCGTTCAAGCGTCGAGGGGCGGAGGCGACATCGCCGTTGGTGTGACCGTTGGACATGGTCTCGTGTTCTGAGAACCCGATGTACAGCTTGTCTCCATGTTGAAGTCCAACTTGGCGCAGTTCGACCCCGGGGAGGTCGACGAGACGTCGCTCTCGATCCGGGTCCGGTTTTGAGCTGACGGGCTTGTTGCTGAGGACTATAGAGGAGGCGTCGGTATTCGCTGGGAGATTGTCAAGGATCTGGAAATCCCCCGATCTTGTTAGCCAATTCAATTTTCCCTTTCGAAAGGCGCAGGATCGGAGTTTACCATGGCAGTCAGCGATGTGAAGTGCAGGGTTGGCTCGACGTTCAGGCGAAACTGGCCCCATTTTGATTCAAATCGCAGTAACATGGTGAATTGGTGCGGGGAGGACGGACGAGGATAGCGGGAGGGGGACTGAGGCCCTGCAGATATGGGATGGAGGCGAGACGGCCGAGGGTTCGTGGAAGATAGACGGAGGGACAGAGGAAGTCTGGTGAGTGAGGATGAGTACGGGCGGAGGTTGCGGTAAAGGGCAACAAAGAAAGTAAACGCAGAGGTCGAAGTGACCTCGAGAATTCCTCCTGTACCTGAAGGTAGCGAGGCTCTAGATGGCGAAGTTGGCGGTTGGCTCGGTCCTCATGCGAGGATGGTCACAGAACTTCTCCGAAAGCGCGTTGTGGCCAGGCTCCAAATCTTACGTCATGCAGGCAGGGGCTGGTGAGGCCTGCAGTACATACTGCTCCGTATATACTCCGTGCTTTGTATGTATATACCTATACCCCTGCTTTAGTGGAGGACGCGAGGGTATTAGAGCACATCTTCTTTTACTTTTCTCTTCGTGCGGCCCACTAGAAGATCTTGCTGTCTTCACTATGACTGATTACAAAACCACTCTTTCAATCCGTCGAAGAGTCAGTAAAAAGACATGTATAAATGAACCGCTAGATACCCACAGCAACATCACAGAACCATAACTCCATGGCCCACAGTATTGGTTATCGTATGCTGGCAATTCAAACTCCACCTCATATGTACTTCCAGAAACGCCATCAATGCCCCGAATATCAACATTCCCAGCTCATAACTTCGTGCACATCAAACAGAAGATTTGCCGGTACTCATCATGAAGCCTTGTACAATTGCCCTAGCCGCTTTTCCAAGACCTTTCGTCCTTCATCTGACCTCCAGACTTCTTCTGACGGTGCTCCTTTCACAACATCCCAGGCGACCAACTTGTCAGTCACCTTCGTCAAATCTTCTTGCTTCCGCTCCCAGTCCTTGTCCTTTTTCAAATGGACTCCTGAAGTGACCACAACAAGAGGAACACTGCGATCTTGGATATTGCGGGCGCTGACAACCTCGTTCTTGGTCAATGAATCGGCTACCAGGTTTTCTTGCAGCTTGTTCTTGATAAACTTGCCGCCCTGGTAGGAGGACTTGCCAAAGACCCTGTCTTCCTTGGTTCGACCCCTGAACAAAGCTCCCGCTAAGCGATCGAGACCGAGCGGAGATATGATCCCACGCCCCCACAGAATGAATCCACGACCAGGAGCGCCGACCTTGTAGAGAAGGTCTTCGTGGAGGCCATCGATGAACATCATTCCCCTGATGTCACGCGGATGTCTAGCAGAAAAGACTCTGCTGTAGACGCTGCCGATACCCGCAGACACCAGGATCCACGGGCCTTCTTCACCTGAAATTGCCAGCGCCTCAGAGATTGCATCCGCGGACATGCCAGCGGAGTGGGGAGACGGCGCGTTGTCGGACCATGCAATCCCAGGTCGATCCCAGTAGCAGTATCGGTCAATCGTACCATTCGTCCACGCGTCGAAGGCCCATCCCTCGAAGCTGTCTTCCACAGGCATATAGCCTCCCTCAAGCAGGACAGTGGGGTTCGGCTTGCCGTCTGCATCAAAGGTCTGGTTGCCAACGCAAGCGAAGTGGACGGCATATTTGTCACCATCCACCAAATACCGCTCGCCAGGAGCCGCCAACGTAGCGTCCCTCGAGCGCAATACCAGTACAGCCGTAAGCAAGACAACGATGATCACGTAGATAACCATAAGAATGGTTGCTGTCAGGACAGCACACCACTCTCTCAGAGAACGGCGTGTCTCCTGGCGACCAGTAAGCCGTACTTCCTCTTCCGCCTTCCCCCACTGAACCGCCCTGTTCGTTATGACATTATATAGGCCGATCAAGGCTGCCCATATTACCGATGCAATCCCAATCCAGCCCTCTTCGAGTCTGATACGAGGTACTGCGAGGATAATAATCATGTCGATCAACAGGATGACTGAAATTGCCATGCTCAGAACGCTCATGGCCGTGGATGGAGTAGCAAAGAAGAGAAGAGCGGTCAGGATGTTGCCAATGGTGAGGGTGGTCCAGGCGACGTCAAAGAAGCCCGAGCCTCTCGAGTTGAAATGAGGAGGACTGACGAAGATGGATATGAAGAGCAAGGTCCACCACAGGCATGTGATCATCAAAAAGAAGACTTCGAGCCATCGCAGAGCTCTCACCGAGAACAGGTTGTAGGGTGAGACCTAAGGGGGACAATTAGCTTGCTGATGAGTTGGGCCGTTCTTTATAATGACTTACAGCAGGGTCATCAGGACTGAGAAATCCGGGGCCTCGATCACGGCGAGGCAGTAGCCGTGTTCTTTCATTGGCTTCTTCTGGAGGTCCGCTGGACTGAGGATGGGATGCGGTGGCTGCGGCACTGTCTTCGTCCTCCTCTTGAGGGGCGTGGCCGTTGTCCTTCTTGCTACTTCCCCACAAAGACACCATGGTGACCGATCTGAATGAGTCCCAGCTACACGGAGGGTCGAAACCGGCAAGGCTCTAGGTAGGGACCAGAGGGCGTGGAGATTGTGTACGAGTGCTGTTTAGCACATATCCATCAGGTCTCTCCGTGAAGGAGGATTACTAGAAAAGAGAGGTATTAGGACCAAACGACGAAAGGAAAAAAAAAGAAGAGCTGAGCTTGAAGCTTTGAACGACTATGAGTTGTGGTGGTGTCACCTGCAAAACGGGGATGCTCACGACGTCATGGAGGCCGCCGAACCTCAACTGCGGGATATGCTTCCATGCGATCGTCAACAGCTGCCGCAGCTTGCGCTTCACTGGCTACCTAGGCATAGGCTGATCAGCACCTTGATCTCTCGCTTCTCAGCCAATTGTCGGTGCAAGTGATTCGTCATATTGGATAACGAGCCTTCGTCTGCTCCAAAACAAAACAGCGCTACGGTCTCGAGGATCGAAGGACATGGGCAACTTCACTCAAGGTGTAGAACGACAGAAGGGCAAAGTCAGAACAACCTGCGGCGTGGCTGCGCCCTAGAAAAACAACTGACCAGCATGGCCCTGTCTTGACCAGAGTCTAATGAAGAGTCGCCAACCAATACTACGAGCATTGACAGCGACTGAGGCCGAGACCGACGTCCCAAGCTGTCCGACGTCCTCTTGGTCCTCCCCAGGCTGCCCCCTCCAAAACTGCGCCTGGCCAACAACACTCGTTCCCGCTCATCCTTGCCACTATGCATTCCACCACAACAGATCACACGACACCGCCACACACCCTCGACACACACCTCCAACCCCACGGTTTAGTCACGGCACCAGAACCACCTTGCATGAGCCACACCTTATTCGTCCCTCCTCTTATCGATGTCGTCCCGAGTCCATGAATTGAATTGACAGCCTTGTCTCGACTTGCAGGATTCCGTGATGAGTGATCTGCAGAAGTCCTTTGCCCGAGCACGCTTGTCTCATCTCCCTCCAGAGCCACCGACCCTTGTAGATGAGCAAGATGAAGAAGGCGACGATTTGACGGCGCTGAGGCCAGGGTCTCCAAATGATTCCTCTTCCTCGGCCTCTTCAGCATCCTCTACGGGTACTATTGTCCCGTCGCCTAGCCGGAATCTGTTTGAGAAACCTAGGAGGTAATATGAGAGTCACGCCCCTGCCCAGATCATGACGGCCGCTAACACACATGATAGTGCTGGCATAAGATCTCGTAACGCACCTCTTCCTTGGGATGATTTCTTTACCCAAGACCTTGCTTTCGATCAAACGACACCCTCAGAGACAATCCATCATCACGTCTATCTGACTCCTCCTTCCGTTTCCGGCCCGCTCTTCGTTACGCATCATGGGGCTGGCTCCTCAGGCTTGTCATTTGCTGCCTTCACTATAGAATTGCTGAAAGTCCTTCCAAATGCCGGTGTTCTCTCATTGGACGCACGGGGACATGGACAGACGACAACGACGACTTCATCGGGTAGCTCCCCTCCCTCCCAAGACCTCAGCTTAACCACTCTAGCAGAGGATGTGGCCTTCGTCGTCAATGCTGTCAAAGCATATATGAAATGGTCAACCTTGCCAGATATCGTGTTGATCGGCCACAGTTTAGGAGGTGCCGTTGTGACCGAAGTGGCCCACGAGAGACTTCTCGGCAACGCCTTACTAGCATATGGTGTCCTCGACGTAGTAGAAGGTTCGGCTATGGACGCCCTGAAAAGCATGGACACCTATCTCTCCACGAGACCCAAGTCCTTTCCTTCACTTGCTTCAGGCATCGAGTGGCACACTAAATCTCGAACGATTCGGAACACCACCTCGGCTCGAGTGTCGGTTCCGTCCCTGCTTCAAGAATCCAAAACAACCAAAGACACATGGTTCTGGCGGACTGATTTAGCTGCTACCAAACCGTTCTGGGAAGATTGGTTTGTCGGTTTGTCCAAGAAGTTTTTGGAGTCTCGAGGAGGTAAATTACTCCTGCTGGCTGGGACGGACCGACTTGACAAGGAGCTCACAATTGGGCAGATGCAAGGTATGCGAAGCTGGAGCCATCTCAAGTTCTCTTCTCCAACTTCAGCAAACCCCATGCTGACCTTGTGCATAGGAAAATACCAACTTCAAGTGTTTCCCGAGGCCGGCCATTTCATACAAGAAGATCAACCAGCCAAAACCGCTCAGATTGTGGCGGACTTCTACAAAAGGAATGATCGCACCGGACTCGTCCTGCCTCCAAAGGTCGACGACCTGATCAAGCAGGGGAAGCTGAAACCGGCCGGCATAAAATGAATCCGCTGTTGCAAATCAAAAGAGAATCAGAGACTGAAGGTTGGTGACAACTCGTGCCATTTTCAAGACCGACACATTTGCGGAGAAAACAAATGTTCGCCGTCCCCGACTCTCCGGCTCTGATTTCACAGCTCTCGGTTCTTTCTTCTCTCGTCGGAAATGTGATATAGAGTTAGACTCGCAATTCAACTGCCAGGACGGAGCCAGATACGAAGGATGGCCGTTTATAATCCCGGCGAGAGCTGCGACCTGCGCCTGAGTCGGAAATGGCTTTGCAACAAGGGGATTGGAACAGTCGAAGGACGATCAACTGGGAAGATCATGCTTTCATCACAGTCCACAGCTCATCCACGCATATTTGGGAGAGGAGAAGTCGAGATCACCAGTAGAGTCGAGTCCATTTGGTCTCTTGATAGACTGTCCAATAGGTATTATACTGATCGATCCTTACCTCTTACCCTTCATCCTCCCCCCGTTCTTTTTATTCTTCTTCTTTCCCTTCTCCTTCATCATCCTCCTTACTGCCTCCTCACTGCCCTTCCCCTTCCTCCACATTTTCCCCTCTTTTCTCTCACGCGCATCGTCTAGACGCTTCTTGTCTTTGTTACTCAGCTTCTTCTTCTCTGTCCGCACCTTCACGGCTCCCACCCCGTCCGGCCCGTTCAACTCCATCCGTCCCTTGATCTTGGAGTCGCGTTTCTCTTTCTCGGTCTCGAACCAAGTCCTCTTTGGCCGGGCCATGATTTCGGACTCGTGCTTGATGAGGTTTTCGCCGCGCGCGATCTCAGCCTCGGTGGCGGCGAGTTGCTTTTCCTCTCTCTCCTCTTTCAGGATCTCCTCGATCTCCGACTCGAGATCTTCGAGCCGTCGGTGCATGGCGTCGACCGCCTGAACATCCATCACGCGAGACACGACCTTCGCGCCCTGTTGTCGGGCGCTCTTCACCGCCGCTTTGACCACCTTCCGATCGGGTTCGGCGGCGATCGTGCACGCACGCCCCGAGCGGCCTGCTCTGGCCGTGCGACCAACGCGATGCAAGTAGATCTCATGCGTCTGTGGCGCTTCGTAATTGACGACTGTCATGACGTTTTTGATGTCGAGACCTCGACTGGCGAGATCCGTGGCGAGGAGGTGTGTTGTCCTGCCGTCGCGAAAGGCATTGACTGCACTGATACGTTGGTCTTGCGTCATGCTTCCGTGCAGTTCGCCGGCCTTTAAGCCCAGTAAGCCGAACACCACGCGTACACGATGGGCTTCCTTCTTCTGACGAAAGAAGACGATCGTGCGTTCGGTGAAGAAGTTCTGGCACAGCACGCATAGAGTAGCCAGACGCAAGCCCTCGCGTCCTTGGCGGAGACGGACGAATTCCTGAACTAGACCTGCCGTTGTAGACTTCTTTGCGTCGACGGATAGACGGACGGGACGATTCATGCCCACTCGGACCAATTTGTCGACGCTATCCGTCATGGTGGCGGAGAAGAGCATCGTCTGTCTTCCCTTGGGGATGGTGCGCAGGATCTCGTTGAGTTCGTCTTCGAACCCGGTCTCGAGCATCCGATCGGCTTCGTCCAGCACCAGGATCTCAATGTTCTCGACGGCAAAGCTGGCCGAGTTGCGCATGTGGTCGATGAATCTACCTGGCGTGGCAATCACGACGTCGGGCCGCTTTTTCAGGATGGTCTCTTGTTCCCGTAAGGAGAAGCCACCCACGACCTGCGCGAAGGTGATGTCTGTGAACCGCGCCAGAGCGGTGGCGACACTGTAGCATTGGACCGCGAGTTCGCGGGTGGGCATGAGGATGGCTACTCGCGTCGTGGGCACTTTTCGGGGGCGATATAGCAAGCGCTCAAGGATGGGGAGGAGGAACGCGGCCGTCTTGCCAGAGCCCGTCACGGCGGACCCGACCACATCTAGGCCTTGCAGGGCGACGGGAATGGCGCGGGTTTGGATGGGTGTTGGGGTCGCGAATGAAAGGCTGGCCAAGCCGCGTAAGATAGGCCGTGACAGGGAGAATTGTTGGAACGAGGATGCGGATTTGATGTCGGGTCGTGTTGTTTTGTCCTCGGGAGCGAAGAACGCTGCGCGTTTGGCTATCTCGTCCGGATCTTCCGAGACAGACGTTTCCGATTCAGCATCTGACTGATCGGAGGTTAAGTCGTCGGGATGAGCTGTTGGAGAGGCCACTGAGTCGCTGTCGGACGCATTGTCGGTGTCGCCGTCGTCGTCGGTGTTGTCGTCTTGTTCTTTGTCCGCCCCTGAATCTTCCTCGTCTTCCTCATCCTCAGATGCAGCATCAGCACCGAAAGTGTCTGGAGCAAGAAGTTCGTCATCTTCGAAGTCGGGCATCTCCACGTCGTCCTCGCCATTGTCTTCGTCCACATCTGATTCTGATTCTGCTACTGCCCCTTGATGCTTTTTGGACCCAGTGGATTTTGCCTTCTTCTCTGCGCGACGAGCAATGATAGCGTCGATGTCGACGCCTTTCTTCTTTTGTTCTCGATTCTTTGTGGTTGTGTTGTCCTCGCCCCATCCGTCAAATTCCTCAAGGTCTTCGAGCACTTCGTTCGCTCCAGTATCAAACTCGAAATCAGGATCGAGGGCGCCATCTTGGACACCCGTATCTTCGCCGCTCTCTGAATCGTCGCCTGACGCAATACTCTCGTCCTCTGCATCTCTTCCCCTCTGCACCTTCTGTTTCTTGTTCTTGCGACCAGTTTTCTTTTCTTCCCTTTTTCGCTTGGTGCTGGTGCGGGGCGCTACGGTTTCCGAGTCATCTGTGTCAAGATCACTGGCTGGCAGGTCCTCATTGTCAGAGATTGTGAGGACAAAATCCTCCTCCGCTCCTGTACGAACCATGGCGGGATTGGGGTTCTGGGGCCCGTGGCTGCGCTCGCTTGGTCTGGGATGGTGAAGTTTGCACTCGCAACTTTTTTTTGTGTTTGACCGGCAGAATTTCCCAAGGCGGTGAAGGAGACGGGGATTGAGCCGAGCCATTTGCGTGCCGATACGGTCACCACCAGCCACGGCAAGCTTGTTTGTTCACTCTACGAATTCTATGAGAGCAGTCAAAGGACCAATCTGAGACTCGAAATTGCATATCCGGTGAACTGCCCTCAATGCACGCTAGGTGTTTCGGTGCGCATCCGATCTGTGGCAGCTAGTTAAAAATGTTGCAGGTTGCAGGTTGCAGGTCCCAGTCCACCAGAGAAATGCACCCGCGGCATCTGTCCATGTCCTTTTGTGCCTTGTAGCCCGGGGGCTCTAGGAGTACCGATGCCCTTGGTTGTTCAATGTCCTCGTAATGATGACAGGATCCTCCCCAGTGAACTCTCTGGACCTGGACGGGCGGGCCCTGACTAGAGGTGAGCAGGTTCCATATCACAGCCTCCGTATGCATGTGAACTTTTACATGCTGCCAGCATTGGAGAAACCTTTAGGAGAGTTCATCAACATTCCTCCCTTCCCCACCGCAGGTGCTTGTCGTCGGGATGCAAGCTGTGCGAGAACCAAAGTTGGATGCCAGACCGAGCATATGGGCAGAGATGACAGTCATTGCTGCGTAGCCGGGGACCTATTTGACATGTTTCTCCTGTTGCATATGGCCGTCCATTTGCTAGTTTTACATTACGAGGACTCGGGCTCCGAATGTTCCCATTGCTTGCCACGAGCACACGACTACCTGGTGGCTGTGGCTATGGCTATGGGGATACCACAGACGTCTGATGTATCAGTCCACATTGACCCGAAACATGGCGAAAGTCAAGCTCTGATGGAGTTGACAACAAGTCCCATATATACACAAGTATTATTCAGCGCGCGCAAGTACGTGGACGCGCACGGTTACCTCCGGAAGTCTGAAGGGGTGTCGCTGTCGTGTAACGGGGCCCAGGGATCAAGGGTTGGATTTCTGGAAAAGTGGCTTGCAGTAGCTTCATGAGAGCACCCCCTGTTCACCAGGACAGTCATGGTCACCGCTTCTTTGAATGCATCGAGAAGTCGCAGCAACCGTCGGCATTCTGGATGCGGTTTGCCTCAAACACGGTCTGGCCTGTTGGCTCCGAGGACACCTAGGATCGAGCCTCGTTATGTTAATGCCTGCACAAAGACCGCTGATCACCATTTGATCGTCGATGTTGGCTAAGGCTGGATCTTCACGTCTAGAACATGTCCTCTCAAAGGGCAAGGCCAGGGAAAGCCCGTTTCGAGGCCCGGGGGAGCCACAGGAGCCAGCTCGATGCGACCAAGCGGGTCCAGCTGAGGTGATCGAAAGGATTCGTGGATTCACGGTCCCTTTCTCGCTCGAGTACGCATGGAGAGGGGGGGAAGAGTCCACGCAGGGAAAATGGCTCAGCAAGCCCAAGGTGTTGACGGGGCACAGGTATTGCCCTTCATCCGTTCGTATCGTGCGCTCCGTCTGAGCACATTGCACTGCGGGTTGGCTGGCGGAGATGGCCCACGAATCCCAAGACAGCGAAAGCCATGACAGGATCGTTTGGATTTCAGCAAAAGACTCTGGCGTTGCACGATATCGACAAATGCAGCACCAGCCAGCGCCACAAAAGGGCTCGGAGGTCCCCACTCCCACAGACGGGTTCCCGGGTAAAGAAAGGTTACAAGGCAGCCTGCGAGGGGTGGATAGGTCGCGAGGTCGATAGGGTCGAGTCTCCAGGGCTGTCCCATGTCTCTGGCGTGGCATGGCATGGCGGAACCGGGGGGGCTTTTCATCGAGTTAAGAGGACGGGCGGGATGATGAGGCCTTCCTCCCTCTTCCCTCTTCGAGTCTCGACATACACGAACATCCACATAGTCATCGTTCAGCCCACGCTCCCTGCGCCCCTCCCTGCGACCAAGTCGAGTATCAGCCTGCCTCCCTCGTACTCCTCCTGCTCGGACCCCCAGTAGGTTATCGTGGATTATCCCTCAAACGTTATCTTCCAAAACCATCCCACTCTCTCTCACCCACGGGCCCTAGCGTGTCCTCGATCGGGATATTCCAAGCCTGGGAGGGAGGACCCTAGAGCCTATCCCAATCCTCCTTTTTCTTCGGATCGGGTACCTAGCAGTACATACAAATCACGGCTGTACACATGCCACGGCCCTTTTAGTCAAGCTCGCCTCTGTTGGTTGAACCTTGATCAGGAATCCCGAGTGGATCGCTTGTGGACACAGACACAGACACACACACGCACACACCGCCGTGGAGGAAGGAAAAGCAAACACGCAACAGGTCGCCTCTCCTTGACGACCTGCCACTGGGACCTACTGGAGCTGCTGGGCCTAGCAGTCCAGGCGAGGATTGTCGGCTGCAATCACGTCAGTTCCGACCGCGCAGGCTGACTGCTCTTGTAACATAACACCACATGCAAGCGACAAGCCAGGCCTGTCACTAAGCTGGCTTGTGTGTTTGTTGAACCCGTCTGCTTGCTCCCTACTTGCTAGTGCTGGATACGCTCGGAGGCCACAGGCGACCGTGGAATAGCGCCGCAAGCTACACCTGGATTCCCACCAGATCCCTCCCGAAGGGTGGACGGCCCTTGCATGCGCAACTGATTCGCCCTGCGCCCTCGTTCTTGTGCCACGGCTCTTTGTTGTCATCTTTTTTTTCCTCGCTCGTACCCATATTTATCCTATCATCCCGCCTTCCCTCTGACTGTCTTTCTTCTCAGCATGACCCTTTCCGCAGACACTGACTGCAGTTATGGCACCGCGCGACCAGAGCCCAATGCCACCGCCTCCAGTATGTCTCGCCCCGCGGCCCCAACCCAAGAATGAAGGGGAGGGGAAGGAGAAAAAGATTTTGTTTCAGCCTTGCTGACCCATGGATAGCCTCCCAACTCGCCCGTCCTGAAGCGTTGTCGCAATTAAAAGCTCGCATCAAGGCGGGCCTGAAGACCTATCCCGATTTCCCAAAGGTAAGAAGGGCCTGTTCGTCGTCCTAGTCCCCTCGAAAGCATTTCGGCTAAGTGGGTTGGTGAAGAAAGGCATCCTCTTCGAAGACATCCTCCCCCTCTTCGCCTCGCACTCCCTCCACGAGGACTTGATTCGTGCATTTGAGCTACAGATTGCCGAATCGCTTGGTCCGCACAACATTCCTGATGTGATTGTCGGCCTCGACGCGAGAGGTTTCCTCTTTGGCCCGACACTAGCCTTACGCTTCGGCGCCGGATTTGTTCCTGTCAGAAAGGCAGGCAAACTCCCCGGAGAGATCGAAACAGCAGAGTATCAGAAGGAATATGGCACCGACACCTTTGCCATGCAGACTTCCGCCATCCAGCCTGGCCAGAAAGTTCTGGTGGTCGACGACCTGATCGCAACAGGCGGTTCGGCAGCGGCAGCAGGGACACTGGTCGAGAAATGCGGCGGCCAGCTGATCGGATACGTCTTCATCATCGAACTCAGTTTCCTCAACGGTCGAGACAAGCTCAACGCCCCGGTTTTCACGCTCCTTGAGAGTCAAGAAGAATGACTGGGAGACCGCACCCTCAGGCTCACCATGATGAATGCCACAACTCGAGATGCCACTTTGGCCAGGTCGAGACGGGCGGTTACCCACCAGCCACCTCAGACTAATCTCAACTACATACCACTCCAGAATCCTATGTGTATTACCGGTGTTTGCAGGCTCAGCGGTGAACACAACATATCCAACGGGGAAACGGTTCTCCTCGGTTGGTACCCAAACGAGAACCCTGAAATCCTATCATTTTCGGCGTTTTTGTTGAAAGATTCAATTAGGTTACAGATGAAATGCTTGCGAGAAGACCTAATGTCGATATTCAAGTCGAGTCGAGCTACTGTCCGACGCTGCCTCGAGTCTTTCCAGTCATCGAGTAAGCGGCACGTAGCTCCTCTCGAACATTGCTTGACGGAGAAGGCTGATCTGAGGATTATCAGCCAGATGAGCTGGCCAGATTGAGCCACTCCAAGGAGATGTGATGGAAGGGGCGAGGCTGGGGATGCCTTGGTATTCTTCGCATCAGTCAGTCAATCAGTGGTGATGGAGCAGCTATCGTTGACTCAGGCTCACTATACGAGGCTTGGTGTTGTCTGTCAGGGCGTTATTGCAGCAAGGATAGAGATAGATTCCAAAAGCATCTTCAATGATACCAACAGACAATTGACAAAGTCGAAAAAACTATGTTCGAAGCTGATCCCCCTCTCGCTGCGGCCTGGGTTGTATCCCTGGACCTATCCTAACCATCGACTGCTCGCCCAACCTAGCTCGCTACATCCAGTACACCTAGAGAGGCATCTAAAGGAGGCAGTAAACGCCTGAGAATCGACGTGAAGATGGACCAGCAAACATGGAGTGATTGCCAGCGATGGGTCGATGCGCAGGATCGAAGATGCCCACGACGCTTGAATCTCCATCCCCACATGCGGCACCCACAACCACCCAACCAGACACCACGAGGCCCATGTTTCGGACTCGTCTGAAACTGCGTTGCATGCTGGCTTCTGGCTGCTGGCGCTCAATCCTCGACTTCACTGCCATCTCCCTGGGTGGCCCGGCTTTTGTATGCTTCCGTTGTCACTCGCTTAGTTCGTCCTTTTTCCCTTCAAACGATTCTTGCGGCAGTGCCTTCAACACCCAGCGCCCTCGGTCGGTCTCCGGGCCCGGTCTCAGTCCTCGACTTCTCGCGCCCAAACAAAAGCGACCGGCCGATACATGAAAGGTTGCAAAAATGTCGGGCATCCCTGAATTGGAAGACGCCCTGCGCAAGCTCGACGAAGAGCTCGAGGAAGGAGACATCACCCGCAAAGGCTATGAAAAGAGACGGACTCTCATTCTTTCGCAATACATCAGTTCCCCGCCGCCAGGTCTACACCCCCAACCCCAGTCACGAGGACTTCGCGTACACTCCCCTGACGATAGCGACCATCCTGCCTCCAATGAGGATTCCAGAGCCGCCTCGCTTGCTGCCCTCACCGGTCGACCGGTGGCCAGCCCCTCGAGGAATGGGACAATGACTGAGGGCCATCCCAGCACGAGCCGGCGAGCCTCTGTGCTCAGGGAAGAATACAATGATTCCAGGAGAAGCATCACCCCCCAAAGCCACATCCAAAGATTTCAAGAGAGGGAAACGGGAAGTCTACCACATGGTTCGATGTCGGGGTCCTCCTTTGACGGCCGGCGTGAAACTTTCCTGACTGCCAACGATCAATCCCGCACGGAGACGCTATTGAGCCAGAATTATGCCTTTAATCCTGACACCCAGCAAAATTATGGCGGCATAGACACTCGCAACTCTACTATGCTGGACTCGCAGCAGGGCTATTTCTCGGACTTTGCTGGTCAGCAACGAGAAGAACATCAGGAGAATTATGGCGGCAATGTACACAGATATTCACAGAGCGAGGTGACCTCGCCCACGGCGCAGGTCGCACCTCCATTTCTCGGTGCCGGAGAGCTTGCTGGAGGTGCAGCTATCCATCAGATGCCCTTGGAACCACGCGAAGTGCCTTTCGCCATCTGTGACCCACACGATTCGCATATCGAGATGTCCCGGTTTGAGAACATTGCCGCGGTCCTCCGACATCGAGCAAAGACCAACCCCAAGCAAGCGGCCTATTGGGTGTTGGACCAAAAGGGTAAAGAGCTCGTCTCAATCACCTGGGAGAAGTTATGCAGCCGTGCAGAAAAAGTGGCACAGGTCATTCGCGACAAAAGCAGTCTTTACAAGGGGGACCGAGTTGCGCTGATCTACATCGAGAATGAAATCATCGAATTTGCGGTGGCCCTGCTCGGCTGCTTCATCGCTGGCGTGGTGGCTGTACCGATCAACGACCTCAAAAATTATGCCAGATTGAACGTCGTTTTGACGTCTACGCAAGCACATCTGGCCTTGACTACGGAGGCGAACCTGAAGAATTTTCAGCGAGACATCACCGCCGCCAAGCTGAACTGGCCTCGAGGAGTGGAGTGGTGGAAGACCAACGAATTTGGCAGCTATCACCCGAAAAAGAAAGGAGAGGAAGCTCCCCTTGTGGTTCCGGATCTTGCATACATTGAATTTTCTATGGCCCCTACTGGCGACCTCCGCGGTGTCGTGATGAGCCACAAGACAATCATGCATCAAATGGCAACACTCAGTGCAATGATCACGTCGGCGACAAGCAATACCAAAGCCGACACCTTCAATCCTTCTTTGCGCGACAAGCAGGGACACTTAATCACCGGCTCGAGACGTGGCGAAACCATTCTGAGCTATCTCGATCCGAGACAGAGCATTGGGATGATCCTAGGGGTCTTGCTAAACGTCTATGGCGGGCACACGGTGATCTACATTGACCAACGGGCCATCGAGACACCTGGTCTCTACGCGAATCTCATCACGAAATACAAAACGACGTTGCTTGTAGCAGATTACCCCGGCTTAAAACGTGCCGTATACAACTACCAGGCCGATCCGATGACGACGAGGAATTTCAAGCGGAACTTCGAACCCAACTTTTCCAGTGTCAAGTTGTGCATGATTGATACATTGACCGTCGACGTCGAATTCCACGAACTACTGGCAGATCGTTGGCTCAAGCCACTTCGCAACCCTAGGGCGAGGGAAATCGTCGCCCCTATGCTCTGCTTGCCCGAACACGGCGGAATGGTGATCAGCATGCGAGACTGGCTGGGGGGAGAGGAACGGATGGGCTGCTCGTTGAGCCATGAGATGGACCGTGATCAAGAAGCAGAGGAGAAAAAGGAAGAGCAAAGCGCGATTGCCAAATCCAGCTTCGGTAGTAGCCTTATCGGTGGGGGAACTAAGCCTTCCAAAGAACGGTCGACCGAGGACTTGGGAGAAGTGCTCCTGGAAAAAGAGGCTCTGAAGACAAATGACATCGTGGTGCTGGCCATGGGCGCGGAAGCAAGGGCGAGAGCGACTTCACTTCCCCACGCTGTCCGATGCGGCGCCTTCGGATATCCCATCCCTGACGCCACGCTTGCAGTGGTCGATCCTGAGTCAGGTTTATTGTGCGCTCCAAACTCGATAGGCGAGATTTGGGTCGACTCTCCCTCGCTCTCTGGAGGCTTTTGGGCTCTTCCAAAGCATACCGAAACCATCTTCCATGCTCGACCATTTTGTTTCAAAGAAGGCAACCCCACGCCGACCGCCATCGACCCCGAATTCCTACGTACTGGTCTCCTTGGATGTGTCATAGAAGGCAAGATCTATGTGTTGGGACTGTATGAGGATCGCCTGAGACAACGGGTCGAGTGGGTCGAACACGGTCTGGCGGTGCAGGAACATCGCTACTTCTTTGTCCAGCATTTGATTCTCAGCATCATGAGAAATGTCCCCAAGATCCACGACTGCTCCGCGTTTGACTGTTTTGTGAACGATGAACATCTTCCCATAGTTCTTTTGGAATCTCCGTCGGCCTCAACGGCGCCATTATCCTCAGGTGGTCCACCACAACAGCTTGATATTGCATTGCTCGACTCTCTGGCGGAGAAAACAATGGACGTATTGTACCAAGAGCATCACCTCAGAGTCTACTGCGTCCTGATTACAGCGCCAGGGATTCTACCGCGGGTAACTAAGAACGGCCGGCGAGAAATTGGCAATATGCTCTGTCGCAAAGAATTCGACAACGGAGCACTCCCTTGTGTCCACGTCAAATTTGGTGTCGAGCGGGCTGTGAAAAATCTTCCTGTTGGGGAGGACATCAATGGCGGCATCTGGTCCGCAAACTCAAGTGCGGCACGGAGCGACCTTCTCTACGGCCAGGAAACCCAGTGGTCGGGTGTCGACCCTCGCGAGGTCGTTATCGATGACCGAACATCGACGGCTCTGAGTAATTTCACAAACATCTTCGACCTGATGCAGTGGCGGGTGGCGCGACAAGCAGACGAGCTCGCATACTGCACGATCGACGGCCGAGGGAAAGAAGGTAAGGGGCTGACGTGGAAGAAATTTGACCATAGGGTGGCAGCGGTTGCCTTATACCTACGAAACAAGGTCAAAGTGAAGCCCAGCGACCATCTTGTTTTGATGTACACTCACTCAGAAGACTACGTGTTTGCCATATACGCATGTATGGTTCTTGGAGCGATAGCTATTCCTGTTGCTCCTCTGGACGCCAACAGACTATCAGAAGATGCTCCAGCATTCCTTCACATCGTCGCAGATATGGGTGTGAAAGCTGTTCTGTGCAACACTGACGTCGACCACCTGTTCAAACAGAAAATCGTCTCGCAGCACCTCAAACAGTCTGCGCAGTACCTAAAAACGCATATTCCAAGCGTCTATAACACAGCGAAACCGGCGAAGCAGTCTCATGGTTGCCGAGAGCTTGGTTTGACGATAAATCGTTCTTGGATATCTCCGACAAATCCCGTGATTATATGGACATACTGGACGCCAGACCAGCGTCGAGTCTCGGTTCAGCTGGGCCACGACACCATTTTAGGCATGTGCAAGGTCCAGAAAGAGACGTGCCAAATGACAAGCTCGAAACCGGTGCTCGCCTGTGTGCGAAGCACGATAGGCATAGGGTTCCTCCATACGGTCCTGATGGGCGTGTACAACGGCAGTACCACTTATCTGATCTCGCCACTCGACTATGCGCAGAATCCTGCCTCACTGTTTATGGCCTTGTCCCGGTACAAAATCAAGGATACTTATGCAACCAGCCAAATGCTCGATTTTGCCATGGGGCATGTCGTTGGCAAAGGCTTTTCTCTGCACGAGTTGAAGAATCTCATGGTGACGACTGAATCGAGACCTCGCCTTGATTTATTCTCAAAGGCGAGGCTCCATTTTGCTCAGACAGGGCTCGAGAGAACCGCCATCAACACGATATATGCTCACGTCCTCAACCCCATGATCGCATCTCGCAGCTACATGTCGATTGAACCGATCGAACTCTGGCTTGATGTGCGCGCACTGAGACGAGGTCTCATTTATCCGGTCGACCCGGACACGGATCCGACGGCTCTGTGTGTTCAAGATTCGGGGATGGTACCAGTGTCTACTCGCATTGCCGTTGTCAACCCCGAAACCTGTCAACTATGCCATGTGGGGGAATTTGGCGAAATCTGGGTTCAATCAGAAGCATGCGCCAAATCATTTTACATGTCGAAACAGGCGTTTGATGAAGAACGGTTCAATGGACGCATCTTGGGCGGCGACCCAAACGCTACCTATGTCCGGACAGGGGATCTAGGATTCCTGCACAACGTCACCAGACCCATCGGACCGGGCGGGCAGCCCGTGGAAATGCAAATATTGTTCGTGTTGGGCAGTATCGGCGAGACGTTTGAAGTAAACGGCCTCAACCACTTTCCGATCGACATCGAGAGTACCATCGAGAAGTGTCATCGGAACATTACTCCTGGTGGGTGTGCTGTCTTTCAAGCCGGGGGCATGGTCGTTGTCCTGGTTGAAGTCTTCCGAAAATCATATCTGGCATCCATTGTGCCGGTCATTGTCAATGCTGTCCTTCACGAACATCAAATCATTGTCGACATTGTCGCATTTGTCGGCGACGGTGATTTTCCCCGAAGCAGACTGTCGGAGAAGCAGAGAGGCAAGATCTTAGCTTCCTGGGTGACGAGAAAATTACGCACCATTGCCCAGTTCGGCATTCGAGATGCAGACGGACCTGAGGGGCAGATGTCTTCAGTACCCGGTGAACGCAAAGCCCCTAGTATGGTGAGCAAAACTCTATCAGTGAATCAGCCAGACCAGCGGCGAGCCTCGGTCGCCTCGGAATCCAGGGGAAATGCTCAAGGAGACAGAATGTCGAACCGATCAAGCATCGTGCCAGAACTGCCTTTCACATTGCCGCCGAACCATTATCAGATTGACCCGACCGGCCTATATGACCCTGCTACCTCCGAAGGCGACCGGACCGGAGTATCGCTTAGCGACAAGCCTTATACACTTCCTGAAGGAGTAGTTGAGATGCCAACTAGTAATTTCGACGACATGGATGAGAAATCCAATCCGTACCTTACGGACGAGAAATTCTTCGATCCAAATGCCGATCCAGACCAGGAACTTGACGACTACACCCCTCAAGGTTCGCAACTTGACCTATCTCGAGGAGCACCGCCCAAGCTGTCTCTGGTCAACCCGAATGAGTACTCATTACACGGCAGTAACGACAATACCCCGACTTCGTACACCGCGACCGCCACCCCGACATCAGCAATCCCGAACGCATTGAAAACACCCGTAGAGCGAGGTGAAGACAGCCCCTACGAAGACCAGGGCAATCCATTCCGAAACTCCATCCCGGCGTCGGTGCCCAGCTTTGATTTCATCACCCATTCTTTCTCCCCATCCTCGGCTGCGACAAGAAATCCCGTCTCTGCGCGAGATCAGATGGCCGGGGCCAGCGCGGCATTCAACAACGTGACGTCTCCGACCCCAACCAGTCCAACTGCAACGGGTGGACGTGCGCTTCTTCCCAGCCAGCAAGCCCGATACCCCAACTACAGTGCGAATGCTAAGCCCCTGCCTATACGACAGTCGAGCGATAATTCGTACGAGATTAAAGATCTGCCGCAAGAGGCGTTGACATATGCTGCCTCGACACACAGCCGGAGGTCTGGGTCGTCGACGTACCAAGGCGATCAGAACCAGGATTCTAACTCACTACATCCTAGTGACGGACGGCAGAGCGTGGACATGCGTAGCTATCCGCCAAGCATCCGGAGGAGGTATGACGGGAGTGGGTATGATGGATTTGATTATTGAATGGCGTCTTAGCAGATGGTGCTAGCGGCTTGGACGACTTTAGCGATCTCTAATTTCTGTGATATAGTGTGGCTTGTGGGACTATTGGTTATAGGACAGCAAAAGTTGGCAAACCAAGGACGACCCGAAATGATAATGCAGCATGACAATTACCAGTATGCCAGGCGGTTCCCTAAGGCTTTGGAGCGTGCGACTACCTATGATGAGTGACATTGAGTCGTCGAGAGCGGCAAGTTGCCTGCCTTGCAGAGGTGTACACCTGGACCTAGGTTCCCAGGGGATATATTGATGGACCCGCGCAAGGCTGGCTTGGAGAAGAGGCCAAGAGGGGCACTCAGCCTCGTCGTCGTCGGTCGTTCTTCTCCTTTTTCCCCCGCATGTTCGCCGCTACTTCGATTGCCGCGGCCCTTTCGCCCAAAAAGAACCTTTGCAAGGGCGGGGAACTCGCTTGCAACAAGGAAGAACCCCCGCTTCTCCGAGCGAGCATCGGATGGGGGATTTTTGAGAGAGAGCCACGGGAGAGGAAGTGGAAACAAAGCAGGAGGAGGAGGAAGAAGAAGAGGAGAAGTCTCATGACGATTTCTATCGCGGCGACGACACTCACACATATATACGCTGATATTTCTACATCAATACGCATCACACAACATCCTTAAGCGAGAAGGCCCGTCACAGTGCAGCAGAACCATTGCATCAGTGTCTCGCAGCTCGACTCTCGGCTCTCAAGCTATTTTCTCTTCCCCCGCCCCTGCTTCACTTGCACTAGACCAAACCTTGGTCAAGTCGACTTGGTCTGCTGTCAAGCACTATTCAGCTGTCAGGAAACAAACCACCACCGTGATCAAAAGCCGAATCCAGAGAATCCGAGATAACCCTCATCAACATTGTCAATATGCCTCCAGCTACGATGCGTGCCGTTGTCCTGAAGGGCGACTTCCATGTAAGTAGGCATGATCAATGCTCCTCGGCTTGCTGCGCTCGATCGACCAAGTCCTTTAGAGGGGTTCCTAGTTTCTGCTTGTCATTCGTTCCCTCGGAACCTCAGACTTCCCCGTTATATCTGCTACCGCCCAAAAATGGTGTTCATACAAGCAACGAGAAGGCTGACTGGCTCTGATGTTCGACTTTGGCGTTGTAGGTCGAAGTGGAAGACAGACCCTACCCGAAGCTCCAAAAGCCCACCGACGCCGTGCTCAAGGTGACTTCGACTGCTCTCTGCGTAAGTCTCCTACATCTGCCGCTTCGCTTCGTCATTGCATTGTGCAATAATCCAACTCATCGAACCCTGCTGCTCTCTAGGGCTCGGACCTCCATTTCTACCGCGGACACTTGAAATGTCCACCAAACTTCGTCTGCGGCCACGAGTTTGTGGGCACCATTGCCGAGAAAGGTGACGCCGTCACCAACTTCCAGATTGGCGACAAGGTCGTTGTCCCCTTCTACACGGCCTGCCAGGAATGCTACTACTGCGTGCGCGGCCAGGCCAGTCGATGCAGCAAGGGCGAATTGTTCGGAAACTCGGTCCCCGCGAACACAGTCGATGGTGGGCAAGCCGAGTACGTGAGAGTGCCATTGGCGAATACCACCTTGGTCAAGGCTCCGTCTGGTGAGTGAGCACGCAACCCCAGCCGACGACAGCAGGGCCAGTTCTTCTTTAGCATTGCTCCTTCGAAAGGCCTCTCTTATTGACCTGTGGGCGTGGACCTGCATAGGAATTCCTGAGGAGATGCTCGTTCTCATGGCCGACATCTTCCCAACGGGCTACTTCGCGGCACAGCGCTTCTTGAAGAACCTCCCGCAGCGCGACCGCGACGAGTTCACCACGGTGGTCATCGGGTGTGGGCCCGTGGGCATCTGCGCCATCACCTGCGCGCTGACCATGGTCAAGACGGTCTACGCGATCGATTCGATCCCGGAGCGGCTGGCCGAGGCGGAGAAGATCGGAGCCATCCCGATCAACCTGAACGACAACCCGGTGGAGAAGATCAAGGCCGCGAGCGGCGGGCGCGGCGCCGACGTGGTGCTCGAGGTGGTGGGCCACGCCGACGCCTTCATGCTGGCCTTCGACCTGATCCGGCCGTTTGGCCAGATCTCGTCCATCGGCGTGCACACCGAGATGCTCCCGCTCAACGGCCTGCTGTGCTACGGCAAGAACGTCACCATGGCCTTTGGCCGCTGCCCCGTGCGCAGCATCTTCGAGGACGCCCTCGACATCCTGGTCAAGGAGCAGAAAAAGGTCGCCTTCCTCTGCGGCCGCACCATGTCCCTCGAGGACGCCCCACAGGCCTACAAGGACTTTGAGGCCCGCAAGGTCCACAAGATCGTCTTCAAGATGCCCGGCGAGAAGACTGGCCAGGATATCGCGGATAAGGTGTAAAACAGGAGGTTTTTGCCTTTCATTTCAGGCCGAGAGGATTTAGGCATATCGATGAACACCCCGTCGCCATGGCTGTCAACGTCCCCAGTGATGGGGCCCAGTAGTATGAGTGTGTTCTACGACTCGGAAGCTTGGGGAGAGTAACTAGGTAGCTAGTCAAAATCACTTCTCCTAACCTTTTCCGCCCTCACTTTCTTCCCCCCCTTTCCGTTTTCTCTGCAACTTGGTGCATTCGTTTGGAGGCCATTCTACACCGAGTCGATCTGTTTTCATAGATCCGTTCCTCAACGCGAAGGAGACAGCACAACCGGGTCATGGAGAGGACGCTCTCATATTGCCGCTGTAGGTGAGAGCTATGACTTTCACCAAGCCACACGAGGAGGTGTGGTATGGGCGTTGACAACCCTGGGGTTTCAATCCTGACTGCAGGAGGAATGAAGAGGCACGTCGGATACAATCACCACCGTGGCAATGTGATCTAGCGATCGTTTCAGCCTTCATGCAAGACGTCTCAGCCGGCCACCCTACGACTCAACTACATGTAACATGAAGCTACAGTTTGAGGTGGAGAGACACACCTGACAGCACACCATCTCGCACGGGGCAGAGAGTCCAGTTGCGCCAAAGAACAAATGGTGTAATGTTCACCAGAAGCTCTGGCACATCACATCTCCAGATAATCCTAGTATTCTGTTACGAGCCAGCTTTGACCAAGGCATCGGCACCTATGTGTTCCAGATACAATGTATGACCAGGCCTTGAGGAATGCACCTCTCACTTGACGTGAAGAAATCCAGACGCTAGGTATCACCATCATATTTCTATACTTGCCCACGTCTGGGATTTAGGGTGTCTTTGAGTACGACAGAAGTCTCTACCTTTCCTCCCAGAGGCGCAATGCCTGCCGAGATTATGGGCCGAAAGGTAAGGGCAGTCAATGCGATGACCATCACTGGCAACATTTGTACCCTTCATCCTCCCAAAAGACACAAGCCCATGACAAACCGTTATCCCTGACCTCCACCGTATACGACCTGATCGCGGTGAGGGAGGTCGGTGACCAACCAATGCCGGTGATTGCTCTCAGCAGATATAAAAGAACGACAGGCCCGCATCTGGACGCAACAAAGTATCCCTCTTTGCGTCGCAGAAGACAACACCTTGTATATCGGCCACCACTTTAGATCGTACATGCTCACACATCGACAAGTTGCGGCACATACGTGCTAAATACCATCCCCTCTGGTACATGCTTCCACTCCTTGGTCTTGGGATCCAAAAAGTTGGCCTCGGTGTCGGCCCACTCTCTGCGCATGAGGTCCGCCCTCTCCTTCGACCGGGGCTTGATGACGACCTGGAAGGGCGCTGGCGTGATGGCGGCACCTCCCCTCAGGTCGTCGATGTCCGGGGTGATGGGCTGGCCGTTCTCATCTCGAGGCAGCGAGAAGTCGAACCCCCACAACATGCGCGACACCCCGAGAAGGAGAGAGCGCTCCGCAATGTGCATCCCCTGGCACAGACGCCGTCCGGCACCGAAAACAAAATTGTGCCGTTTGCCGACGTCGGAGCTCTTGGCGGATTCGAACTCGCTGTCGAGGTGGTTCAAGTGGCGCGTCGGATCGAAGACTCGAGGGTTGGGAGTCCGTTTGGGATCCTGCGTGATGTACCTGGTCATCTCAGCGTTAGCGACCCCCTGAACCGTCGGCCATGCCTTTTTTGTTCTTTGGCAGAGAGAGAAAAAGGCCAAATTCAGTCAGTTTCCATACCAGACGTTAGGAATCACAGACGCCCCGGCTGGGATTCTGTAGCCCATGTATTGGTCGTCTACCGTGGTCGCATGAGGCGCTGCATAGACAGTAGTCGGCATCCACCGGAAGCTCTCCTTGGCGCAGGCGTGGACGTAGGGCAGATCAGGCACATCGTCCATCGTTGGCAGTCGGTCCAGCCCAACCACTTCGTCGAGTTCCTTTTGTGCTCGCTTCTGGACGTCAGGAAACATCATCATGGCCAGGATAAATCCTTGGAGGGTCGCGGCTGTCGTGTCGAACCCGGCTTCAAGGAGGGATCCGGCGATATAGGCTGCCTGGTCGTCGTCAAACTTCTCGCGCTCTTGCGCTTTGAGGAGGTCGTTGCAGAAGCAAGGCTAGTTTGGCAACTCCGGGGTCAGTCTCACCCATGTTTGCTCGTTGGAGTCCCTTCCTCCAAAGGTCCAAGTCCACTTACTCTGCCTGTGCCGGTGAGGGCCCGGTCCTTTGCAGCGAGCCAGTGGCTGCGATACAGCTCCTTCTCCCTTGCGTGCAGCTTCACGGCATATTCGTAGTTGGGAGCCAAGAACCTGGGCAGTTTCCGCAGCAAAGGATACAGATCCAAGAGCTGGGCGCTCGCGCTTGACACCAACATGGTCCATTTCCGGAATCCCTGTTCGCACCCCAGCCCATGAGCTTTTCAACACACGCACTGGTGGAGCAGAATTGCTTACTGATACAGCTGCTGGAATTTGGGATCGTCGACGCTGGTGAACCGGAAGCCGTAGATGATTTGGGTCGTGAGAGCGTGCGTGAAGAGCTTGATGTGATTCTCGTAGTCGTCGGGCCGGTCGAGGAGGTTGACCAGCATGAATTTGTTCTCCAGGTCCTGATAGGGGATGTAGCTGGTGGCAGCCTTGATGTTGAGAATGCTGTGGACGACCGTGTGCATCATCCGCCACAGGGATCCGTAGGGCTTTGTTCTCGTGTGAGTGTGGGACCATTCAATCCAGAGAAGAGGGTCTGAGGATTACCATGGTCACCGTCCTCAACCCGCCGCTCGCAATATCATGCGCCATGTACATCTCCGGTCTCGATGAGTACATGGCGCTGCGCTTGTCCAGGAGATCCTTGACGGCCGCGTCCGTGTTCAGGACAATATAGGTCTTGGTGCCGAGGATGAGGGAATAGATCGGCCTAGGGCAGGAGATCTACATGTCAACCGTCCGCAAGCGGGAACCATTGTGGGTCGGAAAGGGTGTGATGCTTATTACCCATATTCTTCCGCCCATTTCTGGAATTGACGGTGGCCGTACTCCCCCACCCCCGAGATCTGGCGGCGTCTTAGTAACTTGGATCTGAGACCTATCTATGGGGGGGACATGTCACTCGCCTGATGAAGATTCCCGAGGATTGGGAGGGTCGGGGGACCCGGTGGGAGGTCTTTCGCTCGCTTGCCGACCCGGAGCAGAGGGCGGAGAACATAGACCATTGCCAGCAGGAAAGCCAGCGTGAGGACGCCGGCCTTGATCTGCGTGTTGTAGTCCTCCATCACGGCGTTCGTCTTGTCGATGACAGATCGCACTTGGGGCTCCTTCTCAAGGGAAAAAAGACCCATTACAGCTCACGTTGTAGGGCAGTGGCAACTTCAAGGGTTGGTAGTGGTAGGGAGTGGGCGGGATAATTCAGATAACTTGTATTTCTGCCGATGTGGAGGCAGCTTGCGTGCACTGTTTAAAGGAGCATTCCAAGACCCCAGATGATCAAGATCGAAGCCGAAGACTACTTCAGCAATGCTCGGGATTCGGACCGGTCCAATCTTGGGGTGGGAGGGCAAAGTGGCATTCATAATCCCTCCCCCCCGACCGAGACACCTCGACTGGGAAGCTCTGTATAGTTCCGAATGATGGAGTTTTCTCCGCTGTTGTGCAGATTGACAAGGGCTCGTTGCTGACTTGCAGCCAAATGATGTGCTAGCTGACAAAATTCCCAGATAAAACATCAAATGTGGTCGGATATAGAGGAAAGATATGTCAAGAGGCTGAGTATTGACCTGATCATCTCGGGATAGGAGCCCCGGAATGCCGAAATTTGAATCCTTGGTGTCAGAAAGGTGAGGAGAAGGTCGTTTGCTGTAGGTGACTTTATCGCCGGAAGGTCCAGGATTTGGTGATCGCTACAAGAGATTCATGATTGTGTTTTGGGCTTACAGCTCGAGCTGCTCTGGATGTGTACTGTGCAATTCTATGTTACTCGATCATGTGTCGTGTTGTGAGGTTTGCCCTTTGGTGTCGATAGCGTATCATTGTCATATCTTCTCCTATCTCGGCGGCCCGGTCTTTGGCGTGTTAGTATCTATGATCGTAGGGTGAAATACTATTGCGACACAAAGACACGTTCAGGCAGCCATGGCTGATAAACGTCAGGACAGATAGGGGGCTGAATCGAGCATGTAAGAGAGCTCCGAGATCTCATCTATCATCACTTCTCTTCCAGCCTCAGTTTCTCAAGCTCCTCAAAGTACTTGGAAACAGGATCTAGGTCCACATATTCTTCACCCCAATCACGTTGCCCTTCTCCACCTCCAAGACACAAACCATATGATTCTCATAGCTGAGCTTTCCGTCACTAGTCCCCAATGTGGCAAGATTTATCGCGCCGACTAATTGAGACAAAGAGCGGAAGATCTATCCTGATACCAGAATTTGAAGACTGAAGAATTGTGTAGCTTCACCTGCTTTCCACCTATTGGCCGAACGGATCCTAGAACACAGAGGTGCCGACTCTGATTTGCCGCATGGCTTGGTGTTTCCTCGGGCTGGGTGATGCTGAGTTTCGGGAAACGAATGATATTGTCCGAAAGTGGGAGATCCAGATGCCCGAAATGGATCTACCACATCTTAACAGGCCAACCTGCACAAGGCATTCATCCAACTTTCCGAGCATACATAATAGCTGGGGAGGAGTGAGATTGGTAAGCAAACCATGTGCACGACGTCTGAATGTTTTCGGACGAGAATCACCTGGTGGTACGTGACGACGATCTGTCGGAAGCAATGTCCCGTCACGCTTTCAGAAATTTCACCTGACCCAGCCCCTTATACATGACTCCCCGACTCTAATCTCTGTTGGAGGAGAAATGCAGAGGTAGGGATCCTGCAGCCTTGCTCTCGCAGCCCAGACGCAAGCGCGGACAATGGCCCGTCCACAAGCCCAGGCACCGCGACGGCCGCTTCTTGCGGGACCGTTGGCGGCCATTCCAACATTCTTCAAGGTCGACACGGAGGACGTTGATCACGACAGCATCGGGGTCCACGCAGTCAGATTGGTCAAGAACGGCATTGTTGGAATTGTAACCGTGGGCTCCAATGGCGAAGCGCCGCATCTCAGTCGCGAGGAGCGCAGCGCGGTCACTGAGACTACTCGCAAAGCACTGGACGGAGCAGGGTTCGGTCAGATTCCCATCATCGTGGGCGCTTCTGACGCCTCCGTTCGAGGCACACTCAGCCTGATCCGCGACGCCGCCAAAGCTGGGGCCGACTACGTCCTTGTCCTGCCACCGAGCTACTTTCGCGGCGCCATGACCGGTACCGTTATTGCAGACTTCTACGGCCGAGTGGCCGACTCTTCGTCGCTGCCCCTGCTGGTCTACAGTTTCCCGGCGGTCGTAGCAGGCATTGAGATGGACTCGGATCTGATTACCATGATCTCACGCCATCCCAATGTCGTGGGAACCAAGTTCACGTGTGGCGACACGGGCAAACTGGCCCGCGTCGCCCGTGCCATGGACGCCATGACTCCCCATGCCACCAATTCCGGGTACGTGTGCTATGGAGGGCTGGCAGACTTTGGCCTGATGGCTCTTGTCGCTGGAGGGTCGGGATTCATCGCCGGCGGAGCAAACATCTTTCCCAAGACTTGTGCGCAGCTGTGTGAGGCCTTCAAATCCAGAGATCTCCCAAAGGCCATGGAATTGCAGAGGCTGTTGTCGGCTGGCGATTGGCCGCATACGGCTGCTGGTGTTGCGGGCACCAAGGGAGTCCTCCAGAGGCTCCACGGCTATGGCGGTGTGCCCAGGCTGCCGCTACAGCCTTTGTCTGCTAGTCAGTTGAGTTCAATCATCAATCTCACGATGGAGGTGGTCAAAGTGGAAGACAACTTGGAGCCGCCACAGAGTCTCTGAGGGAGAGGACAGGACCAGAAACAGATGACTTATGGGTGCTTCTGAGAGAGGGCGTCTCTAGATCGAAGGGCCGTGGTATGGAATGGCTCGTGGCTTGAATCGATCTGCGAGTTCCGGCCCAAATGCTGTGGTGGAAATAGACATGAGTATCAACTTTAGTTTCTACTTTGCCTCCGCCCGTAGAACGTCCGTGCGTTCCGATACATGAACAGAGACGTTTCTGTAGTGACGTTTAACTACCATCGACGCTATTTGAGAGCTAGCTTTCGTTTCGGAGCAGCAGAGGAAGCCATTGACCATCATGAACAATTGGAAGGCCAGTCCCACTCTGAAGAATGAATCTATTATCACCTTTTTTTCGGTCACCATTTCCGCGCCACATCCGGCGCACTTCGCTCATTGAAAGGCAGTCGCCTCCAGAGCACAAAGACGTTTCTCTCCTCGCCTCGCACCTCGATGGGCTGCGGGAGCCCCAACACCAGATACCTGTTCCCATCACTCCGGTCTTCAAACTGGAACGTTCTCTCCTGCACGTCCGTCACCATGTACGGCAAGCTGGCGCACCGCATGTGGTGTTTGATGACGGGTTGTTCGTCGCTGTCGACGTCGATGTAGAATTCGCCCGTGTAGGCCACGTAGTTCCGTCCGACGTTGGCCCATTCGGCCTGCGCCGCGGCGGCTTCCTCAGCGCTGACGGCGCGGTCAAAGGGCTGTTCGCCGTCGAACGGCTTCTGGCCCGGAATGTGCAGCTGGGCCGACATGTACCCGTCTTCGGTGTAGAGGATCATTCCCCTGACGTGGGCGGTCATCGGGTAGAGCTTGCTTGACGGATCCGCCGCCAGTGGCAGGCTGTATTCAATCAGCTCCCAGCTTCCCGTCAGCTGGGACCGGATTTTCCTCGAAGCTTCCGAGGGCATCTTTGAGGCTGGGGTGGTTATAGAAGCTCCAGACGGTGAGAGGTAAAGGCAGAAGCGGTCTAAATGGCTTTGGGGTCCTTGGTACAGCCAGTGAGCTAGGCTGGTTGACTCCGTCAAAACAATGACTAGAGGCTCCGAGCTACACTTTGCTTATTATATCTTGTTGGGTTCACGTCGAGATCATCCCGAGACCGTCTTCTGTAACTCAGGCTTCATCACCCCCCTTTTCCTCCGGGAAACCCTCACTCACAGCCTCCGACGCCGTGGTCTCCGGACTCCGAGCACTTGGACCGGCGGGCCACATCTGTCTGTCATCACATTTCAGTCCGAAGAAGGGTTTCAGGTACACTAGAGACGGCGAACCAACTCCGGGCAATCCATGGAGCTAGATTCTTCCCAGTCGGCCTTATTTTGTCGGCGAGACAGCCCCTTTCGCTGGGATACATGGGCGCAAGACAACTAATCCTTTACCAGGTATAAAGCCAGCTTTAACTACCGAACCCAACAATACAGTGGCTATGGCAGTTTTATTCTCTCCAGCAACTTTTCCTCGCTGAAACGGTCGCTATCCGACTCACTGATATTCGGTCATTAATACAAAATGCAGAGTCCCGTCCATAAGTTTTCTGTAAAGGATCTTTACTCCTTCAGCTAGCCAGATTCTCCCTCGCGGCACCAAGCATCGCTCATACAAGGCTTCCGGAATAAGAGGCGGCGAGGGATATATGTATCAAAACTCCATCCTCTCCGAAGTCAGCCCGTCCTCCAGGATGGGTAAGTCGAAAGTCGGCATCTCGCCGGACAGAAAGTCGTCGCCCAGAGAACCGAAATCCGCGCCCTGCTGGGACGCAATGTCCTGCTCTACGACGGCGCGAGCAATGCTGGCGAACTCTCCAATCCTGGTCAATGCGAGGCGGCCTTGAGTTATGAACTCGAGCCGGCCGAAGGTCCCCGTCACGATCTCCATGATGGCGATGTCGCTGGCGGCGGTCGGAGCCGCGGGATTGGAGACGACGTTGATGAAAAGCGTCAAGACGCCCATGATGGGAAAGTACAAGATCAACCTGCGCAGAATCCACGCGTCAGTACGCAAGACTTCTCTGGGAGCGCCTGAGCTCGCGAAACGAGAGTTGAAATGCTAGGTGTGGGAAAGATGGCTTACCAAGTTGGTGTCTGAGGCTCGATCTTGAGCTGTTGGATCAGGAGGCACAGCGATCGCGCGGCGGCAACTCCGTCTTCTGCGATTTGTTTCAATTTCACGTCGTGTTCGGGGCTAATGTCGGCCACCATCTTCTCCAGGATGACGAATCCCGACACACGACACGCCCGGTGCAGGGAGAAAAGCGAGGTGTAGTACCAGCTGCGCAATATGACGTGCCGCGTCCACTCCAGCCCCGTCAGCGTGCCGGACACATTGGCGAGTTGGTCGATGTCGAGAGGATCCGCGCACACGCCGGCCGCGGCCCACCACTTGTTGAGGTCGTCGTACAGGGTGGCGATCTTGCCCACGATCTCCTTGGGATCGCGCGTCAGAGAGGTCGCGGAAAAGAGCTGTTTGGTTAGGCTGGCGCAGTGTCGGGAATATCTGGCAATGCTGAGGAATAGGTCACCCTTCTCCTCCACCACGTTGGGGCCGATGCTAGACTTCTCAAACACGTTCCGGGGGAAAGGGCAGGTGACATCGTCGTCATCAATCACCTAAATGAGGGAGTTTGGTAGTTAGAGACTCCTGTAATGATATTCCTAGTTTGAACGGACAGGGACAGGTGGGGTGGAAAAGATACCGAAGGACGCCCAGAGTGGTAGGCGAAAATCTGCTCGAAGGAATACAGTGACCAGTAGACTCGGTTCCTCTCCTCGACTTCGCCGGCCGTCAGGTTCCAGACTTTGAGCGGTGTTCTATGCATCCCTAGTCCTTGGGCTAGGCGGATGGCAATCGCGGAATAGATATACTCAGTCCTCCGTCCCGCAATACCTTGAGCGAAAATCGCCTGTGGTATCAAGCATACGTGGTTAGAGCAGCTGAACACGAAGCCTTGCGTGGTTAAGGTCGTTGGGAAAGATATCTACCATAAGGGCAAATGCCTGTTGAGCCCCCAGATGCACGTTAGTGGTGAAGTTATAATAAAGTGGTTCAGACCAAACACTTCTTACCTGAACAGTGTGCAGAGTCGTGCGCTGCTGCAGCATATCCTGCTGAACCGAGATCGCGTTTTCCATATACTTGGTTGCTGTCTCCTGCGCCTGTTTGAAGAGTAACGGGGAGCCCGTGCGGAGCTGCGATCGTACTCCGGTCGCCAGCACCATGTTGTAGACGGCGTACCATTGTGGACCCGCTCGGGAAGGATCTCTCCAGAACCTTTCACAGTCTTTCAAAAACACGTTCCTGTCCAGGATTGGCCAGATGCTGGAGACGAAGGTCAGAGCTCGGTGCCATAGGGCCTCATAGACCGTCAAGAACCGGGGCCTTGCTGGGCAGCAAGTCCTTCAGAGAGGTGGAACAAAGGATGCACATAGACTACAGTACCATTGATTTTGATCGAAATACACTGCCTTAGTTCAGTCACAGATCGGGAATGGCATGCACACTTGGAAGACTCACCTTGGACATATTGCCTCGCCGTCTCCTCAGGCGGGAGTGGTGTCCGGGCCAGTTTCACCTCCAGCGGGATCTCGTCACGGAAGTCAGAGTCCGGAAGCTTCAGCAAGGACATGACCGAAGACATCAGGTTCCGCAACGAGTCCAAGCTCTTGGAGTTGTCGACGGACTGGGAGATCCACTGCAGTCCCTGGTCTGTAAACAGCGCCATTGCGCAGGAGCTTCCTGTCAGGGAACACTTTTGAGTGTCTATGCAAGAATCCAACGCGGTTGGCGTTGCCTACCAATAAATTCTTGTCCATTCTGCTTGCCACACATAGATTTTGGTTAGCCGAGTAGGGAGATCTAAGGAATTTACTCACTTGGCCGGTGACCAAGAGCGAGCGCTGGTCCTCCAGGGCGTTGCTGGCTTCATCCACCCCCCAAAGGATCGAATCGACCGTCTTCCCTTGATGGCTGCATGCGCATGATGTAGTTGACTTGGGAAATTCCTGTAACACAGAAGTGGTCGTGACGCTGAACGGCGGGGCGCAGAGAGAAGGCCAGCCTAGCTCCGCTGAGCCGTGGTACAGAAGATTCTCATGGGCAGTGGAAGTGAGCGGGATTGTCTTTGGAGAGCTCTCCGACGTCCTTGGTTCGTACAGCCGTGCTTCAGGCTGGGGTGTCTGGCTTGTCTTCTGTTGGGTATTCCCCAGTAGACTTTCCAGGTGCCGGATGCGAGCCTCGAGCGCTTACCGGATGACTGGTCAGCCATGTGTAGAAAGGATGCTTGCTTGTGAAACCTGGGGAGCCGAAAGATGGCGTCGAGAGAGGACTCGTGAAAAAGGGAACTCACCTTCAGGGTCCCGAGTTTTGGACCTCCGTTTCACCCTTGGTGGATAGAAGCAGCGGATGTCATGGTCCTGGATAGATGTCAGCCTCCCTATCAGCTGCCGACCGGCCTGGATCCAAGAGTCCTCACACTACAGTACGAGCAGGTTGGCCTTGCATTATCACCTGCAAGACACGTTACCACAGCCGTCCAAGCGCTTCTATGAAATATTCCTGGTCCAGTCCGTTCAGTTCAAACTCACATTTGACCTTCTTCACGCGACAGTTGTCGCAAGCCATAGGTATTCGCCCACTCATTTGTCACTTTCCAAGGACTTGACATGGACCTGAGGGAAAGACCTCCAGTCGCGCGTACAATGGTTTTAAATCGACAGCTCCAACCTCCTAGAAACAGGAACCTGAGCTGTTCCCCGCTTTTTACAGAATCCGGGGGGCTTGTTGGTCTCGCTCCTCATGTTGAGCAACCGCCTGCCCAATCAAGATATTCCTGCACTCCAACCACTGTCTGGGGGCTTCAAGGCTTTCGTGGCCTGGATTGGCCACAAGCCTTGTCGGCCGACATTACACGTGACTCTCTCGTAGTAGTGTGGAACGGTGTGGTTGTATAGGTCTAAAGAGGGTTTCGGACCATGGAGCATTGCGGAGGCAATGTGCGGGAGTTCGGGGGGCGGTGGACGACTTTTCCGCAGGGAGGTGGATTTGCCCAGTTCTCCTAGACTGAGTAGCGCTGTGGCTATGATGATTGGACTGCTGCTGCCTGTTGCTTTGTCTTCCTGTGTCCCACAACTTGTTTGTCTTCAGAGTGCACCCTTCTCTTTATATAAGTGATCATGTGTATACAAGCTGAGTTGCCAGAGTCATGTGTTGAGATAGATGGATGGTTCCCGCAGCGCGAACACCATTGGAACGAGCTGGCGACGACAAGTAGATACCTAGGCGACAAAGCTATGAAGGCGTCGAACGGGCAAGATTGGGCATTTTCTCCGGTTCTAGATATGGTGTTGTTGTATCTCGACTAGGACTATCCAACCTCCTCTAAAGAGCGGAACAGGGCGGTATAGAATAGGATAAAGCGGATTCTGAGAGAGTCCATGCTGACGCCTAGCACTTCGGTCGTCGGAACACCCGTGGAATCTCCGCGTCCTCAATTCGGAGGTCAGCTAAGAAAAGATATGAGTTTTGGAAAGCTCGGAGTTGGGGATACGGAAATCGCCATAGCGAACTCAAGGACCAAAGCCCGTGGACACTGCGTAACGACGTCGCTGTTTATTCACGATGGAATGGGCTCAGAATGAGTGGAGCTGTGAGCATTGACGAATATCTAGAGAGTGACTTCTCGCGCAGGATCACGGATAGCCGCTGTCTATCGAAGACGCTCGGTCTAATCTCCCACAAATGGCAAGGCTGTGCTCGAATGCAGCTGGATATAACAAAAATCGGCGTAGGTTAGGTGAGACCCTTAGCGATACGCGAACTACCAGCAATCTACAACGGTAAGTAATCTGTTAAGGCATGTCATTTTCTACTTAAATCAGTCTCGCCTGCGTTTGCCGGGGGTCAGTGGGCGCCCTACTACTTAAATCATAGGGGCCTTCTTAAGCATTCAACCCGAGAAAGCACCGGGAGGTTCGTCAAAGTGTCCAGTAATACGGAGCCATGGCAGGTGCTTGGCTTTTGTCGGACGGACGACGTAAACTTGCTGGAATTAATTACTCGCTCCAGAACTTCCAATCTTCCTTCATCCCTCATTATTGCCAATGCTCTAACCATGAATGTCACAGTCACAACCTTGTACTCACAACCTGCTCCTCTGTAATTCGGCAAGCTGATATGACCCAATCGCTTCGTACATGGCCGTGACCCAGCGAAGACAATTCACCAGCTGTGACGCCTGCAGAAAGTCTCGAGTTGGCTGCGATGCGGCCACTTGCGATGGCCCATGCACAAATTGCGTGCGGCGCCACAAGGTTTGCAGCTCGAAGGTAAGTGTTGTAATCTGTGAGTTATCTTGAACTCAGCGTCTGACGCCTGTAGTGGATTGAGCAGAGCCGTGGTGGTCGGAGCAAGCGCCAGCATATGAAATCGAATGGTGCGGGAGTCCAACAACACGTTCATACAACGAGTGTTGCAACCTCAGACATTGCACATTCTGAGAATGCAGAAAGCGCGGCAGCCTCGCAAACTACAATCACCACTCTGTCGGAAGCCGATCCAGCAACTGCCATCAGTCGTCGGCAGCAGGCATTAACCTTGCATAATGTTCTATGGGACATATTCACAACTCTATTCGAGCCTCAGTTAGGCCTATGGATAGGGAATGATTGCAACCCTCTCAAAACTCTTGATACGGTACCTCATTTCCCCTCTCATAAATTTAGCAGAGCTGACAGATGCAGGCTCCGAAAACATTGGTGTCAAGGCTAATGGTAACCCTCGACAGCCTTACGCCTTCTCGCCCCGATGATTCAACGACACACATCACGGCTTTCCCTAACATGCTACTTGATGATGAAGATACAGAAGACCAGAATGCCATCATCAATCAGGCCCTAATCAGTGCAGTACACGCATTCTCTGCTCGATGGTTACCCGTCAGTCGATTCGGCAGGGGGAACGCCTCGGATGTCCGCGCATTGACCTTGGCGAAGGAATACTTTCTGGAGCGTATCTGGGAAAGAGCTCACAAGGACGTCCTCCGAGTGCTTACCCGACCAAGTTATCGTTCGATATTGGCTCTTTACCTCTTTGGAACTACTCCGGCATCGACCAAGAACAAACAACGATGCATCGCTGACCACTGTTTTGAGATGTCACTGCGCCAATACTTCCAACTCAGAGCCAGGTCGTCTACCATAGCAAGACAACATGGGAGAAGGAACGAGAACAATTCGCAACTGCAAGATACCTCGTCTACAGCGCAAGCTCACAAGGAATTGAAACATCTTGAAGACACAGCATACTGGTTTGGTGTTGTAATAGACGGATCTCGGTCTCTAACCAGGTGCCAGCCATCTGTCTTGCTTCCTGGACTTCAGGGTGAAGCGCAGGTGTGGAGTCCAATCAAAGACCAGACCGAGATGTTTCGCACCACTTACGGATCAATCCCGACCTCGAAGGCGCCTTTAACGGATGAAATAGTGATGACCATGATTCAACACGGAGCTGCTTGCAAGACGCTTTTTTGGAAATCAGTTTCTCGGATTCAGGATTATTTATTCTATCAAACTGTCGAATCGCCCTTAGAAGTTCTTGTGAACAGTGCAGCTGAAGAGATGGCCCGGTTCGAAGACGTCTTCGACCCTTTTTTCAATCAGTGTGCAAGGGATTGGATTCTTCTTTCGCAGAAGTCGCGATTGAGCTACTGTAAGACATGCTGCTGCACCTGAATTTTGTGCTGACTTCCTGCAAAGTCATTTTAGCCTTGCATTTCCACCTAGGGGTGCTCATCCTGGTCGATGTCCTTGAAACCCTACACGAGGTGGCAACGGAAACTTTCATCGATATTGGAGCCTGCAGGCTCTCATCTACTCGAGCTGTTGTCAATCTCACCAATCTCATGTTGCTGCAAGGCGACGCTGATGCTGGAGCCGAGGCAAGTAGCATCTTCCTCAAAGATCCGTATCCTGAGCACACCAGGAACGGAATTTCGAGGGCATCATATTCTGTGCTACATCTGTTCCGGGGCATGTCGTTGACGAAGCAAGTTGCGGAAATCATGGCCGCTCCATTGTTTGCCGCGCTAGGGATACTGAGTCAGGTATCATATACGGCAGAAGAGTCACTTCGGGGTCTTCGCAAGGCGTATTCCGATGCCGATTTGGCTGTGATGACAGGGGTTTCAACATATCTTGTAACTGCGCCGCCGGACCTTGATCTGTCTATCACACCTGAAATGTTCGAGGATGAAACAGTCAGAGAGCTCGACCTGGCAGAAGAAGATCCAAACTTGGTGGACAAGACTATCGGACGCCACGAAGCTCACGAAATCTCTTACGACTTCGACTGTTTTGACCTGGAAGGGATCGATTTCACATCCGTAATGCATGAATGGGCCTTTGAGGTATGTGAATCCAAGGTTAAGTATTTATTTACTCGATAACTCAAGAAACACAGGGCTGCTTTTCGAGTGGATGAAGTAACGAAATTGCGATCAAGTTTACGTTCATGATGAGGCTCCCACGTCCGTCATTGCTCGTTGTCAATGTCCGTGCTGTGGGAGAAGTCCTTCAACGCTGTATACGACTGATACTCCTCCAGCTTTCCCATGGCAACTTGATATGCATCGGATCCCAGAGTAACCCTCGACGGTGGGTTCTCCATCACGGCTAATTTGTATAACGCCTTGCCAGCTTTGACAGGATCACCAACCTGAGTGCCATGCCGTTTCCGCATCCTCTCCTTAGCGTCGAGATGGTCATAAGCTGCAAGTCGCAACTTTGGGAAGCTCATCGATGGCCCGGCCCAGTTCGTGCTATCGAATAGAGTCAGCTTCTTGTGCATTATATCGCAAAATGGATCCGCTCACCGGAAGCCTCCGGGCTCGACGATCATGAACCTGACGCCCCATTCTGGTTTCATTTCAGCAGCAACTGCTTCCGAAAATCCCTCCAGCGCCCATTTTGTCGCACAGTATACACTGAACGTGGGCATGCCCTTCAACCCCGCCATACTGGAGATCTGCTGGATCAACCCGCCGCTTGGCGTCTGTTCGCGCATCACCCGGACGGCTGTTCTCGTGACGTTGAGGCATCCAAAGAAATTCACCTCCATTTGCTGACGAATCTGCTCGTTGTCGAGCTCCTCCATGGGCCCGCAGAGGCCGAAGCCAGCGTTGTTGACCACGACGTCGATGCGGCCAAAAAAGGACACAGCCTGCTTGAAGGCGTTCTCGACGGAGGCCGGATCGGTGACGTCTAAGGGAACCGCTAAGAAGTTGTCCGACATGGAGTTGGCAAAGTTCAGCTGTGTCACGTCCCGGGAGGTTGCAACGACGTTATCGCCCTGGGAGAGGATCTCCTGGACCAAATTGTTGCCGAAACCGCTGGACGTGCCAGTCACTAGGAACGTCCGTGGTGCCATTTGTGTGTCGATCTTCAACACTAGAAATACTGATGAGTTGGAGCCGTGAGTTTGAGTGTGTAGCAGTGCCTTGGGATAATGGCTACATCCAATACTCACATACCCTTTCCAGATTTATATCAGGTGGTCGCGGAGGTAAGATCGGTCTTTGCTCGGTTCCGTCCCGCTCCCTGTCGGATTTCTTGGGTGGCATGGCGTACGCGATATCAGACAAACGCGCTCCATCGTATCATTTGCAGCTCGCGATCTACGACTTATGACGCAGGAGTTAAGGCTTGCGACAAGCGGACTTTACAACTTGAGTCTGCGCTCAAAATAGATCCGAGAAGTTTGATGCTGTCACCATACCGGCTGGCTGCTGTATCGTCATATCCCAATGGAGGCTGAACATTCAAAGAATCCCAAGGAGACTGATGCTCAAGCACCATACTCGAATATATCAGAAACCTATTGGCAAAGCTCCTGTTCTGCCACGTTGCTACAAATTAATGCCATCTCGGCTGATCCGAGCCTGGCATACAAGACCCGTTCTCGAAGCCGAACACAACCCCGTCGTCCGCACCATCAGTTTTCACCACCACGATTCTCCTCCAGTCAAGATACTGGGCGACTTCTCCTTCTTTGCCCCATCTGATAGAACCCGTGGTGAACCGCGCCGGATCGAAAAGTTGACCCTTTCCATCCCCGTTTGCAGTCCTGGTGGCTTCCAACGTCCTCGAGATCAACTCGAAAATGTCCATGTCATGCCTGGGCAGAAATTCCGGATACAACGCTCGTATGGCAGCCTGAGTCTCTTCACCTTGCAGACCCACAGATCGAAGATACCAGTTGTTGAACTGGTTGAGGGAGACGAAAACGTTGTAGGAACCTCCCGAAGTAGCCCTTTTCATCAGAGCTTGCATCACTGCTATTCCACCCACGAGTCCCGTTCTGGAGGAGAGAGAAGCTCCTTGTCACTAACTGTCGACTGAGGGAGGGTAAGTGTATGTGACTTACTGGTAATCGGAATTGGGAAGTAGTGGGACGACCGGCTCATCGAGCTCAAGGAACTTGCCCTGCTCCCACGCAGCTCCCGTCACCTATTGATCAAATCAGCAGTGCCAGCATGGTCGAGAGACATAAACGCCCTACACAGTCGGAAATCTGCTGGTATCCTGCGCGGCCACTCCATTCGCCGTTCCAGCCGTAGCAGTTCTCCCGGCAATAGACGATGCCTTTCCCTCTCCGCCGCGCCAACTCTTGCATCCACGCGCCACTAAAACCCAGCTTCTCGAGAACTCCGGGCCTATACCCATCCACGATGACGTCGGCGTCTTCCAGAAGGGCCGTGAAGCTAGCCTTCCCCTGGACGGTCTTCAAGTCGAGATTGGCGTCTCGCTTCCCGAGTTGACCGTCGTACAGGGCGAATCCCGCATCGGGCTTGGTGTCTGTGGAAATGCGCAGGACGTCCGCGCCCAGGAGGGCGAGAATTCGCGTTATGGTCGGTCCGGCGATCACTTTTGTAAGATCGAGGACTTTGATTCCAGCCAGTGGACCACGAGGACTTTCCTGGTTTGGCCACGCGACGGGCGGGAGGGACTCGTGTACAGCGTCTATAGTGTATAAAGGCTCCTTGATGTTTGACCGGCCATGCGGCGTTTCGGTGTATTCTTGCAAAGTGAGGCAGGTCACACCTGGCTGGCGCCATCGCTCATTAACTTCGATTTCGAGGGCGGCACTATCCCTTTCCGCAACCGCGGCTCTGTATACTTGCTTGGCCTTGTCACGGAACTGTGCTCCTTCCAAGTCGGGGCGGTTCTGCGCCAGGCCGAGCATATGGAGCACAGGCGTTGTGTCAAGGCTGCCATGAAGTTGGAAGTATCGGCCATTAGCGGTCTTATATCTTTGCAAGGTCAGCGTGATGTCCTTCGTGACTTGAGAGAATGCGTCTACATATTTGTCGCCATGGCCCTGTACGTTTCAGAGATTCGGCCCTTGTCAATATACTCCACCCTCTGCGCTGCTTCGCCCTGGCCACAGCCCTCGATCTCAAAGAGAGCTAATGACATCAACATGAGAGTAGCTGAGTGCACATCCACTTGGATACTCTTTGGCACCGGCACACTATAGCGCTCTTGCGAAATAGCACTGGCAAACAGGCCGATGCATGCCCAGAGTGCAGAGACGGATTCACTCATCTTCATGGGTGTAGGCATGAAAGGGCCGGCTTCCGGGGTGAACGTGACAGCTGATACGTTTCTGGACACCTGGGAGGGTATATCGAGGCTTGGGTTTTCGAGAAGATGTCTGACGAGTATCTGCTTCGCCTCCTTGGGGATTGAGCCGCACGGGTGGACATCGTGACGGAAGGTGTTGCCATTCATGGCGCCTCGAGCGAGTCTGCTCTGGTACGTTGGTGAGATGGTGATCGCTTCGGTAGACATGGCTCAAGCTGGGACTTCCAGATCATGCAAGAGGTCGAGCAGCAGTATGAACGCCATTTCTGCAGACGACTCTCGCCTCAATTTTATCGATTGCTGGCACCCACCTGCGTCGATCAACGGAGGCCAGTGGCCATCTCGGAATCGAGTAGGACCAGGTCTCTAGGCTGCTCAACAAGGAAGAGGGCATTGACCATGAACTCCCCGGGCCAGGGGCCACCCGTGAAGTCCAAAATGTTCGCTCCATAGGGTCGCTTTGAAATCCAGTCTGTAGTCCATCCAACTGCAGGATCGGGAAAACGAGAATGATGGTTGATGGCTTGCTGCTCAACCCCTGGACAGGAACCGATCACGTGGACGCTTCCGACGGCGCGAGCAACCTTCATGATTGTCAGCGGAAGCGATGTTCACTAAGTCCATGTTTCTCCATCACATTCAAATTCAATCGGCTAGTTTGCCATGCTTGCCCCTGATGCTCGCTTCCGAAAATACTCAGACCTCGACTATGTGAGTGGCAGAAGCGAAATCGTCCAAGCCGGCCAGAGAACTGGAACAGAGCTTTGGGCCTGGGCCATGGACTCTCTTTCCATGGCCATGCATGCTTCCCCAGCGCGGAGGAGGAATAGCTTCCCCAGATTCGCGCTTGTCGGAAGCAAAGGCACTTCCTGAGTTGGAAGTCCATATTATAAGTACGCCGGCATCTGCTGTCTCGCAGCTTCTTTGACTTACGTATCAATCGAGCAGGAGCCAGCTTTGTGACCTCTCGTCAAGCAGTTCAGTCATCGCCATGTGGCATCCAAACTTCCTTGGTGTTAAAAGCCTGCGGGGCGATGTGCTTGTCACAGCTTATATGGTTGTCTGCGGCATTGCGTTTATCATGTTCGGCTATGATCAAGCCGTGCTGGGGGCGCTGTCGGGCAATCCGTCATTCCTTGAACATATGGGTGTAATTGATTTCCACCTCACTAATTTACTACCCCGGCTGATTGGAGAACAGACCACCGATCCTCTCATTATCGGATGCATCATCGCCATATTCTCTATTGGCGCCATCGTTGGAAGCATTGTCACACTGGTCTTCGGCTACCGCCTCGGCCGGCGCTGGCTTATATGTAAGTGCAGAATATCGAAAGGAACATTGAAAGAGAGAAGGGTCCCTGCTCACATCATCCCATAGTTATTGGATGCTGCTTGCTCATAATTGGTGCAGCCCTACAAGCCGCATCATTCAGCCTGGGGCAGATGATTGCTGGCCGGGTGGTCGCTGGCATAGGCGTGGGCTTCATCAGCTGCACAATCCCTCTGTTGATCTCTGAGATTGCAAGGCCCAACAGGCGTGGCATTCTGATAGCTGCACTATTTACTCTCGCAGTGGTAAGCATTGTGTGCACACTTGAATGGACAGCTCGGTAATCCTGCGCAGATTGGCATCGTGATAGCCGACTGGATGATATTTGGGCTTCTCAAGCACACTACGAATCAGGAGCTCATATGGCGCTTTCCGGTCGCTTTCCAAGGCACCTTCGACATTTTCACTGCAGTACGTACCTAAATTGTCCTTGACAGGCTCCTCATGTGCCTGGAGATGTGCTAAGTGCGATACAGCTTACGATCTTCTTACTCCCCGAATCGCCCAGATGGTTGTATGCTCAAGGTTACGACAAGGAGGCCACCAACATATTGGCACGTGTGTACAACGCATCTGAACATTCGCAATTAGTGCAGGACACCTATGACGCTCTCAAAGCAGAGGTAGATGACGAGGAGAAACGCGAGGAAAAAGGCTTTGCTCTGTTTAAACAGTGCATCGGGGCAATGTTCTGGGATACGACCGATTTGAAGCTCGGAAGGCGGCTGCGCTTGTGCTTCTTCATTATGATGCTGCAGGAGATGAGTGGTCTCAACATCGTATGTCAATGTCTCCTGGAATGGCCCCACATATTGACGTTTTCAGATCGTGCCATATACGAATACCCTGTTCGGCATTGACCTGAAATTTGACGCTCTGACGTCTATTATGGTCGCGTCCATCATTCAAGTGGCGTGGGCCATATTCACTACTTGTGGAATGTTCACAATCGAGCGCTGGGGGCGAAGACCTACGCTCATGATTGGTACTGTGATATGCACTGTTGGGTAAGTCCTTCTGCACCCTTAGGGGAAGTGTGTGGCAAACTCACTTTTCTCAGTATGACGGGTTTCACCATTTCAATCTCCATCGGCACCAAAGCGGCCGGATGGGCTGGCATGGTGATGTTGATCGTCTTCTTCTTCGGTTTCGCCTTCGGCATGCTTCCAATGAGCTGGCTCTATCCGTCCGAAATCCTGCCACTGCACATGCGCCACGTCGGCCTCGGCGTGGCGGGCATCACGACCTGGCTCTTTACATTCTTGACGGTTTTTACGGGCCCGATATCGTTTGAGGCAACAGGGTACAAGATATTCATTCTCTACATCATCTTCAACGCCCTTGCTTTCCCATACGGTAAGTTTTTCCTCTATAAGAGCCCTCTAGAAGAGCAGGGACTATGCAGCGTGGTGTGGGCAAAATGCTGATTCCTTTACAGCGTATTTTCTGATGGAGGAGACGAAAGACAAGACGTTGGAGGAGATCAACCTCATGTTCAGCCCGATTGCTGCCGCCAGTATCCGTGCTGCACAGGTAGAAATTCCTGTTAGCGGCGAGAAGGAATTGGGAGGGCAAGTTATCGAGAAAGAGTAGCGGATCCGCTGCCTGACAGGTGTGTTGCGAGATGTTGGCAGTCAGCGTTGTTGAAGTCAGCTTGTAAGAGAGCTCTTCTCCCCTTCAGTTGACTGTAACAAACCACCCCTGAACAACTGCACGGCCTCCTTCTCCTCTCTTTACTCCCCAAATCACGAACACATTCCCGCCCTGATCGCTCCAGACATCACTAGCAAATGAATGAAGGCCTGCTCCTTCCTGCCATGTTGCCGTGCTCTTCTCTTTGCTGTCCTTCCCCTCTCTCTTCTCCATGTCGTCTTCGTCAACACCAACTTCAGTCTCAATCTCGCACCTTGCCCAACGGAACTTCCCCGAACTCCACAACTCCATCCCTCGACTTGCCACCGCGTCACGAATGGAGTCTTTCAAACTGGCTGCGGTGTTCTCCTTGGAAGGGATTTGGAAAGACCAAAAATCATTGAGCACGCCCGTCTTGAGTTCCCGGCCCATGAAATACAGCAGGTATTGCCTACCGGACCCGGTTGTTACGGGGAGGACATTGGCAGAGATGCGGGGAATGGGAAGGGATAATGCATCACCAGTGCCCGGGGTAGGTTTTGGACCTTCGGTTGCGCCATCCTGATGCGTGGCGTCTGTCCCGAACTCGATGACCTGCCATTTAACGGAATCGGCGCCCGAAAAGCGATCGCTATCTTCAACGTCCAGGAACATGACTCGTCCGAACCCGTCGCCCAGCCGCCATAGTCGGCCATCTATAAACGCCAATCTGCCTTCGTTGGCTACTTCAGAAGGTCCAGGCGCTGGGATATCCGGCAGTCGGGTCCACACGCGCGTCCCAATGTCGAGTGCCCATGTGTCTCTCAGCGGGCTTTGATCTTCGTCACTCAAGGCGCCGCCGTGGATGAAGATGGTGCCTTCGCCATGCGGTCTGATTCCTTCGCGAGGCCGGTTGGGTATTGGATGGGGAGACGAACATGCTGCATGATTTGTTCGAGGGGATGGCATGCCGTCGGCACAACGGGAGATATCGACCTTGAGGAGCTCATATGTGCTGGTCAAGGTATCGAAGACGACGAAGTGGTTGGCGAAGTCTTCGGCAGGCACATCTGATGTGGCGTTGCCGCCCCAGATGTATAGCTTATCGCCAACAGCAACTGTCGAGTGTCCTGTCCTCCTGAGAAGACATTGGGAGCGAGTGATGACTTCGGATTGAGCTGTCCCCGACTGTGGCGCAAGCGGGCGACCGGCGTCCTTGTACGTGGGGCTTATGACCTCGTAGTCGCAGGGCGATACATCACCTTCACCATCTGTAGAAGATGCAACCGGCAAGGTCAAGGCAAGGACGGCGTTGTCCCCTGGAGTCTGGTTCTTCTCAAGCCGCAGTGAAGCGGAAGAAAGGTTGGAGTCGGAATAGCCGCCAATTATATACGCCTTGCCCTTCACAATATTGAAGGTGTGCCCCGATCGAGCCAGTTGGTCACCAATTTCGACTGGCAAGGAGAGCTTGCGAAAGCCGAGATGTAATGGAGCAGTAGGTCGAGATACTGCGAACGCGCCTAGAGCCGCTCCCTCGAAGACCGTTTCCACGGCATATAAGCCTGCGGCGACTTCTGCCATATTTTTTAAGTGCTTGACAAGAATGGTATGTAGTGGACAGTCTGAACAAAGTCGACTGGGAAGCCCTCAATGTTTTGTCGTAGGTGCATCAGAGAGTGGCGATTTCTGAACCCCTTGGACCAATGTAACACATGATGTCACGACGCCAGCCTCGTTCAGCCTCACTCCACCACGCTAGTGCTGCGGTCGTTGAGATATATACCACACCGTGTAGGGACATGTTGCGCCTGAGACAGTTGCCGTTTTACGTGCGCTTCAGGCGTTACCTGATTGCGCCTAGTGCCAGGAGGTCTTGCGACATGGCAGGACTCAGGAGAGGTCTTCCTGGCACCTAGCATTTTGTATATAGACGATCAGACCTGGCCTGAGGGCAGGTACAGGCAGACAGACCAATCCATGACCTATTCACGATCCTGCCAATCCAACAGGACACAAGCAAAGCCATACTACTTTGAATCATCTTGAGATCAATCAATGAGTGACTAAGCTCTCTTATGACCTTATTCCGCCCTTGTCTGAGCACAGGGTGACCGAACGCAAGCCTCTTGAAGTATCAGACCCTCAACTACTTAGATCCACAGTGTTGGGACTTCTATCTGAGAAGCTATTTCTGAAGCCCAGGTGTGCGAAATATTACACTTGTCTTACAGCATGATGCCAGCGAACAAAAGACTGCTTCGGTGCAACTATGGGCAGTAGTGAGTAGAGAATGCCATTGATTTTGACCCATGAACTCGCTTATAGTCCAATAACGCGAGATCCTTGAAGCGTGTACTTAATTCGCTTCGACGATACGGTTTAATGCACCGGAAGTCCACGAGGGCCGATCTCGATCCGCTTCTTGATGGACGCGTGGTCCTCGCCGTCGTTCAGTCGTTTGATCAGGTCGCTGGGATCGAAATCGGTCCCGATCGGGTTCTCGTCGAACAGCGGCGACGCCATGAACGCACTCGACCCTTCTGAGGTGTCGAAGTTGTCGATCTGGATCTCGGTGCGGTTCCCGTCCGGGTCGTCGTAGTACATGCTCGTGGTGGGGCCGTGGTTGACGCACCAGACCGGTTCGATTCCGTTGGCCTTGCGCTGGAGGTAGGCGACCGCGAAGTCCTCCAGGTTGTTGTAGGTGAAGGCCATGTGGTGCAGGCCCGTCCGTTTCGGGTCCTTGGGAGCCAGGGCGGGAACCTGGATGATGGCGATGCGGTGGTGCTCTTCGTCGTAGGTGAGGAAGCTGGCGAATTCGTTCTCATAGCTCGCGTGGGCGTTCAGGAACTTCTTGTAGTGGTCCACCATCGGCTTGAGGTTGTTGGTCTGCAAGACGACGTGGGCGAAGTAGTTGGGCGACTTGACCGTCTTTCCCACGCTGGTGGGATCAATAACCATGATAGCAACGGTGTGTTTGGTTGCGGGCTGGTGGGTGGCGAAGAGGTAGAGTTACGAAATGAGCTGGGCGGCACTATTCAGGATTGTCAACCGAATATAGATATAGTTCTTCGACATTGTCGAGATCGCTTTCGAGTCGCATCCCCAGAGCCTGCTTTGGGACCCGCTCAGTATCCCGGGAGATGCGCTCTTCGGGGATTCGGAGTCGCGAAACCCCGGACGGATTCTATCACTCCAGCTTCGGGGAATCGTGGTGAAATGCATTCCAGGACCTCAACATAACAAGCTTAAGTGATATGCACAGCGGGAGATGAGCATAGTAGCTCCGGTGTGTGAGCAGCTAGGCCTTACAGGATTCCTAAGAGTTGATCTGGGTCGGGAAAAGCAAATTAGTACAAGATCTTCTAGTTTCTGGCCACCGTGCTGCCGTAGTCATTCCAAAAGGACAGCTAGACAACCACCTCAAAGAAACGCTTCTTCAGTCCTCGCAAATGGCTCGATTTGAGCGACTGGTGCGCTTCCGGGACCCCCAGGGACATGTTCAGCAGGGCGAAGCGGCCAAGATACCATGGGATTCGGAGCTGGTTGGGAAAGTAGTACCAATCTACAGTGGCACAGACCCTTGGGACGAAGACTTCCACTTGACCGAACAAACTGCAACAATATCTGAGGTGAATTCCAGCCTTCACCTGTGTCGTGAACGGGCCTCATGTTTCTGGCAGGTTTTGTCTCCTTTGGCTTCCGTGCCTATGATTGATGGCATTGGGCTCAACTATCGAGAACATGCGAAGGAAGGAAACGTATGTGGCAAGATCCCTAGAACAATGCCAGCTCAAGATCTGATTTCGAGACTAACACTAAGATCCACCCTAGATGCCCATTCCTCCGTATCCTGTCGTGTTTGTGAAGTATCCTGGTCTGCTCTGGCCCCTGCTGACAATCCTTTGCCCTGACTCTAATCCATACATCCAGACGCGCTTGCGGGACCCTTCGAAGATATTCCCATCCATAAAGACGCCACCCTCCTTGACTACGAGGGAGAGCTCTGTGTGGTGATTGAGAAGGATGTCAAAGGCCTGTCCCCTGACGATGACCCAATGGAGTACGTTCTGGGTTATACGGCTGGGAACGACGTGTCCTCTCGCTTTTGGCAACAGCCGAATCAAGGCGGTGGACAGCACGGCTACGCAAAGTCCTTTGATAAGTTCGCGCCGATAGGCCCTGTCCTGGTCTCACGGCGTGTCATCAAAGACCCTGGAAGTATGGTTCTCAAGACCTGGGTCAATGGTGATCTAAGACAAAACGGGAAGACGGACGACTTGATTTTCGATGTGCCGACGATAATCAGACACTTGGCTCGTGGGATGACCCTTCGAAAGGGCACAGTGATCATGACGGGGACGCCCAGTGGTGTAGGCATTGTCCGAAACCCTCCGGCTCCTCTTCAAGACGGCGATGTCGTTGAGATCGAGATCTCCGAGATCGGGAGGATAAAGAACAAAATGGTGTTCATCAAATAGATCGATGTGTCCGTGGTGTGAGCGAACGTTTTACACTTTGCTCTCGAAAACACATCCACTTATATAGCTGATAGTCCAGTAATTGGGTGACGATTGCACTCCTTGTTCCAAGAAATGAAGCATCACTCAGCGGGGTGGCTGTCGTGCAAAGCTGCTGTCGTGCAAAGCTGCTTTCGCCGTCACTGCCCTTATAAAACATTTAAAGAAGCGAGACGAACAAAACATTGAAAATCGAGATCAAACGCGGCATTCATTGCTAAGAGGACAACAGGGATCATTCTGTAACTGTCTATCTATCATTGAAACTGTCCCTTCTTGGCCAGTTTGTAATCCGGGTATTGCACGAAGAGCTCGTTCGTCCCTGAGTAAGGCTGGCGTTGCTTCTCCTTTTCTAGGTCCGTCTCCAAAGGCGGACCATTCTCCACGCTGCGAAGTCCAACTGCAACCTCTATGATGTACACAGCGTCGGCCTTGGTGCTGATTGAATCTCCTCTCCATGCAACGTGGCCATCCGGCCGCACGAGAACTAGGTCCTTCTGCCAGACTTTGCGCGCATGGTCTTCTCCTCGCAGCTCGAGGTGCTTGAGTGGGACCTTGTGTTCCTGTGCGCTCGCGATTAGGAACTTGGCGCCATAGTCGCCTTCGTCAGCGAAGTGGACAAGAGTGTAATGCTTGCCGTAGAGGTCGAATATGGCTGTCCCATCTCGCAGAAAGATATGAGGAGCTCGCAGTCCCGGCCAGGTCGACGGGACATACCTCCTGGGATCGAACTTTGGCTCCGTGGCAGGATCTTCGGGAATGATTACCTTGGAGTGGTAGAGGTATCCGAACTCAACCCCGACGTCGAGGTTCTCGCCGTCGTGGGTCTGATAGTGCTCGTGAATCTTCCTTCGGATCTCCTCGCCCTTCTCTGAGTCTTCGTCCAGGTGTTCGGGCCCGTTGTTCGCCAGCATCTCGTTCATCTTGAGATGCACGTTCAGGTGGTAGCCCGCGCGCTCGACACTCATCAGGGCGACTTCTCGTCTTTCCTGCTGATAGGAATCCAGGAGATGAATGCCTCCATAGCCGTGGATCGCCCCTTCCAGCTTGGTTGCGAGCGTAAAAGCATCTCCCAGCCCCATGTTCATCCCGTAACCCCCCGTGGGAATGTTCTGATGCGCGGCGTCTCCGGCGAGGAAAAGACGACGCTTCGGGCCCATGTATTGCGTCGCCACTACAAGGTTAGGTCGATAGGTGGAACGAACCAGTATTTTGTCGACGTCAATCCACACCGGCTCTCCATTGCCGCTCGAAATCCGGGAAATGGCTTCTTCTGGAGTCACATGGTCTGTATCCACGCCCACGGGATAGTGGGAATGGATGGTCCAGGTGTCGTTCTCGTCTTGGGATATGAAGGCCCCGATAAACCCATCTTTTGAAATGACATAATTATGCCAGAATACGCCGTGGCTATGCAGCGCCTTGGTGTCATTCGACGTAAAGTGCACGAGAATGGAGTACCCTGCCCTGTCCTGCGGTCAGTCTGCGTGTCATTATGCTCTCGGACACGAGTCTCCTATACTCACGAGGGTCCTCCCACGAGCGGAATCCCAAGCGCTCGACGGACTCTGCTGGATCCGCCGTCACATCCGACTCCATATTTGGCTTTGAATCTGTGCAGCTTTCCGTCCTTGTTTGTGGCGGTCGCTTCAATTCCTTCGTCGGTTTCTCGGGCGCTTTCCACCTTCCACCCGAAGCGGAGGTCAACCAAAGGATCCTTGTCGTTGATATCTCTCAGCCAGGCTTCGAAGATGATTTGTGATAGCCTCAGCCATGGCTCCAGAGGTTGTTCTCCGTCATTCTGCTCCCGTATTCTCTGTCGCCATTCGTCGACAGTGCCGAATTCCCACGCCGTCAGCAGTTTACCAGTGAGGCCAGTTGTGAAAGTACTGCGATATGGTATATTTGAAGGCACACCTACCGACAACACTGGTGTCAGATGTCTGATATTGCTTGGATGGTGCCACATGTACCTTGTTCACGGAGCGAGTCCACTAGTCCGAGCTTTCGAAAATACTCCATAGATCGAGGGTTCGTCAGATCCATCTTTGGCCATCTGTGCAAATTCAGTGCGGTGTCCTGGAAGTCGGGTATAACCCATTACTTTGTTGTTGTGTAGTTCCTTTCAAGAACGACGGACTTAATGCCGTAATAGGACAAAGTCGCAGCCAGTGTTAAGCCTACAGGGCCTCCGCCGGCAATGAAAACACAGTCGTCTGGGAGGACGTGTTCAAGTTCACCGTCAGATTCATTAAAACGAAAAGCCGCCGTCGAGTTCCCGTTAGTTTGCTTCGTCATCGTGCTGACTATCCAAAATGGATCCGGCAGGGATATGGAGGAGACTTCTTCAAGGACTACGTGAATGTGGAAGATTTTGCGCCTTTCTTTATGCAGACAGTTCTGCTTTTTCGCACACGCACAGTTTGCCGAAGGTAAGTCAACACACGAACAACAGCATCAAGCCCGAAGCAAAGTCGCACGGGATTCAACCACATCCACGATCCCGCAGTACGAGAGTTGCCACAACTTCGGGGCTTCGGGGACTGATCATGACTTCCGCCGTCCCACACACCCGAACATTCATTTGTATCTTGTGCGAACGAACTTGTATGCGGTGCAGGGAGCTTTGTCCACGCAGAAGAATAATAATGTAATGCTGGATGTATTCGGTTCGATCAGCAATGACGGGCCCGGAGCTTGCTCATAACTCGGGCTCATAGCGCACGAAATGGCTGTGCTTCGGGAAATCGAGAACAGCCCGAGAGTCAATCAATCTACCTGGTAAATGTGGGTTGAAGAGGGTTCATGATGTATTGTCCACTCTAAATGATCTATTATATTGTATTGATGGTGCCAAAGCTGGTCGCTCAGAATTGTTCTCTCTGTGGCACACGAGGCTCCCGTTTTTGTTCATCTTGACAGCAGCCGCGGAGACTCTTGAGAAAAGCCACATGGATCCTGCTACAGCGCACACTAGATGGCCAGATGTCGGAGAGGTGCCGCAGTGGTTGAAGAACTGGCTGGATAAGTACTTCAAGCTGGCAGACACTCAAGGGGACGAAGCGAGCCATCGAGAGTTCGCCGCACAATTTGCCGAGGATGGCGTCCAGCATGGCCTGGGCGCTCCGCTACGGGGCAAAGATGGTATGACTCTCCATGGCCTGAATATTTTTCAGAGAGAAACTGAGCAAAGGTCCTTGACTACAGCCATTGCCAAGAGCAGACCGGCTGGATGGAAACACATGGACCGGCGCAGGCATGAGGTGGTCCAAGTTTTCACAGCCCGAACAGACTACAGCGACGTCCTGATCCAGGGCAAGATTACGGCCACCTTCAAAAACAAACAAGAGGTGTCGGGGGAGTTCACGGCACAAATTCTATTTGATGATGGCTCTGCGGCTGAACCCAAGGCCCTACTATATAAGACCTGGGCGGTGAGCGTCAACCGGGTTGTCATTCTCAATTGGAAGTTGTCTTGCTAACATGCTGTCAGGATACCGCTCCATGGATAAAGGCAATGGAGGCCAACAAGTAGTTAGATCAGAGAGATAGTATCCAAATTAGTTTCCAGATATTCAGGTCCTCGTTTTTTACGTGCTATTGGCATGTTGCTGGAGTTCTCTCGATATACCATCATACACAGCGGCGAATCTGAACCTCTCCAAAATCCATTTCCGTTTCCACACATCCGCGACAGCCATGCGAGCGACACTATTGTGCATCATGACGATCCCTCGGGTCTATCGTACTCTCATGGCTGAGATCGACGATGCTCTGGCAAAGGGAGTCATTCCGTCTGGACCTACGGAGATTGTCACTGAAGTATAAGCGAAGGAGCTCCCGTACCTATAGGCTTACATCAAGGAAGTAGGCTACCCCCATTCTCTTTATCTTATGCTCTATGTTGACTCACGTTAGGGCCTAAGATGGTACCTAGCCGTAACCGGTGAGCTCTTAAAAGTGGTGAATTGCGCCTGCGACAAAATACTCACTGCGTACTTAAAACTCTCAGACTCCGCCCCAAGGAGACACGATCTGTGGTTATTTCGTACCCGGAGGTCTCAAGGTTGGGTAAGTCTGCTTGGACATCTTTCCCGAATCGTCTTATGACACTCCCATAAGTCCTCGACAAAAGCTGTTCGTCATAACGCCACTATCTTCGCGCCGGACCCTGAGTCCTTCCGCCCCGAGCGTTGGATTTCGGCATCCAAGCCAAACGGCCACGAAACCTCGGAGGAGAAACTGAAGAAATGGAACGCAACAACGACCTGATCCTTGGCTATGGCAAGTACCAGTGCCTGGGTAAACCGGTCGCCTTCATGGAGCTCAACAAGATCTTCGTCGAGTTTGTTGAGAAGATTCGAGTTCGAGGTCCGGGGTCCGCTGAATTTGTGGGATACGTGCTGCTGCTGGACGCATTTGCAGAAGGATACGTGGGCTATCGTGAGAATGCGCGAGGGAGCCTCAAGATAGGCATCTTCGACAACGCGTTGCGGCGATGGTACCCGTTGATAGTCTCTTCCGCTCCTATAGCGGGAATGTCAGCCATCCTTTTTGCTAACGACGATTCAATGACAAATAATCATTCGAACGAGGCAGCTTTCTACCAAAACGTCTAGACGCTACTTCACAGGAGATTACGTTCTGGATCAGGATAGTCCAGTTGCAGACCGTGCCTATCTCGTAGAGAACCTAGTGAGTCAACCCACGGTACAATCTCCATGCAAGGTCCGAGGTCAGACTTCACTAATGCACTGCGGTTCGTTTCTGCTCGCTGCATCAACCAAGCCCTGAGCAATAAGGATGTCGAACGTATCCAGACTGTGACAATGTATCTCGTACCAGAGCATGGCCCCAGCTCCACCCGCGGACCTTGTCAGCTCATATAAGCAGAACGAGCCTCTCAGACTGCTATCTCTGCAAGCACTCTCACCACTTGGGCATTGAAAGTCCTCTGAATTACCATGGCCGTCGTCGAGCTTGTCTCAGTGTCCCGGCGATCAATGCCGAATGCATCTCGACCTTTCAAGCAGACTTCAACGGCACTGCTATATTTTGCTCCGACTTCTGCTCGAAGCGAGGCTAAGAGGCGCAGCTCCGTATGCACCCACCGCTCCTGAATGTCCCTGGTAGCCCGCGGTGATTTGTTCACAATCTCTTCAATCTCCATCACGGCCACAATCGGCTTCCAGAACGCGATCTCGACCAGAATTAGACCAAGGCTGTAAATGTCAAAGGTCTTCCGAAACGGTAGCATAGGACCATCAAGCTGAGTGTCGGGATGACGATACACTTCCATGTGCCCGTCACGTGGCACTTCACTTGTGGCTTCACCGAATTGTGAGCGTCGTGAGTTGTTGAAGCCTATCAGATATGGAGATCGAATATCAAGGTCGTTGTCTGACGACGAAAACATGATGATATTCGACGCTCGTAAAGCTTTGTGCAGCCAGTTGACTACGTGGAAGTAGAGCAAGCATTGTGCGATCTTATAGGCCAACGTCACTCGGTGTGTGAGAGAGGGTTTTGGTGAGTGTTTCATGGCATGGAGTAGAGAAACTGGGATCGCTTTCGAGTCGACGCCGGGAGGGTTCTCGAAGACGAACGCGGGCAGAGGCTGTGCACCACCTTCCCTTAGCGGAGACCATCCTAAGCAAGGTGGAATGCAGAATTCATCCGGTTTCTGGGCATTGAGCAAGATTGTCAGCTCATCCATGAGGGCTGCAGGCCTCATAGAGCCCTCTGTCGGAATGTCCACGTCTTGCCAGTGGATCCAAACTTCCGTTTCTCTTCCTTCATTTGTCGTGTATGTCGCTCGCCGGTAGTTGGCGGACTCGGTCCCTGCTGGTTGGAAACTTATCCGGGAAGGATCAATCCTTGTCTTGCCAGGTTGAGATGTCTCACCCGCAAGTAGCGACATGTAGAGTGCCTTGAACGCCGCCAAATTATCAAGCTCCGCATCGGCCAAGCGCTGCCAGGTGTCGGACTGACTGTGGTTGAGTCTGGAGGCCTGGACAGCTTGTGTCAACTCGAGAATGTCGTCTAGTTTATTCCGCATCTGAACAAGCTCCATGGACCTGTGATGCTGTTGGTCTTGGAGCAAGCGGAGATCTTGAGTGTTCAGAAGCTCGCGCAGAAAATCGTTCAGTCGTGCGAGCCTTTTCAAGGCCTTCTCAAGCTCGCTTCTCCGGAAGAGACTCCAGTTCAAGCTGCGAAGCAAACTGAATTTGTCAGGTGGCTTTTGAGAAGCCACGAAAGCTTCATTGATCAGGTTGTTGAAGCTCTCACCCAGGTCATGGGGGATGGTCGGGTTCGCGTAATCGACCGACTGTATCCGTTGAGACTCGTTATTGTCTGAAAACTGCGAGAGTGCAAGCTGGATCTCGGCCAGGATTCTCAACAGAAGTGTTCCTTTTGCGAGAATCGCCGGCCTCACATTATTTTCTGTGGTTTCATCCGTGAGTCCAGCCGCCTCGACGAAATCTCGCAAGCGCGATTGTTCTATTTCGAACTGTAATAAGACACAGCTGAGTTCTTTCGAAGCTGCCAGGGCAGATGTGACGACACCGTAGCCTAGTCGTCGCAGCGGTTAGGCTGCGTCGTGTGGCGATCATTGCAAGGCCCATACCTTTTAAGCAGCCGTTGGATAACTGGATAGCCAGGGATGCTGCTCCGAGCACAGTGCCAGTGGCCATGGAGTTGTATCTCAAGGAGGTATTGGCCACAGCCCAATGTTAGCCTTAGCAGCACTGGCGCGCTCTGCCGACAAACGGAATGGAATTGTTTAGATCATCTGTGTGACTTACGACCTCCTTGTAAATATCAGTACACCTCACTTTCTCATAGAACCTAATGTCGTCTGCCCGACAAGCGCAGAATCACGAGATGCGAAGAATTCCCTGCCGGAACAACGAATGTACAAGTAGGTTCGGAGAGAGTTTGCCTGGCGCGGGAAAGGGGCAAGAAAATCTACCTTAGTAGTGGGCTACCTCAGATAAGCACACTTCTCAGGCTGTGGTCTTGGGCAGTATGGAGGAGGATGGCCCTCACTAGCCGACTGTTCGCCTACAGCAACCCCACCGATTATTAATGCCTCCAGCCTCACCTCACCAGACATACATACCTCTACCGAGTACCCTTTGGTGGACCCTTGGGTGTCATGCTCCAAGCCGTGACTTCGCCTTGGAGGATTGGCCCAAGCAAAAGTTGGAACCGAGCATTGCAGCAGCGATTCCGCCTAACTCACGGACTCTAATAGTCCTTTACTTCCAGCACTAAGTTAAACCAATTGCTAAAAGATCAAGCATTTCGAGATACACCCAGGAAGCGTAACTCTTCCTAAGCCTGGGATTGCGTCTGATTCTCCTGCATGACGTTGCTTGCATCCCTATTGCTGTTGCAAACCACAGGCACTTTTGCCAAGTGCCTTATCAGCCTCACTGAACGTCTCATGCGAGATGACGCGGCATCGGCGGCACAGTTGGGCGTCTAATATCCAAGTGCAGTCAGAGCAAAGCATCCAACAATGATGTAGCGATAGCGCCTGTGCGGTGTTCAAGCTAGCAGTCGATACCATGTATATCGATCACCGTAGAAATCAAAGTCGGGTGTTACGCGCCCAGGTATGTATCCCGGAGACATCGGCACACCCTCAACAGTAGATCTCAACGTTTCGCCCTTCCCATGTCGCGCCCCAATATGCCAGGGTTTGGTAGCGTCCACGCCTTCGCACCTCCAAGGCGGGCCCTCGTCTCCAATCACCAAACTAATATCTGTATCTAATTGGTGGCCCTCCATGACCGGACGTCGCACTGGAACGAAACCTCTCGCTGCCATCTGCGCCTCGAAAATCATCCTGTCCCACGCCATCTGCTGCTGCATTCTCATGACCATTTCCAGCCTCCTGGTTTGCTGAATCTGTGCCTGCATGGCGATAGCTGCCACCATTTCAAAAGGCAGTCCGTGCACGCGTGCATAATGACGCTCGCAGTATTGAAACGACATGCCGAGCATTGAGTTTGGGTTCCCAAAGGCAGCAATATAGGCAGGGTATTTGTGCAACCTTCCCTCATTGTCAGCTACGGCTTGTGAAAGAGGACTGAGAGAGAACTTTCCCTTTTTGGCAAGGCAGAAACAGCTGTAAAGGTAGGCGGCTATACGTTGACCAGATTTTCAGGGATTGCGATAGGTGGTATGAGAGGTCCAGGTGAGCGCGAAGGAGAAAAAATGCCTATCGCTTCTTGATCAGGCTGCAAGTCCGGGAAGAGGGGGACACCGTCCCTTTTAGGGGTTCCGAATGACTTCCATGATTCACCAGGAACTGTTGTTTGCCCCCATTGACGCCCGGGAGCCCTAAGTAGGTCACGACATTGCTGGTTTCAGTTTCGCGAGAACAGGTGAGGCTCACTGCATCCATGACAGGCTTCTGTTGCTTCGAGAAGAATTGACTCGCCTCCAGCGCTTCTTAATTTGGTCAAGTTTGCGACATGTAACAATATCGTACATATAAGGCGCAAGATGCGACTTGACCTTGGTCTCGACGGTTTGCAATTGTTGTCTACTTGATCACTCAGCCGCACAATACACACAAAACGAAGTTCACCTAAAACTCTCTCTTTGTAAGGCTGCAACCGGCTGTGTCCGAAGAGTCCTAACTTACGGGCGACAGCGTTTCGGACCCCACCCGAAAACAGGACGCGCACAGACGTGATATCTACGAGTATGTATGTCTCAGCCACGTATTCGTTCAGGGAGGCGCTTTCCAGTCGCCCAATTTCGCCCCCCAAAAAGGCCTAACGTGTTAAGTCTCGGAGCAAGACAATGAACCACCTGCTCTTGACACCATCACTGGATTTTTCGGGCTGGACGACACTCCCTGCTTCCCTGATGTCTTCGTGTGCATCACTTCTATTCTATCCAGAAGCATATACGAAGTAGATATTCCGGAGATCGACTTCACAGGTAAAATGAATCCCCGGTCTGCTGACGAGGGGCATTCTACGGCACTCAGCAACAGGGCTGTCGGAAAAAGCCCTTGCAACAATGACGAGCCTGACGATGGCACTCAGCCTCTCGAAATGCAGTCAATTCTTCGCGCTGTTCCTGCGGCGAATCCTGCCCCAGTTCAAGATGCATCCGGAACCCGACGTCAACGTGCTGTTCCCATTGCCAGCTTGTGCCCTGACAAAGATCTGATCATACGAGAGATGGAGGTCATGGGTTTTGAGCGCCATCTGATCATTCGAGCCCTCATTGCCGCTTTTTTCAATCCCGACCGAGCCGTAGAATACCTTCTCACCGGTATCCCTGAAAATCTTGACGTCGAGCATACGCGACACGCCCATCCTGCCCAGGACAATTTGAGATCGCCAATGCCACAGGATGTAAGGAGTGATCCATACACTTCGGATGAAAAAAGCGAGACAGGATGGACCGATGGGTTACCTCAAGTCGGAAAACCCGATACTCAAGAGATGTGTCTTGCGGGAGATAATGCCACTGCTAGCACCAACAAATCTCGCCCCAGATACCCCAATGCAACTGGTCGCACGAAGCTAGCTACCGGATCAGCACTACGTGAGGAGTGCGTCGATGGCACTTCCAGCCCTTCTACTAGATCATACAAGAATGACGTATACCCTCGTTCCCCAGATCGCCCAGATCGTCGGCCGCTGGAAACGGAAATTCAACGCTCCAGCAGTTCACGTGGCGATGACTTACATTCCAAGATGCAAAGTATAATACCGCTACATGACGACAACGCAAAATATCACCTACCGGACGCGGTCTTCGATCGTGTTTCGGAGGTACTCCGTCAGGCTGATCAAGAAGAATGGAGCTTGCGACCTCGGACGTTTGCGGTACTCTGGATGATGAAAGCAACGTGTTTTGTGAAGGAATTTGTTGAGTTGAACTGTTTCGACATTGCACTGCCATACACTAAAACCAACCTCCCTGGGAGCCTCACGGACAATCAGCGAGAGCTGTTTCTCAAGTACCAAAAATGCGTGCTCACGAAAGCAGTGAAACTAGAAGGGGGCCTGGCGTCAACGCATGCAAATTTCGCAGACAATGCCGACAGCCATTTACAGTTCCTCAGATCTCTAGGGAAAGGAGGATCCGGCTCTGTGGATTGTGTCAGGAGCAAGCTTTCGCGGAAAGTCTACGCACGAAAATGCCTGGAACGGAGCACCACGTTCGAGCAGAATGATAGAGCTTTGAAATTTTTCAAGAACGAGATAGACAGTCTCAAAAGACTCAAGCACCGTCATCTCGTACGCTATGTGGGTTCTTATACGGATCAGCTTCTTGTTGGCATCATCATGGAACCCGTTGCAGATTCAAATTTGACAGACTTCTTGAGCAAAGGGTCGTTTCTCCCTGGTGAAACGGACTGCATTCGTCAAGCATTCGGGTGCCTTTGTTCAGCTATTGTTTATCTAAACCTCCAAAAATGTCGCCACAAAGACATCAAACCAGACAACATCCTTATCAAGCAAAGGAGGGTTTATATCACAGATTTTGGCCTGGCAAGAGACTGGACATTGGGTAAAAGCACCACAACGGGACATGAGATCGGTCCAATTAGCAGGAAATACGCGGCCCCCGAAGTTCTATCGCGCGACCCCAGAGGCTCATCAGCTGACATATGGTCCTTGGGATGCGTGTATCTGGACATGATAGTGAGTTAATCTGACCATTTTGGTTGTCGAAGTTGTTCTAACAGTGCACAGACTGTTCTGAAAGGCGAGACTCTGTCGTCAAAGGAAATCCATTTTAAAACCAACGGCAGTTTGGGGGACTCTCCGAGTGTGAATTACGAAGCTTTCACAAGCTGGGTGCGAAAGTTGGAGTCCACGCCAAATAATGCGCCTTTGGAATGGATCAAGAAAATGATGGTGATCGACCGCAAGAAACGACTCAGCCCACCAGAGCTCATGTCTCGAATATGGAATTCGAATGACGACAGAGATTATTTCGGGCTCTGCTGCGATGGAAATGAGGAAATTGACATGCCCTCTGAGCTTAGGCAAGAAGACTTCCCGGACTCTGCAAGCAGCGACGGTTCGACTACATTCAAATCCATTGACTGTTCATTAGAGCTAATAAACGGGTGCTACAGACTTGTCCGACGACGGAGAATCTGCGAGGATGATTCCAGATCCGGCTATTCTGGAGAAAAGACTCGTTGAAGCAGCAAAACTCCAGGATATGACAACCTTGAAGAGATGGCTTCGTCGTGCCACTCGCCTGCATCGTCGCCGTTTGAACACCCAGGCAATCCATATTGCCGCTAGAATTGGAAACCAGGAGATGGTAGACACTTTGATTCAATCAGGCTGCAGTCTCGATTTCTTGGACAAACATGGGTACTCTCCCCTTTCAACGGCCGTTTGGAACTGTTGTGAAGGCGTGACTGAAAGGCTTGCAAGAACCCAAATCGCTCTCGACAAGCGGTCAATCCCAGATCTACGTGCCCCTCTGCACCTTGCAGCTATGAAGATGTTCCATCCTGGAATGAGGGCGTTACTCAGAGCGGGTGCTTTCGTGGATGTTCGGAACCGGGGACAAGTCACGCCTCTGCATATTGCCACTGCCAAAGGAGACTTCCTTGGTGTGCAGTTGTTACTCCAACACGGCGCTTCAGTATCTGCAGGAGATAGATCTGGAAAGACTCCCTTATGCCTGGCTGCAAAACATGGCTCTGGGAGAATGGTGCAATTGTTAATTGACCATGGAGCTGACGTCAATGCACCGACGACAGATCGAATCCCTCATACAGCACTAAACGAGGCCGTATTTTGCAACAAGTCCGACATAGTACGAATATTGCTTGAACGAGGTGCTGATATCAACCTTCAGCTAAGGGACAAGGCACGGCTTTTACCTGGCGCGTTACACATTGCGGCCGGTAACGATCTCTTGGAAATGCTTGAAATTCTGCTCAGCTTTCATCCTGATCTAGAATTACGAGATCCGGGTGGTTTAACACCGCTGTTAATAGCGACCATGGGTTCAAATACGAGAATCGTGTATCGACTTTTGGAGGCTGGTGCTGATGTCGAGGCTAAAGTCAACAATGACACCACTCCACTGGCCATATCGATAGCGAGGAGGAATTTCGACCTTGCCCAAACTCTTGTCAATTTCGGCGCAAACATAGGACCCTACAACGGACGAAACGAAACACCATTGCACCATGCAGCCGCTAGAAAGGACTTGGAGCTAATGAAATTCCTGCTGAAAAATCACGCCGGGGCGAACAATCAAGATGTCGAGGGCATCACTCCGTTGATGTTAGCAGCAGCGAAAAATCATCCGGCAAGCTTGGAGATTCTTCTGAAGCACGGCGCCTCTGTTGATACACAGAATCTAAATCGGGCCACTGCTCTGTTTGCAGCACTGGCTACCGGATGTCTCGAGGCGGCTTCGTTCCTGGTCAGTCATGGAGCAGACCCATTGATCCCTTCCGAACGTGGAGAAACGCCGCTGTCTCTTGCCAAACGGTACGGTTACACGGATATCCACAGCACTATGATGAGAAATCTTGAAGCTGTCGGACGAGTGATATATGATCCACGATGGCCACAGCTGCCACTGTGTCTAAGTTTGGAATGCTTGAAATACGGGTACGAGGTTGTAGACATTCGGGGCGAAGCATTTATACACATCCTCTCGGGAAATCCACCACCCCATGCCCGTATTCCCGAACGCACGACACCGGGCTCCAGGGAGAGTATATCACCGCGAGACCTGGGTGCGCCCAGTCGCGAGGGATCTGCCATGCCTACAAAGGTATGCACGGAGGCTAGGAAGTCGCCCCCAGATCATTTATTGGAACCTTCAGAACCAGAATGGTATTCCACCCATGTAATTTCATCCTCAAGCGCCAACTTGCGATCTTCATCACCAGACAGGAGCCGCTCTTCCGCCGATTCCAATCGAGCTGTTTGTGGCTGGGAAACAGTTTGCTACAACCCTGAATGTCATTTGGATTGCAGTGGCAGGGGTGTAGGCGAGGGACAAGTGCGGCGACTGCCGCCAGAGACGGGAAGGCTTCCATGACATGATCTTGTTCAGCCGCACTCTTTACCCTTGCATCTCCAACATGTTTTCCGTTCACGGTCCTAAACGGGTGCTAAGGCTAGAGGTATATTCGTCGCTGAATCCGATTGCACGGCACTTGAACTGAACTGAACCTGTGATGTCCAGCGGGGATATTTGGTCCATCGCTTGGATAGTTCACAACCGTGCTTTGGATTTTGATAAAGGCCTTTGAAGTGCGTTTTATGATCGTTGTGAACGCTATATCTGGCTACATCGCATTTTCGACCCCTGTCTTACCTCATCAAAAGCTGCCCAATGCGCTCTTTCTCTTCCCATAGGGATACACGACCAACGCGCTAAGGTACAACCCCACGCTGATACCAATGGCAACCTGGACCATACTGTAGCCGACGGTGAAGATTGTCCCACCGTCGCCATTGCTCGAATCATTTTGAGCGCTCGCGGTGCTGTTCCCGGAAATCTGATTGGCAGAGACAACGCCTGCGACCAGCGATCCAGAGGACGCCAGACCCCCGGGAACTTGGCAGTAGATGGCAGGAAGCATGGCAGTTGCCGCCAGGCCGTGGAAAAGACGCGAGTAGAGGTTGGAGATACAGCCGATGACGAAAGCGCCGATGGCGTTTGCAACTTGCGGGTTGCTGGAAAGCTGGGTGGAGATCCAAAAGTTGGCTTGGTGGCCACAGACAGCAATGAGAGCCATCACGGGCAACTGCCGCCATCTGGCTTGATAGATCAGACCCACACAACATGCAAACAGCGGGGCCCAGATGAAGCGTGTATGTATCAACTTCCAGTTCATGTCCGCCGCGAACCAGGGCGGGATGTCGCAGGTGGTAGAGGAAACGGCGTCACGCTTGATCAGCCCGAAGACGGTGGTGCCAATGAGCAGGCCAAATGCGAGAAATAGAACATAGACAATCACGTAAACCATACGCACCGAGCCGGAGATCAGATTCCGGCTTTGCAGTTCGAGGGCCGAATTCAGCATCATGAATCCCGGGAGGATCATGGCGATGGTACTCTGCGCCACCCCTGAGAAGCAGAAGATGTACTCTCCGTTCGAGTATTTGATCGAACCCAGCGCTCGGGCAATGAACGCCGCGAACACACACGCGAAGACCTCGAACACATTGCCGAAGTGTTCGGACCGTGGCACGATCTTGACCTGCATGAATCCAATTGCGCAGCCGAGAAGGAAGATAGGTCCAAAGTCGATAGGGCGGGTCTGGAAGGAAAACGGCCCGACCACAACTGAAGCCACGCCGAACATCAAGATGCGAAAGAGTTCCGAGTAATTATCCGGTCGTCTCCGAATGTTGTCGATCTCTCGAATGCCGTCTTCGGCGGTGAGTTTGTCGTGAATGACGCACTTGTACACATTGAAGACGTCCTTTAGGCGAGCGAAATCAAGGCCAGCGCGCTTTCGGACGATGTCGACATTGTTGGCGTGGATGGTGCGGTCGGCAAATGTGCAGAACATGGCACCAGGGATGTGAAGGAAGTCGGCGTCAATGAGCAATGCGCGAGCAGAGGCACTGAGGTATTCTTCCATGCGATGGGTGGGAGCGCCGTATTCCATGAAGGCACCGCACAGCTTAATCAGATAGTCCCTCCGGGCGATGATATCGGCAACCTCGGTGATGAGGCCGACGTGATTTTCAAGAGTGCTTGTGCTGTACGCGCCGCTATACCGGTCATGATGGTGTTTGCCGTGTGTGATGATGTCGACGGCGGTGGAGATCATGTCGGCGGACTTGGGGCGCATGGGCCGAGGGCGTGGGATGGCGCCCATTCCTGCCACGCTGGGACCGGTGGATGAAAGAGCTGCCTGCATCAAGGCCGCGGCAGTTGGGTTGCTCTGTTCAGGCTTCTCGTACCATTTGACCTTCTTGGAAGGTGTCGCTGCCCCAGAACTTGGGAGTGACGTCGTGAGTGACTGAGAGTGATGGTGGCTTTTCAGATCATGTTTGGTCTGTCCACCTAAGCGGCTATGTGCTTTGCTTTGGCTGTTAGACCAGTCTTGCTGTATGTGATTAAGCTTGTAAGCAAGGAGTGCCCCAAAGAGGCCTGGTTTGTATTGCTCAGGTGCTGGTACGTAATCAACATCGTATAGGTGTTGGTCAACCGAAGGTTCTTCTCCATCAAGGCTGTGGTGGTCAGTTTTGAATAACTGCGGGAAGGGTACGAACTTACTTTTTGCCCCTATGATACCTTGAATCCTGACGTAGGAAGGTATGTACCGTTTCTGCCGCAGCTTGCGTATAGACGCGCGATAGAGCTTCTCCATCTTCGCTGCCCTCCTGGGGGTGTTCGTGCGCATTATCAGCGCCGGACGGTTTCTCCTGACTGGCCAAAGAACCCTCCTCGAATTTGGTATAGAAAGACGTTGAAGGTTTGAGATTGGACAAGCTGAAAGATCGACCTTGCTCCTTCTGCTTTACCCAATCGATGAGTTTCGACCAAGCAGACTTTGGTCGCTGCTGTTGAGATGCTTCGTCCGCGGCATTGTTCTCTGACGAAAACCTTGAGCTTGGATACCTGCCGCCTTCACCTCCAAGATCTCCGGCACCAATGATTTGCCGGGAATCAGTGCCGCTCGACCTGTGATTGTCGTTTGCCCACGAGCTAGAAGCGTTGCGGTCATAGTTTAGTCCTGCTTCTGGCCGATCTAAGTCAAGATTGATGTGCTGCTCTTCATCCAAGTTGCTAACTCCAGTTTCCATAGGTCGGTTGATATGGCGTCAAGAACAAGATGGTACAGAGCGTCGAATCAAGGGCACTATTTTGTACTGTATATAATAGTCAAAACTTTGCCACAGAACTGGGGACCTTAGGAATAGTACCAAGTCTGGTGGCAAGTGCTTAGCGAGTTGAGTCGTCTAAGCGACGGGACAGTGGCTGTTGCCCAGGATTAAAATAGTCTCTCGAAGATCTGTCTGTGGAGCTTGACTTCCGTGGCCGACGCCACGGAGTCTCCAGATCGAACACAATCTGGAGCATTACTGAAAGGAGCTTGGTATTGGCGTGGTTAGAGAGAGAAGTTTCAGAGTCAGTAGCATCGATGGAGTTTTGATGTGGTAATATCAAACGTTCACTTTGGGCTTTTGTCTCACTGAAAATTCTTCTTCCGCCCTATGTCACCCCTTTGGGCAATCCCTTACGTTTGGTGCTTCCAAATGGAGGAAAAAAGTCCATCAGGTTCTCCGCAGTGTCCGTGTCACATGACTCGACCCGCTCTGGAGCAGCATATCCGCGCAATCAGCCCCTTTTTTTTCTCTCTACAGCCTTGTGCGGATGAGAATTGAAGGACGCGGCTGTGAGCAAATGAGTTATTTAGGCCCGAAATCGCCTCTACTCCACCAACGTCATAACAGGACCTTTGCATTCGTCAGGTGTAGTTGGCGTACCAATGCAGACTCCGATATTGCTACCAACCTCAGGATCCTTTTCGACTGACTGGGGATGAACATTTTCTTGGCGGTCCTTGATTCTGTAGATTTGGCGAGGCACATGGTTCGTCAGATACTGGTCATAATCCCTCATGCAGAAGCACGATATGAGTCCGACACATCCGAAGGCAATCGCGGCATAGTAGACATAGGAGTAAGCGGCAGTATATGCGACGATAAGAGCAGCCTCAACGGCTTCGTTGATTGAGACTGTCACGCCCGGTACCTTGCTCAGCGTACCGGGAGTGCCGCCAGCAGCAATTGTCTCCAGAAGTAGAGCAACAGAGGAATCCGGCAAGCCGGCTTTGATCGCGGCGTCTGGGACATACTTAATGGTCTCCGATGTAATCTTGCTGGAAAGAATAGCAAGATAGACAGCGGTCATGATAGAGCCCACGATGGCGCGTAACGAATAGATAATGGCTGAGCATTTTAGAATGTTAGCGACGGCTTTAGATCCCCCAAAAGTGTCGCACAAGTTACTCACCATATACCGTGCCCAGGTCAACATCGTTTGATTCCAACTGAATCAGCAGAACCGGAACGAGCTCCAGCCATGACGCAGGGAAGCCTGCGAAGAAAGAAAAGGCCGCACTCCTTGAGAGGTTGCCAGGATTGCAGGACGCCATGGCTCCGGTAAAAGTGACTAGTATTGTCATCATAATGATGAGCTGGATCCGAATGTGTTTGACGATACTGATGAAGGGTCCACAGAAGATAAATCCAGAGTAGACTCCAAAAGCGATAGTTGTCTTTCCCACAATTAGATATATGTACGACACATTTCAAGCTCCAAACATACTGAAAGCCATGCAGATTGTTGCCAACTGGTGACAGTGGAGCCATATATTCGGGCAACCTCTACTGATCGTTAGCTAATGTCCAGTGTCGCCATGATTCTTCCGCAACTCACGAGAGGGCCAGATAATGCTCAGGGCAACGAAAGAGGTTGCAGCCACTGAGCAGATGACTATGGCGCAAACGAACCCGCGGAGATCCTTAAAGAAGTGCATTGGCACAATAGGATTGGGATGCGGCCCATATATTTCTACTTCGTCAGCAACGTAAGAAGTTCTTCTCCCTTCTTTAAGTGGACATACCCCAGAAGATGAAGATGATAATTATGCAGCCTCCGATACTTAGGAGAGAGATGATAGTAGCTGACTTCCACGGCAAAGGTTGACCGCCTGGCATTTGTGAGGCGGTCAATCCTCAAAAGGGGGCAACTTTATACTCACCCCAGGATACTCCAAGCAGGAAGAGCAATATCCCTGCAACCATTAGGAGGATTCCAACATAGTCAATCCTTCGAAGCTCTTCCCCCCTGGTTCGAGTGCCATGTAGTTGCCGAAAGCTTGGAGGCCGGTAGCATAGGAATTGTAAGAGTATACAAAGACCCATGCAGGGGATAAAGATGTAATAAATGTACCTTTCCGAAAGGATTATTAGGAAACGTAGAGCACTCATATGCAAAGATTCGTGCTTTCTCACCTCCAGTTATACTCACGAACGAGCTTCAGGGCTGTGAAGATTTCTGGTTTAGTATAAAGCACTCGGAGACCTGAGCATCTCATACCTATAAAGGCTCCGAATCCTGTTGGAAGGATGTTGAAGCTTGAGGCCGTCGCAACGCCCAGGAATTTCCATTTGTTCGGCACTACCTCCCCAACTGTAAGTCCGTGGCAGGTGTGCACGCCTCCTCCAAGGCCCATGAAAACATTCGCAACTATCAATGTGTTCATGGTCTTGGCCGTGGCAGCAATAATTGCTGACATGCGTCAGCCATCCCATTATTAGATAGAATAAAGTGGGAAGATTATGAATACCTCCGACCAATGCAGTACTCGATGCTGCAATGACAAACCATCTTCGCCCAAACTTATCGGAGAGTCTGCCGAAGAGGAGGATGCCAATGGCGCAACAAATCGACCAAATGATTGAAAATAGGCTTGCATTGTTGCTCGGCCCTTGCAAGACGTGTTTAGAATTTGATCTGCCAAAGCTGATAGTAGGACTCTTACCAATATCAGCATTGATAGTCTCCAAGACCGCAGCGGGTGGTGAGAAACCCCAATAGCTGATTGCCAGGGCTAAACCGAGTCCAACTATAGTCCCGATGATGCGCAAGCTTGCGAAATAGCCAGTCTCAGTCTCCGCGGTGGTGGTAGCTAGAGCATTAGAATGCTCTATATCTTCGAGGGTTCCTTGATCGGCGTGTACAAACTCCAGCTGTTGGAGCTTGGACTTGGGAGCATACATAGTGGGGATTCGGGCATTCGGAAAACAATCCCCGAGACCCAGCTTCGCAGGCTAAGCTCGCCGTAGCTCTGGAGAACTGGATTCGAAACTTGACCTCTTCCAGGTGAAATATGGCAGAATTAGCGTCCGAGGATTGTTCAACCCGAATACGAGGAACAATTTGGTGAGTCTCTAAATGTCAATGGTTCGTGAAGTGAGCCGGCAGGTGCCTGACGCACACAGGGGTATGTTCGTCCGAAGCGAAGGGATGATACAGCCGTTCCAAGTAGCCATGGGAGTATTGAAATGCGGACTGTCATGATCGGAGCAAACTCGCCACATCGAACTAGAGCATATGGGCTATGCCTCTCCAGGAGCCAGGTAAATCTTTGTTCTAGACACTTGTGGTTGCAGGTCCAGGACGCTAAATGAATAGACCTGGCCGTACCAGAGCATGGATGATTGCGGGCGCCTGGAAGCCCGTCTGGCATAAGTGTTGCAACTCCACCAAGGTAAGCCTGGATATGCAACTCTGGTATGGTTGAAAATTCTTAAGGCATGGTGGCTATTCCGAACACATGTGATCGCCCCTTTATCTCAAGGCCCCCATGATTCCGAGGCCCACTCTGCACTATTTTGAGAGTGAAAATACTTTCGAACAATGTCCCTTCAATCGGCTCGCCTGCCAGGTGCTGGCAAACCTGCGGGCCGCGGCATCAGATTTGCAGCGCAACGTACTCTTACTATTCAAGAGTGGCCAAATCTTCAAGAACCTCTAGCTATCGCTTGTCAACTTGCTATCACGCAGAGCCCTCGGGTAAGGTTTGCTGTCCCATCACAAAATGGATAAGTACACCAACGGACATGATTCCTAGGGTGCTCCCAATTGCAAGACATGTTATGACATCTCCCTATTCCAACAGGCCCGAAGTCCTAGATATCAAGTGTCCGAGGGACCGGAATCCGTCTCGGAAGGGTGTCCGAAGAGTTAGCGGGGCCTCATGGCAGGTAGGTCTAAGGCTCCGCATGTCACAGGGCCCAGGTTAGGTCGTTCATAATACAGCACGCTAACTAGCCACACATAAAGAGAGCATGTTTATACTTCCTTCATCATGCTCGTGAGTGGTAGGACGGATCACTCTGAAGAAGCTGTCTGAGAGGTAATTATCGCTTTCTGCATCGAGAAATGGTGACTCTTTTTCAATTTGGAGTATGTTGTGCCTGCGGCTAATCGAAGAAGTGCGTTTCCTGCTGACAGCCTTGCGTAGCTTATCGTGTTCACCGGACTTGGAAGCCTCACCTATGGCTATTGTAGCAGCATCATTGCGACTACCTTGGGACAGCCGTCATTCATTGCTTATTTTGATCTTGCGACGCGCTCCAATGCCAACAGTCTCATCGGTGCAATCAATGGCCTTTACCAATCAGGCGGACTGTTTGGAGCCGTATCGGTGCTCTTCATCCCGGATAAAGTCGGTCGTCGGTGGGCTCTATTCATAGGCGGGGTATGCTGTATTGTTGGCGGAGCTCTGCAAGCTGGCAGCGTTCACATAGCCATGTTCCTGATAGCAAGATTCCTTGTTGGCTATGGCATCGGTACGTTTTGGAACAGAATTGACTATACAAGAAAAAAACGTGTTTACTGACTCCCATGTCTTCAGGTTCCCTTGTCACCCTCGTCCCACTTTACCAAAGTGAAGTATCGCCAACCAGTATCCGTGGATTCCTAGTCGGAATGGGAGGCGTTATGATCTGCATCGGGTACATCACCGCGAGTTGGGTCGGTCTGGGATTCTACTTTGTCCCAGGTACTACCAACCAATGGAGAGGCCCTCTTGCTATTCAAGTTCTCCCTCCTCTGCTACTCTGCCTGGGCCTGTATTGGGTCCCAGAGTCCCCCCGGTGGCGTCAGTTGGCTTCACTTCGACCATGGAAAAGAGAGTTTCTGACCGCATACCAGTCCTTCTCCAAGATCAGAGCGAGCATGCTCGCATGCAGTTCCAAAGGATTCATGCTGATATCGCCAAATCTCTCGGAGAGCATGTTCTCGAGGAGGAGTTTCTGCTTCTCCGTGCCCAGGTTGCTCAAGAGATCAAGCACCATGTGCCTCTGAAGCAGTTTTGGACTAAAAAGTCGCTGCGGAAGCGATGTATCATAGGATGGCTTACATACGCCGCGGGTCAAGGAACCGGAACCTTGGTCATCAACAGTAAGTTCCTCTGGATATTAGTGAGACATCAACGGCTGCTAATCCCTCGCCTCACTCCAGATTACGGGCCTCTGCTCTACTCAAACCTCGGATTCAACACCGTCCAGCAGCTGCTGATTCAGTGTGGATGGATCACGGTAGCCCCATT